CCTTGAGCAGTGACAATTGGGAAAATCAGATGCTGTATCTCGCAGAACAAGGCTTCCGTGTTATTGCGCACGATCGTCGTGGCCACGGGCGCTCTACTCAGACCTGGGATGGGAACAACATGGACACCTTTGTTGATGATCTCGAGGAACTATTTGCTTATCTGAAGGTCAAAGATGCTGTGATGGTTGGCCACTCTCACGGTGGAGGGGAAGTGACCCATTATCTCGGAAAACACGGCACAGGTCGTTTCAAGAAAGCCGTTCTAGTCGGTGCTGTGCCCCCTTTGATGGTAAAGACTAGTGTCAACGCCGAGGGGACTGACAAATCCGTTTTCGATTCGTTTCGAGAGGCGATGCGCAAAGACCGTGCGCAGTTCTTCTTGGATGTCCCTAGCGGACCGTTCTTTGGTTTTAACCGACCTGGTGCACATAGGAGCGAAGGCCAAATTCGAAGCTGGTGGCAGCAAGGGATGAATACCAGCTTCAAGTCAGCGTACGACTCGATCAAGGATTTCTCGGAAACTGACTTCACGGAAGATCTGAAGAAGATTGATATCCCAGTGCTAGTTTTGCATGGGGATGATGACCAAGTTGTTCCTATCAAAGCATCTGGACTGAAGTCGGCAAAGCTTCTCCCTCAAGGCAGCCTGAAAATTTACAGGGGAGGCTCTCACGCTATTCACAACATCAATGTTGATGAAGTTAACAAAGATCTTCTGGATTTTATCAAGTCATAAATCGTGTCTTTTGCTCTTGGTATCTGGGACACTGATCGTTGTATCTTAAATCAACTACCACAATATCTACTAGTAACGGAATACAGTACGCACCGAATTCATTAAACAAACTACATTGGCAGTTTCCTAAAATGCTCTACTAATCAACTTTGTAAAAAGGATGCCGCTCGTTTCAATTATTTGCTTGCTTTCAATTTCGCAGATTGTGTCATTTGTACATCGTCACAGTCGTAAAACACCACAAAATATGAAGGCAGAGGTGTATGTATGAGCCATTCTCTAGAACTGGAAGAGGTCAGGGCCAATCGCATAAGTATTTTTACCGGCAATTGTGATGCCAAGCCTAACCCCCCTTTGTTTGAGAATGCTTGGGTGGCTTTCGTCGCAGCAACACTATTAATTATGCTGAGTTCTTGATCCTGCCGTTAAAAACAACCAACTTACTTTCTTGCTGTGCTGCATCTGGTGTTAGACAAGGATATTTACGCCATAATAAACTCGAGCCTCGACTCCCAAGTCTTGCCAGGAGTGTCTACTGTAGTCACCCCCCCCCCCCCCCCCCCCCCCCCCCCCCCCCACCCCCTCCCAACCCACTCTACGATTATTTTAGGTAATACACTAAGCTATTAAGTCCTCTCGAATATCTTCGGCAATTGCAAGGTGCTGTGGGATGTCTGGCAGAGGAAGCAATTACGCCATTGTACATCACATAGCTGGTTAGATGGTTCCAGTCAATACAACATTGGGCGCCGAATCAGACGTTGACAGGAATTTGATAGCAGGAAAACTATCCAACGTATTTTCAAAATCCGGTAATATCCCTGCATATATTTGATTATCATTATTCATTTTGGCCTCCGACTTTGATAGTTCCAGACGAACCCTCGATCGAAGCCAAGGAGATATAATTTGGACTCAGGGGCTTAACATGCACAAGATTCTGATGAGCTACCAGTAGAATATAACTCATCAGAACCACTATTCATATTTTAGAAAGCCATTGGTTCAGTAATTTCCAGTGAGGGCGCGGCCCACTAATTGGGAAGATCTGCGGGACGTGCCGAGGATCAGACAGAATCTTGCAGGCTACAGTAAATGCAACACCTAGTCGCTGGCTTAGTTACTTGTATTCAACTCATCTTAATTGTTCAACATAGATTGCGAGTAATTTTCCTTCACTATAACTTAGGCACCAGCATGTACTTTGTGTATTCCTTGGCCCCAATTCGACGTACGAGGTCAACCGATACCCGATCACGAAGCAATCGCTTTAAAACTTTCCCCGAGTTACTTCTGGGGATCATCTCAGTGAAGATAATACCACCACGGAGATGTTTGTATGATACTGTTCGGTCATTGACATGCTTGAGGATCGCTTGCGCCGTAGTCTGATTCTGCGGGTAACCGGATTTGACTACGACGTAAGCCAGCGGCACCTCACTTGCGAGACTTTCGTTCATGATACCAATGACAGTTGCATCCCCCATAGCCTCATTTTCAAGAATGATATCCTCGAGCTCGGCCGGGGCTACCTGGTAACCTTTGAATTTGATCAAATCTTTTGAACGTTCAGTTATGAACAGATTGCCCTGCTCATCTTCGTATCCTATGTCCCCTATAATTGATTGTGAGAAATGATGCGTCAGTCTTGCAGACAATGAAGAAAGCGAAGAAGCACCAACCAGTTTTGAGCCATCCATCTGCTGTCAAACAGGCCGCAGTGAGATCAGGCTCGTCGAGATAACCATTGAAAACTGTTGCGCCACGCACATAAAGCTCTCCTTCCTTACCCACTGTAACTTGGCGGCCATCATTATCGACAAATTTGGTTTCAATACCGGGAATAGGAGGTCCATTCGAGCCTAAACCAGCCCTCCACTTGTCCCAGCGCTGAGAATTCTTCAGTGAGTTTTGTTGTCTGACTCGCGAATGGGATATACAGTATGACACACCTGGATGTGGGATACAGATGTTGTTTCAGATAATCCGTACGCCTGGCGAACTGGGATTTGACGTTGCTGGAATAGCTCCGTGACGAGGCTGGAAGCAAGAGGTGCGCCACCAGAAGTAATCATGCGGAGTGTACGCAAGTCATAGGTATTCACTAGACTACTCTTCGCCAGGTGAAGCACGATAGGTGGAACGGCATAGGCTTGGGAGATACGATACTCCTGAATAAGGCTGCAGAAAGTGGCAATATCGAATTTGTCCATGTACACTGTTGTTGTTCCAATATGGACAGGGAGATAAACGAGGCAAATAAGTCCTATTCATTTAGCTTTCTTGGTCTAGAAACAATATGTCAATATTATTATGAATTTAACCTACTTACCGAAGATGTGATACGTAGGAAGTACCGCTAAGGTGCGATCCCGGCGCCAGTCTATGTGGGCACTATCAATTGCGGTTTGAAGCTTGGCAGCGGCCACGACGTTACGATGAGAGATCATCGCACATTTAGCTCTGCCCGTGGTCCCTGATGAGTATACCAGGAATGCAGTATCTTTGTCTGCTTCGATTTCCACACAATGAGTGTCCTGGTCTATATCATCTTCAGTTGCATTCAAGAAATTCTCAACGGAAGAGAGGCCACTGTATGTCGGGCCGAGTTTTTCGGGCCTCAAAATAAGAATTCGATCAGAGGATAGATTTTCAAGACGAGCAGCCTCCATAGCAATAGCCGCACACTGTGGATGAACCACAAGCCCTCTTGCATGGCTTCCTTTTAATTGCCGGAGAAGCTCCTGTGCCGACAACTCGGGACTGACCGGTGCCACGATCCCACCTAGAAACTGACATCCCCAGATAACGGATGGAGTATCGATGTCGTTTGGGGTCATCACTATGAGAACGTCACCTTTACACCAGCCCCATTGGGATTGTAAAGCTCTACCAAATTTCTTCGCTCGTTGCCGGACCTGTTTGTACGTATATTGGGCGTAGGTGGTGGCAGAACGGAAGATAACTGTAAAAATTTAGAAGATATCTCTACAAAAATTATACAAATGCCAGTCCATAGAATGAAATCATCATGGATTGACTTGCCTTGATCATGTGGGAAAGGAAGAGAAGGGCGCTCAAAGAAAAATTCCCAAATACTAGCCAAAGGCATCGCTGGGGTTGCAGAGTGAGTTTCCAATTTTGCTCCAGCTGCTATGCTGCTGTTAATATCATTGCCAACACATGGTCTATGAGAGATCTTTAAATTTAAAGTGCCACTTGAGTTGGGTCCCTTCTTTTATAGAGGCCTGAACCTCGCATATCATGCTGCGTTCCCTCGGCAGTCCTTCAAACACGGGTATAGCTCCACCAAAAGTGACGATAGACCGCGGCATTTTGTCATATACAAGCAATCTGGTGCATATGAAAGAGCATTCAGAGACCACATTACGAGGATGATCAGTCATTCGGTTTGTATCGCATACTATCCTCAGGTTCATCTTATAGATAAATTAAGATAATTTTGATGCCTTTTCCGAAGACGATACTCTATATTACGACGACTCAATATCTCACAAAATAAGGACAGTGGGAGAACTCAGAATGGCCTATGGTAAATTCGACCCTTTGAAACACTATTTCAAATAGAAAAATTACACACTTTTCTGTGGCTCCTATTGTATCAAGCAAGACGGCTACCTGTATTCTTTCCACGGTGTTCAGGTGTCCCTCTCGGGAGATAATACAAAGTTTGTCAATATAATATGAACTTCGAAATTAAGTCACTAACTTCGCCTTGCACTACTTCATTGGAGCGATAAGATGACCCTCAATTTGCAGATTTATTTTCAAAAATCAGTATTTTCTTGCTAAATAATATCTAGATACAGAAGGAGACCACTTCTCCGTCCATAGGAAACTTTCTCTGCTGTCTAGGAGATATCTAGTTCTCCTGAGCTACCGTGGACACATGTGGGTCGCACTAGTGACGCGCGGCGGAGCAACTAACCATCCGCTCTGAATTAAAGATGATTCAAGTACCCATGGAACCTGGCATTACTTAAGCTTTTTATACTAGGAAATTTTGCCTCGGTAGGAGTATGGGACGCTCGGTTTCACCATATACCTCCGTTGCAATTCGTAACTTATACTTGCCCCCTCCTTAACAGTTCCATTTTCCATCGCAAGTTTATCTACAAAACGACTTCGCTCCTTCTTGTGGTTGTCATCACTCACTGCGCATATTTGACCAAAGAGCCAATCACATCTTGACTTTGATGAAAGGATATTGTCAGCATCATGGTTTCTGCAACATCGCCAAAGATGTCTAATTCGTATGTGACGATCAGACCTAGCTTCTGTTTGATATTGTACTAACCATATTGACAACTGACCAGAAGCTCTGATCATCCCACCGTCCAAGTCGAGTTTGGAGGTCAGAAGGTCGATGTACCTAAAGGCGGCTATTACGATCGTTATCGCATGAACCCGAACTTGGATGAGGTAGCCGGCGATCCGGCAGTTGGACCAGACATCGATTTTTTTCGGCAAATTCCAAAGAAACTGGTCGACTCGAGGGTCGGCCAGGTATACACTCCGAATTTCTATTACCGCACAAGCAGTGTCCAGCTTCTCTTTCTCGCGCCCCTTGACAACTTGAAGTCGAAGCTCCCAGCTCCTTTAGAGCCCATCACAGCATTCCCTGGATATGGATTGGTGGCAATGACGTTTTATTCCTACCTCGTCTGCGACAACGATCCTTATAAAGAGGTCTCTATTGCTATTATCGTCCGCCAGCCAGGTAAAAACAGTTACAGTACAACCCAATTGCTAAGCTCTCTATGGAATCAAACCTTCTATGGATACGTTTTGGCTCTACCTGTTGATACCGAAATTGCTCGAGTACGTGGTGTATACGGATACCAACTCCCTAAATGGCTCGCCAATATTAGCTTGGATATGGACGAAGAAAATATCAAAGCTAGTATCACTGCAACTGATGGGAAGCTTGATTTGGCGCTGGATGTGCCCTGTCCGGAGCTAAAAGCAATTCCGTCGCAATCCCGGATAGTCAATAACAACGCGATCAACAAGATCGACGAGAAATGGTACCAAGTGACAGTCCAGACGAACCCACTTTTGGGGGCGCAGCGTCTCTTCCCTCGTGATGTCATCATGTATCGAGGCAAAGGACCACTGAGCGAACTTCTTAATGAATTGGGCGCCTGGACCATCTTGCGGATGGATTTACTCAAGGATGCCCAGATGGTCTTGAATATGCCAGTCCCCATTAAAGCATTTGATAGTGTTAAGATTTAGGGGCTATGGCACTACCATTCAATGATTCTTCTAGTCCGGTAACGATGATACGGAGAATACTGTCTCATTCTCTGTTGAGGATGAGGTTGTTGAAAATGTGTCTGATCAGCGAGAATCGCGACCCTTCTGAAATGCTATTTTATTTTTACAAAAAGTTGCTCATTGCGCTTTATTTTTGAATTTTTCTAAAGCTATTAGGACTAAAATTCAAGACCTCCGGCACTACGTATCGCCGACGCTCCTTCAGGATTCATATCTTAGATTTAATTCCACAGTAGACATACGGTAGATGAACATCATTCTCTATTTCTCATTTCCTATGAAATCAAGGTCGGTAGGTTTGGCGAATATCTATGCTGTCCGGCCGCCAGAAAAACGACAAGAGGAAATTCAATAAGACAGTGAATCACGCTGTGGCTGGCTGAGGACGGTGACGACCTTGTTCGCAGTCTCTTTCGCCGAGCCCGGATTCTGTCCAGTCACCAGATTTCCATCCACTACCGTGTAAGAAACGAAAGGTAACTTAGCCGACTGGTAGTGTGCGCCGCGCTTCTTTACCTCTTCTTCAGCGTTGTAGGGCACAAGCTTGTTAACGCAAGCAAGCACCTCCTCCCGCCAGGTGAACCCGGTCATCTTGCGGCCAGCGACCAGGTATGACCCATCCGAGAGTTTAGTGTGCAGTAGGCCACAGTAACCGTGGCAAACAGAGGATACGACGCCACCTCGTTCGAAAATCTCCCGGGTAATCTGCTGCAGACCTTCGCTGTCTGGAAAATCTCACATCACACCATGCCCACCAGTGAAATAGATTGCATCAAAGTCAGTGGAGGTAATCTGGTCAGGTCGGGCAGTGTTTTCCAGAAGTGACATGCGGGCTGGATCGGCCCGCCAGGCCTTGGCTGTCTTTCCATAGTTGGGGAGCTTCAGTGACCGCGGCTATAAGGGAGAGAGACCCCCCGTTGGGCTAACGATACTCTGCTTAAAACTATGCTCTTCGAAGACGTGCCAAGCGTGGGTGAGTTCAGATAGCCACAAGCCAGTCGGGTGGGATGGATCATCATAGTGTGCCACGTTGGTGACAACATGCAAAATGCGCTTGTTCATGGTTGGGATATCTTAAGAAATAAATCAAATCACGCACCTGGAAAAGGAATGAAAAGAGGGGGGGTATAGAGTACGTCAGAGGGTTCTGCCATCAAATTAGAGTGCTAAAATTAAAACTCTGACCGCCGCAAGAAAAAGGAAGCTGAATGGCTGAGCAGTTGGGCCGGTTGAATAAACGATCCGGTTTGTCCCACTCCGGTCCTTACCCCGTCATAACTTTATTCCTAGATCGACACCTATTGGAGTCTACCTCGGTAGAAGCTACATAATACCATCTTGTTCTTTTCGGGACAACTATTGAGCCGAAAATGCAATTTCCTCGTTATGCAATAGTCTCGATTTACGAGAATATTCTGGCTCGGCGTAATCAAACCGAAAATCTCCACTCACATTCGTACAATGGATCTTAGCGTGTAGGCTTTCAGTGTGAGCCGTTTAAATCCTATTCCCTTGTACCGCACTTTGAAAAAGCTCTTAAGGAGATTTTTCCTCACGGCCTCACAAGGGCATGTCTATTTACATACATATCCGTTTTACTCTTTTCCGCTATGATGGACAACCAAATTCCAGATCTTCAATCCACTTCACTCGAAACAATCCCCTCACGTATCTCTACCACCCGCAAATCATTCCTGGAGCACAAGACCCGCAACATTGAGTTTCGTCTCATTCAGCTCCGCAAGCTTTACTGGGCGTACGTGGTAAACCTAACGGAACACTCTTCGTGAAAAGTGAAAGACAATCATTGACTATTTCGGCAGCATAAAAGATCATGAAATTGAAATAATCCAGGCCTGCGCTAAGGACTTGAACAAGCCGCGCTTCGAGACTGAGTTCGCCGAAATTGACTGGCTGCTGAACGACATCGTCTTCACTACCCGCAATCTACATGAGTGGGCCAGAGATGAGAAAGCCCCTGATATCGATCTTCAGTTCAAGTTGATGAGGCCCAAGATTCGGAAGGATCCTCTCGGCTGCGTGTTGGTGATCGGGTACGCTGTATCTTTCGGAGCAAGAGGATTTGGGGATGGTCAAGAGCAGAAATTTTCTGACTGATTACATCTAGCACTTTTAATTTCCCCTTTCAGCTGACCTTAGGCCCCGTCATTGGTGCAATTGCGGCTGGGAATACTGTGGTAATTAAGCCATCTGAAAACGCTCCTGCTAGCGCTGTCATTATACAGAAGATTTGCGAGACGTCTCTGGACGCTTCTTGCTATTCCGTTGTCCAGGGCAGTATACCTGAGACCCAGGCTCTCTTGGCTGAGCGCTGGGACAAAATTTTCTTTACAGGTGGTGCTAATGTTGGTCGCATTATCGCTAAGGCAGCAGCGCCTCATTTAACCCCTGTGGTTCTGGAGCTAGGCGGTATTAATCCAGCTATAATCAGTAAGACAGCTGATCCCCGTCTAGTTGCGCGTCGTATGCTCTGGGGAAAGACCGTGAACGCCGGCCAACTTTGCACCTCACAGAATTACCTCCTTATCGAGAAAACACTCGTGCCTCGAGTGGTTGAGGAGTTCAAGAAGGCTTATAAGGCCTTCTATCCTAATGGCGCTAAAAAATCTCCAGACTACTCGCGCATTATCAACAAAGGCCATTTCCAACGTCTCAAGTCTATGCTTGACAATAGCAAAGGCAAGATTCTGCTTGGGGGTGCGTTAGACGAGGAAGAGCTCTTTATTGAGCCTACAGTTATCCAGGTGTATTCTGTCGAAGATTCCCTTTGCGCAGAGGAGAGCTTCGGGCCTTTTATTCCGATCCTATCTGTCGAGAACCTAGACGAGGCTATTAGCCTCGCCAATATGGTGCAGAGTACACCACTTGGTCTCTACCCCTTTGGCTCTAGGGCCGATGTTGCGAAAAGTATTTTCTATTTTCCCTGAAATATATAATATACGTGACTAATGTCTATTCTATGCAGTTATTTCCTCCACTCGATCGGGGGGCGTCTCCTGCAATGATGCTGCCTTACATATACCTACTCTACCCTTTGGTGGTGTCGGCGAAAGCGGCCACGGCGCTTACCGTGGCCGTGCTAGTTTCGATGTCTGGGTGCACCGACGGCCTATAACAAGCAGTCCTGGCTGGCTCGAGTCTATACTTGCTATTCGCTACCCACCATATGCTGGTAAACTAAGCAAAGTCAAGGCTTCCAACAACCTAGTCCCAGACTTTGACCGCAGCGGCCAAAAGCTGAAGCTCGGTTGGCTACGCTATATTTTAACTTTGGGTGGTGGGAGCGGGAAGTCTGGTGCCGGGCGTGCCCTTATTGTTGCTGCGAGTAAGTAGAGCTCAATCTTTTCTGTCCAATGCCCCCATTCTCTCCGCGTTTCCTCATATTTTTCATGTCTCTTTGTCTGTATGATACCTCGTATCTCTTTCTGTTCTTGGCGACGAAGGTGGCATGAAAACTGGAGTCAAAGCTCTAATCTCACCGTCTGATGTTGTTCCTACTCTGGATGTTGACCTGATATTGTCGTTCCAGCTTTGCACTGGTTGTGATATGCGTGCTGGATTTGGAAATTTGACATTATTTTAACCAAAACGCTTCTCTTAGTGCTTTTCTCTTGTCGTCACTTCATCTCTCTCGTCTCTCTTCCCCCATTCCCTCAATTTCTATCGGTACTTGGATACCTACAAGAAAGCTTGGGATCTGATTCTGTTCTGGGTTATAACTGAAGTAGCCTCTCTGTTGGTATTCAACTGCTCCATACAACTATAGATAATCTATTTCCTTTAAAACAAAAACTATCTCTAGCTTTTTTTGTCGTTACCTATGTGGTTGTGCAATTCTTCGGGAAACATCTATGAACACCTGAGGAGGGTCGGGAGATTTGGTCAACTGGAGACAACTTTGCTTTATTTGGAATTTGGGTTTAACACGTCGCTGCATTGATGGAAGTGACTCCCGCTTGGAGGTGCCACTGGTTATATAGTTGTTCCGAAACTGGCAACACAACAGAAACAAAGTCCCTTCACAAAAAGAACTAACTATCGATGAAACAATTTCTCATCATTTCGTATACTATTTATCTTTTATCTTTGCTACGTTGTAAATCATGTTCTGAGGGCTGCCCATGCAGCGAGGGTCACTGGCGGGCGGTGGTGGTGGGCGACCCCGTAAATCAGGACGCACGGCCTGATTCAACCTTCTGACCTACCATGTGGGGCGGTGATCCAAGGTTTTATTTAGCCGACGGAACGTGGATGCCCCGAATACCGCCAACCAGACCAGACAGCTTTGGTACACACGGGAGGTCGACTTCTACGAGTGCTGTTGGATGAAGAAATATGTGGTTTCTAATCCTGTCATGATGCTTAGTAATGCAGCGCATTTTTTGATTACTGTGCACAGCCGACCGTGTAGGCTGATAGAATGGAACGCGTCTGAGCCAACCAGTACATATGCAACCTCAGCTGTACAAAATCATACCATTATCCTGACTTGAACATCAAATAGAACAGCCATGCCGACTCAAAAAGCAATTGAAATCACCGGGCCTCAAGAGGCCAAAGTCGTGACAAACCGCCGCCTTCCCGAACTCCGCGATGACTACATCCTTGTCAAAGTCGTAAGCGTCGGCCTTAATCCCACTGACTGGAAACACGTCAAATTTCTCTCTGGGCCTGGTGCCCTAGTAGGATGTGACTATGCGGGCACCGTCGAAGAAATCGGTTCAGCAGTAACAAAGGGTTTTAAGAAAGGCGATCGCGTCTGCGGCATCACACACGGCTCTAACGACTCAAACCACGAAGATGGCTGCTTCGCAGAGTACATAGTCGCAAAGGCACACGGTCAATGGAAGATCCCGCCAAACCTTTCCTTCGAAGAGGCTGCCACCTTAGGCGTCGGCATAGTCACCGTCGGCCAGGCGCTGTACCAGGCTCTGAAGCTCTCTCCGCCGCAAGCCGAGCCTGTTCCTAACGGTATCCCGCTGCTTATCTATGGCGGGTCGAGCGCGACAGGGACTTTGGCTATCCAGTTTGCGAAGTTATCTGGCTACGTCGTTATCACTACGTGCTCGCCGCATAACTTTGACCTTGTGCGTGGGCTGGGCGCGGACAGCGTGTACGACTATAAACATTCGGAGGCCGCGGCTCAGATCTGCAAAGCGACGGGTGACCAGCTGAAGTTTGCCCTGGATTGTATTGGGACTGAGGATGGGGCGGATTTCTGTGATAATGCTATGTCGAGGGAGGGAGGGAGATATACCTCTATTACAGGGTCGAAGACGAAGCGCCAGAATGTTGTTGATTCGGGGACTCTGGGCTACACTGCTGTGGGCGAGGCGTTTAGGAAATTTGGACGCGAATTTCCTCCTATTCCAGAGGATGCAGCTCATATCGCTGCTTTCATTAATTTGATGGAGCCTCTTCTTGCCCAGGGGAAAATTAAGACTCACCCTGTCAAAGTTGGGAAAGGAGGGCTATATGGTGTTTTGGAGGGCTTGAAGCTTATGGAGGAGAGCAAGGTTAGTGGGGAGAAACTAGTTTATAATATCGCTGATACCGCTTGATTTTGATCAAAAAATAATTATTATGGGGAAAAATGATGATTCTTTTGTGTATGCTCTCTAAAGCTTAGATAGTGTTTTTGCAAATTGAGAACATTATGAATTCAGAAAATGAACCTACATCACTTCACTCACCGAGTGAGGGCTCGGGACCCTCATCTACTCTAGAAGGCTCGCTGGTGCTGACGCTGAATTCTGAAAACGTCACCACCTCCCGTACAGCCGTATGGAATGAGATCCCGGAGCTAGATGGGGGCTCATATCTAGTCATTGATGCTTGGAGTGGAGAGATTCTCGAGGCTCCACCTCTTGAATGGAGATGTTACCAATGAGGAATTCGTCAAGTCTGGATTCTCGAACGCCGAAGAAAGATTTGGACCAGCAAACATATTGATTGTCAACTCTGCTGCTGAAGACTTGACGGCGAAAGCTGATCGAGTTCACACCCATTCCATGGGCGTGGAAGGTCTGGTGGGTCCAGTTGCACCCACATACTCTGCGTTGTGAGCACCGTACCAGATAGTATCAGTCTATATAAGATCATGTAAACTTTGTATGTGGAATATATTAACTAATGTGCGTGCCTGTCAAGAAAAGAAAGTTAAAAATGAAAGGCATAATATCTTCAGTCTATATTCATTTTAAGATGGATTTTTGTGACGCTCAAAAAGTATGTTTGGCTCATATTTCAGTCTAAAGATATTCAATCCCCTTCAGCGTTCGGCGTGAGAAAGTAAAGTTAGAGTTTCATCTCCAATGAGAGTAAAATTAAGCTATATGTTCGATGAAGCTAACTAGCAGACTATGTGATCTGTTTGTTCCCACAAGATTTTGGTTTCTTGGTCATTTAATTCTTGCATTCAGCGGGCTATAGTGCATCTTATAATAAATATCTATATCACCTGACAAACACCTGCTTAGAGTCGAAATAAGCTTAAAATTCAGAGTTTGAACCAATCGGAGTTGGATTTTGCCACCTGTAGGAAACATTATATAATCATTTCAATACCAAAAAAAAAATCCCGAGGTTCGGATCCTTGTTCGACCGGGTGGAGATCCCTCGGCGACTTTTGATCTTTTTTTTCCTTCAGGGCTGTTTCCCTGCTTGACAAATGGATCCATCTGTCAACAGTGGGATTGGTCCAAGGTGGAAAATTGAATTCCGTGGATATTTCTTGATCCATTCTTCTCCAAAAACCAGATGGCAATGGATATCAAAAATTTTCAGATGATAAATCAATCCTCAAGTTCTCCACAGTAGATCAATACATATAAATCACCCCAATCCTACCCCTGCAAGATGGAATTATTCACATATATAATAATATCTATATCTAAACACCATCATAATGACCTGGCCTGACGTCTCCACAAAGCCCGCTGAGGGCATCTCATACTTCACCCCTGCCCAGAGCCCCCCGGCAGGCACAGCTCGCAATCCTCAAACAAGCGGAAAGCCCATTCCCAAGCTCTTCAAGCCTCTCACCATCCGAGGAGTGACTTTCCAAAACCGCCTGGGTGTATGTGTAATTCCCCGCAATTTCCCGCATCATACAGCTAACAATAACCTTCCAGCTTGCACCCATGTGCCAATACAGTGCCGAAGATGGCCACATGACCCCCTGGCACATGGCACACTACGGCGCCATTGCCCAGCGCGGACCCGGAAACATGATCATCGAAGCAACGGGTGTCGTCCCCGAAGGCCGCATCACTCCCGGCTGCGTCGGTCTCTGGAAAGACTCCCAGATCGCGCCTCTCAAGCAAGTCGTTGAGTTCGCGCACAGCCAGGGCCAGAAAATCGGTATCCAGCTCGCACACGCCGGCCGCAAGGCGTCGACCGTGGCACCTTGGCTTGGTGGCGTTGTCGCGAACAACTCCGTCGGCGGTTGGACCGATAACGTCAAGGCTCCTAGCGCCATTCCCTTCGCTGAGGGTGATCCTATCCCCATTGCCATGACCCAGGATGATATCACCGAGGTTAAGACTGCCTGGGTTGCTGCTGTTAAGCGTGCTATGGCTGCTGGATGTGATTTCATCGAGATCCACAACGCTCACGGATACCTTCTCTCGTCGTTCCTTAGCCCATCCGCCAACCACCGCACCGATAACTATGGTGGCAGCTTTGAGAACCGTATTCGTCTGTCCTTGGAGATTGCTCAGTTGACTCGTGATACGGTCGGTGATGATGTGCCCGTCTTCCTGCGTGTGTCAGCTACCGATTGGCTTGAGGATAGCATGCCAGCTGAGAAGGGCTGGAAGCTTGAGGATACTATTGAGTTTGCTCGTGCGCTTGCTGCGCAGGGCTGTGTCGATCTGATCGATATCAGTACTGGTGGTGTGCACTCTGCTCAGAAGATTACCTCTGGTCCTGGTTTCCAGGTTCCTTACGCTGCGGCTGTTAAGAAGGCTGTTGGTGATAAGATGCTTGTTGCTGCTGTTGGTATGATCAATAACGGAAATTTGGGAGAGAAGATTCTCAATGAGGATGATATTGATGTCATTCTTGTTGGTCGTGCTTTCCAGCGCGATACCGGTCTCGCTTGGCAGTTTGCTAAGGACTTGGATGTTGAGATTGCCATGGCTGGACAGATTCGTTGGGGTTTCACCAGCTTCCGCAATGCGTCTGAATATATTCAGCCCAACTCTATGAAGGCTTGCATTTTTGATTAGATTTAGATACACCAGCCGTTTGGCTTGAATTGCATTATATAGACCGTCTTCTTCAAAACAGTGAAAATAGATGTGCCGTTTCTGAGACCCATGATCGACTACAAGTACGAGAATTATCAGTAGTAGAATGGAACTTCACCAATGCGGCGCATATTTAGTTCGTCTACCTCAGGGAAAATTTTCAAAGTCATGTTATCTGGTTACTGCTTGTTCGTCTTCTCCATGCTCTCAAGGTAGGCAATCCAACAAGTAGATCCTAGGCAGGAAACAATAGGCTTCCAAATCAAGAGGCCACTTTCGTCTGGCTATGGTGTCTAATAAATACGAAATGAATTCTATATACAGGCAAGGCAGTCAGTCACTTATTCTGCTGGGGGAAAAAAAAGAAATCACAAAAAAACCCTTGGGGCTCACAAAAGGGCTATTGGACTTCAGGAACGCTATCAAATTCATGGGACAAATTAGTCTTAAGTTGTTCTACTTCGATTATTTACTTCAAATCAAACTTCACAAGTCTACCTGCTTACAATTGGACAGTCATTCCATAAAAAAAAGGTGTTGATTGAGTTTCTAACTACAACATAAAGCTTTGACTGGTTTGTTTTTTGAATTGAAAACATGGTAAAGAGTGTTCTCTGTCTCACTGAGACCAGATGATGTTCGAAGCTCCAATTCTATGACCCCTTCAGCGTACATCGAAAACCAGTTATACGGTTCTCAACGGACGCTGAAGAGGCCATAGAATTACAGATCCGAACACTCACCGGGGTCGTCACCGAGATGAGGTGAAAGTGATTCACCGTCCAGAAAGCAGCCATGGCCTCAACAAAAAAAAAAACTCCCCCTAAGATGACCTAGAGGTATAAAAAAAATACGACATCATTACCGCACTACACACCCGCCCGAGGTTGCGATCCCTCAAAATGGATGTCCAGTTCGACAGATCTGCCACGTACCCGCCGGACTTTCAGCATACGGTTGCGACCAGTGATGCATCGGCCTCGTGCTGGGATTTCTCCGCGCTTCCTGGAGCGCACTAGACTCGGATCCAAGTCTAGGCAGTTTCGAGGTTTCCACTTGGTATTACTCGCAGGTGGTAAACCTTGATTCTCTCGATGCTCGCTGGGCATCGGAACATAATCATAATGTTTCGCAAGCGGTTCCATAAGTCGCCGTTGGGCTGTTCTCTGGTATCTCGTCTTGTTAATCCAACAAAGCGAAATAATTGTTTATCATTGCTTCAACTTGGGATTGGATTGTTCGGCATAAAGAACAGTTAGCAGGTTCGAACCAGGTGAGAGACTGGTTCTCCCCATGCGTTCCTTCGTACAATCATCCTGGATCTGCTATCCTCCCGAAGGGTGTGACATGGTTCCAGTCAGGTTGCAGAAATCGTAGCGACGGCCTCGCAAATCGTAAATCTTTTCGTTTCAACTACGATCAACGATTTTTCTGGGTTAAGACATGTGCTTTAACCAAAGTCGGCTCCGTTACGGAGACAGACAAATTCTTATGGGCATCAAACCCATAAGAGGCGTCTAGGATCGTATCATTAATGCAATGCCACGAGGATCTCAGTGGAGAACCACGCGGCATACATCAATAATGATGACCTTCGACTTAACTCTCGACACTGGGATGGGGCGCTGGCCACCATCGTCGTGAAAACTCTTTCATGTCGCCGGTAATAAAACCAGCGAAATCCCAACATGGCGCCCATCGTCAGGTATCCCGGCGACACTCGGTTGGAGGACGAGGCAACCGAGAGACGAGCGAGATACCTTTGGGTGAACGTTCCGCGGTTGAGATGAACTCATTCATGTGCAGGTACCAAGAGCCGAGACGGAAACCCAAGGACCCGCTGCTTAGCGGACGAGGCCAAGCAGGCACAGTTGGGAGAACTCCGAAAGAAAGAAAGAAAGAGGGGGTGGGGGGGGATTTGGAGGGATTTTATATTCGCTGGACGCGTCCACGGATGGCGGTGGATTATAAAATTGCCCCACTTCCCCTGAACACGTCATGTCTTTTAGGGCTTCACAGTGTCACATTCAACGTCATACTGGTCATTTCTCTGTTATTCTGATTCCCGTATGGCTTCTGACCAGACAAAGCTATCAAAGATCGAGTAGCCTACAGAGGATATTGTAGGTTATTCACTTATATATCATCGTTCTTCTTCCCTTGCCCCAGGTCTTTTGTTTTGCTGCGACCACATCCAATCAACTTCAGATCTTTACGGAAGGAGCTTGTGGCTTCTGTCTCAGAATAATTTGCATGGCGCTAGGTGTACCCGGGTGGGACTGCAGCTCCAGGAGCTCACAAAGAAAACAGCGAACCCAATGTTTAGCGGTTATTTACAACTATTCTGAGTTTCACGGAATGTCCAGCTAGAGGGCAATTCTGAAGCGTATTGGCGTTATTTTATCTCCAAACAAGAAACAATGCTTTGACCAAAAGGTGCATCTTGCTCAGGAAATCGTTTCCCGAAGAGTTCAACACCTCACGGCAAAATCTCCTTCCCCATCCAATCCCAACACCTCCCTCTCCCCCCTTCGGCCTCAGATGGCAACCCCACAAGCACCTCCAACAGCTTTTCAGCCGCATCAGCCGGCTCCAGCATTACCCTGCTTCCCCAATACTCCTTGGTAAAATCCGTGTGCACAGTCCCAGGGTGCAACGCCACAGCAATGGCCCTCTGACCACTCTTCGCCCGCAAATGCAAATCAAAAGTCTTGGCCAGTTGGAAGACAGCTGCCTTGCTTGCACGGTAGGAATACCATCCGCCCGAGGCATTGTCCGATGTTGAGCCGACTCGAGCAGCCATCATTGCATAGAGGGAATGTGAGGGTAGCCACAGTGGTCCTGGGGAGTTGATTGCAGAACTGGCTTCTATTGTCGGGAATTCTGGTGATGATTTCAATGGGATGAACTGGGAAAGGTGCTTCATGAGTAGCAATGGGCCGAGCGAGTTGACTTTGAAGCTCTCTAGCGCATTGGCAGAGTCGATTTTACTGGGTGACTTTTCCGCATGTAAAATCCCGGGGATTGTTAATCCTATCCTAAGTGGTCTTTTCGGATATTCCTGGCGGATTGTGTCTGCCATTGCTGATATCGTAGACTCATCTAGACAATTGGTTAGCCTTGCAGCGCCGAGAAGAACATACTTTCGGGGAATTGAATTTATCTCTTTTACCTGTTACATCAACTTGGAGAATGCGGAGTCTCTGCTTTGCATCTTTAGGTACGCCCTTGCTTGAAAGTAATCGTTCTTGAAGTTCATTGCAGTTCTTACGGGCCGTTGCGATCACAGGGAGCTCGGTCCGGGTCAGGAGCTGTTGTGCGAAGGCAAGCCCCAATCCTCGTGAGGCAGGGGTTACTAACGCAAATCCATGGGCTGCTGGTAGCATAATGTATTTGCTAGACCAGTTATAAGTTGTTATGAGAGATAATGGAAGGAATTACAACATGGAGTAGTCCTGATGTCCAGACTACATATGACGTCACAAAGCATGTCCATCATCGATCTGATCTCCTAGAGGCTTATACATAGTGAGCTTAGTTTAATGCAAGAACAACAGCCGATTTTGGCTACACTCAACAGTTGTGATTAATCCTTTCTTAGATTGACTACATTTCTTCCAATGCCCTCAAATACGACCAACATACCTCAACTCTTTCCCTCCAGATCATTAAAGAAGACCCTGCCAAACTCATCGCTGCTATCATTGAAACGAAGCTTCTTGTTGAGTTTCTCAATCTTCTCCATGTCCTGTGTGCTCAGTTTGAAGTCACCTTCCAGGTTGGCCCTGATTCTCATGGGTGTCTTGGACTTCGGCAGCACCGAGTGGCCCTGCGTGACTCCCCAGGCTATAAAACACCATACAGTTAGCGCCATAAAAACTGAATTCAGGCAGATCACACTTACCAAGAGCAACCTGGGCGCCTGTTTTGTTGTACTGCTCGCCTATCTCCGCTAACACAGGCTCCTCGATCAGCTTGCCGAGTCCGCCCTTTCCCTTCTCGCCATAGATACTGTTCTGGTTCCCAAACGGCGAATAGTGGGTGACATGTATACCATGCTCTCGATGCCATTCTGTAAATTCATGCTGCTGCAGCCACGGGTGACATTCCATCTGGTGCACAGCGGGAACGATAGAACTGTTCTTCACCAGGCGCTCCATCTCAGACTTGTCGCAGTTCGAGACACCGATCGCCTTCACCTTTCCGGTTTTTAGAAGCTGTTCCATTGCTTTGTAGGTCTTCTTTGGTGTCAGCACACTTGCGTGCATGGATCAAGAAATGGGATTGCAACATACGTCGAGGATGTCGATATTCTCCATAATCGGCTTTCCATCCTTCTTCGGAAAGAGATCCTCGCCTGCTTTCCAGGCTACAGGCCAGTGCATCAGGAACAAATCAACGTATTCCATTCCCAGATCGTCCAGAGATTGCTGCAAAGCTGGTCCCACATCGTCTGGGTGGTGCTTGTTGTTCCATAGCTTGGTTGTGATGAAGAGCTCTTCGCGCGGGATGCCGCTTTTCTTGACGCCTCTGCCGACAGCCTTCTCGGTTCCATAACTAGTATACGGTTAGTATCGTAAATTGAACTTGTTGCTTGTTTCAGTCGGAAAACAAAGCTACTTACACGCGCGCGGTGTCGATGTGACGGTATCCTGCCTTAAGTGCCTCTGCTACGGCCTCTTCCTGCGCACCCTCATCCTGCCAGGTACCGAATCCAATGGCTGGTATCTCTGCCCCAGTGTTCAACTTCCATTTTGTAGGCATCTTGGGTTGATCGATATCAATAATGATTTAACTGTTTATGTGCTGCTGTGACCTCCAGTTGAAATTTAGAGCAATGCAGAAATGAATCAGAAGATTGACCCTATTCTAGAAGACACGTCAAGGTGACGAAATTCAGATTTGTAGTTACTTGGAAGTTGCTGAGGTTGATGACATTCAAATGACGTCTTCGAAGTCTTATATTCAGTGTCACTGAAAAGTGCAGAATACGAAGTCTAGGACTGTGGAACATATTCAATTGGCGAGCTTGCAGCTTTTGAAACGTATAGACAGAAAATCTAGCTGCGTTACAATGATCGCCTAGGGTCTCATTGATGGATATGCTAACCATATGGCGGTGAGGAGGGTCCGTCTTCGTTTGGTACCCTGCCTTCCACTAGCTCTGAGGACAAACACACCTCACTACAACATAAACGCCAACAGTCTTCGCCTTGCTGGGTCAGAAATCATGCGTCGACAGTTATCTTGTATTCGTTACTAGGGTGCTTGATCTTACCATCAAACCCACTTGTGATCCATTCCCACCAGCAACTCCACATTACGCACCAAGCAAGATAGGATGCTGTTCGCCTGGAACTTTCCGGGCGCCTAACACTTGTGTGCTGAGAGTGTCCGCCTCCTACAATCCAATTTGTCCCTCGTGTTGCTAAGTTGGTCATGAGGAAGCTATCGAGGCGCTCTTCGCCCAACAACCTTTGATAGTTGTTCAAAACCCGAGGCCCAGGCCTTTCGTCATCCTGCAAGCAGTCGTGACGCCGGTCTATCGATGCGAAAGACCACACAAGTTACTGTGCATGCATCATCAAGATTCAAGCATGGAAGGCACTAGGTAGAACCATTGCCAAGCAATCCAGGTCATCTTCATTCTCGCAGCAGTGAGTATCGCTACATGGGCGCCTCCAAACATCTCTTCTTTGGTTGGCCATTCCACATGCAAATACAATTCCCTTCCAACGATATCCACTTCAACTCTCGGCCCTGCTGTTTCGCCGATGTTTGATGCCAAGACAAACAACATCAAAGGTCGTACGCGTCTACCGTAGCTTACCGCATTAGTTTATATAGCCAGCTCCACCCGCAAAATTTTTTCTTTCCTTCTGCATCGCTCGGAATTCTCCAGCTCTCACTTTTTCCTTTGTTTTTATTTTACTCAGCTTGGACTGTGTCTAATGATGACACACACTCCATCTATGCTCGCAGCCTGAGGTTGATCCCAGGGCTGCAAATGCTCAGTTTCATAATTTTTAAAAGGTAAGGAAAATCTTTTTTTTCTCTCTCAATCCCAATCCCCTGGGGATGATTATATTATAGACATGCAAAGGCATTCCTCAAGCAGAAGATCCATGTTGAATCTGTCATACTTTTAAGTTTCAGCCTTGTCTGACCCATCACAACAACATCATTACCTTATAAGGCATTAATTGAGTGATCCTTGACTAACAATCTCTCGCTCAGGTACATCACACTTGCATTCAATCCCATCACTCTATTGCGGCTGTTGCCTTGCATGAAGAAATTTGAACGAACGGGCGGACATAACGTACCCATCTCCCGCATCCAATAAAACCAGAGCGTACAAACTCTGTGGGTGTATGGAGGTGGATTACTTGTTGAGAATTCGTCACCTGACCCATTGCCCTTATCACAATTATTTCATGTCGCATCGACAATCAGAGACCAGTATTTCTAACAGAAATTCTAGGTAATTCATCACTCATCTCTCTGCCCTTTCTCGACATGGTCATACTTTATATGATGAATGTGTTATTCACACTGTTGGACTTGGACTTCGGTCCGGGAATGAACATTTATACAAAAATCTGATTTAATGAGGTATGTGGCTCCTATGGATCGGATAAATCGTATTTCATGCTGACTGACCTTAAGCCTGACTTAGATGCCATGTCTTGATTTCACTTTTGTCTCATGCTTTTTTGCTTGAACGCCATCGCTGACTCGACATAAGTGAAAAGAATAGGATACCCATAGGTAGACCATTTTGCTCGTTGACCGTGAGTTTACTCTACTTCCATACCCTACCTATTGCATGATGAAAACCAATATGCTGTTCTATCTCTGAACTATCATGTTGATAAAATATTTTCACCTTGGAGAACTGATCTTTTCCTTGACTGCCATCAATTCACTCACGTCGTGATATGATCAATTGCTAATATGCATTACAGGAGCCAATGGCCATTTTATAATAGCTTAACACCAAATAAAATTCTTTTCTCTTGAACACGTTCACATTCGTAGTTTTTAGCCTTGCCGCTTAGTCTCCCGTTGCCATCTGGTAAATCCCTTTCTGGGTCTTGCTCCCATGCGCAATGTCATTTTCCTACTCGATGAACAAACCATGCTTCTTGTGCCATCCCTCAAGACTATCATCACCATACACCTCGTGCACACTCTTCTTTCCCTCCGGCCACCGCGCCCACGCCGGCTTCGATCCACTCATGATGCACACCATCTCGTCTGGCACCGGCAACTCTGTATCGATTGCAGAGGCAAACGGATGGATCAATTCAGGCCAGTGGTGGTCCCAAAGCCAGAGCATAGTGCTGCAGTTAGAGCAGAAGTTCCGCTCGGAGGAGCAGACCTTTTCATCTGGTGTGCCACGGTCTTTGATGGCAGAGTATTTCCTGGTCATGACGTTAATATATATGGGGTATAACATGATTCGTGTATTTGGTGTATGGAATGAGCTGTTTCTCAGTAGACATTGTGCTCGTGGGTGCAAATGAGTGGATATGGATGGGTCGTACTTGATCAGATCTTTGCCCTTGATGATATTCAAGCTATCGGCGATACCGCCTAGGTTCACAGCGCCGATGTGTCCGCCTACTTTGCGACAGATGCTACAGGCGCATAACTGGTAGGGGACGGGTGTTTGGGACTGAAGAGTAAATTCAACGCCACCGCATTGGCAGCTTCCTTCGAGGTTCCTATAGACCGCTGTTAGTATGGCTGTGTCGGCAATTCAATGCAGTTACAAAGCTATACATACATAGGCATGATTTGATGTTTGTTTGATAAGTCAATGAACAGAAAAGTGATGTAAATGAGTTTGTTGGGGAAAAATTTGGGTTTATGCAGTTTTGAGAGGTGGTACTCGATATATATACTTCGCCAACTGAGGGGAGAATCCAACAACAAAACCGACAAAACAAGCAAACCGCACAGGCCTCGTATGATCAAAGAACATATCCAACTGCACTTAACCTGTTTTCCATTAATAAACCTATATCCGAGCGCCCGTGTGCTGTTCCCCGGACGCCGGAGTGATCTCATGCATCATCGATTGTATCACGTAGCTGTGATTGGCTGAGCGGGTGTTTGTCTAGTTTGTCCTGTTTGCACCAACAGGACGCGGTCTACCAGCTCGGGGATACTCGAGAAAAGCTCCGACGTACCCGCCAAGCCTACTTGATTTTTGGGTATGCCCGAGGTTTCAAACCTGACACGTACCCAAAAATATTGACAATATAATCACAACGCTAAAAGTTCCAAGGCTATTTTCGGCTGAATAAATTCCGCCCTGGGTTGCCGCCTGCCGCGTAGGGAGCTTGGCGGAAAGGAGTCTGCCACTAGATCCCGCTCTGATGCTTCTTCACAAGTAGGTAGCTATTTGAATAAAAATCATTTTCAATCAGCCAGTTTAAGGCTCTGAAATGGCACTATATACCTGGAACCAACGATAGAAATTGCAGGATTCAAGAAATGACTGTACCCCTTTCACGATTGTGGGAACTCTCGATGAGTGAATTCACTTCGAGTTTCTCAGGATCAGCTGCAATGCCATCTATGCTGACGATGAATCCTAGGAGCTTGGGCTTTTTTTGGGGCATCCGCGGGCCATATGTCCCGCTCTTTGCAATTGAGACATCGGCATTTCGACGTTGTGAAGTTCCTATATGAGCATGGAGTTATTATCCATAAGACCACCATTGATGGCCAAACTCCAATTTACGCAAACATGCCGTAGCGGCCATCTCCAGTTGTAAAATTTCTATACGGGCATGGCGCAGACGCCGATATTTCCATCGGCAAAAGGGATGTTAGCTCGACCCCGTTTAGTGTGGCTTCAGAGAAAGTCCATATCGAAGTTATAAAGTTCCTATCTAAGCATGGCGCAGATACCGACATCTATAAAACACTACCAATCCTGACGATTCGATGCAACGCACACAATAAGTGGCCAGCGCTAACAGCGGCAATGAAGAAGAGGACGAGGAAGCATAGTGTCTGTTTCCGAGACTATAGCAGTATGTAAAGCGAGCTCAATCAGGCTAATGAGTACATAATAACTATCACCTGGAGATGCAACTTGATCCCGAATTGGCAGTCGTGTAACCACCCTGCAGTATAGCCTATCAAGTGTATATTCATTTTTTTTTTCATAAGAAAAGTCCTAAGTAATAATCAAAACGAAAGTTATAGAAATACCCAGTCCTAAAAATGATTACCAGAAGCAGTGGCTACTATCGAATCTGTATAAAGTAACTAATATATGATGATATTTGAAGGAGGCGGAGGGCTGAACTAAGAAGCCTCGCCCCCGTAGCCTTGATCACTCATTTGCTCTTTATATTGCCCTTGTATGTGAGAGAGGGTACAAAGCATAGAAATATTATTCATGGTTCACATTGTTTTTCCAACTCGGTAATCAGTCGCTGATAAACAACATTGAAGCTTAGATATCACAACCGTAGATCAGCAATATTGATATCATATAAGAGATAGAGCGATGCAAATGATTCCATTTTGGAGATGTACGCGTAACTCACAATTCCATATAGTATAACCAGCGCCTTTGATTCTGTGATACATGAACAACCTTCGACGTATTGAGGCCATCAAACTACCTTTGATAGCCGAGTAAGTCCAATTGACAAGAAGGCTCCTATGTAGCTAGTCTGATGGAGATAATGCAACCGCCTTAGAGGGGATAGATTTATGTAAACAATTCTCGTAAGTAAAATGGCCTGACGGGATTTCCATGCAGCCCTGTCTAAGGCCGTCGTATAGACGTAAATATCCCTCGTCGTTGATCATTAGCGAGATACAAATATAGAGCTATTCCGTTCAATATTGAGAAGTAACATACAGTCTTCTTTCTCTCATCTACCTGTTCAGTAAGTTGATCGAATACCGACAAAATGTATAGGCTAATTCAAACATTTCGGGAAAGGACAAAATGCTCTCCCATCAGAGTGTCTCACCAGCTATCTATGACAACTTTAATCGTCATGCCAACCTAAGGCTCTTCCCCCAAGAGCAGACAAACCTGAGCGAATTAGGTATCACAATGCCACCAAATCATGCGGCCCGTGTTGGACAGTTCAAGACATTCACTTTGCCCGAGAAAGTGACAGGGTCTCCTACAGACGTCCAAATGGGAAAGGATATGATCGACGCGTGGCGCGAGGATGGTATCCTGCAGGTTTCAATGAGTCCTAGACAGCAGGATCTCTGTGATAAAGCCTTCACTGCTAGTAGACGATTCTTTGCAAAGCCTTCCAGCGAAAAAGCTGCTTGTGTGGATACCCAGAGCTACTCCGGCTATATTGCTTCTGGGGAGGAGATTACAGATGGGATTGCTGATTATTCAGAGATATTTACGGTCACTAAGGATCTACCCCTAGATGAGCCTCGAGTACAAGCAAAGTGGCCTTGCCATGGTCCTTGCCCTTGGCCAGATGTTGATATGAGGACCCCTATACAATATTATATGGACTCCTTGGATAATAGCGGAGAAACACTGCTACAGCTGATTGAATATGGACTTGGTCTGGATCCTTCGACTCTGACTTCCTTAACTAAGGATGGATGGCACCATCTCCGTGCCCTTAGGTAGGCGAATTGGTTCTGATTGAAAATGACTTTCAACTACCTTGAAACTAACGTTATCACTATTATTATCATAGGCTCCCTCCAATGAATGATACTAACGGAAGGGGAAAAGATGGCCGCGGTATTGGGTCTCATACGGACTACGGCCTCTTAGTTATTGCAGCCCAAGATGAGGTTGGAGGTAAGATCCTCGTTATATCATTGAATATACTCGCTCATTATACAAGGCCTATTTGTTCGGCCCCCTGCGGCCGATGAGAAGCCGGAGAATTGGAAGAAGAGCGCTGCTGGCTTCCGTGAAGACGATGAAGGATGGGTCTATGTACCACCTATCCCGGGAGTTTTCACAGTATTCCCAGGTTTGTCTATTCTTATATGTTGAAATAATTTGAAATTGTTACTCAGAATACTCTAGGGGATATGATGCAGTTTATGACCGACTCGTACCTACCGTCCACTCCCCACAAGGTTGGTCTTAATACCCGCGAGTGCTTCGCCTTTGCCTACTTCCATGAGCCTAGCTTCCAAGCTACGGTCTCCCCAGTTGTGAAGCTTCATAATGGTCAGCATCTGGATAATGGCCAGTCTCCAGATGAGAAAATCCATTACGGAACCCACTTCACCAATATGTTCATGAGGAACTATCCTGATCGGGTAACAACGAAGAGAATTCTAAGCGAGGATCGATTGAAGTTATTGGATCTGCCTGAGCTGAGAACCCAATAGGAAAGACCACGGGCCACTCCTTAAGCTCTCTCAAGGACCTCGTACTGTATACATTCAACATCACAGTCACTTTCTCTGCTGTTCCTAATTAGGCCGATTCACCTTTTTATTAAGCTCATTGTGTGACGATTGAAGTTGTTTTTGTTTGCTTTTCGGGTTTTTTTTCTGCCTGCTCAAAGATGATTGCCTCTTTGGGAACGATTTTCGGGTTTTGAATATTGCAATACTCGAAGTAAGCGAGGGAGTGAGTCCTGGAGATTTGCATTGGTGAGATCCTAAAGAGGGCCTCTCGTCCCACCGATCCTTCCTTCTTTTCTCTTCTCTCGCTGTACTTAGGACTCTGAATGAATGACACTCTTTTTGTTCTTGATGAACTGGGTTGTAACATCCTATAGGGATACTAGGACTCATATATGGTCCCATAGCACACATATTTCAGCTAAGCGTGACACTACCCATAACTATCATATCATCGACCGTATCACGTAGCTGTGATTGGTTGAACTAGTGTTTGTCCTGTTTGTTTCTCGGAGGTTTGGATTCGCTTTCGCCGACTGATATTCACCTGCTGACCCTGTTTCTCGTCTGTACCAATCCAGAATCCTGCTGTGTTGATATTTAGAGCGGATATACGCTCTTTATTGTTGGAAATGAGTTTCGGAGCCCCCGGCGGTGGATCGGTGAACTACAAGCCATCACCGTGAGTTACATCATTCCAAGCGTGCATATCTGCGCCAGCGACATGTTGTCTAGCAATTGAACGAGATTGCGCCTCTTGTTCTACATAATTGCTGACTAAATAAAACTGTCTCCAGACCTGAGCGTGGTAGCTTTCCTCTTGATCATGAAGGTACACCAGTCCGCAGCCACCCAGCTGAATATCCCAAAGGGACTCAGCTCGACCAGCAAATAGAGAGCTAATCACAATATTGGACGCTACAGGGGAGTGCAAGCATGTCATTGCAGGGTATTTGAAGTGTATCAAGAAGAACCACGGCACCAACGATGAGACGTGTCGCAAATTGGCCAAGGAATACCTCGCCTGCCGAATGGACAAGTAGGTCAACCCAGTACACGGACATACCATATATTGCAAATTGAGGAATTGTGGCTGTTACGAATATCGGAGCAAAATGCTGATCAAGACAACTTGGGTGATTAGGAACCTCATGGCGCCGGATAACTTCGAGAACCTCGGATTGATCTTCAAAGATGGAAACGAATCGACACCGAATACACCAGCTGCAGGCGCAGCAAATCCAGAACAGAAGAAATGATATGGAAATACCAGACGTTGCATGATATTGTATGATATGGAAGAGTGGCGTTAGCCCGTGATATTCGGGTAATGCTGGCATTATTCAAGGCGTTGCACATAAGAAAATGTATTTGATACCTATTCAACACATGAAATATTCTGTGTATAAACGAGTAAGCATCGAATTCGCAAATTACTCCGTATGCCAATCTGAATCGTAGCGACACATTGATCTCGCTCTATGCGGTTCCCCGCATGAGAAACCGTTCCCGCCCAGCCACACTCTTACAATCTCCAACTCCTCCACGGAGCCCCAAGCCACCAAATGTCATCGATCGCACGGCCACCAGACCCGTGCCTTGTGGCAATTATTCTCATTGTACGCTCTCGCACCGGCCCGCGCCTCGTCTTCCACTACCCTCCGAACCCCCTCAGCGAGAACCGCATCAAGACCACCACCAAGGGCGGTCGGCGCGTCTCGCGCACCCGCACGCGATCCAAGAATACCGATTCAAGCTCGAGTTCCGAGAGCGGCTTGAGCTCCGACGAAGATGAGGATGAACGGGAAACCCAGAGCCATGCTGGTGGGAGTTCCGTATTAGCGGGTCGTCGCGCTAGCAATTTTGGCCTCGATGATCATCTCCCCGCTGCGGCATCGCCTGCTGCTGGTGAACCCCAGCGCCCTGGGTCGCTAGGCTCTGGGCGCGGCTCATCGGTCAGGAAACGGGCTGCGGCCTCCGATCCGGATGCCGAGGACGATGCGGGGACGGCGTCTGATCGGCCTGATGATGGTCCTGGGAGTTCTAGACCGCCTTGGGAGTCGCTTTTGGGTGTACCTGGGAGCGTGTGGGAGAAACTGCTTAGTCCGTCCCGATCATGGCATAAGCGGCGCTTTGAAGTAGGGATTAATGATTTGGCGCTTATTGGTTGGCCGGTCTTTGTGCGCGAGGATGGGTCATGGCGCAAGCAACGACGCAAGAAGCAGAAGAAGCCTGGTCCCGAATGGGACGGTGGGGAGTTGGGTCATAATGAGAGTGCCGAGGAGGACAAGGAGGACGAGAAATTTGTTACTTCGCCTGATCTGGGTGCTAGTGTGGCTTCCATTGCGGAGTCGTTGACATCGCCGACAGACAGCAAGCGCGGGTCAACGGGCGGACGGCCTGGGAAATCAGACGAGCCGCTTGATCCGGAGGACAAAGACCACATGACGATGTTCAATGTGGTGTTTGTTGTGGATCCTCCTTTGCTGGAGTACTCCATGCGTGTGAAGGAAATCTATGAGAATATCATCAAGAAATTTGCCAAGGCCCTTAAATGGGAGCAGGCTCGTACTGACTATGTATGGAAGGAGTCTCAACATATCCTCCAAGTGAGGAGAAGAGCACGAGAGACAAGTATGCATTCTGCGAATAGCCATCCTGCTGGAGCTGACATTAACACTGGACAGAAACATCGACCCATAACCTTTACTCCGAATTGATATCCCAGTCTTCTCTAGCTCGAGCCATCTACACGGTTTATAGTAGCATATCGGCATCAAAAATCGCATCTGTATCGCTCAGCCCGGATGTTTCCATTTCGCTCCAGATTCCACCTTTGACTTCCACACCATATCTTACTGGTCCTATGGATAAAGCATACCCAGGTCTGTGGCTCACAACGGCAGACAGTGCAACATCTGCCGACGATCCAGGTGCAGATGGAAGCAATACGCCACATCAGATCCTGGCAAAGCACTTTGCCCTACTTCTGTTAGACAGCGAAGCCGCCATTATCAAGGATGTCGAGGCGTCTGGCGGAGCACTTGCACCTGCACTTGCGCATTATATCCGATGCTCCAAGCCAACCAAGTCATTTGCACAAATATCAGTATCATCAGGAATTCCACTTTCACATATTCAGATGCTGTCAAGCCATCTTGTGTACTGGCGTCGTGCTCGCGCCATCCCCCCTATTCACCAACGAGATACATACATTGTCTCTCCAAACTGTGACCTGAGCAAGCTTGAAATAGCTACGATTGCTTACCAGACAGCATTCCCAACATACCCTAGTTTGCCCAAAATGCTTTCCACCCTCAGTGGTACCCCTCGCCCTTATAGCAACTTCATCCCCAGCAAAGACCACAAGGAGATATACTTTACCATCCTGGCCTGGCTACTGCGTGGCGGCTGGGTCACCCAGCTCCGCACCTTCGCGCACATTAAAGTTTCGCCCGAGATCAAAATGGCCGTGGAGTTGGCGATGCGCAAGGAGGAAGTCGAGCGATACCTGGCCAAGGGCAACTCAAACTCGATCTCGGTCGAGGAGGACAGCGACTCCGACGATGAAAATGACGACGCGAACTCTTCGTCGTCCTCTTCCCTTGATAGCAACGGTAGCGGAGATGAAACACCCACACCGAGTCGACTCGACCCACACGCCCAACTGCGCTCTTCTCACAAACTCCTCGATCAATCAACAGCTCTCCGGCTGTCGTCTTTCATCCTTTCCCCGCACCGCGCATCCCCACTCGAGTCTCGCTGGCTTGACGAAATCCTCTCCCGATTCTCCGACAACCCAACCGTTGAGGGAGACGAAATAGCCAGCCCGGAGATCACGCCTAACGATAACCAGGCCCTGCACAAGAAGTACTGGCCTGTCTTCCTCAAGTACTTCAATGGTCACGATGCCCTAGAGAAGATCTGCGTGCGCGAGAATCTCAAGCGCAAGCTCGTCTGGCAGGTCCTTATGCGCCTAGGCTTAGGGACGGGTCCATTGGGCGCGATGGAACTGGATGCACGTGAACAGGTGTTGGTCAGTTTTCGACATTGGTAGATGGAGTGTTCTTCTGGAGTTTGGAATATGGAGTATGGAGTTTTTCTCTACAATGATATCCCATACATCGACGTCTGTCTTTATCCGTACTTAACTTGATCCCATAGATCAGAGACACGTGAGGCATACTAGTTTCAGGGATAATACCGCCCGCTCGGCCCCGAGCGTATTAAAATTACATACCCACTCTCCCATTCCGATGGTTTCCGCGTGCCCTCAGCCCTAATCACTGCCGAAAGCACAAGCTATTAGGTAAAAAGGAATTGGGATGGTTTGAATTTGAGAATTGGATTGGATTCATTGGTGTAATCTTTATATAAAAGAGTAATAGTATTAGTAGCAGTTGGGTAGGGGGAATTCACGTGTTAGAAGAGTATACAAAATCACATTCTTTTCGCACAATCAGAGGTAATTTATTTTTACTCAAACATTGGTATTTTGTATTACGAATATTTCATCACCCCGGCCCGTATATCCGAATTAAACGGTCTTCACGGGCTGAAGAATACATGTGGGATATTCGGTAGGGCATATACTATACCCAGTAGGTATACACTAAAGTACTAGTATCTGAATGTATCCATGGATGAATAATATTGCAATGACATCTTAAGTCTCAAAAAGAAAAAACTCGACTCGAGATTCTATTGTGCGCCAATGGCCGGAGGGGCTCCGGTGGACCCCGCGATGTTCAGATGCAGCTATGTATTTTTGCTTCAAGTTGATGAACCGAATATCAGTATTATAGGTATTTTGTTGTATTAGATGTGATACCTATTGTTAGTACTTGAATAGAAGCTCTATATATAAAGTAAAAGGTCTTTGATAGAAGCTTTAGAACAAGAACGCCATAGTGTGATCCAATTGGCTGGACATATGTTGCTTGAGACCTCTGAATATCGCCACATAAGACAGCTATTTTAATCATGGGTCGCCTGAGCTGTGATTGTTATTGGGCCAATGTTATTGAAGCATGCGGCTCAATTACATGGGCTTTGAAGGTCTTTGTTGACCATGTATAAAAAAAGAGTACAATAAGTACGAGATTGATGACCTCGGCAATGGATATACAAAGTGGACATAGTAGAAGATGGTGTAGAGGGATTCATATGTGGAATGCTTAATAAGGAAGTACACATAAGGGATATACACCACCGAAGATACCATAGGATAGACAATTAGAAGCGAGTAAAAGGTACATATATCAAAGAATCTCTATAATTAATCAAAGTATTTTAATAAAAAAATTGCAAAAATTCCACAAAAAAAAATGTGCCTCAATTAATTACGTGTAAGGAAAAAACCCCGCTACCAGTTCTGCCCTGAACCAAATAATTTTTGTCTCTTCTCTCTTCTCTCTCTTACATTTCTCCGTGTTTTTTCTTCCCCTTCTCCCTTTTCGGTACCTCTCCGTCTCAAGAGAGAACCGAGACCTTCATCTTCTTACCCGGTTTCTCAAGGGACATCTTGTGCATCGCGGGAATTACACTTAGCCCTTTCAAACCCTTTTCAGCCTGACGTTGACAAGGCAGTGCCTTCACAGCGTCTTCCGTGGAATTTTTTTCTTTACCCTACACCTTACTCTTTGTTCTTTGACAACCTGTGTGCTCAGCAACAGCTGTTGAGACCACTTACCGAGAAATCGACAGCCCATTTATCAATGCGATTTGTGGTCTAGACGATCCTCCTAGTTCATACAACTCCTTCGACTACCCTTTGCGACCCGATACCCCCGCGGTCCTTCGTCTCGCTTACGCACCCGAAATCGTCTCTTCGGCACACAATTGAGAGCCTCTCCGAAAAGACGGGAAGCTGCAGATTGGTGGGGTACAAAAAGCTGGAATTTTTCCCTTTCTTGATTTCCACTTGCGCAGGTGCCATCTTGCCCCAAGTAGGTGCAGATTGATATCCAGTGCCACCCAAGGTCGTCCGGGTAAAATATCCCGCACTTCAATTTTTCTTTTCCCACACACTCGATCAGAGCTACAGCTCTCAATCCGACATGTCTACATTTTCGTACGCACAAGCCGCCAAGGGCGTCTCCGGGACACCTACCCCATCCAAGACCCCCTCAGAATCCGACAAAATCGACTCCAAACCCGAGGAGCAGACCACTGTTGAGGCTACACCGGATAACGCACCTGCCCCTGCTGAGTCTGAGCCCGTTCAAAAAAACGAGGTAGTAACGGAGGAGAACAAGGACGATGATTTCACCACCGTCACCAGCAAGCATGCCGCTAAGACAAAGGCCATTCAGTCTCGAACATCAAGCCCGAGCGTTCGCACAGGCTCAAAGTCGCGCAAGTCAAAGGAGGATGAATCAAATACCTCCAACGGCAACGCAGATGCTACCGCCGAGAAGCAGGTTTCCAGTGAGGGACAGACCGAGAAGGCCGAAGGTTCCGCAGATAAGTCTACTGAAAAGTCCGAGGATTCCGAGAAAACCGCACCACCCAAGGAGCTGAAGGCTGCTCCTCTCCCCTCAGTCAACATCTGGCAACAGAGACGAGAGGCCCAGGACGCCAAGGTCAAGGCTGTCCCCAAGTCCGCTTCTGCTAGCAAGCCCACCTCCAAGGCTGCCTCTACTGTTGATGAGTCCCAGCAAGACTCCAAGGCCGGCTCTAAGAAGAAGGGTACCGATGGTACACAGGAAGGTGCCAAGGACCGCAAGAAGACTGATGGAAAAGGACGCGATGCCGGATCAGTTCCCCCAGTAGAGGACGCTGCTGCTTGGCCTACTCCCCAAGTTGCGGTTGGCGAAGAGAAGAAGAAGGTCCAGGAAAAGACCGATAAGAGCCCCGTCATTAGACCTCATGGAAAGGAAAAGTGGACACCCGTTCCTTACGTTCCAACTGCTGTTTTTAACACCCCGCTCCCATCTGCCGGAGGCCGTGGAGGTAGACGCGCTACTCGTGGTGGCCGGGACAGTGGCCGTGGCGCCCATGGCAACGGAGCCGCTGCCGACAAGGCCGCCTCTGGACAGGCCGCCCAAGGCGCAAAGCCCACATCTGGAGATCGCGGACGTCACGAGTCTGGCACTGGACGTGCCGCTTCTCTTCCCGCGCAGTCGAGACGTTCCCCCAGCGCCGAAGCTAGTGCTGCAGCTGATGCACGCAAGGCTTCCCAAGCACCCGAGCGCGGCCGTGGAGCTCGCAACGGAGAGGAGAACACTAAGCAGGTGAATGGCGGAGAGAATGCTCCCCGCTCTCAACGTGAGGGCAAGGCCTTTGGAAGAAACCAGGATGCTCGCGCAGGTGACCGCAACCAGAAGGGAAACTTGGCTGTTGACTCCCAGGCTGCAGCACGCGCCAATGACCGTCGCTTTGAGGCCGGCTCTAAGTCGGCCGATGCCACTGGTTTCAACGAGTTCAACCGCGAACGCGGAGAGTTCCGATCTGAGCGTGGAGGTCGTGGATCTAACCGCGGCCGCGGCGCTTACTCCAACTTCGGCGGCCAGAACGCCCAGTTCAATGCTATGTCCAACTCATTCGGTGCGCCCAAGTACTTCAATGACCGTCAGCGGTCACAGCAGCATGGCCTCCCCAATGGATCTCAACAAGGAAACCGTATGCCCCTCCGATCGCCCTCTTTGCCCACTCCCGCAAACATGTACGGTGTTGTTTATCCTTTCCCAGGTGATATCAACGCGATGTATGGCTACGCACCTGCCCCGATGAACGCCGTTCCCTACCCGCAGCAATTCGTTGAGCCTTTCTCTCTTATGAACATGCTCACCATGCAATTGGAGTACTACTTCTCCGTTGACAACATGTGCAAGGACATGTTCCTTCGCAAGCAGATGGATTCTCAAGGCTTTGTGCCTCTGAATGTCCTCGCCAGCTTCAAGCGTGTCAAGTCCCTCACTGAGGACTTTGAGCTCCTCCGTCACGTGTCCCGTCAACTCCGCAGCGTTGAGTGCCAAACTGGTGAGGATGGCGTTGACCGCTTGCGCCCCAGAGACAAGTGGCAGCAATGGGTCCTCCCCGTGGACCAGCGCGAACCTGCCGCCCAGCATGACGGTGCCGCCCCCGCTAGAAAGACCGACGAGAACACCCCGGTTCACAGCCACTCCGAGAACGTTATTAACGGATCCGCTCCTCAGTTTGTCCCTAACGGAGTTGCCCATGATGTCAAGACTTCACTTTCGTCTACTGCCCCCGAATTCATGCCCTCATTGCTACCCACCGCAGTGAACGAGATTGCCAATGTAGGATACCCTTGGAACCCCCCTGTCTCCCTCGAATCCCCGACAACTTCGTTCTATTCGCCATCTTTGCCTTTGCCCGTGAATTACTCATTTATTGACAATTCTCCTCTAGCGCGCGGATTAGATTCGCCGTCCGAACTTCGTTTCCCCTCTGATTTGGATCCGACGGTGGCCCCAGTGAAGTATGTTGAACTCTTTCTTACTTGGTATTTATCTTATGCGAGACATTGACTAACAGTCTTACAGCTTTGGCACAGATTACTCTCAACACCAAATGGCTGGTGCTGATTCATTCATCAACAACTCTTTCGCCGAAGCGCATCACCCGGCGCCCAAGTCGAATGGGAAGGGTCGTTCGTTCACAGAAACGTCGAATTATGTCCCAAACACTTTCAATATGTCCCACGAAGAAAATTTCGATCGCCGAGCCCTACAGGCAAGAAGGTATAGCCTTGGACTGACCCAGCCATACCAATACTGGTCGTTCAGCTTGACAAAACATTTCAATTCGCATTTGTACAATGAATTTAGGCGTTCAGCCCTTGATGATCTTTTGACTCGACACATTGACATCGGTTTCATCGAGCTCATGGAATTTTATCGGAACTGTCTGCTTAACCGTCGCCACATTCCCGACATCGTGGTGTACGACTTGATCGGTCTTTCACAGGATCAAAAATCGCACTGTCACACCCTCGTCTCCAATACGATCCATGAAACCATTGCCAGTGGAAAGATGACCTCAAAGAACCGGGGTAAACTCAGCAAATATTTCAATACCCAGCACGGCGAGAAGGCCTGAGAAAAGTTATCATGAGCCCTTTTTGCATTTTTTTTTTCCTTCTTGAATTTTGCTTCTTTGCGACACGTCTACTTCCTGCTGCTTGTTCATCCTTCATGGCCAACATTATTCTTTTTTTGTTCAAAATGCTCTTTTTGCATGCATATTCACCAACTTTTCTTCTAGAGTTTCAAGTGACCCCTACATTTCAATAATGCGGTCTGGCTTCTCGGTCAACTCGAAGCTTCGGAGTTTTCTCATCTCCTTTTTTCTGTTTTTCATTGCTTTTTAGTCATGGGAGGTACTCAAAACGTTCTGGCGTCCGGGCATGATTTTACTGGCCGTCCCTCTTTCTTTCGATGCTTGCCCCTACGGTGTGCCGGGCCCCCAAAATTCGTTTTCTTCCCACCCTTGACATAGATATTTCCACTACTTTTCTTGTTCCCCTAAAGTTGTGGTTTTCCTTTATCGATCCAGTCAATTTCCGATCCAGGCCTTTCATCGGTTCTGGATCTTAACAAGTATCAGCATGGCACCAACCCAGAGAAAAAGCACATTTCTTAAAAAAAAAAAAAGTCTTGTCTGAGGTTATCTGTGTGTTTCGAGTTTCGTTCATGGTGTCAATCGGAGAAAATGAATCCAGCATATCTACATTGCCGATCTCTTTTATGGGTGACCGTCCCTTGGGTATATCCAGTTCTTCTTTCGACAACTCTTCCGAAGTGGATCGATCCATTTCAGTGCTTTATTCTTCTGTGTAATCTCTGCACAGAAGATCTTGTTTTGTGTACTTTGTTATTTGCATAACTGGGCTATTCAGCTTTTTGTGGAGTAATATGATTGACATGATTGATATGTATACTATGTACTCTAGGATATTAAACTTGTTCTGTAAGGTAGCTGGATAATGTTAAAAGATGTGTACGATACTACATGATGAGAGTCATCTATATAAGGAAGCTTGGAAGTAAAAGTCGCGTCTGATGGAGCGAGGTCGATCATTTCTGCCTCAGGCAGAGAGACTGAGGCAGAGAGATCTTAAACGGAGATAATTCAATCCCGATCCGGCTCTAACAGCTCCCTTTCCCCTCTCTAGCTCTGTTCCAGACGTCAAATCCACCGTTCTTTTCATTTAAACATCTTTGCATCTAAACCCACATTGCCAAGATGGAGGGTGCATCCCGACAAACGTCACGGCTACTCCGGCCTCGTGGCCAGAAGCTCCTTCAGCAACGTCTCACACGAACCTCCACAGTCAGCACCACACCCTTCACCCCGATTCAGCGACGGACCCTGTCAAATTCTTCTCGGTCTCTTGCCCCAGAGTCTCTTTTCAACAGCTTGAAAAGTGGCGGCTCATACAATGAGGGACCCACCAGCTATTTCTCCAACCGCCAAACCCTCCCCGCGAACACCGTTGTGCGATTCGTGCCCCAACAGACAGCATGGATTGTCGAGCGCATGGGAAAGTTCGACCGTATTCTAGAACCAGGTCTTGCGATCCTTGTGCCGTTCTTGGACCGAATTGCCTACGTAAAGAGCTTGAAGGAGGCAGCTATTGAGATCCCCAGCCAGAATGCCATTACCGCGGATAACGTCACCCTGGAGCTTGATGGTGTGCTATATACGCGTGTTTTCGATGCTTACAAGGCAAGGTGAGTGGTTTTTGGTTGTGTGGAATTGGATCAGTCGAAATAAAGCAATCGCTAATACATCGATCGTTCTAGTTACGGAGTCGAGGACGCAGAATACGCTATTTCGCAACTCGCGCAGACAACTATGCGTTCCGAAATCGGTCAGTTGACCCTCGATCACGTCCTCAAGGAACGTGCCAATCTCAATACGAACATCACCAAGGCTATCAATGAGGCCGCTCAGGAATGGGGTGTCGTCTGTCTTAGATATGAGATTAGGGATATCCACGCGCCGGACGCCGTAGTTGCTGCCATGCACCGTCAAGTTACTGCTGAGCGTTCCAAGCGAGCTGAGATCCTCGAGTCTGAAGGTCAACGTCAGAGTGCAATCAATATTGCTGAGGGTCGTAAGCAGTCTGTTATTTTGGCTTCTGAGGCTCTGCGCTCTGAGAAGGTCAACCACGCTTCTGGTGAAGCCGAGGCTATCAAACTTAAGGCTGAGGCTACCGCGCTAGGCATTGACGCTGTTGCCCGGGCCATCCAGGAGGGTGGCGAGAATGCTCAGAACGCTATTAGTCTCAGCGTCGCTGAGAAGTACGTTTCGGCTTGGTCGAACTTGGCACGCGAGGGCACAGCTGTTGTTGTTCCTGGGAATGTTGGAGATATGGGTGGCATGATTGCTAATGCCATGGCTGTCTATGGCAAAGTCAGCGAAACACAGGCCCGGAGTTTGGCTAAGAAGTCTCTTGGAGTCGAAGACAACTCTCAGTCATCGGAGACACCACAAAACAGCCAGGCGCCGACATTTTTTGAGGAACAGGTTGAGCAGAACACCGCCTCGAACATTGCGGATGAGGGAATTGAGATAACCGCCAACGAACACAAGAAATAGGCGTCTGTACTTCATCCAGCCGACACGCGAACGACGATTCCTCTCCTGATGTGACTTTTATTCCCTCCACTTTTCCTTTTTTCTCGCACGCCACTCTGCTCTTCCACATTCCTGGATCGGGCTTACATGTATCCACCACTTCCTATTTCCATTTCTTACTTTTCGCGCTCTTACTACCTGTTCTCTTCCCATTGTTTTCTGGCATTTATTCAGGAGTCTTCCAAAACGCACGAGCTTGTGCATGTGGCATCGAATTCGCCATATTGGTTTCCTGTATGTGTACATAAAGGGATTGTTGGTGATCAGGGAGTCTGCGAGGAAGGAGAATATCTCAATGTACAATTATTATCTTACGTTGCCTTCAAGGAGTTGTCCCCTGTGAGATATTGGATGTAAACGGTGGACCTGTGAATTTCTATTTACGTTCTCCCATCTGTGACACATCCTGGGAAAGCCCTAGCACGTTGTGTGACTGGATAGAAGAAGCTGAGCATTAGACGACCAAATAACATTTGATCGTCAACAGATATTTTTTTTCCGGAGCAAACCACACGAGTCATTCCTACAGTAGTGAGGCTCATGTGATCTACTGTACGAGGTCACAATGATCCCAGAGGATCGATCACTCGTTTACCTAGGTCCAGAGCGACATCGACGGGTCATACGGCTCGGTCATTTTCGTCAGTTACACAGGTTCTCATGGCGAGCTTATCAATTTGCAACAGATATCACAGGCAAAATGGAGGTCACTAAAACAACTTTGCAAGTGCATTGCCAACGGCTCTTAGTTAAGAAAGTAGTCTCCTTCAAACCAAAGACAGACAGGAGAGAAGACGTACCCGGAAACAAAATCAAGCAGCACCCGATGGAGGAATAGGTTCAATATCAAACCTGATCTCAAGTGAACAACTCTTCTCCCAGGTCACAATCCTAGAAATGTAATACGTACCTCTAGGAAAAATCTCCAACACCAGATAAACCGCACACCTCCCAATGCGCGTACCCAACAGACCCTGGTACTCGGGTGTATTGTACAGCCAGATTTGCGGATCCTTAGAAACCGGAGGCCAAGTGAGACCATTGCTCGGGGAATAGAGACTATTATGCACGAACATGCCAGTATCGATATTGACAATATCACAAACATAGAAGTGTCGCAATGTTTGGGGGTCAGCAGTCTCCTGCATTTGAGCTCGGGCAATCTGCGAAAACTGAGGCCCGTCAATTCTGAATATTGCCTCGGCAACGAGAAGTCCCTTTCCAGCTAGGAGGGTGTAGATGTTTTCGGCACCAGCAATCCCGAGAGCACCCTTGGCGTCGGTTTGGGCTGCGGAATAGTCGTAGATTGCTTCATCGGCGTATCCGAGCGCGACGGCGTCTTTGGAAATTTGCGTTGGGAGTCTGCGCTTTTCAGAATCGATGTACCAGTTTTCTGCTACGAGGTCGTCGATGGTTAGGGTGCTGGGTTGGATTTGGCATGTGGTGTCTGTTGGGTCTTCGAGCCATCGTTGGCGAATAGCTCCTGCGACTTGGATTTCGCCATATCGTTGTTCTGGGGTGGAAATTGCTGGGGGCGTTTCTGGAGTTGGGATTGGAAGTACTGGGGGAGGAATTGGGGGAAGCAATGGCTGCTTTGAAGGCTCCATAATGGTTGTTTGTTGATGGGTTGAATGAGGATGAGGATATTAATAGTATGTTGGGGCAGTGTTATCAGGTTGAACTTGTTTACACATTTCATGCAAAGAAGAAGATGGACAATGACAACAATGACTCGGCAAGGAATAAGGACAAAGACAATGTTGACGACTGAATCATAGAAGGTTCCGCCGAAAGTCACGACAAAGATGAGCCACTCTGTTTCAGTATCTTTGTGTTCCTTTGTGGAAATCCATGTTCAAATGAACAATCCCAACTCAGATGACAATAAAAGCCTGGGGATTTCCACCTGATCGAGTCTTTCTTCCCATCTCTCACCCACCAGCTTTATATCAGAGGGTTCACGTCTTTAGACCATCACACTGTCTGATTCTCACCCACAACAATGTCTTTCACCAAACCCAACCACCTGACCTACGAACAACATTTCGAGCGTGACTGCGAGTATTTTCAGAAAGCCTTAGAGAGAGAGGCGTACTCGCTCCATCATTTGGAAGATCGCCGGGCAGAGACCATTCAAGTTATTTGTGACTTGATCGTTCAGTTGGAGATCCTTGGATATCTTGCTGAGACTATGGCCAAAAAGTCCCCGATGTGTCCAACGGTCCTGATTAGTCCTCCTGGTTATTTCCTTGGTGAATTCCAGCAGTTCTGTCGTGCAAAGATTCTGCCTGCTTTAGTTAGGTCGCTAACTTACCTTAGAGAGTCGACCACTATATATCGTGATATCAACTACACAGTTGCTGGTCAGCTGGAGGCGATCCATGAGGACTTGACTTTTATCTTGGATTGTCGCGAGTAGCCAGACTGTGTTGGATTTTGTTTTCTTTGGTTCTGCTGAGGATAGAGTAATCTATTTGACTTGGATGCATATATGCTGCTCAATAAGATTGTCTCAAGAGGGCGTGGCCTTTGGGTAGTCATAAATAGTCCATTGTATTGGTTAGATAAATAAAATGGTTCATCATGGCTCATATTTGAAGTTAATGTCATAGTTTAAGAAGATCTTTAGCGTAAGATATGTCGTTATCAGAGTAGTTGGTGTCTATAAGCTTGCAATTCGTCGCCTACGACGTACATGACCTGTTTGGCTCTGCTTTCGTGTCTCTTGTAGTGTTGCCTCTAATATATACACCATTTCCCATTCCCTGGCTTCTATATATATTGCATGTGAGATTGATTAAGTGGATAGATTACTCAAGTGGCGGTCGATACATCACATACTCATTTTCGAGGCGGGATGAAGAGCTATATTTGTACTTTCAACTCCATATCACACTTCAATTCGCCAGCAGTTGACTACCAGGCACACCGTATACATATTTTGAGTAGAACAGGCCCAAAAATCCAAAAAATACCGTCAATCATAAAAATACTTAAGTGTTTCACTGTCGCCGATCTACTGCCGCTTCCCCCCACTTCAACCAAAGTCTACGAGTGTTGGGTATTTTAATCCCTCCCCTTTCCCTCTTTTCTCTTTTATTCTTCTACATTTCATCTCAAAACCATTATCATCATGTCTAGCTCTGGTCGGGGATACACTACTAACAGCTCCGGCACCAACAGCCAGGTATGCTCCCCAATTTCCCATCCTGAGACAAGATAGGCAACATCTTTGTATCAAACATCAATATGACACTTACAAATCTTAAGGGCAACCACTATTGCTCTCGCGACTACGGCAGCAGTGCGTCCAACTCCAACAGCTACCACTACTCCAACAGGTAAGTACTTTTGAAGCTGCCATAGGGAATTGAAACATCTTGACTGTTTCTAGTAATGGATCTTACTACTACTCCAACCCCAATGGAAGCACCTACTACAACACCGGGTCGGGAAGCTCGACCTACACTGCCCCCTCTGGAGGATCTGGATCCGGTGGATCCGGCAAGAAATAAATTTTTGATATAAGTCAGACATATGATGAATGATTAACTTGTGAATAACCAATGCAGATTTTGCTTTATAAATATGTTGTGTTGATGTAGTTGTATTAAGCATATCTAGTACTCTCTAGGGCTGTAAGATAATCTTCACTCAATGCTCACATAGAAGTACTTGTCTAACCCTTTAACCACCTATTTCATAGAGGTTCTTTTTTTAGATGATATAATCTGTATTTTACGGCTTCTTCACTATCATCGGGAGATTTTGGTCTTTCACCCCTCCTTCACCAAGATATGACGCCCAATGACACTGAGACCCTCCAGGACTAACATGACTTTATAATTGAACTAGGAACATGGCATATACTGATTCTTCAGGAATGTTTGATCTTCATATTCTTACTATCATTCATTAATGACAAGGCAGTCTAAGTATACATCAAGTGACCATACTTTCTGGTATATAACTATGTTTGCCCTATAACACTTTGTTTCGTGAAACCAGTAAGCAGAAAAAGATACAAGATAAAGCGTATAAAATGACAATGTTACCCCTTAAAAAAGAACATCAATAAGTGCTAGTTAACTGCTAGCCCTTACTGTAGTTCAAAAGACTATTAACGCGGGAGCTCGGACCAGGCAAATCTGGAGCTCGCGACTTTTTGGATTCGCGCCCTTTTAATCTCCGGTCTCATCTTTCATTGAGCTTGATATTTTTTTTTTTCTTTCTGAACTCTTGTGAGGAATTCCTTTTGGCTCTTTGGTGCCATGTTACACGTCAAATTCATTTAATTGCCCTAAAAACCAGCCGCGATCCGACACGCCGGGTTCCCCTCCTCTCGGCGCCGCACATTCGTGTTGATACGTGTCGCACGACCTTATCTCAAGACACGGTCACCCAACCCTTCCAGAAACAAGCGGACAAACGTGATTCTGCTCCGGGACTGGCGCGATGCATATCATAAAGCCGGTTTGGCTTACCCATGGAGGTACGAAGCTTGATCCTGGTTTTCTTTGCTCGACGGAGACACAGTGCCTCATGAGCGCGGAATCAAACCATCCCATGAAAGGACCAAATTTGCTAACGTGATTGCTCTGATAATAGGTGAACGTAAGGATTTCGAGGTTTACAGCTGCGATGTGTCTCCAGATGGGAAGCGACTGGTTACAGCTGCAGGAGGTGAGCCTAGCCCTTTTTGCTTTGCGGTGGAAGGTCACAAAGATCACGCACCGTTGAGAGAATCCTCGCTGACATACTGGCTATCCGCTTAGATGGATACGTGCGAATCTGGTCAACAGATGCTATTTACGGCACCGGGACTCCCGAACTCGAGGGCAAGCCAAAACAACTGGCGTCCATGAGTAACCACTCAGGCACAATTCATACCGTTCGATTCTCACCCAACGGGAAATACCTTGCGTCTGGCGCCGATGACAAGATTGTCTGTGTTTATACACTGGACGCCAACCCTCCTACACACTCGACATTTGGTATGTTTTGGACACACTGGATATGGAGAGATGGAGGCAGACACTGACAGCTGCGGGAAAATAATTAGGTACCGATGAAGCACCCCCCGTTGAAAACTGGCGCACAATTCGACGATTGATCGGTCACGACAATGATGTTCAGGATCTCGGATGGTCTTTCGACTCATCGATATTGGTCTCTGTTGGGTTGGATTCAAAGGTCGTGGTGTGGTCTGGCCATTCATTCGAAAAACTGAAGACGATAGCGATCCATCAAAGTCACGTTAAAGGCATCACTTTCGACCCAGCAAACAAATATTTCGCAACTGCTAGCGATGACCGGACTGTTCGCATCTTCCGATTCACCTCCCCCGCCCCGAATTCTTCAGCTCACGACCATATGAACAATTTTGTCCTTGAACAAACCATCACAGCTCCATTTGCCAATTCTCCTTTGACAGCCTATTTCCGTCGTTGCTCTTGGTCACCTGATGGTATGCACATTGCAGCTGCAAACGCTGTGAACGGTCCTGTGAGCTCTGTGGCCATCATCAACCGTGGATCATGGGATGGCGATATCAACCTGATTGGACATGAGGCACCTGTTGAGGTTTGCTCGTTCTCTCCACGACTTTACGCAACAGAGCCACCCAATAAGAAGCAAGCCGATGGGCAGCCTGTACCCCAACACCACATTACCGTCATTGCTTGTGCCGGTGGAGACAAATCCCTTAGTATTTGGATTACGAGCAACGCACGACCGATTGTAGTTGCGCAGGAAATGGCTGCCAAAGCTATCTCAGACCTGGCATGGACTCCTGATGGAAAGTGTCTATTTGCTACTGCTCTAGATGGCACAATTGTGGCAGTCAGATTTGAAGACGGCGAGCTGGGCTGGGCCACGGAAATGGAAGAGAACGAGAAATCACTCACTAAGTTCGGAACTAATCGAAAGGGCGCCGGTATCACAGAAACCACCGACAGCTTGTTGTTGGAGGAGAAGAGCAAGGCTGGTGAGATCAAGCATGTTGAAGGGAGAATGGGTGCGCTGATGGGCGATAGTGCTGAACCTACTACTGAGCCTACTGCTAATGGAGACAAAGCCACACAGCCATCAAATGGGACCACACCTGCTCGGGCTGTTTCTCCCGAGGCTACGAAGACCCAGACGAATGGAACTCCTTCGACGCCCGCCGCTACAGAAGCAGAGAAGCCTGATCCTTACAAAGCCAAGTTGGAAAGACTTAAGCAGCGCCCTACGTACACCAAGGAGGGCAAAAAGCGCATCGCTCCATTACTAGTCTCCGGAGCTGGCGCCGGCGAGTCATCCCTCCCGCAAGCCCGTTTGATGGCATCTGTTAGTAATCAGGTCAAGGCTGACGCCCCGACTACTATCGTTGATCTGTCAAAACCCTTCGATGGTCTACCCAAGGGTGGCCTGACTGCTCTTCTTCTTGGAAACAAGCGCAAGCTGGCCCAAATAGAAGGCGACGAGGATGGAAGCGTAGAAAAGCGTGTTGCACTTGCCAGTCAAAACGGTGCAACTCCCATTATGGCCAACACTCCGGATGGCCTTCTACCCGCTCAAGTTCAATCTGCCGTGACCGGTCAACAGCCAACTCCTGAATTCATTCGTCCCGCAGTCACAAATCCTTGCATGTCGGTCAGCCAACTTCGTCTGGCAGTCCCTAAAATTCGCAGTCACATTCTCCGCGCGCTTGATTCGAGCGGGAAACCGACCGAGTCACCTGGCCCTAGTACAGACTCGAGTTCTACAAAGAGTAGGGTGGATGTGGTTTTCGAAGCTCGGAACCCATCACCAGCAAGTCTGACCGGTCGTGCTGTGGACCGCGAGCCAGTGCGCCTGACATTGTTCCGCGGAGATCAGCCATTGTGGCAGGATTTCTTACCGCGGGCCGTTCTGCTTGTGACTGGTAATCAAACCATGTGGGCAGCTGGCTGTGAGGATGGATCAATCTATCTTTGGACTCCGGCAGGTCGTCGTCTGGTAAGTGCGCTTGTTCTCGAGGCACAACCTGTTATCTTGGAGTGCAACGGACCATGGATCCTATGCATATCCTCTGTGGGCATGTGCTATGTCTGGAATGTGAAGCATATGTCTTCTCCTCACCCACCAATCTCCCTCCAGCCAGTCCTCGATGCTGCGATTCACACTCTAGGCGCCAACACCACCGCCGCTCCCGCAGTAACAGGCGCCCGCATTAACTCGGAGGGCCGTGTTATTGTTTCTTTGTCCAACGGCGAAGGATACTCCTACTCTCCATCCATGTTCACATGGCAGCGCATCTCGGAAACCTGGTGGGCTGTTGGCAGTCAGTACTGGAACACCACAGACGCACCCGTGAGCAACTTGCAGGCCAAAGATGCACAACAAGATAACAAGGATGCGAAGGCAGCTGTCGCAGCCGGCATCATTCCTTGGTTGGAGCGAAATACCACAAATGAGACCCTCCTTCGCGGAAGAGCATACTTCCTCCAGCGTCTCATCAAGGTTTTATTGTCACGCGAAGGGTATGAGACCTTTGAGTCTAGCGTATCCATTGCTCATCTTGAAAATCGTCTCGCTGCTGCTCTGTCCCTGGGTGCCAAGGAAGAGTTCCGGCTGTACCTGTCTATGTACGCCAAGCGCATCGGTGCCGAGGGTCTGAAACTGAAGGTCGAGGAGCTCCTCAAGGGTCTCATTGGCGGTCTTTTCGAGGACGAAGATGATGCCAGCGAGGGAGTCTTGAAATTGCAGGCTAATGAGCGCGAAGGCCGTAACTGGCGCGAAGGATCTGATGATCTGTGTGGCTGGCCACGGGAAACACTGTTGAAGGAGGTGATTCTAGCACTTGGTATGTTTTTGTTCTTTCCGATTTTCCTTTCTTAACGCTTCAATTACTAACGAACGTCTAGGCAAACACCGTGACCTTCAACGTGTGACAGTACCTTATGCCAAGCTACTGGATATGGTCGACACCACATCAGAGCATGGCGATGCAATGGATCTTTAATGATGTTTTCTTGCTATCTTTACCTTTCTTCTGGTTTTGCCGGCGTTCAACAAGTTCGGGGCTGGGTTAGCCAAAAGGGTTTGCATTATTTTATCTCTGCTGAGGCGAGATCCGAGATGATATATCTCAGTTGGCGTATTTGTATCATAGGTTCTCTAAGGTCGTTCTTATTTCAAGTCAACCTATTCCCATCTTACTATCTGTTCTTATAGGATCAACATTGAACTCATAACCCTCTAGGGCTTTACAGTATTACGTACGTGACACCCACTTCAGGGCTCCAGGGGCAGTGACGTCGTCAGGGCTTGACTCTCACGTGGGCGGTGTATAGCTCTGCAGGCAGAAAAATCGATATCTGGCGCGAACAGCATCAACTTTGCTTTTTTGATAGCAAAAAACACGCATTCATTTACTCCCTTTTTCATTCATTGACCTTGTCCACTACTGTGGGCAACCGCAATCACGTCTTCCACCTCTTCTATCCTCTTCCTTCGTATCGTCGATCGATCCGCAGCTGGTCCTGCATTTGGCGCGCTCCATCCTTGTTCCCGCTTCCGCCTTTCTACTTCCCCCCACCTCCCACCTCTCTTCTGTCGCTTCTACTCAAGCAAGAAGAAAAAATCCAATAAAATGCCTCCCAAGAAGCAGCAAGTTCAGGAAAAGGTCCTCCTGGGCCGTCCAGGAAACAACTTGAAGAGCGGTATCGTATGTGAGCTAGGCCCCCACCCTTTCTTTTTTTTTTCCTTCCCTTTTTTCCACACAGCACAGTCCACTTTTTAATTCCGGAAAACTATTTAAACCCCCTTGCCCCCTTTCCTCTCACTTTTTTTTTCTTCTTCTCTTCTCAACCATGGACTAACATTATGGCTTCAGGTTGGTCTTGCCAATGTCGGCAAGTCGACACTCTTCCAGTCCATCACTAAGTCCTCCCTCGGTAACCCGGCCAATTTCCCCTATGCCACCATTGACCCCGAGGAGGCCCGTGTCATCGTCCCTGATGAGCGGTTCGACTGGCTCTGCGAGCACTACAAGCCCAAGTCGCAGGTTCCCGCTAACTTGACCGTGTACGATATTGCCGGTCTCACCCGCGGTGCCTCGACCGGAGCCGGTCTGGGTAACTCTTTCCTGTCGCACATCCGCGCTGTCGATGCCATCTTCCAGGTGGTTCGCTGCTTCGATGATGCTGAGATTATCCACGTTGAGGGTGACGTCGATCCTTGCCGTGATCTGACCATCATCAACGAGGAACTCCGCATCAAGGATATCGAGTTTGTTGAGAAGGCTCTTGACCTTCTTAGCAAGCAGACTCGCCGTGGAGGCCAGTCTCTGGAGATGAAGAAGCTCAAGGAAGAAGAGGCTACTACTGCCAAGATCCTTCAGTTCCTTAAGGATGGCAATGACATCCGCAAGGGTGACTGGAACCCCAAAGAGGTATGTTGAAAATTTTTTCCTTCCCTTTCTCCCCTACCCAACTCCTTACCTGATGAATAAGAGCACTGCTCGAAATTTAACCCAGCTCGTTGAGTGCCCTCATTAAAAGGATACTCACAATCCGAGGGCACCTTGAGAATAAAAGTTATATGCTGAAATTGGAGTCCAATTCTACATGATTGCACCACTCAAACTCTTTGAGAATCTCATGCTAATTAATTTGGTTATAGGTCGAAGTTATCAACCCTCTGTTCCTCCTCACTGCCAAGCCTGTTGTGTACCTTGTCAACCTGAGCGAGAGAGATTACATCCGCCAGAAGAACAAGTACCTCCCCAAGGTCTTCGAGTGGATCAAGACCAACTCTCCCGGTGACCCAATCCTTCCCGTCTCGGCTCAGTTCGAGGAGCGTCTGACCCTCATGCACGATGATGCGGCCGCTGAGGCTGAGTGCAAGTCCCTTGGCACTAAGTCCGGTCTGCCTAAGATCATTACTACCATGCGTCAGTCCATGAACTTGGGCAGCTTCTTCACCACTGGTGAAGATGAGGTTCGCCAATGGACTATCCGTAAGGGCATCAAGGCTCCCGCTGCTGCTGGAGTCATTCACACCGACTTCGAGAAGACCTTTATTCAGGCTATCGTGTACAACTACGCTGCTCTCCGTGAGTACGGTGATGAAAACTCTATTAAGGCTGCTGGTAAGATTATGACCAAGGGCAAGGATTACGTCGTTGAGGACGGCGATATCTTGCTCATCAAGGCCGGTGCTGCTAAGCACTAAGTGCACATAGACAATAGTTCTCTTAAATGATACACTACTGTGGATGAGTCTTAATATGTTTTCCGATTGTAGATTTTTTCATCTGTAATTAAACCAATTTAATTTGACTTGCCTGGTGCAAATCATTAGCTCTGTATTCGCAAGGTTGGAGATGTTTGTGTCGTAGGATAAACCTAATTTCCTTTTTGTATGTTGTAGATGGTTCAATTGACTTGATGTTTGGAGACCACATGAAGTCCACAACAGCTCATATCTACAGCGCAAGATCATCCATTTCATTCTGTTCTGAGCCGTCTAGCATCAAGTAGAAAAAAATGTAAAGCACTCTATCAATCACGTGATCACATCCCCCGCGCATCCCACTTGCGTATCAAGAGCTTGATTCTTATATTATCACATCCTCAACCAGCATCATGTTTAAGAAAGAGTGAGTTAAATCCTTCAATTAATGTGCAGCAATCCAACAGTTGGTCTAATGACTTGATCGGAGCCCCTACCTGTCAAATGGGATCACAAATTTCCCTCCGTTTTGATGCACCGCAAAGACCGCAGGAGCTGTCCAGTGCTCCCTATCAACATATATACACCTCCTACAGGATAGATCTTGCTGCAAAGGTCTATGAAATACACCAGCTAACATCCATACTCCATCTAGTATCCCCCCAAGCAACCGGTCTAAGGTGAAGTCCTCAGTGCAGCGCGGTCTCCGCCAAAAGCTGTTGGAGACATACCCAGGCCTCGAGCCCTTCATTGAAGATATCATGCCCAAGAAAGCCTCATTGGAAGCCGTGAAACTGTACAGTCCCCGATCCCCCTTCGATTCCAGCAACCCCGGCTTTCAACATGAATCCGCCGTGCATCTTTACAAACTCGAAGCTAACAAACCCCAGTCCCGACCGCGTGACCCTCTACACAATAGACTCAACCCCCCTCTTCTTCCAACCCATTGACGGACCCCCAGTCCCTCACCTCCGCCTCATCCACGCCTACCCCACCGCCATCCCGACAATCCAGATCGACCGCGGTGCCATCCGCTTCGTGCTCTCCGGCGCAACGCTCATGGCTCCCGGTCTCACCTCGCCCGGTGGCCGTCTACCTGATGCCGAGCATGCGCTTGAGGCTGGGCAGATTGTTGGTGTTAAGGCCGAGGGTAAGGAGGAGATTTGTATGGTTGGCATGTTGAAGGTTGGAACTGAGGAGATTAAGAGTAAAGGAAAGGGTGTTGTTATTGATGAGGGGCATTATCTTGGTGATGGACTTTGGAGAATGCATTTGGATTAAAAGAATATTGATGGGATTGGGCGGGTTTGGACTGGAACTATACCTCTCTGCACGTATGATGATTACTTGTATGTGTTGGATGATTTAAATGAAATATTCCCCTGGACGAGGATCTGGATTGGTTCAATTGGTCAATTGGATAGATGGATTGAATGTAGATGGATTCTTGTATCGAGGCTGTATAGGTGTTGGGTGTTTGAATGGAGATAGATTCTTCAGGTATTGAGGCTATTAGGGTAGCTGTTAATGTACGGAGTACGGAGTAGTGCTTTGCATTGTTATATATAGAAGTAGATGTATCTGCTTTGTGGGGTGCAGCTTCTTAGCTTTAAATACCCACTTCCTCATGTTTTGGACGCAGTCAACATATCACGATGGCTTCTAAGGGCAGGAAATACCGGCTATGGTCTGACCCGGTAAGTCAATGCTAGCGAATTTATGCGAGCAAAGCAATAATTTAAGACCTTTCAGCTCGATACGAGTGTCCCGCGGCGGCAATACTGGGACTAATTCGGCCCATACTATATCGTCAGAGCAAACTTCAATGCCCAGGTAAAAGACCAATGGGTAGGAACTTTGGATGTCTCATATATGGGTCTGACCTTATCCTAGGGCGATTGGTACTGCAAGCATATGTATCGCTGTAATGCGGACGCCGAATCCTACCACTACCTCAACCTGTTAGTATTTGCCTTGCTTCCAACAGGATCCAGGAGAGTGGCGCGGCCACGGGGACTGAAATATAAAGGACAAAGAATATAATGTATTTACATTTTCTACGCAGGGAGACTGGTCCCCGATGCTCTAGGACACGATGAGTTTTCAATACTCGTGTGGTTTAACAAATACGTGAATTGTATCCTTCAAAGATCGCTTGAAGTTGAAGACCACTCTGGAATGTACCTCTGAAACAGGTCCCGGGCTGACGTCCACGCAAGCAGCTCTGGGCTATCTTGAAGAGCCCGGAGAGTGTTGTTGATCTCAAAGCGAGGGGCATTTTCTTGAACTCCCCAACGGGTATGGACACCCCATATCTCCTCCTGGAATAGCGGAAGAAAGGGATGCAGCGGGTTCGTCGCATCAGAGACACACATTTCCAGCCAGCGAGGAAATGGGATACCTTGCAGCGGGTGAGAGCACTGTCCACTGATCAGGCCAAAAGCTTCCTGAAGATCTATGGATTCTGGCTGTATCAAATTATAAGCATGGCCCACATTCTGTTCGGAGGCAGCGATTCTCAGCATCGCATCCACCACGAAATCCACTGAGGCAAACGCTTTACGCTGTCCCGATACAATGGGATAATAACCCAGCTGAAGACAAGATGACATGAGACAACCGACAAAGTCACTCGGGTTCCCTCTGCCCGTCTGACTGTGGCCTAGAACATACCCGAGACGGATGATGATCGCTGGCGAACCGTTGCGGATGGCATTCCAGACCACGTTTTCCGCCACGAATTGGCTTTGCGAATATCCCGTGTCATACTGTAGAGCCGCGATGTGGCCCAGTGGTCGCTCATCCTCCGAGACGGTTTTGGTTCCTTGGACGAATCCTGTCGGGCCATACGCGGCGATGCTGGAGGAGTAGACCAGCCGTTTTGGTCGGGAGTGATTGGCAAATCTTAACAGCTCTAATGTTCCCAGAACATTGGATGCTCGATGGCAGGAGTACGGCTGGATGTAACTGATCAGTGCCCCTAAATGGAACACCACACTCGACCAGGTTGCATAGTGATCGTACTGTTCTTGCGGAAGGCCGAGGTGTGGGAGTGACAGGTCGCCGGGGATGGCGATGATTTTGCTCTCCTGAAAACCACGTAGTTTGTACTTGTCTAATGTTTTCTTGATGCGTAGCTGAGCTGCGTGCGCGTCCTGGGCGCGAACTAGACATGCGACTTGAGTGACCTGCGGTGTAGATAGGAGTTTTGCGAGAAGGAAGGCACCGACAAATCCCGTGGCTCCGGTGAGGAATACTCGGCCTTCTGAAGCGTCCATCCAGTCGATAGTCGGTTTGAGACTGGGCTGTATGTCTTGGCCCAGCAACGAATCACGAGCTAGGTTGCTTTTTTCCTCTGCTACGTTTGGCAAAACTGCTCCATCCTTGAGCTTTTGCACCAGCTGTACAAGCTGACCAAGTGTAGAATTCTCGTATAGGGCCCCAGATCGCAGCTCAATTCCTAGCAAAGCTCGAATTCGGCCGATCATATATGCGACTTGCAGTGAGGTTCCGCCCTGATGGAAGAAGTCATCGGAGGAATTCAGGCGGTCTAATGGATACCCCAGTATCTCGAGCCAGAGCTTCTCCAGACATGTTTTCACGGAGTCAGCCTTTCCGCTTGAGTGCACTTGACTCTCACGCCTGACTTTAATCGTTTCCATATACAGCTGCTCAAGCTTCTTTCGGTCGTACTTTCCTGTCCTTCCTAATGGAAGCTCCGCGAGAAACTCAACACGAGGTGCTGGAAGGTGAGGAGCGCAGTTGAAGAATGCTTGTGCTACGGTTTCCCGGTCGATACCACTGCTCTCCGGTACAACATAGGCAACCAGGACTGAGCCCGTGTCGGCATCTTCGGGCTCGACCTTGACAACTGCTGCGGCGGAGGCGAGATTCGTGCCCAGGATAATATTTTCGAGACCCTCTAGCTCGACGCGATGACCCCGGATCTTGACTTGACGATCGCGGCGGCCGACAAAATTGTACAAACCAGACTCATCGACACATACGATATCGCCTGTCCTGTAGGCATGACGCGGAAATCCCTTCGCGAGATTTTTCAATGGAAGATGTGGAGGATTTATAAACGATTTGGCGTTGGCCAGTGGATTCCTACAATACCCTCCACCAACTGCTGCACCGGCTATTACCAGTTCGCCTTCGCTGCCCGTCGGAACTGGACTGAGATCTTCGTCGACAAGGAAGAACTGACAATTATCGATTGGCTTCCCGAGTGGAATGTGGCCGTTGTGAATATCTGCTATAGTGATCACATGCGAGATGACAAACACGGTACACTCTGTCGGCCCATAGATGTTGACTACTCGCTCCGGAGGGCCGTGTTTGAATATCTTCCGGATCACCGACACGTTGATCATCTCGCCACCGGTCATTAGAGTGTGGATGGTGGAAAATGCCCCCGGGCAGGTGTTGATAATTGTGTTTAGCAACGCAGTGGTAATAAACACGATCTCAATTCGGTCCTCCCGGAGGCTCTGTGAAAAGAGAACGGGGTCTATAACTATCTTATGTGGATAGACCACCACCGTCCCACCTCTCAACAAGCATACCCAGATTTCGAAAAGGGTGATATCGAAGACGATATTGCCGATATGAGCAAAGCGTTCGCCCTCTTGAAATGGCAAGGTGGAATCAAATGCCAAGTTGATGATTCCGCCAGCTAGAATCTGGGCGGCTTTGGGATCCCCCGTTGTACCTGAGGTGTGGAGGATATGTGAACAGCTTGATGGCCCATTGGAGGAGACTTCAAAATCCTCAGATATTTCAGGGTCCAGCGTATGGTCCACAAGGATATTGTTGACCTCTAGAGATCGACTACAATTTTTGATGTCCACTAAAGTCAGCTTGATATCCAGGTGTTTGAGAAGCTTCTGGAGGAATATATCCGGTTGCTTTGTGTCCAAGGGGACGCAGGTCCCGCCGGCATAGATAATGGCAATTTGCGCCAATATATGGTTGACTCCTCGGGGGATGGCGATTGCAATTGGAGTTCCTGGCTCCGGTGCTTCCAGTCGGATCAGCTGTGCGAGGTGGAGGGCTTTGAGGTGCAACTCCTCATAAGAGACGGAATTCCTGCCATGTTCTATGGCTATCGCTGGGCCAAGAAGTTGGGCCTGTATTTTTAAAAGAGGAGCAAGCCCAATATGCCTCAGAAACTTTGCATCAATCCTCTCACGGAGGAGAGAGGACGACATAGTGAAATCAGGACAGAAATGTGAAACACAGACCAAAGGATGCCGCCTCTGGGGTTTATAGTGGTGGTTCAGGTTATAGGTACAAGGTTTTATTGCCAATCATCCAACCTAATTATCCCCAAGAGTCTACGTCCTTTTGTTGATACTATCATTATTATATGGAAGTCCTACGTCTGTTTGGTGTGTCACGCGATCTAAACCAGTAGATTCTGGCAATGAAGAGATCAACAGATCGTGTCACCCACAATGCCTTGGTCATGATGCAATAGGAGATGTAGTATAAGAGCTAAAATCATGTTGCAGATCTTGAGCAGCAGGCTTTGTAGAATTGATATTGAATCCAGAGGCTGTTACATGAGTGAGGAGGATATCTGTGCAGGATCGTTTTGCATTTTACATATATCCCTTCAAATGTTGTATATACCTCTTGCCACGTATAATTCAGCTCATTCTGAAGCAATGTATTGTAATCTAACAGCCTAGAAGCTTGTTTTCTACATACGTCATCCCAGTTCGAAGTTAGGGCTGTTGGATAAAGTTGTGATACGTTTCACGATGGCGTTATTCAAGCCGTTACCTATCTGGGTAAAGACATGTGGGAGTACCCCGCTGCCAGAATGGCGACACCGTACAGTGGCCATCGTTGTAGCGTACAGTATATCTCGCTTGTCAAGACAGCCCGAGATTAAACCCGCTTATTGGCATTCATATCACATGCATATACCAATGGAAGCCCATCTCACCAGTGAATAAATGACAGGACTTGGACAGGGAATATGTATACCAACCGGAAATGATGAAGTGTGTGAACACATGTAAATCCGGGGGATTCTAGATCATGGCAGTTAGCGAGTAATTCCTCAGTGGTCTGCATATCACTAAGTGATTGGGCTATTTAGACTATCTCGCTCGGTTCCATCTAAAATCCGACGTTATACAGCCTCGTGTCTCTGGCTCTCTGGCTCCCAACGACCTGGTAAGCAGGGGAGGTCAATTTCAAGCATCACGACAAGGTTTAGAGGTGTACATGTGGCCTTCATGCACATATTCATGCATGATGATATCTCCAATAGTTTGGCGGCCTTCTATCATGAACCTTCACGGTAAATATATTGTCACAATATGGTGCCGCCGAGCTGTAGCTTTAGAGAAGGAACATCCTCGTGAGCGGAGATAGGATAGTATGTTACTCAGCGTAGCCTTAGGTTATCCGAAGCCCAGCATTTAAAGCAACCCAAGCTTGAAGTTTATAAAAGAACCCTACTCTTGAGGGCGATTAAGCAAAACGTGGAATTCAAAACTCTATTGGATATCCCTGAACTACTGTTGAAACATCCCATATCTATCTAGTACCTAACGGAGCCCAAAAATGGATGAGTGTCAGATTAATCTGCTCCAGTACCTGCGCTCAAAGACCCAGGTCGATATCGATAGCTTTGATGTTGACGGTATAAAATTACTTTCCGCTTCATCCTTTCTTCTAGTCCAATGCCATATGCTAATAACTCTCCCCTATCAGTGTCGGTAGAAGTCCCAGGATGTATCGATGGAACATCTAATCCGGTATGAACATTGTGCTTCGAAAATGGACGTCGGGCGAATTGACTGACTTCAATTGTATTTCTGATAGGCAGAGATCTACTGGGAGACGGTCAAGCCACGCCACGATAGTCTGGTGAAAGAAGTCCTTGCGTTTAGTGGTAAAGTGAAGTCTGAATTCTCCACGCTGAGACTAGAGGAGCTAGCATTTGAAGTCATGGTGAGCACGAAACTACAAGTGACTGATTTTTACTGCCCCTTCAATTGATCTAACTTGGACTCGTGCAGGCGATTCGGCTAGCCTTTTTTATTATTCCAAACATTATTGGCGCTGTGCATGTGATGGCAAATACGAGCTACTCGTACCATAAGGAGAAGATTGTTGAGACTGGAAAGCGTACGTTGCTATTAATGGTATACTCAAACTGTAATGACAGAAATTCGTTAGGGTTACATAAAATCTGCAATCTCCTTGATCCCACTTTTGACACCAATCGGTTGGTCATAAAGGTAGCCTCTACATGGGAAGGCCTCCAGGCTTGTCGGGAATTGGCACTTTGCGGGATAAAGACTCTGGCAACGACGGTATTTACGATGGAACAAGTCGTCTTGGCCGGTGAGGTAGGTTGTGTTTCCATCTCACCTTTCGTTCACGAGGCCAAAGCGCATTTCGATAATAAGTACGCCGTCTCTTTAAATATACCAAACCGTCTTGCTTACTGGTGACAGATACTCGGATAAATTTCCTCTTCTTCGTTTGTGCGTCCAGGCACAGCAGTTTTACAAGAAGCAGTCAATGAACACGAAAGTCAAAGCATGCGCCACGCTCTCGGTTGATGAGATCCTACAGTTGGCTGGTGTGGACGCGTTGACCATCGCGTCTGATGACCTACGCATCCTTCAAAAGAGTACTGCTTGCAAACGCCTGATTGAAAGCCAATCTCTATTTGGCGAAACTTCTGTCATTGACAGTACTGATTATCCTTCATACTTGGATGACGAGAGAACCTATCGTCATGACTTTTCTTGCAGCGATCAAGGCCAAGGCCAATACAAATTGATGCAGGTTAGTCTTCTTGATCAAGATAGAAACTACCTGTGCTAACAAGTACAACCCTAGGTGCTGGCAATATTTTCAGACTTTCAGTTCAAAGGTGAAGAATTTATGAAAGTCCACCAGCAACTGCTGAGTTAGTTTATAACGGATTTGTCAGAGGGAAAAGGTGACAATAACCAAGTTCGGATAGGTGATTCGTATATAGCAATAAGAAAGTATGTGGAATGAGAGGTAATTTTGTAAGACATGAATGATGAGAGACGATTCTGAACCATGCCGGTTAGCGGAGATTAATTTTGGCATTCTATATTGGCCTGCATAGGATTAATTGATTAGTTTGCTTGCACGGTCTATTTCAGTTCCATTCTAAACACGACGTTATACTGCAGTACTCGTTTCTCTGCTTCATAGCACTAGGGTAGGTTGCACCGAACTAAGTCTGAATCCGAGATTCCGAAGCTCATAAGATCCTTAAAAGAAAAACTAAGAATGTGATGAAACCACGTAGATACTATTTCTGTATTCACATGTTGTAGAACGTATACCCCTTCAACGGGCCTTGGCCTACTGATATTCCACTGGAAAAGGAATCCGCACGGGAAATCATTTTAGAATAGGCTACATTTGCAGCTATATTCCTTGATTATTGCGGAGTACAGTCTAGATTGCTATTGTGATTATTTTAGCCCTTATGCATGCACCATGCATGTGCTTGTATTCCCCTTTGTAGCGTAAATACCGAGTAACTCGAGTTGTACTTGAACTTGCTAGTATTTTTGATATTTTCTCATCAGCCGGATTGAGACGTAGGAGAGAATTTACGGTATTTCCTGAAGTCTACATATATTTGTTCTATTCAGCCGCTCTAATTCCAGTCTTAGGGCACAAACAAGCTTTTCCCCCTTTCGTCTCTCAGCTAGATCTTGCCCCAGTGGCTTTCATCTAGGCAGTATCAACGCCATCTACGCCCGAGAGTTACCACAGACAAAATGACTTTCAAATCATTGCCAATGAATATCAGAGGCCGCAAGCAGATTCATGTTCCCTCGCCTGCATTTGGAACTTTCAACATCGAGGGTTGGAGCTCAAGTGGTATGACATGGGGTTAAGATTAAGTGTTGATTAAAATCCGGCTACTTACTGTCTTTCCAAGGTGACCCAAAAATAACAATCCAGGCAATTCGCACAGCCATTCAAGCCGGATGTCGTCATCTTGACTGTGCATGGGAATACAATGTATGTCGTCCAGTTGAGCTTTTGGTTTCCATGATCTGACCAGTCTTACCTCCACAGGTAGATGCTGAGGTTGGGGACGCGATTCGCCAGTCCGGCGTCCCGCGAAAAGAGATATTCATCACACATAAGCTGTGGCCGAACTTTGCAGCTCCGCAAAATGTGGAACTTGCATTGGACCTAGCCCTCCAGCGAATAGGGATTGAATATGTCGATTTATACCTGATCCACCACCCTGTCGCAGTCAAGCCGACGGGGGACCTCCGTGAAGCGCGGATGGGCGAAAATACGACTCTGGGAGACCAGGGCTGTGCAGCAGATGACAAAGGCAACTTCATTCCAGGCCTGGAACATTGTCCAGCAGCGGTTGCTGCGCTGAATGGAGGTAGAGGCAGTTCTATTCCGACATGGAATGCTATGAAGGCCTTAGTTCGCTGTGGGAAGACTCGATCGATTGGAGTCTCGAACTTCGATATTGAACATGTGCAAGAGATCCTTAGTGCACAAAGTAACGATGACGACGAAGTCCCACTTTCATGCAACCAGATCGAATGCCATCCCTGGTTTCCCAATCAGCGACTGCTTGAATTCTTACTAGAGCACAACATCCTGGTCATGGCGTACAGTCCATTTGCGTCTTTCAGATACGAGTCTGGAGTCTTTCCTTTTAAGGCGTTCGCACCTTGTGGAACGGCTCTGTTAAAAGATAAAACAGTTGAACAAATTGCGGCTAAGAATGGCATAACTGTCTGTCAGGTGCTGCTTAGCTGGGCAGTTCAACGATCTACACTGCCGGTATTTAGGAGCTCCTCTCCACAGCATCAAAAAGAGAATCTTATGTTGAAGGAACTGCCATGGGAGGATGTGCAAGCATTGGCAACTTTGGAATTGGACGGTAAAATTGGGAAGTCCACGACAACAATGGTTTTTCCTGAAATCAAGGTATACGATTGGTAGCTGTTGGTTCTAGGCCTCGGTAACAACCGGCTGAAGGTGACACGATGCTAGCATACTATGGTTGGTTGGTTAGTCTATATTCTGTGATTGCACGTGATTGATGCCATATCCCAAACCCTATGTAGCTCATTTCTGCAATTTATCATTGTTTTTGAACTAAATTTTTGCCATTTGTGCACGAGATATATTCTTGTGATACAAATCTAGCCATATGACGAAGTCGTGTCTGGCTAATTTGTTTGCTGCAATATACTAATGTGACCAAGGCTATCTTTCCTGTTTCGGGCTTGCCTTGGCTGTATAGATTAACTCGTATCATTCTGACCGGAATCTGCTTGACTGGCTTCCGATGACCGACTAGATAGTAGCAGGTCACCGTTAAATAATGAACACGGTAGGATAACTTGGAATTTTCGAGAATACATGCAACATGCTGGTTGCATTTCTGTCAGGCCTACTTCAGTATATAGCGTCGACCCTCCCAGTCGCAATAGAAATCACAACTGTTCTCTTCAATTTCTACATGCTTATTATTGCATTACCTCAAACACCATTTCGTCAATACAATTTCCGAATATGGGTGCTCCCGTATCAGAAGTGGCCATCATTCCCCTTGTGAAAGGTGCCGATCCACGTGTTGAGAATAGCGAGGCAGCAAAGACCCTCAACAGATCAATCCAGCACACACTTGTGCAGCCCGGATACCAGCGCATGGTATGGGGTTTGGACAAAAATGACCCTACCGTGATGATTATGATTGTTGGTAAGTCCCATGAGAAAGATTCAATCACAAAATTCGTATGTAACGGTCTCCACAAGATTGGGATGATTTGCAGTCTCATCTCAACTTCATGACTGCTCCGCATTACCAATCCTTCATGAACGACTTCAATACAATTGTTGCTGGAGCGGTTACTTTGTTCCACACAACCTACGAGGAAGGGGTTGGCATCATGCCTCTGGTCGAGCTCAATGATTACATGGCCGATGTTTACTTTGCTTTCTTCCCTGCACGATCCTTGACCCAAGACTTCCAAGATGATTTCTCCCGAGTCTCTCGGACTGTGAACACAGATCTTCTCGGGTCTAACGATACGTCCTTGAGTATTGCTAGTGGCTGGTGCATTGATGATACGTTGGACGAAGAGCGCCCCGGGAAAGGACCAGAGAGACCGTGGATGTCGATTGTGACATGGAAGAACGCAGAAATCCGACAGAGGGCATGGGATCGTAATGCTGTTCTGGGTGGTATCCCGCAGCTCGTTGAAGGAAAGGGAGAGTTGGAAATCTACGAGGTCGAGTTTCAGCCGGTAATTCCTAAGTCATGAATAACACGGGTTTTTAAATAATGTCACATTGGTCAGTCAAATAAATGGATTTCAAACTATTGCTCAACTAGATTAAAAATAACAACACAATTCACCATGTAGATCACCGCTATATATATTCCCACAATGTATACACATAGACCCACCTGTACTAGTCCTAAAGAAAAACCGGCAGAATTTTCCAGATATCCCGTCTTTATTGATGCCCACTGAATAGCTTCATATTTTCTATGCTTCGAATTTGTCATATCCAGAATAATAATGGGGGTTGCTAGTTCTACTTTGTCGGGAAGACCAATCCGGATGCGGGCTCAACGTGCCGACTTCTCCGATACTCCAGTAAGTGCCTAAACACCTCTTCCATAATATACGCGCTCTAATGATAAAAAAATTATCAGTCAAACCAAGGCCCCCTGAAGGATGACTTTGGAGAGTATACGATTGTTGCTCAAAAGTTGTTCAGCAGTATGAGTCCAAGGGTGAGACATGCTTCTACTATGTTCAATCCATTGCTCAAATCTAACTCCGCATCATAGAAAAGTTGGTACTGCAAACATCAATATGACCGCGAGGGTGAAAATGAATGTTATCATTATGTCCATTTGTGAGTTTTCCCTCTTTGTACACTTTCAATATCTGGCGCTTAAATATTTAGGGATGGCCGGTACTACTCTAAAAACCCGGATGGAAGCATAGAGACCATAAACCCTATATTGAAGGAAGCTTTCTATACTTTACCTGGAACTATACCAGGAGGCGAACGTATCCCGATAGATTACTCAGATGAAGTCGATTGGGAGAGTCTGAGTGAGATACCTGACCCTTGCATCGCAAGAGCCTCTGAAATCGATGAACGGCTGGGGGAATTCATGCAGGAAATCCAGAGACATGCAGGTTAGTTTTAAGTGGCGCAAAGTAAGTTTGTAGCTAATATAGCGCAGAGACGACCGTTGCCAATGATCAGTGCAAAAGATTGAAGAATTGGGAAAAGATGTTGGAAGGAAAGGAAAATTCCGATATGGTCACCGAGAATGAGGCCGAAGAGACCGAGAATGAGAGCGAGCACGAGAGCGAAGATGAGACAGAAAATCACACAGAGGATGAGACCGGGGAAGTATCCATCGGCGAGCCCATGAATCCAGAGGAGACGGAGGGTAGATCTCTTGAAAACCGGAAGGCCAACGAAATGGATGGCAGCGAGGACGAGACCATCAGGACCCCACCCCCGAACAGGGGAAACATGAATAAGAGACGCGAACCTATGCGTACTGAGCAAGACGCTAACAAGAGGAAGCGAGAGCGCCGTAGAAATGCCAAAAGAGCAAAACAGGGGATGGAAGAGAGGACATCAGAATCCTAGCCTCTCTAACGTACTACATGTCCGCGAGTGGAATTTTACCGAAGCTCAAAGTTGATAAAGAAGAATGTAATATTTGGATCTCAGATGCCCCAACCCCACGTGGTGGGTAGCGGGGAATAGAGGAATGTGAAGTAACGGCATAAATAAAATAAGCTGACTCTATTAAATCCTAGAGACAGCACCTCTCGGGCTGGGATATTAAATAACAACAATAAGTAGAAACCTAGGATGGATTTATGAAACATAGCAAAAAAAAAAAAGCAAGCTCATACATGCATCATCGATTACATCCCCAGTCTACATCCATAGATGAAACCTCGAAGGGACGAACACCCACCTGCAAAAAAAAAAAAGCAAAGCAAAGAAATCCATCCATTCATTACCCTTCCTCCATATATATCCTAATTCATAGAACGTAGTTCTCAAATCTCCACACCTCGAAGCCGAACTTGTACCGAGCCTCGGCAAATACCGAAGCTCGGCACATCAGCCAATCTTCAAGTTGCAATTTACAGGAGAGCCAGGACACCAGCGATGAGGCCAGCGGCGGCAGCGGGGGCAGCAAGAGCCATACCAGCGTTGGGAGCGGTAGTGGCAGTGGCGGAGCCAGAGGCAGAGCCGGTAGCGGAGCCGGTGGCGGAGGTGGTCATACCAGAGGTCTTGGTGCCAGTGGTAGTTCCGGTGGAGGTAGATCCGGAGGCTGTAAGGAGTGAGATGTCAGTGGCTTTTTCAATGGCAGATACTAGTGGTGAGGGAGCTAAAGGTAAATATTCCGGTGGAGGGGTTGATAATAGAAACGCCCGGGGTGAAAGTACCAGTAGTGGAAGCATCAGTCTCAGTGGTGTGGGCACCAGTAGAGGTAGAAGCAGAGGAAGTGGTACCGGAGACAGAGGCAGAAGAAGATTCAGAAGAGACAGTGGAAGATGTACCGGTAGTAGAGGCGCTGGAGGAGCTCTTCTCAGGCTCGGTCACATCGAACTTCTGGGACTGGGCGAGAATGCCAGTGTTCTGGGCCTCGGTGGAGAGGAGGTTGATCTGGAAACCGGAGCTGAGCGCATTGAGTGTTAGTGGACTGCAGAGACATATAATCGCGCAATTGTCTTACCCGTTGGAAACACCCTTGAGACCCTTGGCGGTGTAGGAGCCCTTGGAGGTCTCGACGCCGGAGGCGATCTTCTCCTGGACATTGGGGTAGACATTGTTGTTGATCAGGACGATGTCGACGGTGGAGGCGTCAGTGCTATAATGGGTTAGCTTTGGCTGTGACTAGGATAAGGTGGGAACATAGTCAACATACTTGACGGAATCCCACTTCACGGTGAAAGACTCGGAAACATCGAGCTTGTCACCCTTGGCAGGCTCGGTGACGTTGATAGCTGAAATTAAATGTCAGAAAAAGTCTCACAATCATATGGTGATTTTACATACCTCCAACGGAGATGGCCAAAGGCAGGAGAGACAGAAGGATAGAGAAACGCATCTTGACTTAATTTAGCGAAAGTGGTGGATTAAAAAACGAATGGACGTTGGAGCTTGAAAGAGTGAGTGCGAGAAGTTGAAGATGGAAGTTAGAAAAATTCCTCAGATTTAAGAGATCCTTGTCATTAAGTACATGGTGACCAAACAGTGCATCTGATATTGCACAACCTTGGATGAACCGTTAACAATGTCTCTGACACCCAATACGGGAAATACACCTGAAAATAGAACTATCGGTAGTAAGCTACCCGGTTTTAAAGCATTCTAATAATATTTTAATGGATTTATATTACAAAACGTGGGAAATCAGGGTTCGAGTGAGGTTCCATTGTTGGAGAGGAGAAGATCTTCGTGGTTCGCCGACGAGCTAGTTTCAGGCACGAATCCCACACTTCCAATTATAACATATTGCTCCATTATTTAATGAGACCACCATAATGTACTAAACAAATGTGCACTCGGAGTATAGCCGTCAATGGATATGGACACCTACCATGGATGTTGTACGCCGATAGGGCCGATAAAGAAGACGCTAGACAGGCTTGGCAAAGAGCTAGTGAACTTTGCGTAAAAACATGAAATGGAAAAAAACAAAAACAAGAAAAGATTTTTTCCAAGTTTTTAAATACCGCTTAAACTGTATCGGTATTTTACTTTGCAAAATCTGCGGTAATTTATTTCGTTTAATGGCCTGGACCCTGATCTTCGGGAATTCCCGCATATTGTTGATCGACTGCCATTCGAGCAAAGATCACCATAGTCTAATAATCTTACATCTACAGGGAAACTAAAGGGGCCACGTTCACTTGAAATCCCTGCCCAATATATTGTTCCCGTGTCTCAAAAAGGAACTTGAAATTCGCCTGCGAGAACGTTTCGATGTCTCAAGGACCCACTCCGCCACATCAAATTTCAGGCATGAGACACATCTCAATAGGGCACTCGGACTGCACGCTAAATAAACCATATGTGGAAGCCCTAGACGAGAGGAAATGAATGTCTCACCGAGAATCAGCCGGCAAATCATCATTGCACTGCAGACAGAATGGTGCCATTTTCACCAAGTCCACTCCAGGGCTGAATCGTAAACATTAGTCAGATTCGAAACGGGTAATTTTTATTTTTGAGGCGCTCGATTTATATCGAATACGAGATTGGAAGACAACGCAAAGGGTTCACACAAATATTATTGTACATAATTTACACCGTAGAATCCATAGAACCCGGATATTCTTCCAAGACTGCGCCCGAATCCAACCGATTAGTTAGCGTAGATATTCACATTACTGGGGTAGCACAAGAAAGTCAGTCAAGCCACAACATATGCAAAGGATGAGAATACATACAAGTCCCTTTTAAGACCACTTTGGTCCACTGTGGCCGAGTCAACCCATACACTGGCACTCATCCCCTGAACAGGGAATTTTCCATAACCTTTTTTGTCGATAATCACAGGGTTCATAGTGGGATGCAAGAGATCGGTCCATTGTTCATATGCATGATGTTGACCGACAAACATGCGCTGTACACCCGGACCAGCGTTGCTGATAACACACGCAAGGCCCGAGTGACGGGCGTTTCCGTAGCGGACAAATCCTGTATCGCGGTTAGATGTGTCCAAGATGGGTGTTCACCCAGGATGGGGCTCAACATTCTTTGGAAAGGGGTAAACGGACCTATGCAATTTGGTTGGTTGAAATAATCTTGCTGTTCGCCGTAGGCGTAGAGTTTGCGGGCTTGTGTTAGTACGGGCAGAAGGCCGTTACAACTTGGTACCATTGGTTTCTCAACATTAGCCCGTATTCCGTACAGGTCACCGTAAAATACGCAGGGATGACCGTCTTTGCGGAGGAGAACAAGGGCGTATGCTAGTAATTTGAAGGATGGTGATACCGGGGTCTGTGTCGATTAGCCACGTTTAGTCCTTCTAAAAGGGGAATACTCAACTTACTTCCAGCATTTGCCCTGGTGCCTGTAAAGAGTTAGGTTAATAAACATGCCAAGATTAAGCCACAAGCTGGTACTTACCGTATCATGGTTTGCAACAAGGGTCTTAAGAAGTTAGGTTAGTGACTAGTTGGGCATCAGGCGTTGAGCAACTTACCACAGCGTGGTCCGGCTGACACTGTACCAGTGTATTATTGAAAATACCGCGAAGGTCTGGTGCATGCGCATGGGACAACTTGGAGAACCGCTCTAGGAGAGGCACATCATATGCAGTGAGGTTGTAGTCCACCTTCTCGAGGTAACCCAAAAGTGACGGTAGATGTCCAGTCCAGTACTCCCCTATTGCGAAAAAGTCAGGATTGGCGGTTTTCCGAATATGTTGTACGAAGCTGCGCTGGAACTCTGTTGAAAAATGCTTGGCGGCATCAAGTCGCATTCCATTAAGGTTCAGTGTATTGGTGATCCACGTTCCCCATTGCAGAAGATCGGCGCGAACTTCTGGATGTGCTAGATCCAGATCGGAAAACATCAGATAATCGTAGTTTCCGTTCTCCGTCGACACATCTTGCGCCCAGTCCTTGTTAGATTCGACAATCTTATAGATTGCGCTTTGCTTGCTCTTGTCGTCCCAGTCCACACCGCTGAAATGTTGCCAGTGATACTTCATTGAGCTGTACATGTTACCGCGACCAGCGAAATCAAAGCCTGTCCAGCCATGGACTTCTGCTGGCTTAGATATGTTCAGGTCTCTTCCTGTTTTTTCAGTCAGTAAACGGCCAAAGATCCGTGACGAGTTCAATATTAGCGAAAGAAGGACAAGAAATCTCACGTTTAGGATCGACCTTGACAGCCCGAAAGGGCTCTGGATAATCCGCGCCGGCTTTATGATTGAGCACAGCATCCCAGATGACACCAATGCCCACGTGTTGCGCTTTGCGCATCAAGTCTTCAAGCTCTCGCTTGGTACCGAATTTCGTGGGAATTGTGCCCTTTTGATCGAACTCCCCGAGGTCGTATAGGTCATAGATATCATATCCATTACCATTCGCATCCATTCCCTTGCACCCGGGAGGAATCCAGATCTGATCAATGCCAATGGCCTTGTACTCTGGTAAGGCATTCTGTAGACGGCGCCAATGCTGCCGATCGGCGGGAACATGCCATTCAAAGGTTTGCAATATGAGCGAGTTATCTGGAGCATTCCATGATGGCAGCTGTTCTAGGTTCGCCGCTGCTTCTATATCATGTATTCATATTAGAAATTGCATATGTTTTTTAGTGGAGGAGACTGACCTTCAATCTGTTTCCATTTCTGGCCTTTCTGTCGAGATCCACACCATAGGAACGGCATCGTTTGATTGTTGTGCAAGTGACAAACTCCATGGAATACAAACACAGAATATGGATATGAATCCCTTTTGGGATTAGGGCTCGGATGTGGGGGCGACTATTTTTATTCGGCGTTGTAAGATACGGGTCAGGTGGATCATTACTATTAATTACAGTTAAGATGTCTCAACTATTAGACGAAATTTTCATTTCAACCGTGGATGGAAATTTTCTAGAAAGAAATTCCCGAGCTCCACATAGGTAATCTCATTGGCTTTCCATAATGCGTGATATGTAACAGAATTAAGAAAATAAAAAACGAAGCTCATAATGATACAAAGACCAAACACCGTATCAGTAGGAGGCAAAACCCCTAGAATATCGCCAATGTAAAACAAAAAAGGAGAAAAATATTGCACATGAAAAGGATATCTCTGCAAATCAAACCGAGCCGTCAATGCAGCCCACCAGAATGGGGAAAAAAAGGTAGAAAAAAAAAAGGATCCGAAAAGGGAAGAAGAAGAAAGTAGTCGAAGAGTGAAGAGAAGCCTTTTGGGACTCTTCTTTCAAAGGAGCGTAATGACGATGCTGGTCACCACTCCTAGCAGGGTAGCTAGACTGGCACCACTCGTAAATCGGATGCCAGCCGACGTCAACCCATTGTGAGTCTTCAGCATCGCGAGGGAAACGTTCGCAGAAGAATAGCCACAAAGACCACTGCCTTCCATGTATTTTGTGGGGAAGTAGACTCTGGGTTCTCCCTTATCCATAGGGACGCTCAACATACCCGCGTCATCGACAGTTTGGTTCGTACAGCCCAAAATTTCGGTTACCTTGGTACCAGCATTAAAGCTGACAGCCAAGTCTATTTTGTACGCTTTACTGGCCGAGCTTTGGCTGGACAATACCATGACAACTTGTCGACCCTGAACACCTTTTGTGAAAGCAAGCTCACTGCCGCCCTGGTAGATTGTGTGGGTGTCGTCCTCGAAATAGTCTTCGCCCAGCAAGGCTGCGTGCTTGCGGAGGCGGTTTAGCTTTGCGATCATCTTATAGAGCTCCGCGTCGGTGTCATATTTCGTGAGCCAGATGGCTTCTCGGTTCTTGGGCACTGAGTCGCCGGCCAGATGTTGCTCTTGGCCTTGATATATCATCGGGATTCCATCAAATAGCATGGTAAATACTAGGATGTTTTTGGCCATCTGCAAAATATTTATGATCAACAAAAAGTGATCACTCACACGGAAGAGGATATACATACCGCCATGTCCTTGGAATAGCTCGCAATCCGCGCCTTGTCGTGATTTTCAGAGAAAGAGACCATAGCATTGACATCTGGGATCGAGACTCTCATATTCTCCACTCCTATCGCCAAGGCGGATGTATTGCCCATGGTAAAAGCCTCTAGGATTTGGAAATAGATCGGATAGTTTGGCAAACTGGCGATGTAGTTGCTCTGGTAATCGTTCATGATGCTGACTGCGCCTTCAAGGACTTCCCCTGTCATGAAAATGTTGTCGAGGCCGTCGGCAAAGATTTTTAAAAATTCTGGGTTGACGTGCTTGGCTGCATCAATGCGGAGCCCGTCAATGGAATATGTCTTTATGGCGTCTTTCGCCCATTTGATCAAGAGCTTTTGGACATCTTCGTGCTCTGTGAAAAGATCTGGTAGTGGGACCGTCCAATCACCCGTCGAGCACTTCTGCGCAATCTTCATATCATTCCAGTCTGTCATGTTGCAGTACGTATGGTAATAGTCGGCGTTATTGAAGGGTTCCAAGACGGAATAGTCGATATTTGTGGCGGGATTGCTACCATTCGTGATATAGGCCATATTGTTGATCACAGTGTCCAGCATCAAGTACATGTCCCTGGAGTGGAGAGCGGCACTAAGGTCGAGCAAGTCTTGATGCGTCCCAAAATGAGAGTTGAGTTTGTTGAAGTTTAATGGCCAGTACCCGTGGTAGGCTTCGCCATACTCGACTCGGCCATGGATATTCTCCATGATCGGAGAGATCATCACAGCATCAAATCCCATTCCTTGGATGTAGTCGAGTTTGTCGATAGTTCCTCGCCATGTTCCTCCGCAGTAAAGGCCTTCCTTGGTGTTGCATGGTGATGTTGTCGATCCGTCTGTGCGAGCAAAACGATCTGTCATAGTCTGGTATACTGATCTACGCTTCCAGTCGGCTGTAGTTGCGGCTGACGCCGAGGCGATGAGCCCCGTAATCAACAGGCCTACCAACGAACGAATGGTGCAGCGTGACATCATGGCAGCTCGTATTTGTGCGGGTCGATTAAAATAAGAAAGACAGAGAGTACGAGGTTTCAGATAAAGAGTGATTTGAAAAGCTCACGAAAAGGGCAAAGATGGCCGGAAAGAAGAATAAACGAGTGACATTTGGACTTCAGCCAAAACAGAAAACGAGAGGAGGCAAAGAAAGCAAGAGGTTCGAGAGACAGGAAAAGATCGAAAAATGGGGAAATTTGCTAGGTCCTAAGCAGGGAGCGAGTCAGGTGGCTTCCAAGGTTCTGCCGGCGATCCAAACATACAGTAGTTGGGGCCATCACCCCACAATCCTCTCGCTATAATACTACATTAAACGGACAAACATGTGTTTTATGCACTCGGTGGAGCGTGCACGTACGTATCTGTGAATATGATTTGCCTCGGAATAGCTACATTATTGGACCTGATTAACATACCCGGATTACTCGCATAAATTCGGTGATATACCCCATGATTTTGAAAGTAAGTTATAAAATGTGGCTTCTAAACCTGAAGAACTACACTGGTGGCTTCATAGACTATCTCAATATCAAGCGGGGGGGATGGGGAGACTGCAGAAACCCGAAATTAGTTTCGTTCATATGGTGAGGGGAAGAAGAGAAACCTGGCGCACTAGTAATAACATCGTTAGGAGACTCCGTTCCTGAACGGGTCATTTTAAGTGTCTGTCAGGTACCAGGCACCCCTGTGGCTCTCTGGGAAAACTACGGCTATTTGGTTGGAGGTCCTTCTTGCAGGTCACGTGAAGACACTACCCTAATTTCAGAGTCACCTTTTGCTTTAATACAACACTAGAAATGAGAAAGTTTGCATGGTCCAATCATCTGAGACGAGGTGGCATCTATCCAAGAAACTAGTGATGCTGCCCTGTATCTCCACAAAATGAGCTATACATAGATACGGATTACTCCGTAATACCTTAGTGCCATACGGAGCACTCTAAATTGATACACTAAACGCTTTGGCCTTGTATGTTGTAGTTGTTGGAATACGAGATAGTGAGACAGAGGTAAAATATTTTAATAGCGGACTCCGTGGAGAAATTATATATTCTATTATTGATTTTTAGCTTGATCCATTTATTCTACTATGTACAACAATGTTGTATGTTGTACTCCACATATACACTGCCTGCAATGACTGTTATATACCATCCCAACAAAGAAAGAAAAAACGAATCAAGAGAAAATTGAACGTAGATAAGTACTACGGAGTACTCCGGGAGGATATTCCGGTGTGATAGATAAAGTGATTCTAGCCCGTATGAACTTTACTGCGCCATGCTCGCTTGTTGACGGCTTCCCGGATTTCCGTGCCAAGTGGCGTTGATAACAGGTTCACATCACGGTAAATACTGCAGGGATGTCTGACCATGTGGAGATTAGGGCAGATATTTTTTTTCCTTCTCGTACATAGTACAATTTCAAGGTTTGACTTGAAATTAATACGGAGTAAAATATAAAATCGGTTAAATGCCATGGCGGACATGCCGGATGTATTAGTCTGTAGTTGCTGAAGTTGCTGAAGTTGCTGACCTTGTTCGCCACCGGCCGTTGCTTTCCCTCTGAATATTCCACGGTAGAAGAATATTTAGACTTGCACTATCTTTCAGTTCCCAAGGAACCGTTGATACCAAGAAAAGGGAAAAAAGACGAAAAAGAAATCTACAAAATAAGCTCCATGTACTATTTTCGTATTTGACTCCCGACTGTAAAATACCAGTGAAATACAGAGTGGACGGGTCTCACATTGCCAGCCAATCGGGCAGATCGGGCTACCAGTAAAACTCGGCCCCAAATCCACCCGGCCCATGACCGAGAGATATTGTCGGCATTGTAATAGGTTGATATTTACGGGTCTGGAAAATCATCGGTGTATCAAACAGCATTTACCTATAATCAGTCGGTAGAAGTGAAAGTTAACTTTTATCTTCATTTTTAAGAGAATAGACTTGTAAGCTAGGCAACATCTAATAATCCCGTATGCTATAAAGAGTCAGTCTCCATGTTGCAAAGATACAGGGTCTACGGTGTACAACATAGTGGCGTGGGTCAAATCTAATAGTTGACATATCGAGAACGTGCGAATCGGGTAGCCCCGTTGTAAGGCCCCAGTTACTTTTCTTTCAAAGAACGGTCACAGAGGCGTTTCCTCTTCGGACAACAATGCCGACCTACCTTTTTGGTGTATTCTCGTATTGGCTGAACCTGTCGCATTTAATAATAATTTTATATCTAAAAGGAGAAAATAAATTTTCAATTACATTAAAAATTTTGAAAATTACCGAGGCTGAGACGTTGGAATCTAAGAATACTCCAATACTCCAATACTGGGGCTCTTAGAATTTGATATGGGGTTTGTCTCATCTGCTTATTTTTATCTTGAGCTTCAATGCGACTAGCCTCTTAGCATTTAGCACTTAGCACTTAGCACAGTTGTTATGTGATCATTTCTTTCTCCTTTCCACTTTGATTCCTCCTTTCCAACTCTCATCCCCAGTCCTTCGTTTGTTAGCTCAGCCCGTCTCTCGTTATCTCTTTTTGGCAGACTGCCACCTTTCGACGCCTTTCGATTTACGTGACGTCCAATAGATACCCACACTCCACCGTTATATGGCAATTGAGAGCTACACATCTCCATATCTTTCATAGGGTGTCTCAGCCTTCCAGCCCAGTGGGGATCTCCGCACTGCCCGAGGCGTGCGACTATCACCCAACAGCTCCGAGCAGTCACCAACCATGAGGTGGTTACTCGCCAGCGGACTGGTCTCGCTTTTTGCGACGACTGTCACAGCTTGGCCCTACGACGAGGCTTATCTGGATTACAACCTCAACACAAACAAAGAGGCCAAAAACCCAGCAGAATATTCGGGAACATGGCCTGGCCATGAGGGGAAATATTTTCCCTCCCCGGATAACTGGCGCTTTCCATTTTACTCTCTCTTCTTGGATCGCTTCGTGAATGGCGATCCTACCAATGACAACATAAACGGTACCACATTCGAGCATGATGTCGATCAACGCATTCGCCATGGTGGTGATGTGGCTGGTCTTGTTGATACGCTGGATTATCTCCAAGGAATGGGAATCAAGGTTTGTCTCATCTGTAGTCTTTCAGTTGCAGGAAAATTTATGCTCACAATATCTAGGGTATCTATGTTACAGGTACCTCATTGCTGAACCAGCCGTGGACTTCAGACGGATATGGAGTTGTGGATACAACGCTTCTTGACGCGCATTACGGCACCATCCAGACCTGGCGAGATGCCATCACTGAAATGCACAAGCGCGGCATGTATGTCTTGTTCGACAATACCATTGCGACGTAAGTTATTTCCATATACACAGATCAAAGCGCGGAGCTAACCAATGTATATAGAATGGCCGATTTGATTGGATTTGAAGGCCATCTCAACAAGTCGACTCCATTTTCGGAGAAAGAATACAAAACATTATGGAAGGGCGAACGGCGCTACAAAGACTTTGACATTGGAGTTGGCGACTACAATGCGAGTTGTGACTACCCTCGTTTCTGGTTCGAAAATGGAATGCCTGTGACTGAAGAAGAGACCTCCGGCTTGGTTGGATGTTACAACAGCGACTTCGACCAGTACGGTGACATTGAGGCTTTCGGTGTGTGGCCTGATTGGAAGCGACAACTGGCCAAGTTCGCCTCCGTTCAAGATCGTCTCCGCGAATGGAACCCGAGTGTACGCGAAAGGTTGATCAGGCACTCCTGCATGGTGATCCAGTCTTTGGATATTGATGGTTTCCGTTACGATAAGGGCACCCAAGCTACTGTGGATGCCCTCGGAGATATGTCCGCAGCCTACCGAGAATGCGCGCGGGCAGTCGGGAAGGAAAACTTCTTCATCACTGGCGAAATCACGGGTGGAAATGACTTTGGTTCTATTTACCTCGGAAGGGGTAGGCAGAAGAACCAGTGGCCTTCGTCGTCAAGTGACACAATAAAATTGACAAATGAGTCCTCTCCCCAGTTCTTCTTACGCGAAGCCGGACATGAAGCCATCGACAGTGCAGCCTTCCACTATACTACATATCGTGCCTTGACTCGATTCCTCGGCATGGACGGGCAACTTTCTGCTGGCTTCGATGCGCCCGATGACTGGGTCCAGGGCTGGGACTATATGCTGCGATCAAATGATTTGATTAATGCTAACACCGGCAAGTTCGACCCTCGACACATGTATGGTGCAACGAATCAAGACGTCTTCCGTTGGCCAGCGATTGCCAACGGCACCCATCGACAGTTACTCGGTTCTTTTGTGACTACATTGCTGCTCCCAGGAATCCCACTTCTTCTTTGGGGAGAAGAGCAGAACTTCTATCTATTAGATGCCACTGCGGAGAACTACATTTATGGGCGACAGCCAATGTCGCCTCAAACCTCGTGGAAGACCCATGGCTGCTTCCACTTGACGTCATCCCAGTACTACAAATGGCCCGTTGAAGCTGCTAAACACGGCTGCGAGGACGAGGAAGTTGCTTACGATCATCGTGACCCTTCGCACCCTGTGCGAAATATTCTAAAACATATGTACCACTTGCGCGAACAGTACCCAGTTCTCAACGACGGCTATGCCCTTGGTAATTTGTCAAAAAGAACCGATTGGATTCTCTACCCTGGTTCCAACACAACGGAGACAGAGACCGGAATGTGGTCTGTTAACAGGGACGTCAATACCGCTGTGCAAGATTTGGGATCTCCTGCCGACAACCAACCTGTCTGGCTTGTTTACCAAAACCTCAATGACACAAGGATATACCACTTCGACTGCAACTCCGCAAACGAGAATAAAACACTGACGGCTCCATTTGCAGCCGGCACCACAGTCAAAAATCTTTTCTACCCGTACGATGAGATCAAACTGGAGGAAGGAGTGCGCAAGCTCGGCTTCAATGGGTCGAAAGAGTTCAATGGCTGTGTGAAAAGCATGGAAATGAAGGCATACGAGTTCCGTGCATACGTCCCTCGTTCTGCTTATAAGTCACCTCGGCCGACAATCACCAAATTCACCCCGGGCCATGATTTCCCACTGCTTTCTACCGTTAAGCCTAATCTTCCTGAGGATGTGAAGATTGAGCTTTACTTCTCTGAAGAAATGGTCTGTGACTCGGTGACCAAGGCAATTACCTTGCAGTCATCCACAGAGAGTGGGAAGGTTCCAACTATCAATGACAAAACTGTCGCCTGCGCAAAGATCCCTCCATTGATCCAAACAAATTGGACTGCTGAGATCCCAAGTGTGTGGAAGTGGACAGCAAACCTCACTGGAGTGTACAACGGAGTTCATAAAGTGACTGTCACCAACGTAACTAACTCCGACAAATCCTCATCTACCCACGCTGTTGATCACTTCCTTTTCCGTATCGGCCAGTTTGATAACCCCATGGTGTTCAATTCTGCCAACTACTCAAGCAGTTTGCTCCACAAATACCCGAACAACACCCTTTTCATCCAGCACCACGCCGCTGGTGCTGACAAATACCGCTACTCTACCAATTGGGGGTCGTCATACTCCGACTGGAAAGATTATAGAGGTGGAAATGACACCATTGATAGGCTTGATTGGTCCGGAACGAAGGACCAGGAGTGGGATGGTGACCATTTACGCGTTGAGTACTGGAGTCGTTTCACCGGAAGCAGCGACTACGTGCAGCAAGGTGACGTTGACTGGGATCACCCAGTCCCACGGCGTTTCCCTCACGCTTACTTCAACGGCCCTTACAACCAGTTTGGATTCGACGCGGGCCTCGATAACAGAATCACGCTTGACACTAAAACCGGAGTCTGGTCCTTCCATTTCACGTCCGAATGGCCGGCAGTCGGACAACTGAACATCTGGGGAATTAACCCAGACGGAAAGCCCGATCAAACATGGGTTTTGGGTGACATCGACAATGATACAGTCCTTGACCGAAGTCCTCCATCAGCTCTGAGCGCGACCTTGATCAATATCACAGCTGCACCAGCCAAAGGATATATCTCCCACAAGATCTACCTTGACGATGCATCTCTCCGTTTCTGGCTTGACCCGGTTGGATCTCAGTCCACACAGATTATCATGTTCGTGTTGTTCTGGATCATACCCTTCCTTACCGCTGTAGGCTGCGTGTACATCTTCATGAAGTCGTTCTACAAGGTCAAATTCAACCAGGTCGGTGTGAGTGAGAAACAAAGCTTCATCCCACTGGCACTTTGGAATAAGGTAAAGGACTCTTCCCGTCGTCGCAGGGATGCTTCAAACCCATTGATGCGCTTGGCCAACAAATCCGGCTTCATGCAAAGCACCACCGCTCTGGGCGGAGCTCTTGCGGCCGGCCAGCGACGCATGGTTCTAATTGCCACCATGGAGTACGACATTGAGGATTGGGCTATCAAAATCAAGATCGGTGGTCTCGGTGTCATGGCCCAACTCATGGGTAAGACTCTAGGTCACCAGGACCTGATCTGGGTCGTTCCTTGCGTTGGAGGTGTCGATTACCCAGTGGACCAGCAGGCAGAGCCTATGGAAGTTACTATTCTCGGCAGCCCCTACCAGGTTCAAGTCCAGTACCATGTCTTGAATAATATCACCTACGTCCTACTCGATGCTCCAGTGTTCCGTCAACAGTCGAAGACCGAACCCTACCCTGCTCGTATGGATGATCTTGACAGTGCGGTGTACTATTCAGCATGGAACCAGTGTATTGCGGAAGCTATCAAGCGATTCCCAATTGACGCCTACCATATCAACGATTACCACGGTTCCCTCGCACCTCTTTACCTGCTACCAAGAACTATTCCTGCTTGTCTTTCATTGCACAATGCGGAGTTCCAAGGTCTTTGGCCTATGCGTACTATCAAGGAAAAAGAAGAGGTCTGCTCCGTCTTTAACCTTGACGAAGAGGTCGCTCGTCGTTACGTGCAATTTGGTGAAGTGTTCAACTTGCTGCACGCCGGCGCAAGTTATCTCCGCGTTCACCAAAATGGATTCGGTGCTGTCGGTGTCTCTAAAAAGTACGGAAAACGGTCTTACGCTCGCTACCCTATCTTCTGGGGTCTCCACAAGGTCGGCAATTTGCCTAACCCTGATCCATCTGACGTCGGTGAGTGGACAAAGGAACCCACTAAAGAGCAGGATATTACTGTGGATAAGACATACGAGGCTAGTCGTGGTGAGCTCAAGAGGCAGGCCCAGGAATGGGCCGGCCTCGACCAGAACCCTGATGCCGACCTGCTTGTCTTTGTCGGTCGCTGGTCTATGCAAAAGGGTGTTGATCTCATTGCGGACGCAATGCCTGCTGTTATTGAATCTCGTCCTAACGTGCAATTGATTTGCATTGGCCCCGTTATCGATCTCTACGGTAAATTTGCTGCTCTCAAGCTTGACCACATGATGAAAATCTATCCCGGACGAGTCTTCTCAAAGCCTGAATTCACAGCACTTCCACCATTCATCTTCTCTGGTGCCGAGTTCGCCCTAATCCCATCTCGTGACGAGCCCTTCGGTCTGGTCGCCGTGGAGTTCGGTAGAAAGGGTGCATTAGGTATCGGAGCCCGTGTTGGTGGTCTTGGTCAAATGCCAGGTTGGTGGTACAATGTGGAATCAATCTCGACGTCGCATCTCCTCATGCAATTCAAGCTCGCAATCGAAGCCGCGCTCAATTCCAAGACATCCGTTCGTGCGATGATGCGTGCCAGATCTGCGAAACAGCGTTTCCCCGTTGCTCAATGGGTTGAGGATCTTGAGATCCTGCAATCTACTGCCATTGCCATTCATGAAAAGGTTGCCAAGAACCAGGGTACCAGCACCGCTCGACCTGGCACTTCTTCTGGAATCAGCAGTCTCAGTGGAGCCATGTCGTCTTTGACTCACTTGCCGGGTGGACTACCTTCACCTGGCATGAACTCTCCATTCACACATTCCAGGGACAGCAGCTACTCTTTCAATCAGATGAACAACCTCGCTCCGCAAAAGAAGATCAGCTACAGCGCAGATCCAAGCCCGGACGATGTAGAGAAACCCAAGTCAGGACTGAGTCGTTCTCTCTCCCTGGGTGTCCGCTCAGGCCCTGGTCACGCTGGGCGTCGTCGCAGAAGAGCTGGAGAGGATATTCCAGAAAGTGACGAAAATGGAGCCACTGATGTTGAAGGCGATAGCAGCGACGAGGACACTGCGCATCATATGTATGATGACGATGAATACACCCTCACCCCGGCTCAAGTCGAGGCAGGACGACGAGCGCAAGCTGCTGCTCAAAAGGACCGTTCTCAAGTTACTACGCCTGCTCTAAGCAGACGCGTCAGTCAAGACTCGTTACAGCCCAGGTTCATGGTTCCTTTGGAAAGTCCGGGAAGTCCGGGAACACCACCGAGCGCCGAGAGCCTCCTTCTTCCTCCACAGCCATTTGGCGGGTCGAACCGTTTCAGCAGCGCATCCGTTCTCTCTCTGGACTCCGTTGTTGGCAACAAGACCGACTTCAAGCTGCAGAAGGTTGATCCTTTCTTCACGGATAGCACGGGTGAGTACTACAAGACTTTCGACAAGAAATTAGATGCCTTGAACGCATCCAACTCGGAGTCGCAACTTTGTATCGAAGAGTTCTTGATCAAAAGTGAGCAAGAGTGGTTCAACAAGTTCCGAAATGCCAGACTGGGTCGCAACAAATCTCCCACGCCATCTATTCGCCACTTTTCAAGAAACACCGACACCCCGGATAATATGTACTACAATGATGATATGGCCTCCAACCATAATAGCAACGACGATATCCCTCTGCAAGACGATGAGTTCCTGCTCGGAAAGGACTATGTCCCTCCTACTGGACTTAAGAAATGGATGCAGATCAAGATTGGAGATTGGCCTGTCTACTCCATCTTCCTCGCTCTCGGACAGATCATCGCTGCGAACTCCTACCAGATCACGCTTCTCACAGGTGAAGTTGGTCAAACCGCGGAGAAGTTGTATGCAATTGCCACGATTTACGCCATTACCTCCCTATGCTGGTGGCTCGTGTACCGGTACTTCAAGTCTGTCGTTGTTCTTTCCACTCCGTGGTTCCTGTACGGCTTTGCATTCCTCATGATTGGTTCTGCTCACTTCCAAGGAGATTACTTCAGTCGTGGATGGATCCAAAATGTGGGAACCGGTTTCTACGCGGCGGCTTCTTCCAGTGGATCCATTTTCTTCGCTTCGAACTTCGGTGATGAAGGTGGTGCTCCAGTTGAAACCTGGATTTTCCGCGCCTGTGTTATTCAAGGTATCCAGCAGGCGTACGTTATTGCGCTCTGGTACTGGGGTTCCACCATGACCAAGGCTTCTTCTCAGGGTCTCTTGGACCCTGAGACCAACATCTCCAATACCTGGAAAATGAGGTACGTATCCCTGCACACTTCTCTTTCTAACTCATTTACTAACTTTTGTTCAGTGCGATCTGTTACCCCATCGCCATCTTCCTGTTTGCCGTTGGTGCTCTGTTGGCCATGGGACTTCCAAACTACTACCGCCAGAAACCCGGCAAGGTTCCCTCCTTCTACAAGTCCCTTTTCCGGAGAAAGATCGTCTCTTGGAACTTCGTTGCGGTCATCCTACAGAACTTCTTCCTCAGCGCACCATACGGTCGCAACTGGAGCTGTAAGCTGAATTCCCCTTTCCTCGCACACCTAGAGTACTAACATCCTCCAGTCCTGTGGGGTTCCACCCACACCCACGCATGGCAGATCGTCCTCCTCTGCATTGTCTTCTTCGGCGTTGTCTGGTGTGTATTCCTCTTCGTCGTCAGCAAATTCTCCAAGAAACACAGTTGGTTCCTTCCCGTCTTCGCCTGTGGCCTAGGCGCACCCCGCTTCATCCAAATCTGGTGGGGTGTCTCCGGCATTGGATACTATCTCCCCTGGGTTTCGGGATACACCTCCGGTGCGCTCGTGTCTCGCAGTCTCTGGCTGTGGCTGGGCGTGTTGGATTCCATCCAGGGTCTTGGATTCGGTATCATCCTTTTGCAAACTCTCACTCGAGTCCACATGTGTTTCGCTCTCATTGCATCTCAGGTGCTGGGTTCCATTGCGACTATCTGTGCTCGAGCTTTCGGTCCTAACAATACTGGCCCCGGCCCGATTTCTCCTGACATGACCAAGGGCGTCCATGCCTTGGCTAATGCCTGGTTCTGGGTTGCTTTGGCCTGTCAGTTGTTGATCTGGTAAGTTATTCTTTCACTATCTGTTGAAATGAACTGATCGCTAACATATTCCTGCAGTGCTGGTTTCTTGCTGTTCTTCCGTAAGGAACAACTCGCCAAACCATAAGCTCCCTTCCTTTTTGGAGCATTTCTGTTTCTTGTCATAGAACGGCTACGCCATCACGACGAACATGAATGTCAAATTAATCTCCTTTGCATACATAAAGCATGTTATTCCCTTCATTTGTGATCTATCTTGTTTCTTCTTCCGGCATCTTAATATTAATACATATTATTGTTGTACCGGGTTGTTACTCGGTTGAAAAGTACATAAAGTTCTCGCAGTGGCGAAAGAAAATATATAAGATGCCATTTCCTTGTACAATATTTATCAATGTTACTTTTATTTCCCAATTCAAATGACATAGTCTTTAGTTGGAGCCAAGTCCTGAGGCTAGGGTAGGGTAAGTAGCCCTCGCTGTTCGCACTCCATAAGGTACACTGCCCGACTCCAGACTACTAGGTCTTCATAGACTAACTGATCCATAAATAGTACTGTATTGATTGGTGTAAATATTGAAACGCAAAACGATACCACTCCAACATTCGTTTGAAAGGCGTGGGAAACCCCAGCGGGGGGGAAAAACCACACCTGGAGCTGGACAAAAGGGACAAAGTGAGCGGACCTTTCCAAGATGCCAAGGTCTGGACCAGAAATATGAGTCAAGCAAACAATAAACAGCACCTTGGTATCTAGATAGCTCGCAAATCAGGGGTTATGACCCACTGCTGTCTGATAGACCACCATACACGGCAATGAAAGCAGTAAACAACGGCCCCGGGGTGATTCGGCTGATCACAAAATGCCCATAGCTATCAGACCTCTGCAGCTTGCGAAGTGAATGGTACCAGCCCACTTAGCGACGCCCGAATTAAGGGCGAATTGGGAAGATGCAGCGAGCATTTGTGGTACCGCCATCAACGCCACCGTTATCACCACATCTTCCATCCTTCTGGAGGCCTTCTGTGATGATACTTGCGTATTTCATAGAAATGTGTGAGCGGTTCTTCGTGAAAGCACAGCCTCTGAGTCCGACCGGGATCAGCCTGGCCGAGAACACGTATGGAAGCCACGAGTTGAACGACGCGAAGTTGGGGCTGCAAAGGAAAGTATGGCGTTGGACAGGTTGGCCCTATATAAATCAGTTCTCATGTATCATCAACTGTCGATTATCAATATGCAAAACGTACCGCTCCGTAGAGGTAGACACCATTTGCGCCGCTGTAATGGAAAATGACTGAAAAGAACGAGCTGTCGAAGCAGCCAATGGGATCACAGCCAACATCGCGTTTGTAAAGTGATGTGTAGGCTTCAACATCTGTGATGTTGTACGGGTCCTGGTGCACCTCTGGAGATCGGGCAGCGAGCTCCTTGATCTGGTGAAGACTGAACGGTCCATCTTCGCTTGGTGAGACTGCGCCTGCGTTGCCTTGGTCAAATTCAGGGACTTCGATGGCAGCCACAGTGCTGTCGTTGTCGAGGCCAGCCTCCAATGGCATAGCCTGGGCAATGCCACTGAGGACAGCAGACACAGCTGCGATGATAGGGAGACGCATTTTGTCTGTGATAGGGAAGAGAGGGTGTTTGAAGACAGAGAAATGAAATCTGGATTTCAGGAATTCGCCAAAGGATGGGGCCTTTTATAGACTAACAAGAATCGCTGTTCAATCTCGCCAGTGCCACTCTATCCAACCACATAGCGATATAACAGCAGGTGCGAGATTCTCAAGCTAGACAGACCACATGTACGCCGTGTCCAATCATCCTGATGCTGGAAATTATCTGACATGCCTGTTCAGGCAAAGGCTGAGTGACTTCTGTCTATACAAGTTGAGCTCCACTAGACACACCTATTCAACCAACCGGACACACATGTGTTTCTCTTAGCGTCTTGGACAGGGATCCTACGAGACCTAGCGTATACCCTGTTATTTTCTAAACAATGGCTCTATCATGAGGGGGTGGCGGATGCTGTTACATCGGACTCCGTCTTGGGCAGGTTATTCCCGCTATACTAGGCAACTCCCGCCAGAAATTGGCATTTGCTGATTCATAAATGGAAGGATGTGTGAGAGAACTGGCTCTTGGAAGCTTCATTACATACTATAGCTTAATGCGTGGACACTATGACGATCCGGGAACCAGTCGAAACACAGTCCAAGGGAAAGATGTCCAAACGGGACAATGTCCGCGTTCAAAGGGACATAGAGTGGGGGTTGGCCGACTCAATCCGGTTACTTCTAAGAATTGACGACATTTTACCGGCTGTATCCATGACCACTATCTCCGAAGCAATATCTTCCATCCACCATGCCTACGGCCCCAAATATGCCAAGGATGGCATTGACCAGGGACCGCCCGCAGTACGTGGAAGATTGCTGTCAATATGGGGTTATCCCGTCAGACATTCAATAACAGGGTCGACAACGTTACCAGGCTTGTACAGCCACCAAAATAAGGCCCATTAGGAGTGAACTTTGATACACTAGTGAGGTCATACCTATGCAATTAGGATATGTCAGCAACGTAACCTACTAGAGGACGAGGTGAATCAGGCACCTTTTCAGTTAGCAAGACGCGAATATATCGCTTTATGGACAGTCTTCTAGTATGTAAAATCATGCCCTATAAAGGTGAAAATGAAGGAATTGCAAGATACGGGGTATGAACACAGAATGTGCACCTGGTCAGGCATATTACTGTATGATTAGTTTGTAATTAGCTTGAGATATCACTTAAATATGTCCCCGCTCTAGTAAGAGTTCAATAGATGTAGCTTTCAACCTGAGGATCAAGTTTAAAGATCGTGATTGGCTCAAAATAATCTGGGGCTAATCTCGGAAGAACCTTAAGAGCTACCAACTTAAGACCCGTCGGATCGCCGGTTCAGCGGCAGGGGCCGTTCCCCACGAGAAAATCAGGACAACAGCCAGTGTTCAGTCGTTCAACACACTTTTAGCCAACTAGCAGCAATACCTAAGTATCTAGTAATCTGAAGATAGGTCACCAAGCCAAATGATCTCAAATTGGCGATTATGCATCTAAACAGGAGTACAGTACGAAATTAGACACTAGTAATTTATCTATAATCCGCAATATATTAAACTCAAGCTTATAAGCTCTATACCTATTTAGCACCCACTAGCAGCTCGGCCCCCAGAGACCCTCTATAAGCTCAGCCCCCGGGTGCCATCAAGCAATTTGGCCCCCGGACGCCACGAATTGGAAAAACTGTAAGCGAAACTAATTTTGATTTATCTCTGAGACATTTGCATAGACAAATGGAAGTGGGCCAGAAGACAATCAGCAGGACGAAGTAATCGCTATCGTCGACACTAACTAGTGCAATCGTGACAATTTCTAGTGTGTTAGCGTAGGAAAATTTGGACTGAACGGTTCATGTTACGCATTCCCGTTTAGATGAGCAAACTGAGCAATGCTCACACTTCCGTCCTCACGGCCGCTTCTCAGACGTGGAATCTACATATCAATCCCTCTATTCATTTTGTTCCTGTTCGGTCTCAGCCACTTTGTCCATCAACCACAATACGCATTTCCCCGCGATGTATCCTCCCAGCAAAAATCACCATACTACTCCAAAGGAGGGCCTCGCCATTATTCATGGGAGAATAGGCCTTTCTTCCCACCACTTATCAATGCAGACGGAAACCTGACAGCCTCCGATCTCTGTGCAAACTTTTCCACCCACCTATTAGACCGTATCCAAGTCATCCTCAAAACAGGCGCTGGCGAACCCGAGAAGAACAAGGCACATCTTGCTACCGTTACTTCCTGCATAACCAACCTCATTGTCGTCTCCGATCACGACGAGATTATAGGCCAGCATCACTTCATTGATGTACTCGACGACCTCCCTCCAGAATATGCCTCAGACAATCCAGATTTCGCGACATACCATGCCCAGAAGCAGGCCCATTCACAAGGTGAATCAGTTGGCTATTCACAGGAAGGCTGGCGACTTGACCGCTTCAAGTTCTTGCCTATGGTTGAGAAGGCGTATGAGATGCGCCCACATGCCGAGTGGTATGTCTTCATCGAAGCAGACGTCTATTACTTCTGGGACACGTTGTTCCGCATCCTCGATCAGCTCGATCCCTCCATGATGCATTATATAGGGTCACCAGTCCCAGGAGCTCACGGTCGATCTTTTGCGTATGGTGGTGCAGGCTTTGTTTTGTCAACGGGTGTAATGAAACGCTTGGTTGGCGACTCCAGTGACTCGCGGCTTAGTGTCAAATATATGGACTGGGCTAAAAAGGACTGCTGTGGTGATGCCGTTCTTGGTTATGCAATTCTGGATAAGACTGGTGTCAAGGTGGAAGGTCTTTATCCTACGTTTGCTGGTGATGATCTCGCGTCTCTTAAAGTGAATCAGGAGAGGTGGTGTGTTCCGCTGCTTGCGCTTCATAGAATGTCCCCGGAACAGACAACGGCACTGTGGGAATGGGAGCGAACTAGGCCGTATAATGAGGTATTTGCTGTCCGTTCTGTGTATATGTCCCTTACTAAAGATGTTAGAAACCATTTCTTCACTCGTCGCTTCTCGCATATACCCACTCTCATCTCCGAGATGGGTCAACTCGAAACTTCTGGGATAACCACTCGGATATTAATAGACCAGAGGGTTCCCCTGATCATTCTTCCGCTGCGGCATGCGGCACTGCCTGTGCTGCGGACTCGAAGTGCATGCAGTTTTCTTATTCTTCCAAACAGTGTCGATTTGGGAATTCGATACAGATGGGAAAGTCTATGCCTGACAATGAAGATTTCATATCTGGTTGGGACATTGATAAAATGACAAAATTGGGGTTCAGAATAGACGCAGACTTTAGCGACTCATGTAGGGAGGCTTCTTGGCTTAAGCCTACCATTCAATAATCATCATGTAATAGATTTAATATATCAATAGAGCAATAGACAATCTCATTTACTATACGTCCAGTGGAACAAAGATATCCCCCCAGACTTGTGTAGCAGAGTAGCATGCAAAGCCAGCAGTTTGAAGATCTCGCTACACCCTAACAATATTCTATTGCTAAATCTCGCTATTCCTAATTCTATGCCTGCATGTCCATGGCAAGGAACTCTCATGTGCATGGCTCGACATTGTGTTTCGCAACCGAGTTCATGAGAAGGGCGACAATTAATCCGTATAGTCCTTTGCATGTATTAGCTTCCCACTCGTATTTCTAGATAAGACCTCATTCTCACCAAGAACTTCAGCAAAGATAAGTATCAGAATCATACCGACATACAGTCTTGGCTGCTGAGCTATTCCACGAACTCCAGCATCACCAACGACACCAATAGCGAAACTAGAATCACAAAGGATGACCTTAGCTACACCTCAGGACTTATCTATTACGCACGTAACTTACCCAGATGCTAATCCGGTAAGGCCAACGGAGAGACCTATACAAAGCTGCAATAAGCCTGTATACAAGGGCAGATTCTGCTTTAGATCATTTGCCACAAGAACAGAAACGACTAGGCCGTAGATCGCGATAATGCCAGCCATGACAACGGGGACTATATCTAAACCACGTGGAGATTAGCGTCGTATCTTTAATAAAAATGACAAATCCTTCTATGAACTGGCATTGGGTGTTACATACTCTTTATAACTAAGTCGGGTCGTAGGACAGCCGTCGAGCATACGCCAACGCCGGACTTGGCAGTTCCGTAGGCAGCACCGAAGGAAGTGAAGACTATTGCGCAGACGCAGCCCATAGAGCCGACAAATGGCTAGGAATCACAAAGTTAGTCATTTAGATTGGGGCAGTAAGTTTAGACATAGTGAGGTTTAGTTGGTGCTTAGGTCCCCACGTGTGAATATCCAAGATGGTTGGCAAACTCACGGAATACACAGGACTAAGAGGAGATTTAGTATATATCAAATGCAGGAAATTAAATTGTAGAGAGCCATGCAGTAGAAAGGGATCAGAAGGCACTGCCAGCTCGAGGTTTACTTACCAGAATTCCGAAACCATTATTCAACTTGACTTGATTATTCGCTTGAAGTGGACAACCAGATGTCAGAACACAAGAAATCAATGAACAAATTCTATGTTGCCGCAAGTAACCAAGAGGAGAACTTGAGTAGCACAGTTAGGTGGCCCAAGTGAGACATAATATCTCCAGCTTAGTCTACCGGGGGCCAACGCTAGCAGGGCCCACCTGAGCAGTCGACGGCCCCAGCGTGCTAGTGTGATTACTCCCCTGTTTTCGTATTTTTACCATTGTGACCATGGAGTCCAAATATTCAAAATGTGCTTCCCCATACTTCTGTGTAGGTGCTGGAAGTGGTGTGACTGGGTTACCTGGTATGAGGTTGAAGGACTGCAAACCCAGAGTTCACCAAGCAAACCTCCATTAGGCGAGAAGTGGATGGAATTTTGAATCACATTTGAAGTCTCCATCGCCGTTAAGGTTATCGCACGTGGAGGAAGTGATACAGGGTTCTCTCGAGTGGGACCATTTTCTATATTGAATCCGGCCCCATCCATAGAGGGGCCAAGATGACCCATCTTCGATCACTAACTGCATGTAATATTAAATAACAATTCCTTAGATTTGTCTCACTCCAGGCGTTGAACCTATGACTGCACAAATCATCAATTGAATATTCCCACTATACAAATCATCAAAACGAGCACATTCCTAGCTTTGATATCCTTGTTAATTACTGCGAATTAACTATGTACATAGTAGACTCTCAACCCCTTTAAAATTACATCTCGAGCGTATTTTAATAGCTTCACGAGTAATTTACGCCGCGAAATAGGGTCTTGCGACAAACCCCCCTTTGAAGGTCGTTGTGCAAAGCCCTTTTCAGCCTTTTCTTTTGCCGTCGACCCATAAGACTACTAAGGATAGAAAGTTGAAGTGGAAGGAACGGTGGACCGCACATCACGTGGTTCATTCCCTCCTTCCCAAACAACAAGTCGTAGGGTCGATATAATGCACTTTAAGGATCTCCTTTCGCCCTTCGGGGCATAGTGTGACGCTGAAAATATACAGAGAAGATTAGCTTGGCCCCTGCACTAAGGATGACACGCTCAATCAAAGAGAAGTTAGCAATTTTTTTTTTCTTTACATGTCCTTTTTTGAGGGTATACAGAAGTGGGTCCCATTTTAGAATGTTTAATTGGCTATTACGCTTTTAGGACATCACGTGACAGTATCCACTCATGGACGTCGTGGGTTCGAATCCGAATCTGCGCAGTCTTAATTGGTCTATTATGTGGGTCTATTCATTCACTGACATGCCATCTTTAATCTTCCTTCTCTAACGTTTGTCGTAAGAAGTTTACCTAGTAATTCAAGTATATTTATTTTCCTATCAGTCTCAATTCAGACATCAAGGAGATAGATAGTCAGGCATCTAGGCATCAAGTTTGCCTGGGGAGTTTTGTCACGTGACCCCTCCACCGCTGCGAAGTCATTCTTCCTCACTCTTCCTCCTATTCTTTTTATCTTAATCCTCTTCTTCTTGACACAAACCATAATCGACCTGAAGAAGAAGTAAATGAACTCACTGCTCTACTGAACTTATCGAATAACTTCAGGAATCGGTGCGACCAAGTCCCAGATTCCAAACGCCAAGACGCTTTTAGTGGATATATACTTTTTCAGTATAAGGTCCATGAAGAATGGCAAGACTATCTGGGAGCTCAAAATGACAGTTCTAATTGGAAGTCGAAAGTTTGAATCAATATGGTTTCCTTTACTTTTGTTTTCCAAACAGTTAAGCTGACTAGGGGGCCGCGCAGTGTGAAGGATGAGAAAGAGCTTGAATTCAGAGTGTTGGATCTCATTTTTTCTTGTTTTTCTATAATAGCATTATATTCTTAATACGAACATGTTAAAATGAGGTTATCAGTTATTTCAAGAGGTAAAAGTACAAGTTACAGTTCTGGCCCCCAGATCGCCCCAAGATCCGCCCCACACTATGTAGCCTGTCAGTGGATCGCGATCGTCAACTCTAAAGCTACTTTGTAGTTCGGGCATTTAGAAGTCTCAGTAACAGGTAGAGGCCAGGCTGATCTGGACTTAGTATAAATGGAATCTAGTACAAAAATTAAGATTATCTTTTTGATTTTATAATCAAAAACCAGCTGTGAGCCTCTGCCCACTGCCAGTCACAAGTTTATATAAGTTCCCCATGAAACACCGTATCATTTCTTCGATGCTCTATCACCGGTAGTAGGCACCGGCTTCGCCAGTCGCAGACACCAACATAGCGCATATTCAAGCGGAAGCAACAAGATAAGAACTCTATTGAAGCGGTAGGACAGTGTAACCGTAAAGATCGCCACAACCGCATCGAGCCAGTAATGATTTGCCGTAGCGACGATAACACTGAGCACGAGAATCGGGTAACATATAGCTAGCGCCAAAAAGCCAAACTCGGTCAGGCGAGACTTCTGCGTCGGCTTGCGTTGGAGTCGCTGCAGGAATCCCGAGTGGTGGAGGAAGGTGCACCCAATCACAAAGGCATATGTAAAGTGTAGACTGGGCATGGCAGCGAATTGATTCACGGATTTTCCACCGACCCAGATGCTTTCGGCGTTTCCTTGGCGCACGGTGTCGTAAAATCCGTATGATTCTGGGAGGAGTCGGGGTGGCATGAGGGGGTAGACGCAGAATACCAAGAAGGCGGCGAGGTTTCCGAGTGTCATTGTGCGTCGTGCTATGGCGAAGGAGGCGTGGTTCTTGGCGACGTAGTAGTACCAGGAGAGGAATCTGGTTTTGGTTAATTGATTGTGTTGGAGATGTATCGCGTCATGGGTACTCACAGTACTGTTCCGGGAATATGAATTAGTGAATAAATGCGATTGAACATAGTCAGAATCGATGGGTGATTGTGGATGAAAAAGGATTGGAAATCGGATTCGTTGATCGGGAATATCCAAGAAGCGGTTTTATGTTCGAAGTCGAGGACGTCGACGGCATGGCCTCGTGCTACTGCGACAACGCCGATGTCGGCGGGGGAGAGCCACTGCGCTGTGGCTTTGGTCACGGAATAGAACAGGTAGTTCATGATCCAGTAGAACATCTCGACCAAGAAAGGAAGTTTCTGTAGGATTCTGCTGTGGATGTGGTGCGCCCAGCGAGAGGAGTCCCGATTCTCGATATTGATCCCGTATACATTTTCGGATTTGGTATGTAGATCGTCGGTGAGATGAGGTTCGTTCAAATGGGCATTTCCTTCTTCTAGAAGTGTGTATTGGCTTTTGCTGGAGTCTCTGCGACGGTTCACAATCAACGACCCAACCATAATACCCACGACCACCTGTTGAGATTAGCACATGTTTAGCAAAGCACGTGGGTTGAACTTACAATAGGCTCAAGCCATGCGTGCGACGCTAACTGGGGTTTTCCCAGGTCCGGTGTATCTGCCCGAATAACAAGTTCCATATTTGCAGTTGAAAAAGATAAGGAGAAAAGACTCCCCAAACTGGAGAAAGCAATGAAGCAAAATCCAAAATCAAGACATGAAAGGGGGAAAAAGCAAGTCGCGTGCCTTGAAAATGTGCCAATTATGCATAATATACAATACCGATGTAATAAATATACGAGTACGGGATCTTGGAAAGGGTCGGAATAGAATCCCGAGTGGAGATCATATTAGGCTTGAAGAACTGGGTCCCTACGGAGTACACACTGTCTATTTACCATTTACCATAGTTATCTCTCTACACTTCTGAACATTTCAGAAATCTAGTCCAGGGTGAAAAGCACAAAGGAAAAGCCGCCAAGGCTGGGAATCAAAGCAAGGGAGAAGCCTATCGCTTAGAATAGTGTCGAGTGGTTTAAAATATGCGCCTTCCCCCCTGTGAACGCGAAGAATGGAGTCTGGACCTATCATGTCTCGCTATCCAAGAATTGTGCCTTGGCAATCTGATATACTCAGCTGAATAGATCTAGCCTCAACTGTATAAATAAGACACGGACAAACCGCTATCCGAAGCCTATCCGAAGAAGCCGCCGTACTCGTATATAGCAACATCTAACCTTAAGATTAGAATATGCTTTTTAGTGTCTTTTGCACCAAATCAAATGTGTTTCAAAGATTAGACTAGTCTGGACAGGCCCAGCGCCATTCCCAGATTTGCTATCGTATGTTGTACAAGTTGGAAACCAGACCAAGGTAATGTTGGCAATTATGGATACAATATATCCAATCATGCCGATCCCTTCAACGCTGAGTGGAGTGATAAAATAATCAAGTCTTGGGAGATTTTCAACCTCGGCTTCAAATTTTTATGCAAACTGGAATTGCGGATACTCCCATATCGAATTGATATGAAAAAAGCGAAAACTTTTACCTTTTACTCCGTATAGTGAACCCATAGAATGATTAGGATTCGTGAAGAACCCCATAGTTACCCATAGTTATAATCTACGTCCAATCACCATCTAGTAGTCCACTACTTGGCGCTATACGTATGCGAAACTTTCACGTGCAGATTATCCACTTTTTATGCAATTTAGTCTCATCTGAATGGTGCCATCAATGGGCAGATCAGGGCCTTTTGTTCCGCTTAGTAACATTATGCAAACAAAACAAATTTTGAGGTGATAGTCCGAGTATAGGAGTTTTAGGAGTTGGTGAATATTGTCACACCATGTTTCGTATTCGCTCACCGGTATCGGCAGACCCGGTTAGATAGACTTTAACATAGGTCTACGGACTCGCAATGTCCAAAGCCCAATTGTATATCGTCATGGTCAAAAAGTGTGATGTGAGCGTTATCTTTAGAAACCACCATAGAAGAAAAAGACTGTGAGAGGAGGGAATGCTTTGTTGACAATCACTATGTTTCAAATTGGTCGTCAGCGCGCTTCAGAGATCGACATCATACATAACTTAATGTTGTTCTATTTATGGTTGTGTACGTTGAAATTAGGGTTGAAACTAGGGTCGAGGCTAGCACTCCAGGGCCTGCACTCGCACTAGTTAGTAGTTAGCACTAACACCGGGGGCCTTAGGCAGCAAGGCTTTCAATTCTTGTATCCGACAACTTGAAGACACTGCCTATCTATTAAGAAATAATCGTATCGAATGTGATCATCCTATACTAGGCTTTAGGGCTGCAGGTTTTCAAGGTTATAGAACACCCGGTTGGAATGAGGCATGTCCATTTTTATAGTCTCTATACCAACTCCCTTCGTGAATATACCAAGCTAGGTAATTCTGACCAATCTATATAGATGAGAACGAGTGCTGTGACCATTTATAAGCAGATATAATAATTCTTCGTTGCAGGGGTCGATATCACCCCCATAAATATGTACATAATTTATAGTTGTAGTTCCCAAGCCCTACATCGCACCTGCTTCATTTCAAAATTGCACTGATAGCAATGTCATATGTATACCCCACGGATTCTAACTCTTCTCCAAATCACCAGCCTCGTACAAAATACCCATTCGCTTCCAACCTTCCATCATGAAACCCTTCCACGACACACGGGGATCAGGGGAACACTGGGACTACGGGAAGCTCGCCATTGCCACAGCCTCCACTCTCGGAGTCATCACCCTCGGGGCCCTCATATACTTACTAGTCTGGTACATTAAACGAAGACTCCGCACCCAACGACTTCACCAGGAAAGTCATGAGAATGACCAGTTCGACCAGTCCGCAGTATCCCTAGCCGAGGACACAAGCAGAACCCTAGATGACTTCCTCATGAAGGATATCCAGCCTGAACGAAGCTCAATCATGTTCAACAGAAGCCGGTCTCCGTCTATCAGCATCGTCATTGAAGACGCAGACACTATCCGCTGCAAGTCTTCACTTCGGCCTTACCTCATACAATATGATACAACTTCTTCATCCAATACAAGCACCTCACAGACCCTAACCCAGGAATCGAGTCCCGATGAACCGCGGTCAGACCAGACTCAGTGGAGCAGCTCGGGACAGCGTTCATCAAGCACAACCCCAAGAGCGTCCACCTCGTCATCCATCATCCCAACATCAGAATCGTCCCAAATCTGGACTACAACTACCGGCACATCGGAGCAGACTCAGAGCAGCTCGGGACATCGTTCCTCAACTTCAACTCACAGAGCATCTATCTCCTCATCTGTCGTTCCAACAGCCGGATCCTCTCAGATCTGGACTACCACTTCTGCTGGGACCGAGACGTTTTCGCTCATAAGTCAATCCTCAAATTCCCATCAAAGTCCAACTAGTCCAATTGCAGCCCGCAACTCGCAGGTATTTACACGTCGATCGAATGCTGCTTTTGGTGCATCGAGTCGTCCGTCCAGTGTCTTGCAGGCTGCATCTCGCATGTTCAATGAGGCGGAGGCTGCTCGGATGGGTTACTCGAGGAATTTTGGATCTGTTGGGTCGATGACTCCCACTCCGCCTGTTTCGCCGGTGTTGGTGGACGTTGCTGAGAATGATTTGCCGCCATGGTCCTCTGTTCCCCCGGCCCCTTTTCCTTTTAGTCAGCCGTGACCGCTCATGGCATACAGTTTGTTGCTGACTTGGTCTTGCTTTTTCTTTGCAGTTTCGAACCCGGGGGAAAGATTGGGATATATTCACATTGCACTTGTGACTAGGGGACTGTCGGTCTTTTATTCCCCCTTACTGTTAATGTCTGGAAGGTTATGTTCTTGGACTTGATTTCTTTTTGCTGACACCTCTTATCCATCATGTATAGTTTCCTGGTTTTTTCAATGCTAATTTTTGGATCAATCCACTGCTCAGTTGCATGTTAATCCAACCTAGAAGGTGGGAAATGCTAAGTTGGAACCGCATCAAATATCAGCTATTATACAGGAAGATGAGTTGCTAGAGCACTATCCTCAACAACGTTTTACGAAAGCATAGGAATAGTATGTTGAAGAGCTGGAAGAGAATTCTAACAATATTTAATTGCCAGTCGTTTGACCTGGAAGAATTGAATGAGTGATATAGAAGTAATACCCAAGAGACTGGGTTCATGGACTGATCGTGTTGGTTCCATCTCCGTTTCTGGCGCAGACTGAGTCTTCATATTTCGAATACTGTTCCCAGCCGGTGTTCCTCCTTTCCTCCGCTATCATAGCTTCCGTCACAAACATGGAGGATCCACCTCCGAGATCTAAAAAGGACCATCACTGATACCAGGAATATCAGTAAACAAATGATGTCTCTCCATAGTGGCAGCAGCTCTAGCATGCCGATCCGCCTTGGTATTCCACTCCCTCGGGATCCTCCAGAACTGCACAGTCAACCCCCTCTCCTGCCACATTTCCACCTCCCCAAGGAGACACTCCCAAAGATCCCGATTCCGAACCGGTTCCCCAGCAGTGGTAACCCAACTCCACGTCAACCATTCCCAAATCCAGCTCGTAATACCATAAACCACATATTCCGAGTCCGTAGCAATAACCAACCGAGTGAATCCCTCCGCAGCCCAGTCCCGATATCGCAGCGCTGCAATAACAGCGCGCAGCTCGGCGCGGTTGTTTGTCAGCGTGTGCTGTTGACCAGTCGGTCCTTTGTACTCGAGAGCGAAACGGGCGAATCCAGATGTGGAATCGTTGAAGACGAAGGAACAGCCTGCTTTGGCGTTTATTCTGCCGTTGTCGTAGCATGCTCCATCGGTGTAGATGAGGAAGTCTGTCTCGATGGAGCGGTTGTCGGGGGTTTTACGGATGAATCGGTGGACTCGCTCTCTCATTGTCACTTTGGGACAATGGGGGAATAATGATTGTGGGGTGTCGTTTGGGTTTGGGGGTTTGAATTCTGTGGGGATGATGCGGCCGCTGCCGACTCGGAGTTCTGTGTATAATCTTGGTGGTATGTAGCCTGCGAAGATTGGTCTAGGGTTTGGTTGGAAGGACATGGTTAAATAAGTTGGGACTTGGGGATATAGTCAGTCAATATGCATTCTTTGTATAAGGCAAGAAACATACCTTCAAACGCTGAGTTCAGTACAGATATGAACATGCAAGAATTCGAGAGGACGAAACAAAAGGAAGGACAGGGCTATAGTATTGCTCCTTCCCTATTTGTCCAGGATGCCTGAGGCCAAGAAGCCAATGATCATGATATTTCATTGAATACATAGTGAGCTACAGAAAAAAAACAAAGGGGAAGTCCCACCTCCACGCGCCTCGCTATTCCAGCCCAGGAGACGCTTCAGACATAAAACCAACAAATATTAAAAAGCAACACATAAGCAAAGTACTCGAACACATGTCCGCCATGAGATGTACATGAAGTAGAAATGAGAAAAAAGAAAGGTGGAAGTCCTTGACATCTATCCGAATATATCTTCATCTTCATGCATTCATGCATTCATATCGCGCACGCTACGGAGACACCGTTCAAGGCGCTTGCCGCGCTCCTTTTCGCGTACAAGGGTATCCTTGACAAATGCTCGGATCGCGTCACGGCCGACCTTTTCCCGCCATGAAGTCCAGCCGGCGAGTTCGCCGACGACAACATCCTTGTTCCACGATACCTCCTTCGCCAGCCGAGTGGACTCGGATTCACCATCGCGAATCTTTTGTTCGAGGTCACGGACGGACTTTTGTCGAGACTCTTCAAAGCCTGGCAGGTTGATATTGAATTTGCGAGGGAGGGAGGAAGAGAGGAGGGAGGAGCGAGAGCGAGAGATGTGACGGTTTGTTGAAGAGAGTGAAGACATGAGAGCCAGTGGACGGGATAAAGAAATGAGAATTGCAGCCGTGGTGTTGTCGACTGAGGAAAGAGCTGCCAAATATTGCAGGAGAGGGGAGGAGTCAGACCTAGAGGTCGACAGGTAGGTAGCGTACCGAGCAAAGGCCTCGATGTGTGAGACCGGGAGTGCATTGGTGGGCGCTCGGAGTGTAGCAAGGACAGATGAGCATATCGTCACCGCATCGGCGAGATCAGATGTTGCATTCTGCAATGCATGCCCTCGGCGGATAAGGGAACGCGTGTTGACGTGTACACCGCGCACCATATCCTGAGCGTGGGTGATGAATTGTTCTGTGTCCCGCATGCCCTCCAGTGAGACCGGAGCGTATTCATCCGCGATGGTCTCTGTGAGCACAGCAGCCTTACGGTACGATCGATCGGCCACCATCTCAGGCTGAAGTTCCGGAACGAGGAAGAACTCCCACAGCATTTCGTGGGTTGAAAAGGTTGGATGGGCGAGAAGTGTCTTCAGGAACCGGTCCAACTTTTCCTGGAGATCATGGAGCACAGACCGTGATGGCTTCGAATGGATCTGGAATGGATTCCGAAAGTCTGAGAGGGACGGCATGTAAGAGGCTGGATGTTCCACTGCAAGCCATTTAGCCAGATTTTCAAAGTCGGAGAAATTGCGGCGACAAGTCGTGACAGTGTATATTGTCGATCCGGGCCGCGATGATGCCATGGATTCGGAGGGAGGAAAGGGTGCGCCGGATTTGAGAATAAAGCGCACGGTTGCGTCCTCGACAAAGTACGACCGCACGACTGTTGTGACACGACCAGAAGGATCACTACAGGCTGATGGAGGATGGGATAACAAGATCAGATCGTCGATGCGATTTCGCACCTCATCATCCTTGGCCAATTCCACGGCTGTTAACCCGCGGGCTTCTTTAATATGAACGTCGACCCTTGGGTCTAAGAAAAGAATGCGAACTTGATCAACTCGCCCGTACTTGCTTGCCATCATCAATGGCGTAAATCTCTTGTCGTTGGTCGCATTGGGATCGCAATCGCTTTCCTGCAATATGCGCCGTGTAATCTCGGGATCCCCAACAATATGAAGCAGTGTGTTTCCCTTCGTATCGACATGATCATCAAGCTGAAGTGGTTTATTGTCGCCTTGTGCCCATTGCGCTGCAGTCAAAGCGGCTTGGACCATTGATTTGTATTCCGGATGATCATACGATCGACAAAGTGCAAAGAGTGGTGTTTGTCCATGTTTGTCCCGTTGTCGCCATGGGATAATGCTACCAAGTCTCCCTAGCAGCGAGGGTGTGCTGAAAAGATAATGGGCAACAGTGCGACCGTGGACGTCAGATTTCGTCAGGTAGAATGCAACCACGCTTGTGTCTGTCTTTGCAAATAGGAAGTCCAAGAGAATATTGACTATTTCAGTGTGTGCGAGTTGCACCGCGGCGTTTAATAGCGTGGTCCCATCAACGTTGGTGTCTTGGATGATTTCTTCCAAGGGGTAATATTCTTCTAGAGTCAACAGGTACTTCAAAGCCTCGGCCTGACGGGCCTCCACTGCCATCATCGGTATAGAATGACCAGCAGGATCTTGGGTTTTTGTCAGCGTCTCAATCGAACTATCACCTTCAATCCCACTAGTCATGGACCCGAGGGTTGCGGTCCTGGAGATAAATGAGATAGCTGATGATTCCGATAGGCTGCGAACGTCCATTGAAACCTTCTTAATTGGACGGTGCGGGTGTGATTCTTGGATAATCGAAGGATCGGCCCAGGTTTGGAATGGGAACACATGGGATAGCGGTGGTGCATCGACAACAGCTTCATCCCGGTATGAGCCGCCATTGGTATGACTCGTGTAAGAGTGCTCGAGAGGGAGATCATCCAGCTCATCAGCTTCATCTGTCTGGAACAAGACAGACTTCCGCTCTGGTTCCGGTGGAGTCGTGTCGTCTATTGATTCGTGATCGCCGTTCGGTTCTAGTATTGATTTCATATCCGATATTCTGCCAGCTTTTGTTGCTTGCCACAAACGTCTGTTGCGAGCGCTGGCGCGCCGTAATCCGGCGGAGTCGGTTACGAGATACATCAAAACAGCTTCAAACGTGCTTAAAGCATATCCCATCTCGCCATTATCAACGTCGTCGATGTAGATAAAGTGCTGCATGTACAACAATCGAGCTTGGAGATGCCGTACTTGAGAACGAATGACAACAATAAGCAATAATGACACCAAGACATCAGCATTGATCGTGACAGAAGAAGTTCCCTTCTCAGATGGCGTGCCGTCCATTTGATCATAACTTCCAGGGAAGGAGATGACCTTCACTGTTCCAAGGAGAGTATTCAGCATATCATGGGGACACCGAGCGTCATTGATCTTCCGAAATTCTTCCACAGCTCGCCCAAGTCGGCGAATCAGTTCTCGCTTCCCATCATGTCCACCTTCAACGGAGATTCCGACTTGAGACACATCGATGCTCTCCATCTGGCGAATGCGGGCATCCAGCTCTGTGTCCTCCGGTTGCCGGAACGAACAAAGACGAGGGAAAAGCAGGGGCTCGTGGACTTGCTCGGCGACATAACGTTCTATTAGCCGCTCCACAAGAGGACCGGTGAGGTCAGTAGTCGCACCTAGCAACGACAATTGCTGCTTGTCAACCAGGCGGAAAAGATCAATAGCAGCAGTCACCGCAGTTTCCAAGCTTCGACGCATGAGATCTTCATCGTCCTCGAAGTATTCTTCGGAGTTGAATGGCAATCGCCCTCTACTGCGTGACGACCAGCTGCGGATAGAGGAGCTTTCGTCTGTCCAAGACTCGGCCCGTGATAACTTATGGACGCGTTCACTGCCGGATGCAGATGGCGATCGTGACGGAGGAGGCGGCAATGGTTTACCAAGTTCCTTTCCAAACTCTTTGAATAGTCTTTCCAGGCCCGGCTGCATTTGTCGAGCAATCATCGGGTAATTGGCTAGCAGTTCCCCAAAAGATTTGATATCTTGTTTTGGTGGGGTCCCAATTGAATCTCCATTTCCATATTTCTTGTCCGGGGCAGTCGGTACAATCCCGGTGTCGGTCCCAGGAACTACTGCTTGTAAAACCTTGCCAGGGTCATATGTTCCGATCAACGGGCGAGAGATGTAGTAAATCAGCCATGGGCGCGAGTCATTGGACGGGGAGTAATAGAGCACGTCGGAGAGCAGTTGGGCCTGTGTGAGTGACTTGAATCCTGATAGAAAGTACCGGGTTAGCGAACATATTTGGGTGAGCGCATTCACCAGCGAGGGCTCTCCACCTTTGTTGCTGTACACTGAGTTGTCCTTGATGATCACCGTCCTTCCATTGAATGTAGTAACCTGCTTTGCTTTCCCCCGATTTTCGCGCACATTGTTTTCCTCCTTGGTATTTGCAGAGCCATTATGAATTGGAATGCGAAGCACATGGCTTCCTAGAAACTCTTCTGACGCGACAAGATCAGAGTATAGCAGGTTGGACTCCCGGTCGCGTGAACCGATGAGAGATTCTGTCGTTGGAACAAGCAAGACCTGAAGGAAACAAACAGCAAACACCAATTAGCCACTCCGGATGATCCGACAATAAATTCACAGCCTCCACCTACATGATTCTCAACCGGTATACACTGGCCAGGAACAGTGCTTCGAAAGAAGGCACGGAGAAAAGGGTTTAGAGGGTGCATCCAAACGGTTTTGGACGGCCCAGTCCTTCGACTCCAGCAATCATCAAGCCGTCCGTCTCAAATCTCCGCAGCAGTGGATATGTGCGCCGTCAGATTTCGCGGGGAAGGGCAGCTTGCATGCAACAGGCAGCAGCTTAATATGAAGTCAGAATAGCTTGGATTTAGTTAACAGAGCTGCAAATAAGCTTGAACAAAATCACCATGCTAGATCACAGAAAACAAGAAGCCACAAAGATAAGAGTTGAAGCAGAAGCACATGCGTCGCGGGTGAATCGAGAACGTGATCGACAGGATGATGGGCGCTATACCGCATTGGGTAATTCTTCCATTCAATACACTGCAGCTTGCGCTTCCTCCTAAACAGCTTCGGAGATTTCTTAACCTATTTTGTCAGGGTAAAATCTCTATTTACAGAGGTATTACAGGTAGATTTTGTGTAGTCCTGTCATGATATTTCTAATATACAGATAATAGATGGCGACAGGCACGCCATGTAGATAAAAACACAAAAAGGACTGCCGTGTCTCTCCGCACAATGCAATCAAGTACAACTATGCCGCACACAAGCAGCTAACCCAAAACAAAACCATGATCTCTCCCGTGAAGGGAGATCAACCCAGTCTACGCACGTGTCTGCTGCGAGTACCACCAAACTTCAGTCGAGTGGAGTCAGTCACTCGCGCAACAAGCCCCCGAAGGTGTCGTCCCTCATTGCCCAAGAGAACCTTTGTGAATGCCTCGCGGCCCTTTCCAAAACCACGGTAGATCACCTCCAACCGTTCGATCTCCATCAGGAAGCCCTTTTCCTGAATCTGGGTCATGAAATGAGCGGAAAGTTGGTATGCCGGATCAAAGCCGGAGCGACCAGCTTTACGGAAACCGATCTGACCACATCCAATGGACAGAAGGGGGTTGCCATTTGGTCGGGTCAAGGTAAGGATTGTGTTGTGCTTGTGGCAGTAGACGTGCAGGTGGTAGGGAGGGGCTCGGTCGGCGTAGGGATTCTTGATCATGTCGGCTTCAAGGCTTTCAGCCATCCTGGAGTATTCAGAGCTACCGCGCGAGGATGGTGGGCCAGATCTCTTGCCCTGCATCATTTGTGTGATTGCAGAAAGCGGCGACGCGGAACCGGAAGGTGTCTCGGGTTCTCGATTCAGCATTTGGTTCTCAATGTCGCTACCATCGTTGCGCGCAGAACGTGTGCTTTGCTGCGAGAATAGACGTGTGATATTCAAGGGGGTTCGAGGCTGGGATTGGCGGCACACCGAGGGCAATGCCTTGGTCAACGTCCTCATGGAAAAGGAGCTCATCGTGGTGACCGGGATTTGCGAGAAAGGACGGATAAAATATGAGAAAAGCAGCACTGAGTTATAAACCGCCGATCAGTTAAACATAAATCGCCAATTCGAAATGCCGAGATGACCACAAAGCGCGGGTGGTGTAGAGCCGCTGTCGGACCGAAGGGAAACGCTGGAAGTTTTTCGAAGTCTTGGCATCTGCACTTTTTCCCTTCCCCGAGATCTTTGCCTCTCCCCATCTATCTTCTTCATACCGCGTCCAGGCTGGGCTGGAATTCATCTTTCCTGTACCCTCATATTTAATTCTATTTTATTCTCCTATCGTATCAACTCTCCAGAGCATGATTCCGGCCAAGATGTCTGCGGCACGAGCCGTTTCCTTGCGGTCCCAGGCGCCGTCTCTCAGAGCATCTTCTCACCGGTTGTCTCACGCCGGATCATACTCGACCCTCTCAACCTTTACGCACTCTAAGAGCCACCGAGCCATCCTTCAATCCCCTTCCCACCCCATTTCTCAACTTGTCTCGCCGTTCGCCGCTCTCCCTTTGACCCGGTCTTTCCACGCCGCAACTTCCCTTTGGCAGCAACAGCAAAAGCAACAAGAAGGAAAGCAGGGTGAGAACGAAAAGTCCGAATCAGAGGGCGAAGAGTCCAAGGAGGAGAAAAAAGAGAAGAACGAAGAGAAGGTCCCACCACCACCCCATGGCGACAAGTCTCCTTGGCAGGTATTCCGTGAGACTCTGCAGTCCGAGTTCAAGGCCTCCAAGGAATGGGAGGAGTCCACCAAAGCTCTAGCATCCTCAGCTCACCAGTTCACCGAGAATGAGAACGTGAGACGTGCGCGCGCTGCCTATGAGGCTGCGTCATCTGCTACGACCTCCAAAACCTCCACAGCCATCAAGACAACCGGTCAAGTCATTGGAAAGGGAGCCGCTTGGACATGGAACACCAGCGTTGTGAAGGGCGTTCGAAAGGGTGTCAACGCAACCGGAGAGGGCCTTGAGAAGGCCACCAGACCCGTTCGGCAAACCGAAGCCTATAAGAGTGTGAAGGAAGCCATTGATGACGGCAGTAGCTCACGCTATGGTGGTTGGGTCGAGAAGGAGGAACGTCGCAAGCAGCGGCAGCTTCGGGAGGAGCAGGAGCTCAAGTCTGGAAAGTCTATTCGCGTTGAGGAGAGAGTTGAAGACCCCAAGTAAGTTTGGTTGATGGCGAGGTTTCAGTTTTCGAGTTTCTGACTGAGTTATTTCCAGTGCCGGTACGAACATCACTCTCCACAAAGATTCCGCCTGGAAGGATTCCTGGAAAGACTTCAAGGACTCCAACCCCTTGATGCAGAAGCTCTTCACGATCAAGGAGAACTACAACGAGTCCGAGAACCCCCTGATCAGCACAGCCCGCAGCATCTCCGACCGTGTTGCTGGCTTCTTCGCCGAAAATGAGACCGCCATGGTCATCAAGAAGTTCCGGGAAATTGATCCCAACTTCCAGATGGAGCCTTTCCTGCGTGAAATGCGCGACTACATGTTGCCTGAAGTCCTCGACGCTTATGTCAAGGGAGATGTTGAGACACTGAAGCTCTGGCTTTCAGATGCCCAGTTCCACGTCTACGCTGCTCTCGCGAAGCAGTACACTACTGCCGGACTAAAGTCGGATGGTCGCATTTTGGATATCCGTGGTGTTGATATCTCTCACGCCCGTATCTTGGACCCCGGTGACATTCCTGTATTTGTCGTCACCTGCCGCACACAGGAGATCCACGTTTACCGCAAGATCAAGACCGGTGAGCTTGCCGCCGGTACAGATGACAAGGTTCAGCTGGTCACCTACGCCATCGGATTGACTCGTATCCCCGATGAAGTCAACAACCCCGAAACCCGTGGCTGGAGATTAATCGAGTTGCAGAAGGCTGCCCGTGACTACATCTAAGAGCGCGATCTAACCCTCTCCATTCTATACTACCACACCTTTCTCTATCTTATCGTGGGCATATGCCCTCGTGGACCTCAACTCCTTGCATCTTGACTTCCACTTCACCCCTTTCACCTGTACAATACAACTGTTTGATATCAAGCCAGGTGGATCCTGGCACCTGTTACGGTTATGCCTGTTCCAGTGATTGCGAATTCGGGCCTTCGCTGGGTAATCGGATTTTCTTTTTTTTCATGTATTAATGCTTCATTTGGTCTGAGATTTTGCTTCAAGTCTTACGAGGACTTACGGCTCTCAGTCCGCTCAAATCTGTTCCGTCCTTCCCATAGACTAGGACGCGTTGGATTTTATCTGATGGCATTTCGCTGGTTCTTGAGGTGTTCTCCTGGCGTCTTTGTGCATTTTCTTTCCACTCTCCCCTCGCCACCGTGTATGACTGCATTGGGTTGTTGGTTTTGGTTTCTGTTGGGGCCAGAATAGGTCGCCAACATATGAGGATCCTTAAAATCATGTAAATATATAAAGAGACGTTTCTAACCTGAATTATTTTCCTGTGTGTTGTAGCTATCTTGATAATATCGAGAGACCAACTGTAAAAAGATATATATCCGCGCCCTACTACAAAAACATCATGCAACCAAAGAACATTTTTGTTCTTTTCCATAAATCTTCAATTCAATTCATTTACTTAATTTATTTAATTGTAGAGCATCTGCTATCCCTCACCCGTGACTTCGCCAAACGCAGTCATGTCTTCGAAAAGGCGATGGCAGTAGACAACAGCATGCCGGTGCAGTCCCTTGTGTTCCCATCGGACGGATTATGGAGTTTCTCCTCGGTTCGATCATAGCCCCGTTCACTTTTCCAGTGCGTGTTGGGTTATGATAAACTGGGTAAGGTCTATCTTGCAATAACTAGTCACACATCTCGCCTCAAGATTGGAACTGAAAACTCCCTGAATATAACCGCTAGGACTTGTCTGGTGCGACCGCCTCTGGAACATCCTTTGCACAAGTTCCTTGTAGATGTCTTTTGCGACTCTCTCCAAACAGCTCTTTGCGGGGAAACGGGAAAACCAGCAAATACCCGAGAATTGAACTTCCTTGACCATGTCGATGGCAGGCTCGAAAAGCTTCCCACAACAACAGCACTTATCGCCGGTAGGCTACTTCATGCCACGCGCCTTGTTGTATTGGTGAGATCCCACTGTTCGACAAACGCATACATGGCTATCACATAATCTGCAACCTTGTCATGCGCGTCAATAATGATCCTGTAGACGCGCAGACAGTTGAGGGGAAGCTTGGTCGGCGTTGAGACTTTTTAGAGGATTGCCTTGGTTCTTGGTTTATGTCTTTGTCCACGCGGACTCCATTTGATGGCCTCTCGCTTGCACTGCGTCGCTGTATTGGCGACGAGAGGCAGAGTCCGAAATTGACTGGCGGTCCAAGCTCAGGGGGAAACACTTTTGAGACCATCGATCGAATGACTGTCAGTCTCGTTACTCCACCGGATATTGGAGTTGCATTGGTTGCAGCAATCTCCAGGAACAGAACATGTATTTTCTAGTGCCTTGGTGGACCGAAACAATAGATGGGCCGGTGCTGGAACTTGATGTGCCGTGCCATGGAATCTGCTAATGACTTGAGTGTTGCGAGAGATGCCTTCCAGTTGTTTGCTGGCCCTACAGACGCTTCGAGCGGACTTGTATGGATGATGTTATTAGAGGTATCGGTGATCGAATACACGACAAGTCTTTGGTCGCGGTTATGGGTCAGATAGTCTGCGATGTCCTGGGATGTGTTGGTGGCCCAGGGAGACACTCCATGTGAGGACTGCCTCGAGATCTCTCGCTTTGCCTGAGGGCATCCCCCTCTCTCGTTTATAATAGCCTCAACTCTAGGTATCACTAGAGCCGCACTTGCCGGATTCCAGAATTATAGGATTATAGACTTGATATAGTTAATTATAAGTCTTGGGTTACCAAGAGGAGAATGAAGAAAAGAAGAACTGCAGCTCTATTGAACATTCTATTTGAACAAACATGATAGGCCTCAAACGCAGTCCGATCTCAGGTAGGCGACCTGTACAAACAGGCCACATAAGCATTTCGTTCACGGCGTGTGGCTTCTACAAAACTTGATCTATAGAGAGGGTGATGAAGCTGGGCATAATTGCAGTGACGCATGGCGTGCTCTTCAACAAAACCTAGAAGTTCGACCGACTCTGGGGGATCTTCTTAATCGACATTTGATTGAGGCAAACATGGTGATCGAGAGATTATCTACTAGTGGAATGTCCAAAAGGAAAGCAAGCGACTCTTTTTTTCTTTCTAAGAAACGCTTTGAAAAGTGAATTTGCTACATGGTATATCAGATTGCTTCTTTCAATTTCATGGCATCATCGAATCCAGACATTTATTTCTGGCCTCCAGCACCACCGGCACCACCGCCCATCATGTTCTTAGCCCTGTGTGCGAATTGTTAGTAATGTGATTTTGGAAGCCTAGTCCTGGAGGTATTTCATAGACTTACATATCCGCGATGCTGGGATCGCTCATCAGGCTGGACATGTCAGGCATGCCACCACCCTGGCCAAAGCTTTCAGCCATCTGACGGAGGCGGGGGTTGCTCATCAGGTTGCCAAGCATATCGGGGTTGCTCATGAGATTCTGTGCCATGCTGGAGAACATAGGGTTACTCATCAGAGAGCCCAGGTCGGGCATACCACCAGCACCGCCGCCGGCTCCACCGCCAAGCATGCTGGCCAGGGAAGACAGGTCAGGCATGCCACCGGCACCACCACGCGAGGCACCAGGAGCAGTGTCCAGTTCCTCAGATGGAGGCTCGGTGGTCCGGGAAGTCTCTTCGAGCTTCCGGGTGGAGGTCTCCAAGCCACGCTTCATGGCCTCACTGCCACCGTTACCCTCTGCTTCAATACCCTTCTCGTATGCCTCCTTGGCGGCATGGTAGTCACCCATATCGAAGCGAGCGAGACCCAAGCGGCTCCATGCCTTGGAGTACTTGGGATCGGCAGTGGTAGCAACCTCAGCATCGGTAGCAGCCTTCTCGTGCTGGCCCGAAGCGGAAAATGCGGCGGCGCGGTTGGAGAGATAGATGGGGTTGGCCGGGGCGATCTCGAGAGCCTTAGTGTATTGGGCAATGGCACCGGCGTAGTCCTTCTTAGCCATAAGAGCATTGCCCTCGGACTTCAGCTTATCGGATTCCGGTGTAGGCACACCGACCTTAGGCTTCTCTTGCTGGGAAGTCTGAGCTCCTGCGGCAGGCTGCGGGGTCGACTTGTTGCGCAGCTTCTCGTAGACGCTGTAGATTCCGGCCAACGATTGTCCACCTACGGCATCCTTCACAGCAGCCTCATCGGTGGGATCGACTTTGAAGGTATCCGCGATACAAGACTGGGCAATCTCAATTGATTCGGCATCGTCGGCGGTGAGAGTGCCATCTTTCAGGCTGGAGCTGAGGAAATCAATGATGGCCAAGGCCAAGCGCTTGTTGCTTTCTGTTGGAGCCTGCCATACATTAGTTCCACGAATCGATCACAACAGGCAAAAAGCTTACCATTATAGCAACCTTCAATGAATATTTAATGAAAGATAGACAGCGTTCAAGAATGATCGAGATGGAAGAAAAAACTGGTGAGGCAATGCGGGGGAAGAGCTTTGGCACGTGATCGTAGCTTATCGTTTCCCCAGTCTGTTTCCATCCAAGTTGTTTGGACTTTGTATCTTTACATTCAAATTTGTGCTTTGGGGGTTCTTGTCTGCTTTGCTGACGGAGAATTGGTTCCTTGGAGATGACTCCATGTGAGCTTCATTGTCCAACTTAACCCCTGAACCCGACCTGAGCCATGTACTGGCCTCATGGAGTTCCCCGGGTCTACGCGGTCAATGGACCCGATATTACCTACGTCCCCTCTGATGAGGATCGCGAAACCCTGAATACCACTCCAACGAATGATCGCAATACCTTTGACGAAGACGCGGCAGCAAGAGGGGACGACGGTCAACATGAGTCCGCAGACACCAAACCCCATGAGTCGCAAACAAACTCCTCGGATACTGGTAAATCAGGATGGGGAAGTGAAGCTATTAGAGACATATGTGTCTCTCGATCCGGCCAGATGTTTGCCACAATGTCAGAAACATCAATTGCTCTTTGGCAGACTCGGGTATGTCGACAGTGATATTATTGCTTATGGGGCGAGTCTAAACTAGAGACTGACAATTCTGGCAGCCCACAGCAGTAGTTACAGCAATCACTCGATCACAATTCTCCTTGAAAACATACGGCGCGAATGTTTCACTCCTTATGCACCCGGATTCGACTATCCTGGTTGTACAGACCCTCAATGGGTACCTACTCACATACTCAGTGGCATCGGATTCAACAACTCAAGTCTACCAGCAGAGATTTGACCATTCCACACACCATCGTCGTCAACAATTGGCCCAGTTTGCAGCAGTTGAAGAGGCCAATGTTGTTGGCGACATCAGCATCCGCTTCCGAATGGCCATCAAGATCGAGTCGGGAATCGTCAAGGCGCTGGCGCTAGACCAGGAACTTATTGTCGCCACCGTGAAACCACCAGCTATACAATGCATTCGGTGGACGGCCGAGGTGGGAGGATCACAAACTACATCCGAGCTATTGAGTCGCATCCTAGGGATCTCGAAGAAGATCTCGATTTTGGACATGGTTTACGATCGTGCCATGAATTTCCTTATCTGGATTACCACCAGTGGCCATGCCTATGCCGTGCAACAAGATACGGGCTCACAACAGGATTCTGAAGCAGCCAAGAAGTTATTCCTTGGACATTGCTTCCATAGCCCAAAGGATGATAGCGAAAAGGCTGTCAAGGTGACCGTAAATGCACGCTTCTCTCTATTGACCGTGAGCTGCTCCAACGGTGACATCTTGGTTTACACTGCAAAAGATTATATGGGCAACGTTCCGCTTTCACAAAAGCTTCATCTACCGGCATCGCGCACAACCACTGGGGCTTTGACTTTCATGAGTTATTCCCCGGATGGATATTGTCTCTTTGCTGGTTTTGAAAATGGCTGGGCAACATGGAGTGTATTTGGGAAGCCTGGAGGAAACAGCTTTTCGGTGGACCCGGCGTTGGCGACGGCTAATTCGGAGGATTGGTTGACTGGGGTGTCAAACGGGTGTTGGATTGGTGGCGGGTCGGACATAATTCTCTCTGGACATAGCGACCGTCGCCTGTGGGTTCTGGAGACAGCTCGCAGTGCTTTGACTGGCTGTTTTTCGTCTGCAAACTTGGCTAGAGGCCTTTTACAGACCGGGACTGAGTGTATCCTCTACCGCGGCCATGACCTTCCAGATCTCATGACAATCTCCGGAAAAGACTCGTTGTGGCATCATGCCCAATATCCTCCGGCATATCTTCACTCCCAATGGCCGATTCGCTCCTGTGTCGTGTCTCAGGATGGACGGTATGTTGCAATTTCAGGTCGGCGTGGCCTTGCACATTACAGTGTCAACAGTGGCCGATGGAAGGTGTTCGAGGATTCGAAAGCCGAAAATTCCTTTGCTGTGCGAGGAGGCATGTGTTGGTACGGCCACATACTGATCGCAGCAGTGGAGAGTGATGGGTCATACGAGGTACGAAATTTCCCCACTTGCATTAGTTTCAGGCCTGACTGACTTTGGTTGAAAGATTCGTCTTTTCTCACGCGAGGCTCCTCTCGGTAACAATTCGATTATGTTCATCGAATATCTCCCATCTCCAGTTGGGTTCATTGGAACTTCTGGAGAAGATTCGCTCCTGGTTTACACATACGATAACATTCTGTACCATTATCTCATTAATTCGACACAGCCTCAAGTCATTCTTGTCCCCGTTGGCCAGATTGCTTTCAATGGGATTGTCCGGGCACCTAGTCGCGTTCGATCAATCAGCTGGGTATTGCCCGAAGAGCAGATGCGTGAGTTAGCTTGTCTCTTACACCGAGCTTATTATTAACAAAAAAACAAGGAAACGGTGAACCATCTCAAGACGTAAAGGTTGCATCGGTGATTCTTCTTGTCGATGGCAACTTGGTATTGTTGCAGCCCACGGTCTCAGATACGGGCGAGCTCAAATACGACATGCGTATTATATCCCACGACGTCGAGTATTATATCTTGATGCGTGACCAGATTTCCTTCAACTTTTCCTCGCAGGTTGATGAATCCCTACCCGCCAGCCCTTCAGTGGACATGGCATTGGAGCCACCTCACAGAAGCCTTTCGCTCCGTGACTCTCTTTGGATGTTCCGTGGCCAAAACCTGCTAGCTTGGAACGATGTTGAAGATGTTTTGCAGGAGGAGATGGTGCCGGCGCCACTCAACATTCCCCTAGACTTTTATCCATTGTCTGTTTTACTGAACAAAGGCCTTGTGCTCGGCGTTGAATCGGAAATGATGCAACGACGTGATGTGACATTCACTGTTCTGAAATTCGCCATCCGGGTAAGTCATTTTTCTCGATCAATAACATTTTATACTGACCTGTGCACTTCAGACACACCTTTTCTTACCATACTTCCTCCAATATGGCCTGGCCAGTATTGGAACACCTGCGGCTCTGGCTCTCTGTCGCCACTTTTCTCATTTATCTTACTTCGCTCATGGATTGGAAATACTCCTCCACCACGTGCTAGACGACGAAGTGGATAACGAGAGCCGAGCAAATAAAAGTGAAGATCCACAAGCCCGACCAGAACCACTACTCCCAACCGTCATTGCTTTCCTCCAAGCCTCGCTTGCCCCCAGAGATTACCTTGAGATTGTTGTACAATGTACACGGAAAACAGAGCTTCGATCGTGGCGCACACTATTCGCCTACCTGCCCCCACCTAAGGATCTATTCGAACAGGCCTTGAAACTTGACTCCCTCAAAACTGCAGTTGGATACCTCCTCGTGCTACAAGCTTTCGAGGATGAGGAGGAAGGACATGATGGCCGCATCGAAGAATACGTTGTTCGGTTGATTGCTCTAGCATCCCAGAAGGAAGACTGGGAGCTGTGCGCTGAGCTGGCCCGCTTCCTCATTGCCCTGGATGCTTCGGGCGAGATGCTTCGACGCGCAATTTCCCGAGTTGGTCTGCGGCCCGACTCTAGGCCTCCCACTAAAGGCGCGTTTTCTGGGTCAGCACGGTTTGGTCCGGCAGGTGTCCAAGGTCTGGGCTTAAACCTCCCAATGAGGTCGCCATCATGGACGTCTCTACCCCCAGCATCGTCTCTTTCGCCCCTTCCAAGCCGGCAAAATGGTGATGTGTCAGATGAGAATCCGTATGCAGCGGATGAGTAAGATAGTAATCAAGGATATTTTTGTTGATAGTAAAGACAGTCAGATAATAATTTCACCGTGATCTCCTAGTTCTTTCTGAAGTAGACATTCCAACAGCAAAAAGTAACAAAGCACAGCAGTTATTAGATGTAATCCCTATGAACAGCTAATCTGGGCTTATACTATTTGGTTACTACATATTACCTGTTCATTCCCCCAATCTATATCGAAGTGAGAGCCTTACCATGTTCCAAGGCCCGGTCATAGTCTGGAAACGTAGTTTATATGCATTACCATCATAATTTGCTGAATCTTCGAAAATATTCGAGTTTATATGTCAATTTGTCCTAATGTCACCCTTCAAAGTACTAAAAATACCACTGCGAAAACACTTCGCGGATATCAACCACTTACCGTCGCCTGTATTCCCTGAACGAATCAATATCATATTCCCATGTTAGCCCACACAACTCCATGAACCGAATCAGTTCACGATACACGAATTGCCTCAATATCAAACCGCAGGTGAATTCTGAACGAACGACCCAGAGTGTGAACTCTAGCGATGCGATGCGTACCTCTCTCCCAAGCCCCTAGAACCAGACAAGCCGCTGCCTGTCCAAGCTTTGTACCTAGAATCTCTTTATACTCATCAGTATCATACTCCCATGTTTGGCTCTGAAACCGATTATTCCAAGGCCAACGCAGTTCATGCTTTGGGTAAAGTATCTCTTGCACGTAGCGCAGGCTTTCGTCGTTCTCAACATTAGTAAAATAAAGATAATGGAGTGTATCAATGGGAAAATCAAACTTATACTGAGCAATAGCAATATCCGACCAATGCGGTCCATCAAATCTGTAAATGCATTCACCAATCATAACGCCTTTCATGAAGCTATGTCGATACTCGGTTTCCCTTCGGTAGCCTTGCTCATCACAACCGCAGAGCAAGAGCCGTGTGAGTCGGTACTTATGCTCATTTATGGGAAGTCCTAATTCCTCCAAGTCCTCATGGATAGGCACAGGAGGGTCGTCGAAATGGTTGCTAGGACATGTGAATCTCTCTTCGTTATTGCTGTTGTTGAATAATTCGAACATTGTAGTTGTTGATTGCTCACATTTGCATCCGGCTAGATTTGGGTCAGCTATCCATCCTTGGTATTCAGTTCCCTTTCGATGGAACTCGTGTACTTCTTCATCTGTTAGTGGGGGTTTCTCGCGGCTTATAAAGTTAGTGGGCGTAGGGGGTGTCTTTCCATGATTGGATTTCCCGGCGTTATCTGGGATGGGATACGGGGGAGGGGAGCCTGGGGAACTGGGGGCTATACGTCGTCGGGTTGGGGAAGGAGAGTCACTGCTGTCACTTTCACGACGACGCTTTTGTGGTCCCCGACTGCGTGTACTTCGCTTTGCTGACGATTGCCTGCGGGACCTTGGCTTGCGTGTCCTTGGCTTTTCTGCTGATGGTTTGCGTATTATTGATTGTCTATCCCCCATTGTATAAGTCTAGGCTAGTCTCGTTTTATGTTTGGTAGAAAGACAGGGAATGTTGGATGTGGTTGATTGTATTTTGTGATATTGATAGAATGAAGACGGCAAACCACATCATTATATACATAGTAGTCCTTTTGGATCGTTCTCCATGATAGAATGAATAAGGGCTATTAAAAGAAGAAACGAACAAGTCGACACAAATAGCATACCCAAGGACAAGTTTAGGGCAATGAGGAAAATCGAGAATTTAGCACAAAGGGAGTAGGGACTGACAAAGAGTACAAAAATAATTTGACAAAGAGCTCGAATACAAAGAGAAACAAAAGTTGCTTTGCGGGAACAATGGCATTATCTATAGGTTATTGTCAGGAGAGATAGACTTTAATACGACACCAAAGCGTTAGCGGCCTTGATGATATATGGTCTAAGAGATGCGTGAACGGTAGTGTGAAGGTACGGAAGTAGGTGACAGGACTTGGGAGTCTATTCTCCGGGGCTGGCCAAGATTGCCTACCCGTGAGAATCTCTAAGACATCGAGATGCACTTGAGAGCGGTGGACCACAAAGTAAAGTTGTTGTCGACCGTAAGAAGTGGAACGAGCTCTAAGAGCTTTAGCTCCGCAAAGTTGGGGTGCCGGGAAAGTACCTCGTCGTGTTTGGGTGTGCAGAGATGATGTCTCGCCGGCGTGCTGCCGAAAGGCTTACACACTGGGATGGTGATTGAGACGTCGGCGGCGGCCGGAGTGATATGCTGATGTGGTTCGAATGATCGACCAGATAAAATGATTTTGGACCGTTAGAAGTCATAATAAAGAAGCATTGTGTACGTCGATGAAGAGGTACTATGATGAAATGGGGTGAGTTGATAAAGTGACCGCCAAGAGAGTGAAATGCACCATGATGATGAAGAAGAAGAAGATGATGAAGTGACCGTCGAGAGTATGTGCTAGCATATGATACTCTAGTAAGTAAGTGGCCTGGTTGATGTGTTGACACTTCATGAGAGAAGTCCTGGATGATGAAGCAGATTACTCTGAGCCATCTTGTCGGGACGTGCAGTCATATCTGCATAATCCGTTTTAATAGTACCACAGGTTGCCATTGTTGAGATGTCTAGGCTTTCTATTAAGCCCATTGAGCTTTTCTGAGGTATGATGATGATTTCATTAACCCGATGTAGCTCGCTATTACATACATGCTGCTATGGGGGGATAGCGTCCCCCCTTCTCCCCTCGTCCTGTACTGGCTTCCTTGAGTCACCGAGTCCCTATATCACCAGGATCGCCTACAGCCTACATCATACTAGCAGGTTATACACGAACAGGTTCGGGTCGCGACGCTATACTTCGTCCACGGGTCGTCTTCGTCGTCAGCAATGGCCGATCTCCATATACATTGGTATAAGGTAGCCTCGGTAGGCCTAGTGCCTAGCCACTAGGTAGTGCGTCCTATTTCTCTAGCACTTACAGTGTCCTTTTTTGGTTTTGATTTTATCGGATTCAAATCTTGGTCGCCCCCTTCTCTTTACCAGCGAGTCCACTGACTGAAACTGTCCCAGGAGTCCCGATACGATCAGAAACTTCACCACGACCGGTGCCGCCTTCGCTTTCCTTAGCATTTCCTCCTCCCCGAGCGTCATTGACATCCCTTCCTCGAACAATGCGTCCATCATTTCGTGCCGCTTTTCCTCTAGGAGCGGACACTCCAGCAACTGGCAGCCAGGTGAGTCCACTTTCTTGAGGTACAAAAGCATCGCTGGTCCTGTGGTACTCAGCCCAATCCTAAAAACTATGAATCTATATAAAAGAAATAGGCAATGTCTCCCATGGAGTCCGTCCTCTACCTCCCACTTCTTCCTTCTCACTCTTCTCTTGCATCTGCTTCTTGCATGTCTCACTTTCAATTGATGGGGCTTTCTCTTGTCAGTTATTAATTGGCATATTTGTCGACTCTGGCTGAGTTTCCCGTTCCACAGCTTCATTTCGAGTTCTTGCAATTTATAGCCTCGTCTCCTTAATTTCCCTTCTCGCTGGGTTGTGAGCTCAGTGCCCGACATAATGACCCCAAGGCAGTTGGGATGGGAAAGGAAGGGGTTGGATATTCGAGGGATGTGTTCACACTCGTAAGACGTGTGCATGTCCCAGCCTACTAAGGCAGAACTGATCCATGGATGGGGAAACTGCGCGCTGGGTCGTGAGCTCAGTGCCGGCCTCAATGACATGAAGGCAAGCCCGACTTGGCCGAGAAGGTGGCTAGCGTGCAAAGGATGGGTTCACGCGAGTGCGACACGTGCACTGCGTTTTGATACGGAACAAATGGGCATGGCTAAATTGCTTTGAAGGTCATAAACCTTCAACCCAAATTTCTATTCTGCGAAATCATTACGAACCAATTCTAGTCTTGATGATGTCTAGTTCTTTTACCTAGATCCTTATTTGCCCTAGCGGCCTTTCATGTGGACCTTAAGTCTCGTCTTAAATCCTCTCTTACCGGACACAATTATTGGACTATCTCATCTCTCGCTGTTTACAGACTGAGCAGCTTGTTTGTCAAGCTTACCTGCAGGGTATAAATTCCCTGCTCTTTGCTGGGCTAATGAACAATGATTCTTCTTCCTCTTTCTCCCCTCGCCAATAGCCATAACAAAAATGACCTTTTTCAACACTCTCAGCCTCATGGGGAAATTGCTGGGTCATGAGCCCCAGCATTGAGGGTTATGGACTCTCCCCCTGACCCCTGACCTTGTATTTTAGCTATCAATACAAACCCATCTAATTCCCATTATTTTCTAGTCCTTTGGCTGGATGAAGCGCTTGAATGGTCATACGAAACTAGTTAAACTACAGTAGTTAATTGAAATTTCATTCATTCATTGACACATTGTCCATTGGACCTACATCTCCTCACCAAGAGGTGAGGCCCCTTTACCACAACTCCGGGGCTGGAAAGTGCACATTTCTCAATCGTGTACAGAAGTCCATCCCAATAGTTTCTTCCCGTCGATTTTGACGTTAAGTCTCAATATAGTAAGGTAGTTGTTATCTCATATGTATTTAGACTCCGTCTCAATAAATACGTATTTGCTCCGTTTACTCTAACTATTCAATGTTTACTACCTCCATCCCCAGGTATTATCTCTCTCTCTCTCTCTCACCCCATTTCTCACTTCCAGCACGCCAATCTCTCACATTTCTCTCACTTCCAGCACCTTCATTTCTCACTTCCAGCACAGCCTCCCCTCTCTATACTCATTCCCCCCTTCTAGCGCGATAAGACTCTTAATATATATAGGGATCCTCTCAATCTACGCCTAGACCTACTACTATGGCACGTCCTTCTAGGCTTTCTCCCACGCCTTAATCGTCTTAGTTCTCGACTTCGGCACCCCCTTCTTTGTAGTATGACTTTTTAGTCAAAATCACACCGGTTCAATCATATTGACATGGGGCAAATTACCAGACTATAGCTCCCACTCATCCCAAAGCACCAGTTCTAGCTTAGCATTTTTAACAGCTTTTTTATATATCCTATCAACTATACGCTTCGGTATACCAAGTAGCTCCGAGAGTTTAGCACTAGATTTACCGATAGCTTTACCAGTAATAACAGCAGAACGCTTAGCAATACTGTGGCCTATAGTAATAAGCAGTAGGTAGTAGAAGTAGCAGATAGTAGTAGGAAGCAGGAAGCAGGAAAAGGGGACACTATTCTTACATACTAGTGATTTGATTTAAAAAAGCAAATAACAATTTCAGAGAAAACTATCGAAAGCTACCTCCGTCCAGACCTCCCTATCTTAGTATGCCGGGAGGTGGACACGTCGGATGCGTGTGAATGCATCCCTGGCACGCTCACCACCCTCCTTGCCGACACCGCTCGCCTTGGTGTCGTTCAGGCCAGCACCAAGCTCACGCCCCAGGGAGCAGTTTCCCCATGTGAGGTCTGCATCAAGGCTCTCTCCAATTCGGCGCATGCGGGAGAGATCATGCGTCAAAACGACAGCCCCCTTTCCATTAAGGTTGTCGTTGCACAGTTCGATAACCTCATCCTCGGCTTCGAACTGATACACAATGGTGACAGGGCCAAAGATCTCCGCGTGAGCCAGGGCACTGTTGGTGGGCACGTTGGTCAAGACAGTGGGGTGGATCCAGAAACCCCTAGCCGGATTCACTGGCGGAATGCTACCAATCTCAAAACTGGCACACATCTCTCGGGCTTGAATGAGGTGGGCTCGAACCCTGTTGTAATGCTCCAAGGAAACAACAGGACCAAGATCCCTGGCAGCCCAGTAATAATCACGGACATGTCGGACAAGCTTGGCAACGAACATGTTGTAGATTGATCGGTGAACGTAAATCCGAGAACCGCTCAGGCAGAGCTGTCCGGTGTTGTTGAATGCTGCTCCAGCTGCGGTGGAGACTGCATCGTCCACATCGACATCACCAAAGACCAGAACTGGACTATTTCCTCGGAGCTCGAAAGAGAGGCGTTTATGGATATCGGCCGCAGTGTTCTGTCGAATCTGGATGGCTGTCAAATTGCTTCCATTAAAGGAAACTCCCTTAACAAGGGGGGAAGCGACGAGACTCGCACCAGTGACAGATCCATTGCCGAAAATGATGTTCATCACACCAGGGGGGACCTCTGCGTCGTGGAGGACTCTAGCGAACACTGTTATTTCTTGGTCAGTACTGTTATTGGAAAAATTGTTGAAACCGCATATAATCACTTACTGAAGGCAGTCATACTAGTGTGTTCGCTTGGCTTGGCCACACCGGTGCATCCGAATGCGAGACAGGCGGCAATTTGCGAAGTCAAAAGGTAAAGCGGCATGTTGGAGGACGTAATCAAGGCGTAGACACCCACGGGAACTCGGTGTTCAAAAGTCAGGGTAGTCTCTTCCACGCCTCTGTTGACATGCGCTGCACTGGTCTCATCCTGCAGGATGAACTTGGCGAAATACCTGATAATAGTAAGTAAATGAACAGACTTAAATGTAGAAGACTGAACGAACCGGAATTGTTCAATCGAACAGTCAACCTCAAATTGAGCACGAGCAAGTTTCTTTCCCTGGGTGATGCTTTCCCAGACCGTAAACATATCTTTCTTGTACTCAAGAAGATACGCAATTCGAAGTAGGAGTTCAGAACGCTGCTGGGGAGTTGTGGTGGACCAGGCTTTGAAAGCCTGGTCTGCCACAGTAACAGCGTAATCGACAACGTTCTCGGGACTAACAGGGACCTCCATCAGTAGATTACCGGAACGAGGGCAAACGGAATTGATCCATTCCGGCGTGTGCTCAAGATCAAGGAATTTGCCTTCAATAAAATTCTGAGCAAGAAAAGGCGGGTTGGCAGGGTCGCTGTTGTAATGAATGGCTCGAGCCATGGTGTCGAGCTCCCAGATGTAGTGGAGTGAATCCATTGTGAAAGTTAGTCTCAGGGATCTAGAAGGGGTGGGGGGTGGGACCGGCCGCGGCGGGTCCGGGGCGGGTCCAGGTAGGATACGCGTCTTACCTGCATCGAGGAGGTTAGCAACTGCGACAACTTGAGTAATGTTTGTGTGGATTTCCAATATTTGGATGAAATACCATACCTTCTGATGAGACGCGCAAGAACCGGTTCTAAGAAGCCGATGGTTGCGATATGTGGATGTGAGAAGTTGATGAATCAAGAGGAGAAGAAATTTCTGAGAGGTAAACAAATCAATTTATTTTACATAGCACTGCCTTTTTCAGTTGCTTAAATCCTTAGCTGTGAGGCTATAGATCTTAAACCTAGTATAGTGGTGGATACTAGCACGTGGCATAGACCCACTTCCCTTTTCGGAAGTATAAAATTATTTTTCTTTTCTTTTCTTTTTTTAAAAAAGGAAAAAAAAGAATTAGAAAAGGAAAAAAGAAAAAACAAAAGATCTTTTAAGAAAAGCAAAAAAAGAAAAGAAAAAAAAGAAAAGAAAAAAAAGAAAATATTTTTAGAAAAGGAGGGAAAAAAAAAAAAAAAAAAAAAAAACCATTTGCCCTCCACCAGCTACCCATCTATGAATATTGGATGCCTGGGGCGTCACCATATGATATAGCCTACATGTTTGATAGCCCTTTCTCCGTTTCTCTCTTTCCTTCTCTCCCTCCTCTCCTCGTGCGAAGCTACTTTGGTAGTGGTAGAATACTATTTTTTTCATCATGTGACAAGTAGTGGCCGGTGTCAGATTTCCCATCAATGCATTGACTTTTATACTCCCCTTCGGGACATATGGTCAAACGAAAATATACAGAGAAGATTGGCATGGGGCATCAGGCTCAATCGAAGAGAAGCTACCAATCTTTCGCCTATAGGGTGGCATAATGGTAGAACATCATCCTATGTAGGCTGTACAAGAACTCTGTATTTATTCGACCGTATCCGTATTCCTCTGTTTCTTTGACCCTTTTTAGTCTTTGACAACTTACCGAATCTACAGTGCTGCACAATGCCATTGATCACGCTTTCTTTGTTCCTCGCTGTGGTTATATGCGGTTGTTTTCTCGAAGCCCACTCAACGTCCAATCGGCGTCCTCATTCATTTATATAGTCAGTCGCCATACCAAAACTCTTCACATACAAAATGGCTTGTAAGTACCCTCAGTTTGAGCCTTACGGAGATAAGCTGACCCGATGGATTGAAGATGCCAATGAACCCGGATGCCCTATTCCACTGTCTACAGTCAACTCAGGGATTCTCCAACCGCCTACGTGGAAGAACGAGTATGAAAGACAATGGTTATCACCCGAACATATTGCCTCACTAGTGGGTCTTGGGATGCCAATTGGAGATCTAATTCCCGATACTCTAGATCCCGTACCCCCGTCTTTCCGGCACTCAATTATCAAGACGAAAAACGGAATCACGGCATTGGTAGCGACGGTTAGACCTGGCGTGCTTTTTGTCTATTCTATGCGAAGACTCCATGGGTCGAATGATCCTTATATATCTCAGCTTATTAAGATTGCCTATGAAACTCACTTTCAGTTGGGTAGTATCAAGCATATTTTCATAGGTGAGGTTCAAGAACATGAAACTGAGCCGTTTATTGAGGAAGAGGTCTATCCATCCCGTGAGGGGCTCGATTATCCGTCTCCAGAGACTCAGACCTGGGACTATAATTCACATGAGTTTAGCGCCATTATGGGTACCCCTGTCGGTAAAGTCGTCGGATTCTTTATTCTAGGTGCGTATGGTCAGGGTGTAAAGCGGATTGCGCGGATTGCTACGTTTCACACTGGTCTTGATCTCCACAAACTACATATCCGTTTTGATATTGATGATGCTTAAGGTCATCAAATCTCTAGGGTCATAGTCGAACCTCAAAAGGTAAAGGTCGTCACTGGGTGATGAAGATGACAGGAATTTACTAACCGTTTATGCCATCGAATGAGATGGACACTTTGATCCGATTTGTTAGAACTGGACCGAAATCTTAGACTTGATCAGACTTTTCAATTCATGAATAGCGTATTCTATCATATGTATCTTTTCCGGGCAAGATAAACTCAGTGTATAACAGCTTTAAAGATCTTTCCTTGCGCTCTAAGACATTATTGATCGTTGCACTTGATGAATTTACCAATCGGATCACAAATTGTGAAAATTTGATAATATTCAAGGTCTTGAATCAAGAATCAAGACTCGTGTCTGCCCGTAGCTACTACCACCTAGCTACTGCCACCAATGTATCCACCAATGCATCTACCACCACCAATGTAGCTACTACCACTATGTAGCTACTACCACCCAGCTACCGCACATGAGCTATTTTGAGGCCATCCACTATGTCTAGGCCAGAAGTTAGGGTCAGTCGACGCGCTCTCTCTGGGCCACTCGCCATTTCCAGTCGACACGTTGCTTACCCAGTTGTCATTACTAGGCGGCACGTTGTCTTTCCACTTGTCATCACTAGGCGGCGCGTTGTCTGCCCACTTGTCGTCACTAGGCGGCGCGTTGTCTACCCACTTGTCATCTTCAGGTGACATGCTACCTCCATCCCACCAGGTCTCTGTAGGTGCCTGTGAACTCTTCCACTCGTCATTTCCAGGTGCAGGCGAGCTCTGCAACGCGGGCGTGTTGAATGGTCGGTTGTTGTCACGATACGCATTCTTCCTTCCCTTTCTCCCACCCCGCTTGCGATTCTTGTTGTATCCATTCGCCAGAAGACCAGCTTCGTATGCACAAAGCTTTGTAAACTCGTCAAATGTGACGGAGTCGCTGCATACTGCACATTGGACCGCTCTTTTCAGGTCTTCGGTCAGGCGGTCAAAGAGTTCGTTTTTCAAGCACCCGAAGGATATTCTGTTGCCACCGGACTTGTACAAGAACATGTGTAGGAAAGTATGGAAGTCATCCGTGGGCTTCATGTTCGGTCTATCAAGTCCATCGCAGGCTTCAGCAGCCGCATTCAAGCTGCCGAACCGCCATTCAAGGTCATCGAACACCTGCTGCGCTGTAGTGTACGGAGTCACCGCATCCTTTCTCAAACGGGCGTTCAGGTACTCATGCGCAGTTCCAGTAGTTCGGCATGCAATGTAGATAATCTTGTGCTTCTCGGTTGGGTAGTGGTCAGCGTTGAAGATAAACTTGCCTTCCATGTCATTGACCCAGCTCTCGAATTGCGGGGTGATTCCATCGTCCAGTCTTTCCGGATCCGGGATGTAGGTGGACTTGCCAACTCGGGGCTCAATGTGCTCAATGGGGCCTGCAACACTCCAAGCAGACAGGGTAGACTCATCGGAGTCGTCTCGGTCTGCCGGTTCAATGGAAGCAAGTACACCAGAACCTACACGAGTTGGTTCGTCGAGTCGGAGACGATCGTTTTTTCCTTTGGCGGAACAATCCTCCTTTTTGAGTCTGCCCCATTCGGCATCTTTGGCTTCAGCAGCCTTGTGGTCATCAATTACGGGACGAGCTCGGTGAGCTTCAAGTGCCTTTTTGTGTTGCTCCATAGTCTGTTGCTGGAGTCTCTCGTACTCCGCCTGCGCAGAAACAATTGTGTAGTACACAATGCTGGGATCGAGGTTAATCCACTGTACGAAATGTTCGTAGTCCGCAACACCCTGCTTCAGTTGCTGAATCCAGGACGGACAGTGACGACGAGAGGCGATGTAGGAGTCTTCGTCGTCTCCAGCTTTGTCAAGAGCGGATGTAGCAGGATTAGGTTTGGAGACATGGCCCTCAGAGCCGATTTGCGGCTCGGATGTGACGACCTTCCTTGCCATCTTCGTGAAATTTAGGTCAATTGGAGATGGAGTGATGCTCGGCCAGTCAGGCGGAGCGGCAGGTGGGGCCAAGGGCTTCGGCTCGGGCCGTGCCTTGGCGTGCATGCAGATAAGTGGATACCAGATCAAGTCTAAAGCTGTGCAGTTGTGTAGGGGATAATGATGAAGGGAGATGGAGGATGATGAAAGAAGAAGAGAGAGAGGAGGTCTGTGGTAAATTTATACCTGATCTTGTTTGCTTCGCAGCAGTATGTGTTGAGGTAATCGAGGTATGTACTGCGCTATAGATCATCCCAGCTCGGGGCCTCCGATTTATGTGCTACATAGTCATATTGTGGTGATACCTAACCATACCTCATATCATCTACTCTTCACTTCTAGCCATTGCATTAAAATGGTCTTCTCACTTTCTCACTGTTCTTCATTTAAACTTCTCTCACTTTATGATACGGACTACACAATGTCACTCATTCTTACCCCCGGCTCTCATCCGCGGCCTACTATTCATCCTAATTCATTCAGACGTGAAACCCTGTACACAAAATTTATACCTTTTGCATCTAATGAGAACAAGAATTGATAGGGAGAAAAAGATTACATTAAAAAAAGGCAGTCGCTTCTATTTCAGGATCACCCGACGGCAGGGACGGGGCAGTTTAAGTTATTGGCATACAATTAGGATAATCGTGTCTCTCACTTTTGAGAATGGGATCAAAGTCTATACCGACATATCGATATGGATATTTCAGTACCAAGCGGCCGTTTTCAACATCAGAAGATGTGAATGGCGAGCATTATGTTATCCTGAGTTAAGCTTTGATTGTTAGACTTTAATTCATTGAGTGGTCTTTCGACATGATAAAAAAAAGTACATATGCAAATGACATTTGACGATCTAAGCTAAGACTATGTAGTTCTCTGATATTTAATTTGTAGATCCGTTCTCCCGTTCCTGCAATGTTTGACGAACTTTAGGAAGCACGAACCGTCCATAATCAATGGCGTCGTTAAGGTTATCATACCCACGGATAGAGATAAGATCCGCACCAAGATCAATATAGTCAAGAAGCGACTCAACGACAGTCTGATGCGACCCAACCAAAGCAGTAGACGCCCCACGTGCATTCGTCGCAGTAACAGTGGGATACCAAAGCGCCCGATCCTGCACCTCACCACGAGCAGCAATATCAAGAAGCCGCTGCGAACCAGCATTCTGCGGTGGCGGCGCATCAACAGGGGCCTTTCCTTGCCCCTTCGCCCGGTTTGTATTCAATGCGTCGAGGGTTTTATGCGCCTTGGCCCAGGCAAGCTCCTCAGTCTCAGCAATAATAGGACGGAAAGTAACCCAAATACGCGGTCTATCCGAGTCCGGACGACCGGCCTTTGCTGCCTCGGCATAGATACGATCAATTTGGTCCTTTGTCTCTTTCAAAGGTTCACCCCACAGTCCAAAGATGTCAGCCAGGGATCCTCCGACGCGGTAGGCCTCGTCCGATGACCCGCCGACTGAAACGGGGATTGGGCCGTTCGTCGGGCGAACGCGGTTGCTGAATTGTTTGAACTGATAGTATTTACTGTCCCAGTCGAATGGCTCGTCGGATTTCCATGCACGGCGGAGAATCTTGATGTAATCTTCCAGACGTCCGTACCGTTCATCCTTGCTGAGGAAGTCGCCTTCTCTAGCTTGGTCTGCGTCGCTTCCCCCTGCGATGAAGTGGACGACGACGCGACCGGAGCTCAGTTGGTCGAGGGTTGCTAGGGCCTTTGCTGCGACGGTGGGGTACAATGTGTTGGGTCGCAGGGCAATGATGACCTTGAGCTTTTTGGTCACAGAGAGAATAGTGGCTCCGATGGTGAATGGATCATAGGATGAGGAGTCGTAGGGGACTAGTGTGTAGTTGTAGCCATAATCATCGAGGTTGCGAGCGTAGCGAGTCAGATACTCTGGATCAATTGAGGCGTTGGGAATGGGGTTGATTTCGGTAGATGCGTTTGGGAATGTGAGGCTGATGAATTCCGGCATAGTGACTTTCTTTGACCTTTGACGTTTTAGATTTTCTTGTAAATAATATTTCAACTTCCCTCTTGTGGCAGATTGGTCTACTTTAATACTTCAGCATTGTAGTATCTCCGGGATGATTTGGCATCTAACACATGACGCAAAAAGGTAAGCAATTGCGTCTTAGCACGCAAGTTGATAACTATTTTCTTCTGGGTTAGATCAGATAATTTGATTCTAGTAAGCACAATTCCTTTGGTCGCATCATGCAACAAAAAATAAAAGATATTGCGCCAATATTGCGCAAGATGATCCATATGAATCGCAATATAATGTTGACGACCCCCCGGTAAGCCTATAAAAAACCGGCCGAAGTCGCAGTTCAGTAACGGGATTAGTTTTTCAAGATCTTATTTTCTTATCTAAGGAGTTTGTAAATCGCATGATCATTTGGAATAATTCGTTTCATCGTGATATGGTAGTGGGTCTGTGAAGTTCCTTCAGCAGCGAGTACAGTATATATAACCCGCGGTCTCGAGTTCATTCCAAAAGCAAGTGTCCTTTCGGAAGTCTCCATGCTATCGATGGCGATTTATACTACAAGGCAGTCTTAGATGTTTCTGATTCTCAAGTCCCAACTACGAAAAAACAATGGGCGAATTTACAAGTTGGTGTTGACCCGCCAAGATTGGCCAAAGACTCAGCAGAAGTGGCCTTCGAGAACTCTCAGAGTCATCCGCCTGTTGCCATAATTAATGTTGTACTTTAACGACCAGAAGCTGCAGTACCAGCCTGAGAGATGCCTCTTAAACACCGACATGGTTATATTATACGCCTTGCTGGAGTGCCTTGTTGACGCGCCCGTGAACATATCATGACTCAGCATACATTACCAAAGTGCCTTCATATATCCTCAACGCGACTCCCTATAGGTCCTATCAAAAAGGTTCATATATTGAATATTAATACCTGACATCATTCTTTTGTGGAGGCCAATAAGAAAAGTGACAACCTGAGAGGCGCAACACCCGTTAGTGGACATTACGTCATTGATGAGGGGGTCACCTATATCCCGACAAACCTCACTTTCCATCTTTCCTTTACACACATATTTCAATTTTGAATAGTTACTTTAATCCATTATGCCACTCGTTGTTCCAGGAATCAACTCCTCAATGGGCGACAAGCCTGAGTGGATCAACAAGCTTATGGGCAAGACGATTAGCGACACTACTAATGAGACAGTACGTCACTTTTGAGACATCGAAATGAAGCACAATATTCTAACTATTAGGTAGTGTTTTGCAAAGAAAGATCTTCCTCCATCTCACAGGATATTGAAGCCGGGTTATGCACAGACCGAGGATTATAAGCCAGAGAGGTAATGTCTTGAAAAATCCCACAAAACTAAAGACCATGTTGCTGACTATACCATTGAAATTAGACTAAATGTCTATGTTAATGACGACGGGACTGTCCACGATGTGAACTTTGGTTAGAACAAGGATAGAATTACTGGTAATCCAAACGACAACCGATTGAACCAATTCAATATCTATTGCATGAAAGTCTATTGCTGTTTCAGGGTACCTCGTATGAGTTTACTCAGCCTTCCATCTCAGTAGAGTAAGCGAGTGACGCGGGAATTTATACAACCCACTTCCATCCCAGGTCGACTCCTGGATCGCCACTTCCTCCTTGCCCTTCATATTAGTCACGAACAAATCACTCGCCGTGACAGTGAACACAGAAATCTCTCCCTGAGCACCCTCAACGCGACTCTCCAAGTCTTCAGTGTCATGGATATTCACCACAGCAACGTTGACAAACCCATCATCACCTAGAGTAGCACTGACATCCAACCAGGGCGTATCCTTGACACTTCGCACCCACTTAGGCGCAGTCTCACCCTTGTATGTTCCACAAGAAACATGGCTGCTAACAGTCCAACCGCGCATGTACCGCGAGAACAGCCAGAGCGGCCACCAGGTAGTCTGCTTGGTAATTCCCTCTGGGGATGTCATCAGGGGCGAGATAACGTTAACAGTCTGCGCGATACAAGCCATGCTGACATCCTTGCTCTTTCGGACGAAGACGTTCAACCAGACGGCTACGGCGAGCGCGTCGGAGAGCGTGTAGCTTTCTTCGGCGCCTAGGCTTCCCTCTGCGCGGATTGGATCCCAGACATTCCACTCGTCGAAGCAGATTGTCGGGCGGAGTTGCTCGGGGGGAACTTGGTTTTCAACCCGGGCGAGATCGATCAGGGAAGATGTGATTTCAATTGCGCGCTCTGCGGCTAGTGGGGCTGTCACGTTGGGGAGGTGGGATGATGAGGATGTGTAAAGATGAATGCTGTGCATGTCGATCAAAGGCACTGAGCTGGTTGACAATGCAGAGTGAGCGGGTACAAGACACTTGTTTAGTGTGTAGTAATCCCATGAAGCAGTGCCGTCTTGACCACAGAGAATCAAGACCAAGGTGGGATCCAGGAGTTTCAGAGCTGAGGAATGATATTAGCGCGGGTTCTTGCTATAATGAGATGAAGTATTACCTTTGGCCCATTGGATTGCCTTGTGAGCATATGCTTCTTTGGTCATCTGCTCCACCTGCCAGGGACCCCAGCACTCGTTTCCGAGAGCCCAGTACTTGACCTGCTAATTGTTAGATTCCAGATAAAGGGCTGCACTTTGTATCTGAACATACATTGTAGGGCTCCTCGCGGCCATTCTTTCGTCGCAGATTGGCATAGTAGGTATTGCCAGTTCCGTTGCAGTATTCAACCCAGCCCAAGGCTACCAACATTAGTATGTTTCATGTCAGAGTTTCAATAAAACACATACCTTCATCCAAAGTACCGGTACCAAAGTTGAAGCAAAGGTACGGCTCCGTACCCAGAGCCTCGCACCATTGCATAAATTCATCCGTGCCAAATTGGTTTGTCTCGGTTCCGAGCCAAGCAAGCTCGGGTCTTTTGAAAGAACATCAGCACAATTCTAACTAAAAAAAAAAAGAAAAAAAAAAACGAATCTTACCGTGCTGGCCGCTGATCTCTAGGACCAACACCATCGAGCCAGTGATAGGTCGCACAGAAGTTTCCACCGGGATACCGAACGACAGGGATGTTGAGCCCCTTTAACGCCTCCAAGACATCCTTGCGGAATCCCTTCTCGTCTGACAGCGGGTTTCCGGGATCATAGATGCCACCATAGATACACCGTCCCATATGTCTGCGAAACTAGTTAGTTCATGCCGTGAAGGGAAATATTCCGATATGTCTTACTCGGTAAAGCCGGCGTAAATATTGGGATTGATTTTGGAAATACGCCTCGAGGGGTGCACGGAGATGAGAGGAGTCTCATGATCCTCCAACTTGGTAAAGGTCGTCATCTTTGGGGGGATTTTGTTTCTACTGTTTATGGGGGGGGGGGGGGGGGGGGGGGGTGTGGGGGGGGGGGGGGGTGGCGTGTGGCGTAGCTAAATAGGGGAATTTAAAACCCGATTCACAGGGGAAATGTGATCGTTAAATCTTCAAAGGGAAGACAATTAAAGAACCGAGAATGTGTTAGTCACAAGGACTTTATAGAATTAACCGATCTCAGACTTGAAGCGGCAAAGCTCCTGCGGGGAGAGAAGACGACGACTCCCCTCTTTAGCGCCTAGGAAACGACATAGACTCGGTCTTAGCCATCCTTGGCCATCGTTGTAAAGTAAATGAACAAATTTGACCAATCAATTGGCAGTTTATCTTACGATACCCCGGCATTGAAGAAGGTTTGAAGATCTTCCGTCAATCAGAGATGAGAGTCTCCGCCACACGATTCCTGTTGTTATCCACTTCCCCCCCGTTATGTACAAACATCTCATCTCGGTCCATTTCGATTTTATTATGAAGATGAACTCTCTCCACATTTCCTCCGTTAGGGAAGTTTAATCCTTAAACTCCACACGAAGGGCGCGATTCTCCGAACTAATTTGATTGGTTCATTCATTTATATTTGTTCCTGCGTTCTGTATATTTAGAGAAGCTCCCCCGACATGTGGAGATAAGATCTTCAACCCCATACTCGAGAGAAATACCCACTTCTCCAACTATGCGTCTCTCACCGGCATGGTACCAGGTATGAAGGGACACATTCTGTGAAGAAGACAGAGCTGATATTTTGATATAGTTCCTGGTCGGTGTCTTTGCATCTCTTGGATCATTCCTTTATGGATGTACGATTCTCCAACACCCCTTCTTGAAATACAAAATCTAATACAACCGCAGATGATCTGGGTGTTATTGCCGAGGTGCTTGTCTGTGACTCATTCAAAACCAAGTTCGAGGCAGATGATACCCAAAAGTGAGTCTTCAATACCACCCGAAAAAAAGAAAATAGCTAACAATGTTACAGAGGATTAGTTGTGTCTCTATTCACCGCTGGCGCATGTGTCGGTGCCGGCTTTGCGGGTCCTAGTGGTGATTACCTGGGAAGACGACGGACAATCTCATTGGGATGTCTCATTTTCACTCTTGGAGGTGGTCTTCAAACCGGTGCGGTCACAATTGACTATCTATACAGTGGTCGATTCCTGGCTGGATTGGGTGTCGGTTTCCTCACTATGATGATTCCACTCTACCAAGCTGAGATTTGTCACCCCAGCATTCGTGGTCGAGTCACAGCCTTGCAGCAATTCATGCTGGGTATTGGAGCACTCTGCGCTACATGGATTGGCTTTGGAACATACACCGGCTTTGCCAAGACCAACTCTGCACAATGGCAACTGCCCCTCGGTTTGCAGGTTGCTCCTGCGGTGTGCTTGGGTCTTCTGATTTCTTTCTTCCCTGAGGTACGTCTCGTTCAAATCAGGATCGACTACAAGAACTAACGTTATCCAGTCACCTCGCTGGCTGATCGACCACGGCCGCGCCGAAGAGGGATTGCGCACATTGGCCAAGCTGCACGCTCATGGAGACGAACACGACCCTTGGGTCCAGGCCGAATTCGCTCAAATTCAGGAAAGCATCAACTTCGAGCATGAGCACGAGGCGAAATCATATCTCGAGCTGTTCACCCACCGCTCATCGTTCCGTCGCCTGTTCCTTTGCTGTGCATTGCAAGCTTCAGGTCAGATGACAGGTGTATCTGCCATCCAGTAAGTGGATAATTTCCACGGTTAATATAGAACCACTCGACTGATTTCGTGACTAGATACTACTCACCCCAGATCTACGGCCAAATCGGTATCTCCGACCAAGACACACTGAAATACCAGGCCATCAACTCCATCATCGCCTTGATCGGCCAGTTCCTATGCATGATGTACATTGATCGCTTCGGTCGACGCTGGACTCTCATCGGCGGAAATCTCGGTAACATGGTGACTTTCATCGTTGCAACCGTTCTTCTCGCCAAATTCCCTCCATCAAACAACAACAACGGCGCCCATTGGGGTTTCATCATTATGACTTGGTTATATAATTTCTCCTTCTCTGCGACCTGCGGTCCTCTGACTTGGATAATCCCGGCCGAAGTGTTCGATACTCGCACACGTGCCAAGGGTGTCTCGATTGCCACTATGGTCTCGTTCGCTTTCAACACGATGATTGGACAGGTTACTCCCATTGCGATGACGAGTATTGGGTATCGCTTCTATATCCTCTTTGTCATTTGCAACTTTACCAATGCGTTGTTCTTCTGGCTTTTGCTTCCTGAGACAAAGCGCGTGCCGCTTGAGGAAATGAACCAGATGTTCACCAATGCGCCTTGGATTGTTCCTGGATCGCGCAAGGAGGAGTATATGACTCATGATTTGGAGCGGAAGGTTGAGGAGCAGGAGGTGAAGCAAAATGCGATGCATGTTGAGTAGGTAAAGTCCGGGGGACTTGGGAGCTTTCGTGTTGGATGTGTGGAAGTTTAGTTTGGTGTTGAGGTGCAATGTGAAGTTGTTATTTGTACTCATGGAGATGTAAAGATATGTAGTCCGAGTGGACGCTTAATATTGGGGTAGTTTTGGGAAAGACAGTGTTTCGATCCTTATTCTCTGAATATATCAGTTTTACAGTTTCAGTTTGTTCTTTTGGATTTTTATTTGTATTCTATAGTATAAGGAAAGACACCAAAACATACCTAGATTATACTGTGAGATGCCAATTTATGCCTTCTTCTACTTGGGGAGAAACCTCTGTGTACCTTCAATCAGTAATTCGATACATATCATACACTCCTAACATAAGTATTTATGCTAACTAATCCTCGAGGTCATGAATGTTTGCTCAATTATTCCGAGTCCGAGCTATATCCTCCCAATCCAAGCGAAACCGCAGGTTTCGTCGGGGCTTTTGTCTTTAGTTCCCCCTTCTCCGCATTTGTACCCACCTTGGCCTGTATGGCAGTATTTGTAGGTCCCGATGCTGTGGCTGAGGCAGGTGTGGCTTCATTGGACTTAGATATTCCTTGGTCCACCTTCTCGATACTTGAACTAGGTCCATTCTGTTTTTGCGAGTCTTTCCCATTGTGTGTGTCCTTCGCGGCGTTGTCGGTGAGTGAAGATTTGCGCTTCTTCCCTGGAATCAATAAGTCCTCCTTCTTCTGTTTATCACGGCGCCTCTTGCGAGCCAGTGCGGCCCAATCTTCTCCCTTCACGGATGGTCCATCCGACGAGGTTGATTCAAGCAATGCTTTCTGTGCCTTCTCCCGTTGTCGGCGGAAGGCTTCAAGTTGCTCCGCTGTCTCCTTCTTCACAGCGGCCTCCTGTGCGCGTGTTGACTCGAGGATAGAATCTAGAAATTCGACTTCGTCTTCATCGAGGGAGCGGAATTGGTTTCTAAGACGTGATTTCTCTTCAAAGGCTTCTTGTTTGGCCACTATAATAACCGAGGAAAATCACCCTAACATGTTAGCCGGATGTGCTGGATGAACTGTCCACTCATTTCTCCGTATACACGGGGGTTAAGCAATGTAGAAAGGGACTAGGCACGGAGTTGGGCTCACTTTTATTCCGCTCCAATACCTCAAATAGACTTTTGCCACCATCTTGTTTTCCTATTTCGGCCTTCCGCCTCCGCTCCTCCTCCAACTCCTTCTCCGCTCGGAGCCACTCATCATCCCTCTCGATGGGTTGATCGTTTGTTCCGGCTGAAACAAAGCCTGATGACATAGTGATGGGGCTGGGTAAAGTGGTATGGGGTACGGGATTGTGGACTCGGGTATAATGGACGGTCGGAGTACGAAATTATCCGGCGACAGGGGGGCCGGGATGGGATGTGGGGTTGTGAAATGGACCGAAACGCGGGCGAGTAATATAGTGAAACCGAGAACTTTCCGAACTACGTAGAAGATCTGGATGAATTGAATTTGTCGATCACAATTGAAAGATGTGATTGGAAAGGTATATGTGGAAACGTTGCATTTAGCCAGAATGGGGTATCTTGGTGGTCCTTGGATATACCCTCAAAAATCTTCTTTGGGGCTCCAGTATGACGATTAAAGTGATGTTTTTTCACTAGAGTGGATATGGCCAGTCGGGTAATTCTTGGTCATTTCTTCCACGGGTTACTTTTCTGTTGGAGGCAAAGGAGGAATTAATGTCCAATGCGGCCAATTCCCCCCCACCTCCCCTCCATTCCCCTCCAACGACATCATCGCTCGTGGACCTGCCCACTTTATTGCGGACATCTGGACATTATATAAAGACCACCTTACCTCTTGGTCCTTTTTTTTTTTTATATTCATTATTCCATCTCACTATATCAAAATGTCGAACCAACACACTCAGAAGACCTACACCCTTAACACCGGTGACAAGATCCCCGCCATCGGTCTTGGAACATGGCAGTCCAAGCCCAATGAGGTCCGCGTGGCCGTGAGGGACGCCCTTCTCGCTGGTTACCGCCACATTGACACTGCTCTGGCTTACGGCAACGAGGCTGAGGTCGGTGCTGGTATCAAGGACTCCGGCGTGCCCCGCGACCAGATCTGGCTCACCACCAAGCTGGACAACCCCTGGCACAAGCGCGTCGCTGAGGGCATTGAATCCTCTCTCAAGGATCTCGGCACTGATTACGTCGACCTCTACTTGGTTCACTGGCCCAGCTCTACCGACCCCAATGACTTGTCCAAGCACCTCCCCGACTGGGACTTCATCAAGACCTGGTAAGTGAATAATTGACCCAATTGAACTATCTAGTGGGAAATCATGGCTAACCCAATGTCCACAGGCAAGAAGTCCAGAAGCTGCCTGCCACTGGCAAGGTCCGCAACATCGGTGTCTCCAACTTCGGCATCAGGAACCTCGAGAAGCTCCTGAATGACCCCAGCTGCAAGATCGTCCCCGCCGTCAACCAGATCGAGCTGCACCCCAACAACCCCTCTCCCAAGCTCGTCGCCTACAACACCTCCAAGGGCATCCACTCCACCGGTTACTCCTGCCTGGGCTCCACCGACTCTCCCTTGTACAAGGACCCTACCCTCCTCAAGATTGCTGAGAACAAGGGCAAGACTCCCCAGCAGGTCCTCCTGGTTTGGGGTATCACCAAGGGCTGGAGTGTCATTCCCAAGTCTGTTAACAAGGCTCGCATTGAGGGCAACTTTGATATCGACGGCTGGGAGTTGACTGATGATGAGGTTAACCAGCTTGACAACCTCAAGGACCGCTTCAAGGTCTGTGGTGACGCATGGCTGCCCATCAAGGTGTTCTTTGGCGATGACGAGTAAATATGTCGAAAATGATGAATGTTTTATGAGTACATAGGCTTTAGATACCAAAAGAATGATTTTGACGTGACACCATAATTTTTATATTGAGTACTGCGTACATAAACTTCAATTGCCAAAAGATATTCATTGTTGGCATAAGAACAAGATTCGGCTGCAAGGTACAAAACGACCAAGATTCCGATGTCATCATAGTCAAACACAACATAAAGCGCAAACAGGACAAACAAGTATTTTCGGTCACGAGGGTGGCGGCACACAGCCACTGCGGAGCCTCGTGTCTGAGGCGGAGAGATAAGGATCCATACCCCGTCATCAGGCATCCTTCTTCTCCTCATCTGTGCCATCATCTTTAGTGAGCTATTCATCTTTGAAACATCACCATGGCGCCTTCAGCAGGGCACCTGCTGCTCCCTAAAATATGGAGGGTAGCAAGGTAAGTCTCCCTTTTTTTGTCACCATATCGGATTACAATGGTTGACTAACATCTTCCCAGGCTTGCTTACGCAAAGGCCTCAAAATCTATACGTTCCAAACTACCAGAGCCTACACAATATCATCCCGTGCGATACCAACCCGTCTATGCCCGAATCAATCCTAGCCAGCCAATCAGCCGTGCCGCTGCCATCCGTCAAGCCCGCAGTCGCCACTTCTCGACCCGTGCTGCCGGCGCCTTCGCCTCTGCCGTCCGATCCGGACTAGGGTCCAATGCCGCTGCTCGCAACACATCTCGCATTGTGTCAAATATCAGTCGGCTCAGTAGCCGTGCACCTTTCGCTTCTACTCTTCGTCCCAATCTGACCGGTGGCACCCTTGGTCGGACTGCAGGAGGATATGCTGCTGGAGCTGGCCGTTTTGGTGGAGCTAGATACTTTTCTCATGGGCCTGCTGCACCAGCACAAGTGATTCAGAATGTGTCGCAGGGCGTCCGTGCTTTCTTTCTGTCTGGGCAGAAGGTCCGCTTTGACGGCATCGATCCCCGCACCGGAGAGAAGCGGTATAAGGCAGTCAGCACGCTACAGGACCAGGCTGAGCGAAAGATGAACGCCAACTCGTACAGCGCACCTGGATCGTACATTGACTTCCAAGTTTCCCCGACCATCACTGCACTTAGTGCTATTGGTGGTCTCGGCAACCAGGACCGCTCTGTCTCGTGCGACTCTCTAAACTCCGAGGGTCTCATGGATCTGCTTTCTGCCGATTTCGCCCGTGCGTTGAAGGAGTTCTCCGCAGTGATGAACGACCTCAAGCGGCTCTCATCACTTGGTGATCTTCCGATATCCCTTCACGACCGGTCAACTATACGAGTACGATTCCCTGGCTGTGATGCGGAAACTGTAGAGCAGCTGTGCTGTGAGGTCGGGATTCAGCGAGGCCGAGTTGCACAGGATGCGGACTTTGATATTCGCACTGGCGCTGATTTGGCTCTCTTGTTCCCTTTCGCACCGAGCATGGCCCCTTCCTCCGACACTGACTATTACTTCGAAAAAGCCCCAAAGTTGAATCAACAAAATCCAGCGGATCTTGACTGGCAAGGGATGATGACACCAGAAAGCTGCACGCCTTCATCACCAGCTGGCAGTCGGGATTCGGGAAATGCCATCAGTTTTGAGGATAGTGAGCTATTTGGTGCCAATCCATGGAAATCTTCTACCAAGAGCTACTCTAGCATTAACATCAGCGAGCTTGGAGATCAGCCTTTTTTCCCTGAAGTCTCCAGCGCTGGCGAACCTGAGAGTAACTCTGCATATGATGGTGTGGAGGGTATTTACAAGTTCTTGGCTGAGTGTGATCAAGCTAAGCGTTGACCGGACGCTGAAACTGGGTCATTCCATTTTTTTTCGTTTCTTTCCGGCATTGCTCTTTCTTTTTCTTTTCTTTTTTCCCCTATTATCCCGGGCTGAAACCGGGCACTACATGATGATGATACAGATACCACTCCACTCTTTAATACCTCTTTTTGTGTTATATTTGCTCAACTGAATGAAATTATATCCAAAGATGCTCACTTCAAGAAATCAATGTCATCGACATAGTAAGGATAGACTTAGAAGCAGCCCTTGATGTTATTCCCCGAATTACTTGATTATTCTTTGATGACCGTCTACAGGATTGTACGGAAAAATTAACCATAAGCTCACCCTTTTTAATTTCATGAAATACACTTGTTTCAGCTAAAGACTAGTCTGACCCTGCCCTAATTTGGCTGAAGAACATGCGGTGCGGGGTCCGGGGGTCCCGCGTGAACAATGCGGCTTGCCAAAACGGCTTTGATCTTTGACTTCGGCAATTTCATTGTCTCATGTTCTCCGTTTCACACTCAAATATCTACGCTAACATCTACTCCATTGGAACAGTTTCTTGAATTTATGCCTCCTTTAACTGCAGAATATCAATCTGTTTTCGAACTGCTAACTATTCTAACAGCCAAGGAATCTTAACTATGGTATCCTTAAACAGCCGAGATGAAGAGCTTAACCTCGCAATGTGGACCGAGCCTAATGTGGTCCTCCCGCGCCGAGTCTGGGGAAGATCGACCATGAGTGTCCTGTTTGGGGGCGGGGATCAATGCCGTGGGGGCTTTAAATTACATTACAACTACTCCCCTTGACTATCTAGGCTAGTTATAGTGGTTTCAAGCCTGAAGATTCCTTTCTGTACGGCACTGTGTTCCATCTACCCCGGACGAGACAATATTTACCCACATTTAACCACTCCAAAGGCAGAATATGGTATTATCTGACGTCTCTGGCTTACATATGGCTTGGCACTGTCTGGAAATGACCAAGTAAACGGGGACACTTCTGAGCCTATTCCAATCGAGATAGTGTGACATTGTCTTCGGCTTCCCGGCTTCAATCTCCGCAAGGATGACAAGACATCCATCTCGCTGAGGTATATAAAGACATCCAATTCCTACTCAACTCTTCACAGTACCACAGAGCAATCAGCAACCTTCAAGAGCATTCCTTTCAAGACTGTCAATATGCGGTCTTTCATTCCCTTCCTGCCTCTGCTGGCTTCTTCCGCGGCAGCAGCTGCTATCGAGGCTCGCGCAACTCCCACGGCTGCCGGAAATCCCTTTGAAGGATACCAGCTTTACGCGAACGAGTACTATGCCTCCGAAGTCTCTGCCTCAGCCTTGCCAGTCATGACCGGCGAAGCTAAAGCCGGCGCTGAGGCCGCTGCTAAAGTGCCGTCCTTCTACTGGCTGTGAGTTCATTGTATTGATATCCTATACGCCTCGAGCAGATACTAATATTTGGGTTCAGGGACACTGCAGCTAAGGTGCCAACTATGGGCGACTTCTTGGCCGATATCAAGGCTAAGAACGCAGCCGGTGCTAAGCCGCCGATTGCTGGTCAATTCGTCGTTTACGATCTGCCTGATCGTGACTGCGCCGCTCTGGCCAGTAACGGAGAGTACTCCATTGTCGATGGTGGTGTTGCCAAGTACAAGGCGTACATTGACTCCATCCGCGAGATCCTGGTCGAGTACTCTGATATTCAGACCATCCTCGTTATCGGTGGGTGGACTTCCTGATGGCTTCAGCGCAAATCTGGAGTAATTGCTCACATTGTTTCTAGAACCCGATAGTTTGGCCAACTTGGTTACCAACATGAACGTCCCTAAGTGCGCTGGCGCACATGACGCATACCTGGAGTGCACTAACTACGCTGTCACCAAGTTGAACTTGCCCAATGTTTCCATGTACCTCGATGCCGGTAAGAATATAAAATACAATCACCTTATGTGAATATGCTAATCAATATAGGACACGCTGGATGGCTCGGCTGGCCCGCCAACCTTGGCCCCGCCGCTGAGCTCTACGCCAATGTCTACAACAAGGCCGAGAAGCCCGCTTCCCTGCGCGGTCTTGCCACCAACGTTGCCAACTACAACGGCTGGTCTCTTGAGACATGCCCATCATACACCCAGGGCGATGCCAACTGCGACGAGAAGAAGTACATCAACGCCCTTGCTCCTCTGCTCAAGACCGCTGGCTGGGATGCCCACTTCATCACTGATACCGGTATGTAGTCAAACCTCAAAGCGGCATATCAACTTCCCCCCATGATTCAAGACCTCAACTGACTGTATTGTTCAGGCCGCAACGGTGTCCAGCCCACTAAGCAGACCGCCTGGGGTGATTGGTGCAATGTCAAGGGAACCGGTTTCGGTGTCCGACCCACTACTGAGACTGGTGATGTCTTGGCCGATGCCTTTGTCTGGGTTAAGCCCGGTGGTGAGAGTGATGGTACTTCCGATACCAGCGCTACCCGCTACGATGCCCACTGTGGTCTTGATGATGCCCTTAAGCCTGCCCCTGAGGCTGGTACTTGGTTCCAGGTAAGCGTTCCTTCATTGAAGGTGATTATAAATGAAATACTGACAATTTCGTAGGATTACTTTGCCCAGCTTGTGGAGAATGCTAACCCCTCCCTTTAAATGGGTGGAATTAGTATCGATATAGAGTATAGGGCTCGCTGGCAGTATACAGGACTGAGATGATGTATTGAATTCAAGTTTATGATAGTGGAATAACAAGGACCCATTTTCGATTTTGAGTTATGAAGTAGCTTTTCTACATGTATACCATGGAACCATTACACTGTGGTCTCCCTTTTTAGTCTACGACAAGCTTGTGAAATCTGAAAGCAGAACTAGCATGTCCTCTTTTGTATGAATCATGTTGCATAATTCCATCTATTGCTTGCTCTTTGCTATATTTCCTCGGTATAAAATCTGTCTTTTTTTAGATTATCCAATAGAAACTCCGTTCTTTCTCTAGTACCCATAACAGATCTTCCAACAAAGGACAGGAAATTCACTCTAAAGTTAGCTGACTACTTTTAAGCGTCTGAGAAGTTACTGTCAGGTTACATAGTCAAGATTTAACTTTCAAATGTGTTCAATCAACACTATACTCGACATATCAAATGAATCCTGTAGTGGTTTCAGATCTGTAGAGTACTACGTAGTACCATCGGAAAGTATAAGGTTCGGGTCGCGATGAGAGCACAGACCACACTTGGCAGTTTTGCTTTATTCTGACTTCATATCTAGGGGGAATTTCTCATATATCAACAGTTCCTATAGTAGTTGTAGTTGTAAACGTCTGCAGAGGTTGGATATGAAAAGGCTGTGATGTTACACGATTCAACCCACTACAAGCTGTGGTAGATTAATAAAAGGATATGTGAAAATGAATTCCCGATCATCACAGAAATGGCACGAGATAGGTACCAGCTGTCACAGTCCTAGCTAGTAGTGCTAATTCTCAGTGTCTGATAACTGCCCTTGAAAGAGGAATCCGAATTTCCTAGATGAAGAAAAAGGTAAAGGCTTCTCACTGCATGTAATGCGACAGCAGAGAACTCCTACAGAGGTCATGGTAGCAACCTAGGCCAAAGCTGTAGGAATTGCCACGGAGATCAAGATATTATAAGTGCATCAGATGTATTATAGAGAATTCATACTCACATTAATACGAAGACGTTGCCCAGGTGGAAGGCAGAATCCGAGCTCACCTACGGGCGGTACCTAACCGCCTGGCACGTGCACGTATACATTGCTCAAAGGCGGTCTGAATAACGAGCAGTATTTTGACCGCCCGCTAGGCGAAGAGTATCGATAACGATTGCGGGATATCCTACCCACTACATAACTACCACGACCTCCATAACCATCGCCAATTCCTTGAAAGATCTTCTAAGCCTTTTGAAATCATTCCTGAACACAAGCTATCTACATTCTCCAGCTCAGCAGGTTTGGGCGCTTCGTGCCCTGGGCTTGATCACCCCACCTACTTTTCCTACCAACAATCTAAGACGGAGAGAGCTTGAGTGCGCAAAAGCATCTGTGACTTCACCCTCAGATTACAATGGAGGACTTCAACAGTGAAACTGATAGTGACTACACTAGCTACTGGCGCGACTGGGTGAGTGGATTTCCTTTTTCATGATTTACTTTGAGATGAGCGAGACGTTCTGGGGATGGTTGGGCTATTGTGGGCAGGGAGTCCAATGGAGGAGTACACAGAGGCCACCATGCGCGACTGGAATGAGCCAAATCTCGGGCTCTGCTGCTGCCTTTGTTGCCGCGGCGATTTTGATGCTCCCGTCGCGGTCGATGACATCGTCTTGAAAGCCGTTACTCTTGTCGCCCCGGCGATCTGGATTCACGCACGCGCGGTGCCTTCCCCGATGGAAATATTTAAACCAGCTCGTTTTCTTTTCCTCTCTGATCTCTTCTTCCAACTTCATTTTCTCTACTCTCTTCTCGCAACCTTATCTCTGGCTCTCCTTCTGATTTCACATCGTCTACTTGATCAACTTCATCATGTTTCGCGCAATAATCGCCACTTTTCTTGGTCTCCTCCTCTATCTTTTCCTGATCTCATTGGTCATGACTGCGGTGATGTTCTCCCAACTCGCGTGGGAAGCCTACCATAATAACGACTTTGATTTGTTTATCGATCATGGCTTGGACGCGATGGCCGCACTGTTGCTGTACTCCATTGTGGTGATGTTGTACCTTAGGTTCGCGTTTGCTAATTCCGCAGCCGCTCATTTCACAGCCGGTCCTCCTGGTCCACCTGGTCCACCTGGTCCGCCCGGCCCTCCGGGCCCTTCTAACCCCGGTGGGAGCCACCCAACAGGACATTCGTCCAACCTCCCACGTCATGGCTCTGGAGATGGAGGGTCCTCGACGTCTCGCTCCTCTAATCATTCCTCAAACAGCTCTGCTCGAATTACTCGTCGAGTCTTGATCGTGGTCATGCTAATCGCAATCTTGTATTTGCAGTTTGTCTCATCCCGCGGCAACGAATACTTTTGCGAAATTGATGAAGACTACTTGACCGATCGATTCAACCTTACCGGTTTGAACACCGAAGTTTCCTACTACCAATATGCTCTTGATCTTGTGACCGATGTTTTCGATCTTGATGCCGACGACGACCTACGTGAGCAAATTGAAAAGTCTGCCCGTCACCTCTATGGCTTGGTTCATGCCCGGTACATTGTTACCACCCGTGGTCTTGCTAAAATGGTAAGTGGAAATTTTAACTTGGAATCCTCCGAATCAACGTACTAACCTCCTTGTAGCTTGAAAAGTACAAGAAGAGTGACTTCGGAAAGTGCCCACGTGTGATGTGTGATGGACACGCGCTGCTTCCTCTAGGCGAGTCAGACCTTCCGAATATCAGCACTGTCAAGCTGTACTGCCCCAAGTGCGAGGACATTTACAACCCCAAGTCTTCGCGCCACTCCTCCATTGACGGCGCATACTTCGGCACCTCGTTCCACTCCATCCTATTCCAGGTTTACCCGGCTCTCAATCCTGAGAAGAGCAGCCGTCGCTATGAGCCCCGGATCTACGGCTTCAAGGTACACGCCGCGGCTGCCCTTGCGCGCTACCAGGACAATCAGCGTGAGGAACTCAAGTGGCGTCTCGCCGAGGTTGGTATCAACCACAAGTTCATCGAGGATAGTGAGAGCGATGACGATGCCTTCGAGTACGACGAGGAGTACACGGAGAGCCACACGGAGCCCACCAAAAGCGACAAGCTCCTCGGAGACGCAGCTTCGGCTCGCATGAACCTCGCCAAGTAATCGCGAGGGTAGGGATCCCACACCAATCCGTGGTGTGTGTGCTTGTGCTTGTGCTTTTCTGCTTTTCTGCTTTTCTTGAGATGTTTTCACGAATGATGGCGTTGTCAGGCTCGCATGGCCCTTTGCGATGGTTTTTTTTCTTCTTCGCCTTCATTTGTACTTAAATTACGTGTCTAGTCCCAAAGAAGGGGGACTCAATTAAAACCACATCTTTTAATTGACCTTTGCAATAGATGTAGTTCTAAGGTCTGTATGACCGGATACTAAGAGATGATACACTCACTACTAAACACAAGCCCATATACTTATTCCGCATGGCCTATCTGCAGTCTCCTATTGGAATGCTAACAAGTATGTCTTTCTCGGCATCAGAACGAGGGGGCCAGCCCCATTTCCTGCAATTGCTCAAATGCATACGTTACCGCGCGAGCCAGTTGCTCGCCATTCTCCCATGCCTCGTCATGAGCACCGCTGATCGACAAGACACGGACCCGCCGATCACCGTGCGACAGATCTTGCTTGGGTATCTGTGCCTCTGTCTTCTCCCAGTTTCCCAACGCCTCCTTCATGACCTCAGTCTGAGAAGCGTCTACCAACTCATCGTCCTGGGAATACGCCAGGACAGCCAACCTCCCAGACTTCCATCCACATTCCACTCCACGAGAACCAGCCATCTGAGCAGGCGATACACCATCCCAGAGCATCTCATCCGCCCCGAACGCCCCCTCAATAAACTCCTGGTAAGCCGAGATATCAGAATGTGTATCCCGCAGCCGTCGCAGGTCGTAGATACCCGCCACGCCGACAATGGCAGTGGGCTGCGCCGTCAATGCAGGTGGCAAGGGACCAGGAGAGGCTGATACAAACCCGACATGAGTGTCGGGTTTATCAGCGGATCCAACGAATGCCTGTTCACGGTGACCTGACACTGCGCCCATCACAGCTTGGAAGGCCAGCGTTGCGCCGCAACTGTGGCCAACTAGGATGTATCGCGTACCGAACCCGTATGTATTCTGGATGAACGCGAGCGCGGCCTCGACATCGCGGATGTGATCGGGGTGTTTCGCATCTTGGAGGTCCTTGGGGGCGGTATTTGGGTCTTGTGGGTGATTTGGGTGTGCGCTGAGACGGTATGAGATCGATGCGAATCCGGAGATAGGTAGGCCTTTGTTGCGAAGTATGGATTCCGTGGCACTGAATGATTCCGACGTAACCACTGGATCCCGCCAGGCACCACCGTGGATGAAACTAACTCGTTAGTTGTGGCTTTGTGGTAGGATTGTGCTGGTGACTGTACATCACCCAGTAGCCATCTTTGCGAGGAGGTAGAGTTGTGACGGCGATGCTTTGTAGATTATGGACTCGGCCATAGCTTACAGTTCGTACAGTTGAGTCCGACATGGTGTCTTGCGGAGTTCCATGATTTATGGGGAAGTGGGACATGTCGATAGATTACGGGCTTGGAGATCATGCAGAAGTTGTTACCATTTGACTGTCTAACATGTAGGTACATTTTGGCTTTGCCTCTTGTACTGTTCTCGTGTCTTCCATATTTGGCTTGGTTCCCCTGTGTGATTTATTTATCTATACCAAAATATAACATGAAGAGTCTTTTGGTCGAATGAGAATTCATCAATAAAGGCCATGTAATTGTAAGATACAGGTATTGCCCCTCCATCCAAATAATGAAAGATTGTAACATATTTCGCTGTGTATTTCTAACGCGCTAAACCCAATTAGGAATGAATGGTCCCTTTCACACAAACCCTCCAAGTCTACCCGTCTCGACCTTAACAACCGTCCAACTGTTGCAATCTTTGACAATGGCCGAGTAAGTGATGATCGTTTTTTGATCTATGATATGATGTTAACGGAATTGCAGAATCCCAGCTCCCCTCGCGGCCGTTCAGGTCGAGGCCTTGGTATGGTCTCCCCGACGAAAATCTCCCCCAGTCCTCGCCAGCCAGAAATACTGACGTCGGACCTTCCAGGTGGTGATGAAAATCATCAAGCACTGCTCCCAGACCTTCCCATCCACCGCTACCGGCGCCATCGTCGGTATGGACGTCGATGGCACCCTCGAGATCACCAACACTTTCCCATTCCCCGTCGTCGAGGTCCCCGCTGAGTCGCACTTTGACAACGCCGCACCCAACCCGGCCGCTGCCGCTCCTCGTGCCAAGGCAAACGCTGCCTACTCTGCAGAGATGATCCGCATGCTGCGCGAGGTCAACACTGATGCCAACAGCGTCGGATGGTACACCAGCGCCAACATGGGCAACTTTGTCAACATGAACGTGATCGAGAACCAATTTTACTACCAGAGCCAGTTGAACGAGCGCACAGTCGCCCTCGTTCACGATGTCAGCCGCAGTGCCCAGGGCAGCCTCAGCCTCCGTGCCTTCCGCCTGTCATCCAAGTTCATGGCTGCCTTCAAGGAGAACAAGTTCACCTCCGAGGAGTACGTGCAACGATCTGGGAAAATTGCAAATTTTTATAAAGTACATAAATACTGACAAGAATTACAGCCTGCAAAAGTCCAACCTGCGCCACCCCGACATCTTCGAGGAACTGCCCGTCAAGCTCCACAACTCTCACCTGATCACCTCTTTCATCCACCAGCTGCAGTGCCCGACTTCCACAGCTTCCACTGAGCTTCCCCCCTCCCTGGCTGCCCTCGAGTCCAGCCCCTTCGCTAAAACCTCCACCCTCACCCCCAACCTCGACAACCTGTCCCTCAGCATCGATCCCTTCCTGGAGAAGAACTGCGATCTCCTTCTGGACAGCATCGAGACCCACAACACCGAGGTCAACAACTACCAATACTACCAGCGTGTGCTCGGCCGCGAGCAGCAGAAGATCAACGCCTGGAAGCAGAAGCGCGCACAAGAGAACGCCACCCGTGCCACTCTCAACCAGCCCCTCCTCCCCGAGGACGAGTGGCAGCGTCTGTTCAAGCTCCCCGCCGAGCCCAGCCGTCTGGAGAGCATGCTCAACACTCGCCAGGTGGACCAGTACGCACGCCAGGTCGACAGCTTCGTCTCGTCCAGCACGGGCAAGATGTTTGCCATCAAGGGCAACCTTCTGCCCAACGAGACCTCGAACTAAATGATTGCGAAGGGGAGAGACGACGCTTCTGGGATTGCATGACCTTTTTACGGCGTAGGGAGGGAAAATGTTCTCTATTTTGGATGTTAATATGACTTCCTGTTTCTTTTTTCTTCTATGAGCGGAGCTGAGTGTTAAACTCCTGCGTTGTATCGACTTATATTCGATCATAGAAGGAAATCTTTATTTTGTTTAGAATATAACAAACACATTGAACAGGTCAATTTCTTACCATTTGTTTTACAATAGGATAATTACGGATGGAATGCATTGGTCTAAGACCAAAGGTTTGATTGATCTATGAGATAAAGACGAAATGGATCTATACCCAAGACAAAAGTGACTGAGAAATGAGAGACTAACCTATGAAATGAGAGGTTTGATCTATGAGATCAGACATGAATGAATCTGCATCACCACCACGAAAGTGGAATACCATAAGGATCACGACGCATCTCCTCACAAACAGCTGCCAAAAGCCGCTGGGAAATCGCACATCTAAGGGTGATATCAATACACTCACTAGTGGGAGAATCGATAGCCCTATGGATGATAGGCTCAAGAGCAACGACAGTACCATGGAAGAGCCAGTCACCGAGAAAACTCGCAGTCTCAGTGATACCAGGAGTCATCGCGGAAAGCTCTCTAAGACCCTCGACGATAGTGGGAATGTCGGGCTGCACAGCGACGAGCTCCAAGATCTGGCGACGGACAAGGTCGAGGTAGTAAGCCCGGTCCCTAGCGTACAGGCTGTCAAAGGCTACTCCGCTCATGGTGATGGGGGTGATAGGTGGTTAGATGGATCTGCGTTGTTAAGTCTGTGTGTGAGGGTTGTGGGAGATACTGTTGCTTGGTGAGAGGAAGATATCAAGGTGGGATCTGGGGCTATTTATGCCGTTCGAGTTGTGGAACTCGACGACTCGATAGATTACTATGTGCAAGATAAGAACAATAAATGTATGAAGGATTCTTTGTTTAGATCTTGTATTCTTAGTCTAGTCGATTTAGCACAAAGGGTCTTTGTAATCTAGAAAGGATGTGAAGATGGGAGCACACACAGCGAAGAGACAATGGCTTTACGACTATACAGGACATCATAAGGCATTGAGTATTTCTTTCTCATCTACGGGTGACTCTTAAGTGGGAGAACGTGCAAACTAGCTCACGTTACCGAATTCACAACCCTGATGTAGTTCTCTAAGCATATTGGGAATCGTAGGTACTATACACATGCACAAATCTTTTATTATTTTGGCGATCTTTTTAATTTCTCTATAGCCCACCGTCCCCTAGAAACTGATCCCAGATAGACCACCGGAAAGCACCAGAGTTTCTATTCTCCTCATAGAACATTCTAGGCTAAAAGCTCTAGAGCACAATGCATATTTCATACTAGTACAGTCAGTGGACATAGGTATATGTAGGTGTTCACAACTAATATATATATACTAGCAAATGTATATATTCTTGTAGGATCACAATAGTCTCTTAAAATAATCTATATATCTAAGCTATAATTAAAACAATACTTATTTTAGAAATATACAACTACTATCGCACTCCAGGTGGTCTAGACTTTAAGCAATTAACTCTATGGAGATATATTCTATCCTATACCTATTCGGTAACCTTCTGTTACAACCTGCCCCTGGACTGGCGATTTACACACTAGGCCAAAGAGATCACTATATCTGAGCATTATGCTCAGATATTCTAGGCTCCGATATACATAGTGCATGACATGACATCTTCCTAGGTTCTAAGTTAGCGATATAGAAGGACTTACTGCGTAAACGTATCTCTGACTTCTAAGTATCGATAATACAAAATGGAATCTCGTCATTAGATGACCAAAATCATCGAGACTTGGAAGTATGACACGAAGCTATTTGATTTGATGTCGCTTGAGCAATATAAAAATACATGAAGTTGAACAAAACCTTTTGTGGCTTGACAAATGTACATCTTTTTCGTATCTTACAACCCATATGTATGTACCCAGTTTCTTTTCTTATAGTATATATCAGTTACCATCCTTCCCCAGTGAGCTTCAATGGAACATGAAGCAACCGATGACCGAACTTCGTCGGCTCAGGAAGGTGTCCAGCTCGAATATTAACCTGCAAAGATTGATGGAGCAACTTAGGTGCAGCCAATAATGCATCCCGTTCCTTCCGCAAAGTCACGAACTCTTCTTTGGTGATAGTTTCTTTCAGATGTTTATTTAGTTTCTTGTGATCCGCGACGCTAACCCAAGGCATGGGGCCACTGCGTCCGTCCGGAGGGTAATCATGACCCGTCCAGATCTTGAAGTGGTCAGGGAAGCTCAATAGCTTTCGACCAGATTGGTAGAGGTCGTTAGCATCGCCACCGGGAAAGTCACAGCGTGCAGTGCCAATGTCCACGTGGAAGAGAGAATCGCCGCAGAATAGATTGTCTAGAAAATTTGTAAGCAACTGTATTACAATGTCATCATTTCGGATAAATAATTACCTCCAATCATGTAACCAAGATGATCCGGGGTGTGCCCGGGTAGATGAATAGCGGTTCCTTTCAGGTTCCCAATAGTAAAGGTCTCATCGTCGTCAAAAAGCTTGTCGAAAACACCTTCATATTCCTTTGGTGGAACACAGTATCTTTCGGCGAATAACTTTTGCACTTTTTCAATACGCTTGCCAATGCAGATGGGCGGCGTATGATCTTGATGCTCGGCAAGACGTTTCTTAAGGTAAGATGCTGCTGTCAAATGATCTGCATGGGCGTGTGTCTCGAGAATCTTGTCGATCTTGTAGCCCTTTTCCTTGATAAAAGAGAGCAAGTAGTCGGCCGATTCAGTAGTCACGGACTGAGTAGCAGGATCGTAGTTCAAAACTGGGTCGATGATGACAGCTGCTGATGATGACGGATCGGCGATAAGATACTGCCATGTTCCAGTTGCAGGTTCGAAGATGTCGTGAATCACAGGCTGAGTGGATACGGTAGATGAAGTGCTATATGAAACTCGGCCTGGAATTGACTGGTTGGTAGGGATGCGGCATGAATATGGCGATAATGGCTGATTCAATCTCTGAACCGATTGGCCTTTTTGCGATCGAAGAACTGTCTTGTCGCTTGGAATGCCGTTTCTTGGAGATTTGGGAGTATGATATACACTTGTTTGTGGCACTTGGTGTATATGACGCAATTGTCCAAAACCGGCCATTGAAGGCCGAAATGACCTGCTAGACCTGAAAATATCTGACGACCATTGCCGGCCAATGCTTGATGACTGCTGTCGAAAGCTGATCATGGTATAGATTTGAGTAACAAAAATTGGTGAGGAATGTAGGAGCTGTGGTGGCTATACTTGAAAGGCGTGGGTCGGCGATTGGCGATTGGCGATTGGAGTCGGCGAGCATCCAGGTCGCCGATTGAAAGAGTCATTGACATTGACGGGCCCAACATCATCCGTGGATATGTTCGGACTTTGATATATTCGGGTTTCTTACGGCGAAATTCGGATTCGGGGGAAAAGGGAGAGAGAAGTACATTTTAGATGTCTCGGGCTGTTGCTAACGCTTGAATTCCAGTATGGATCATGGTCACAAACTAAAATTGAGTCCACATGCACAACCACCTAAAGTGAGATAGAGATGCTAAAAATCGAGTGAAACATATAGTAAAATTTGAAACATGTAGGATGCAAAGGACTGTAGGTAGACAACTATTCTACTTTGGTCCTTTTGCCTCAGGGGAACCCGATCGGCGAGGAAATGCCGATTCCCGATATCGGAACGGGTTAATCCGAAAGCACGACATCGTAAGTTCATCTAGTTGTTTTTATATGCTTCAAAGGTACTTTTTTCCATCACATTTAATTTCACAAACATGTTTCAGCGTCGCACAGCAGTTGCTGCCAAGCGTTCCGTTGCTCAATGGAGGGGTCTCGCAACCGCGTCTCCCGTGAGCTCTGCACGAAACCATAAGATTGTAGTGGTCGGCGGTGGTACTGCTGGTCTCACCATCAGCCACCAGCTCCTACACTCCGGCAAATTTGCCCAAGATGACATTGCGGTGATTGATCCAGCCGCGTGGCATCACTACCAACCCGGCTGGACACTGGTCGGTGGTGGTCTCAAGGACAAAACGGAACTGCGCAAGCCGTTAAACAGCTTGGTTGATTCCAAGTTCAAGTTCTATAACGAGGGTGTTGGCGCATTTGCTCCCGCTGAAAATGCGCTCACTCTTGAGAATGGCGACAAGATCAACTACGAGCAGCTGGTCGTGGTGCCCGGTATTAACATCAACTACGGCTCTATCAAGGGTCTCCCTGAAGCCCTTGCAGACCGAAACTCAAAGGTTTCGACAATCTACAGCTACGACACATGCGACAAGGCTTTCCGCTGCATTGAGAACTTCCGCGAAGGAAATGCCATTTTCACTCAGCCAGCCGGTATGGTGAAGTGTGCAGGCGCTCCACAGAAGATCATGTGGCTTGCGTTGGATCATTGGAAACGAGCTGGCCTCTACAACCCCACCAACCCCTCCGCCTCGCCTGTCAAAATTAGCTTCGCAACCGGCCTCCCAATGATGTTCGGTGTGCCCAAGTACAGTGCCGTCCTCGAGCAGATGCGGAAGGATCGTGGTGTTGAGGGATTGTTCCAGCACGATCTCCTCGCCATTGATGGCAAGGCTGCTATCTTTGCTTCTCCCGAAGGAGAAGTCACCAGACAATTCGACCTCTTGCACGTCACCCCCAAGATGGGTGCCCACGGCTTCGTCAAGAACAGCCCTCTGGCCAACGAGGCTGGATTCGTCGATGTTGACGATAGCACCACCCAGCACAAGGCGTTCTCCAATGTCTGGTCTGCCGGTGATGCTTCTAGTTTGCCCACATCCAAGACCGCTGCTGCGGTCACTGCTGAGGCACCGGTCCTCGTTCGCAACCTTTTGCAGAGCATGGAGGGCAAGGAGCTGGATGCTTCTTATGATGGATATACCTCTTGCCCATTGTTGACTCAGTATGGCAAGGTCCTTCTTGCCGAGTTCAAGTACGGCGGAGTGCCCAAGGAGACATTTGGAGACTGGTTCGGTATGGACCAGGCCGAGCCTCGTCGCATGTTCTACCATTTGAAGAAGGACTTCTTCCCTTGGGTCTACTATAACTACATGATCAAGGGTAACTGGGGTGGCCCGAAGGGCTTCCTATAGAGGAAAATGTGGAGACCGTGTATATTATCCCTGTGTTGCGATATGATGGTGGTACCTAGAGGCTTTTTCGTGGTTAGAGGTTTCAAAAATAATCATACAATCCTAAGTTAACACATTGACAGTTCTAAGAAGTTTGTGTAGTAGTTTGAAGCCTCCAGGGCTGTCTCCATGCACCTTCTGTAAGATCCACGTGACTATAGGATAGATGACGTCATTTATCATCATATCGATATCGATAAGCGTTCAGCGAATCCTCCGGTGGGATTGTTTACGAATGACTTTCTCTTCGATGTTTAAATATTTACAATGTCTCTATCACTGGAATTTCAGCTCTTCTGTTCTCTATTTTCTCCATGTACAACACTAGTACCGATATTTGGGCTGTGAGTCTCTAAGTCCAATTGGACGCGTTCCTACATTTGACACATGATACATGTTGGTTCGATCACTAACTATAGATAGGCCGGTGCATTTGCGGCAGTGGTAGTTGATTTTATCGTCTACCCTTTCGACACTCTCAAGACCCGGGTCCAATCCCCAAATTATGAGAAAGTCTTCAAAGATGCACGCACCGGAGCAGTTCAACGCAATGTACTCTTCCGAGGATTATATCAAGGTGTCTGGAGTGTGGTTTTCTCAACAATTCCAGCCTGTAAGCACTGTCTCTTATTGACCAACCGGAAACGAGGAAGTTGACAGCTGATGATCCTATCTACGTCCATTTAGCCGGTGCATTCTTTACCACATACGAAGCCGTGAAGAACATTATGTACAATTCCTCAGCTCAGCACCCAACGGGCATGGCAACTGGCAAGCCTATCGCCCCCGAGGGCTCTCTGAACAGTCTCCGCTTGCCCTTCACACATTCCCTCCCCACTCCTATTATGCATGGAATTGCCTCTTCAACCGGGGAGATGGTCTCATGTCTCATGATCACGCCGGCAGAGGTACTTAAACAAAATGCGCAGATGATTCAAGGTCAAAAGACAAACAAATCAGCGATGCGACAAGTACTTATGAGATTTCGACGTCATCCTTGGCGTCTATGGAGTGGGTATTCTGCACTCGTTAGTCGAAACCTCCCAACAACAGCTTTACAATTTCCGCTCTTTGAGTATGTGCGATCACGCCTGATTACCCGACGGAGACAACGGAAAGCGAGTCTCAGCAACACCCACCGACCGCCATCAGAACAGTCAGAACAACTAGTCGAACGGGCCGGCTTGACGGGTATAGCTGCAGCATGTTCGGGGACGGTCGCTGCGACGGTAACTACTCCAATTGATGTGATCAAGACCCGTATGATGCTTTCGGCAAGTGATTCTGCTGGTTCACAAGATCGAAATAGCCGTGCTCGTGGCAGTGAAGTGATGTCTTCGGAGCGAACAAAGACTAAGTCTACTAAATCTCTCATTTCTGTCGGTCGTGATATCATCCGCTATGAGGGCATACATGGCTTGTTTAAGGGCGGACTGATACGAGCTGGTTGGACGGCGATTGCATTGGGCTTGTATCTAAGCCTGTATGAAGGAGGCCGGTTTTATTTGGAGAATCGGCGCATGAAGCGGGATCGAATTAATGGAAAATTCGGAAAGCAAACTGACGGAGGTGAAGTAATCTAGTGAAAGGAGACTGTGGTGGTAAACACTTTTGCCACGCCGCCGTCACTATCCGTGAAAATGTTCATAGATGCTCGACTTTTTCCATTATCTCCAACAATCAGCTCAGGCATGAGAATAGCATCATTCTTTGGATTCAAGGGATTTTCTATGCTCCTTTGATTCCATTGTCAAGAAAAAGTGGGCTGATAGTGGACAAGGAATAAACCCTCACTTTGAAAAGTGCATTGTATTGTAGAGTCTTGAGGTTGGCTTTGTCTCTCGAGGCTGTCTTGAAATGAACAAAGGTCAAAAGAGGACAAAGAATGTCTTTAAAATAATAGTTTGACCGAGGTTTTCCTTTACATTCAGGTAGTAGGGCATTTTGTCAGACCTCTCTTTGTCCCCATGGAGCTATATAGGAAGCTTCATGGCAATAGTCAGATTACCTTCTCCGCTATCTAGACATCCAGCAGAGCACTTCCGTCACCTTCGACTATATATACGATATTCCCAGCCTAATTCCTCTACCAATCTATTCAATCTATTACAAACCCAACCATGTTTTTCAGATCTAAGATGCAGGATAAGCAACAAGAGTTGACCATCCCTATGAACACCGACGAAAGTTGGGACGCAGATGATGAGGACTCTGGTTCCGATTCTTTTAACTTGTCACCGATGTCAGAGGTACTAGGACTGAAATCCAAGAAAGATGTCCCCCGCCTATTCCGTTTCCGGGTGCGCCGCGAAGAAGACAAGTTCCTAGGCGCCTCAGGTAAGTCCGATGGCTGGATTAACATCTCTCATTTTCTTTGGGACATGTGCGCTACACTCGCCGACGCAGGCACTGATCGGGAATGGACAGCGACATTCGAGAAGTGGCGACCCCAGTGGAACACGATCCAGGCGCAGGTGAAGGGATACGGATATACTCAGTTTTCTTCTGAGATCCCTCCGGCGCCCGTTGATCTCGCCTTGATTCAATTTTTTGGATCTCAGTTTGACGGACAGGTTAGGGGATTTGAGATTGAACAGGAGGATCTGAATACTGAGCCCGATTCTCGGGATATCTGGACTCTTTGGCGGTATATTATTGAGACGCCTGCTGGTGAGATTAAGGAGTTTAATGTTACTCTTAGAGATACTCCGAGGCTTATGGGTTCTCAGTAGATTTTCAACTACAGGAGTTCATATGTAAGGTGATATCTTTGCTGTTCAGCCAAACATGTGACGCTGTTTCTTTTATCCAGACATATATGCATTTCCTCTCTTTAACTTTATAGACCAATGCAGTTTCGCATGTTTCTTTTTCGTTCCGTTGTACTATTCCCATGTAACCCTTTCAGTATATTAGATTTCATCTTTTCCCACCAGTACCATGTTACCACTTCCCCTCATTCTTTCCTTATATAGCTTCGTCCATCTCGATGAAGGTCCCGCATAGCCCCCTCCCCCTCCCCACCCACCCAATTTCACAGGTAATAAAGATGCTCGCTCTAATTATTGAGGACCCCGAAGAAGGGCTGTTTATAGACAGATTTGCATTTTTTGCACGATCGGCATTTCCTCTCAATATATTGCTGTTAATATCCCATCTTGATTAGCCCTATATCCCTGAGCTTTTCTTGCAGAGTTAAATAGATCGTTTACCGTAACGCAATTGCATTCATAACAATACTGTGTATTGGCCTATCCATATCCAATCTAGATAAGCTTATGTCCCTCAGAAACCATCTTTTATGGCTTTTCAATCACTTACATCCTTTTCCTTTTGGGTCAGCTGAGTATTAGGCTCTTCGACTGGCATCGCAACCACCATGGTCGTAAATATGACCGTAAAGAGGATGGTAAAAATCTTCATATTTGTCTAATTCAAGGTGTACGCAAGTAATTAATGAGAGAACAGAAGTTATTAGATATTTTTCAAAGTACCTAGAGGAAGTACATCCTCTTTATACCTAGAGACCTGTTAGAGACCTACCACAGAGTCCACGCTTTCTAGGTTGTTTTCGGGACTCTATCGACGATTATTGCTTGGTGGCGTAGCTGAAACGGAAAATAGCTTCTCGTGACGGATTGCCGATCACGCCTTGTAACTAGGCTTATGGATATTCAGAGACCAATACGGAGTACTGTACCCATAGATCTTGCTTAGATGGTTACCTATAGTATAAATGACACTTTCTACGTCTCATCCTATGTCAACATTATCATAGTAAATTATACTATGTATAGTATTTTAGTTCAACGATAAACCAGTTATAGTAAGATGGGATGGCAGAGCGTTGAGTCAAGACATCGAAAAGATTTCCGTTGGGGTACGCCGTACGCATGACGAACAGCCGTGTGGGGTTGCGAAAATATAAAAGTACCTGACTAGAGTGGTTTTTACTGAGTGATCGACGTGATGATCAAAATCGTAATCCAGATGGAGCATATTTTCCAATTAATGCTGTCGGCTATAGCGGGGATAGGGGCATAATGTAGCGTTAGTCACTAGAGCAACTATTGAAAGTAAGTAAAGTGGGGAAGCCTAACGCAGCCTAATAGTGCAGATCAAGACAAAAGGCGATAGGAGCGTAGATAGAAACAAGAAAGCAATAAGAGAGGGAATAGCGAGGGAGATAGAAACACCTGGCAAACGCCCTTAGACTTCACCCAATTTGGGGGTAGAACCGTTATCTTGACTATTTCGACCTAAGCTCCTATTCACCCCTCCAGTAGCGAGTATACTGATACACAGGTTTGATTGGATGAACAGGAGAGCCACGGACCCATTTAGCTGGTGAAGGTCCTACTTCTGAAAAGAAAGTCCCGATCAACAGAGATGTCCCCCGACATGATATCCTTCCTATAGCATTCCACAATCCTTATAACAATGGCAAGACATTCGCTGCGACTAGCGCCGTAAATCGAGACTGGGAATGATATGCAAAATCCCCTTCCTTGATGTATAGCCTCCGAGTCGACGGTGAATTCTCCAGCTTGAAGACGTTGAATTGTAACATCCATCAACTCGTTATCAGAACAATGGCGGTCTTTGTTCAAAAATCTCACTGTCAGCCACAGCGTGCCTCGGAATAATCCATACTTATCGACGGTAGGAAGGCCCTCTCGGAGAAATACGGTTCGAGTGGAAGACATATTTTGGTCTCCGGCAGTAACACCAGTAGTTGAAAATGATTGATCAGTGGGGAGGTTATGATTTCGTCTGTTTTCGCTTAGATCATAGTGCTAGGTATAGATAAGTGTCCAAGAAGTTTAAACACCAAATAGTGACCGGTTTCTTTGTCTTGATTAGCAACACCGACTTTCATTGTTTGGGCCTTTTATCATAAGGCAGCAAAAGAATGGAAGCCTTTGTTATTGTATCTATATATCAACAATCCAAAGCGAGAAGCTCACCTCAAAGACCTGAAAGAAACACATCATAAAAGATAAAGGCTTTGTTCTCTCCCCATTCAAAGACACTATGAGCAAAGCTATATAATGGTCCTCATTTCCCTTGCTTTTGAGGAACATTCCATTCATCCAGTTCACCTGGGAAGTCATCCAGCTCAATCATTCAGTCGATCTAGGTAGGGAGTACAAACTAACCATTCTAACAATTAATTGCTAGATACAGAGGCCTTCACCACCGTCGACATGCCTAACCCAGGTAAGAAGCCCAACAACGGTTTCACCACTGAGCGCGAGGTTGGCGGCGAGCGTCGTTCGATCCGCCACTTCCACGACGGCCGAGTATCATCGCAGCGCGAGGGCCCCGCCGGGCCTGTTCGACCACCCAACAACTCCAACTTTCTGTCTCGAGCAAATAGCGTCGAGGCCACTCCCGAGGCTACTACCCCTCATATCGTCAACGTCCCCAAGTTTGAGGATCTGAAGTGTGACGCCGAGACTGCCGCCGAGATTGTTCAGTTCTGTGGGGATCTCGATAAGATCCTTCAACAGCTTCCCGCCGACCAGCTTCCCGCACACCTGATTCCAGCCGGCAAGGATACTAACTCTATTTCGAAGCAGTGGGAGAAGATGGGAGGTAAGGACCGCACTGGTCAGTCAGACATTCACAAGTAGAGGTAAGGTAAGGTGATCTACGCGAACCGCCACTTTGGAGCTAACATAGGACTATTCGAGCAATATAAGATGAGGTAACCACAGACTTTCTTCATAGATATGTAGTATTAGTGTAGTATTAAAGTAGGCGTATAAATATGCTTGTATAAAATTCATTTTTATCACATAATTTGCTTGTTTGTATGGTTTGGTGACCCTCAAGGTCACCCAAGGGTCGTGAGGGTCACCCGCGGGTCACTGCTAGGTCTATCTCTAAGATATCTTGAACTTTGAACTATCCTATTACTCTCTACTCCTTGGTAACAAATATATTGGAAGATACCTGGGGACCAATAGCAAGAATTGTTGTCTCTGACAGGGCCAGGATAGCAAATTTCATATAGGAATGCCAAGGCGACTTCTCCTTGCAAAACAACACTCTGCGTCGTTTTTTTTTTGCTAATATCCTCCACATCTACGACCCGCTGGGGAATTGGAGCCAGCAGTCGATTAATTTGTTGCCGTTGTTCCAGTAACAACTTCCCAGTCGGATTTTTCGGATCGATATTCCGAATTACTTCTTCACTTTGCTCCATACCATCATTTGTATAAGAGTTTGCTTCATAATCTGTAAAAGAATGATCATTACTGCAGGGGAAGGTAGTAACATATATGGAATTTGCTTCACAACATACATTGGGAATGTCGCTACTTCGGGGAAAGGTAGCGCCCACAGTCAAGCGAAACACCAACATGCTTTTGCAACCGAAATATGATCAATCTGCATTACTGTGGCGTTCAAAGGTAAAATAAATTTGCTAGAGTTGAAATAAGTTTTACTCTACCAATGAAAATCAAGCAATGGCTTTGGGATTAGGGCGCAAAAGAGCAAAAGGGTAAAGGCACCTAAGCACCATAGCGCAGCACTTCGTATTTAAGTTGCCTTTCGGCTTCATTTTCAACTCTATCAAAACGATCAGCCTGAATATGAGCCTTCTTTCTAGGATTTCCCGGAAACCCGGCCTCGTCGGCGTGTACATTATAGTGGTGCGCCATTTGCGCGGACAAACGCGAGAAATCCACTCAAATCTGGCCTCCCCAACATACGGTAAGAAAAGGCTCAATGGGAAGGGACAAGGAAAACGGCGAAAAGGGGAAATACTGATTTAGTAACTAATTGGAGATGCAGGGTTACAATGTCGGTGAATATAAGTCGTTGGAGGACCTCGAGAACGAGAAAGCTGAGCTGGGTTGATTATGACCGAAAGTTAGGCGTTAGGAAACTGCCTTTCATTTTTCGTCCTTAGCATCCATGGAAACGCACGATTCTTGATTTTTCAGCCTGTTTTTTGCTTTGTTGACTGTCGCCAGAGTGACCTTTGTATAGGACTTCCATGCAGTTTGTTCCTTTCAATCCGCGTTTACACTCAAAGCTCCTATTATCAAGGTTGTTCCTAGTGGGATTTTCCCAAGCAACAAAGTGGCGGCTCTCACGCTAAGAAGCCCGCGACAACAGTCTTGTCAGGAAGGTCAGGAAACTCTAGTTGTTTCGGTGTGATTCTGTAAGCCTGATTTGTGAGGCATGGTCGGCTAGTCTAAACTATCCGTAACAGACTACCTGCCTAGATAGGCAAGCTGCCTGACGATGAAAATCCAGTGTAATTACCCTTACACTTATAGATTCCCCCGAGGGTGCGGGACGGAACGATAATTCAACCGAATTGGCTACAGAAGGATTTCTTATCAAACCCCGCAAAACCCGCAAACTCCGGGGATGATATATGAGCATGCCGAGATAGATGTATCCGAACTATCATAAGAAAAGAGAAAGGATCTTACCTAGATATCTTCATTGTTCGTACTTTCTAAACAGAAGAGCAGTATCCACGCGATGACAAAGACTATTGTGATAATTGGTGTTACTGGTACTCAGGTATGCATCCACCCCCGAAGTCGACTCCCTTGCAGAGGACCTAGAAAGATGGTCAATGAATGATAATAGGGCTCATCGGTTGCCAACACCTTCCTACTGTTGCCAGAATGGCGGGTTCGCGGCATCACACGCAACACTCATAGTTTGGCTGCTCAGAACTTGGCCGGCAAAGGAGTCGAAATGATTCAGGCCGACATCGACGATCCGCAATCACTGGCTCCGGCCTTTGAAGGCGCGGCCGTGATATTTTCCAATACGGACTTTTTCACCCATTTGCAAGACGCATTGGCATCTCCAGATCTAGGGCGCACGCCAGAGGAAATCAGCGAATATGCATACAATCGCGAGGTCACCCAGGGCATCAACATTGCGAAGGTGGCTAGTTCGCCCATCGTTTTGAGGACCTTGGAACGCTTTGTCTACTCGTCCCTATGTGATGTACGCAAGTGGAGCCGGGGTAAGTACACAACTGTCCACCACTATAATTCCAAAACGGATACGATCCGGACTATTGAAGCCGAATTCCCGGAGTTAGCCGCGCGAATGAGCACCGTCCAGCTCGGACACTATGTCACCATGTGGAAAGCGTTTCCATCTATGGCCCCGCAGAAACAACCCGATGGGGGCTTTTTGATGACCAGGCAGGTCAATGCTGGATTGAAATTCCCATTTGTGGTGGCACATCGCGATACAGGGTCATTTGTCAAAGCATTAGTCGATCTCCCGCCGAAAAAGGATCTTTTAGGCGTATCGCAGACACTGACCTGGCCGGAATGGATGGCGATCTGGGGAGATGTTCTGGGGGTTCAAGCCGGGTTTCAGCAGGTGCCCAAGGATGACTTCTTTCGAGATGTGCCACATGCGCTCAGAAAGGACCTTGAGGATACATACGACTTCATCGAGGAATTCGGATTCACCGGCGGTGATCCGGCCGTGCTGATGCCAGAAGAGGTGAGTTCCCCATATTATAGGCATGCACATTTTGCAACCTTCTGACTCAGAGAGACTAGCTGGACTTTCAAATTCCGTTGACATCGATGGAGGACTATATTCGCAGCGAAGACTGGTCGTCCGTTCTCAATGCCTAATCCCACGGAGAACGCTAGAGATCTCAACATCACTATGCGCCACATATTATATGTAGTTGCATCACCTGGTTAAAATGCCACCCTGAAAAGGCTAATGAAATTTACTGATCTTATGTGTCTCAACCGGCTCTGCTTGTTTCGCTTAAAGGGATATATATATTTCATATTCGTCCAAATATTAGCATTCAAGCGGGGACCTACCTGGCCGGAGTATCAATATCTTCCCTAATAGTTCTTTAGATAACAACCATGACCTACTAGCCAACATTATCCAACTCCCACCCGCATTGTCAGGGAATATGAAAGTATATTTGGCAGTGATTTGCTAAATCATCGAGAGACAAACGTAGATTTGAAGTCCTATGCTCTTGTTGCAGTATTCGGTAGAGAGGAGCGAATGTAAGGTAAGTTGGCGTGAGCATTCATAGTTAAAATTGAGCGGGCACATGATGGCTATTAATGTACCCAGGCGGCGTGTAATCCAACATCACAAATTATACCTTACAGTCATTCTCGAAATCGTACATTGCTAGTATCCTCGAGCTGCTTGAGAAATCGGCCGACGATAAGGCCTCTCGAGCTATTCTCCTTCAAGAGATCTCCAACATATGTCAACTCGAATTGAATCGTGCGCAAACTCTTTTCAAGCGCCATGTTCAAACTTCGACTGGGTCGAAGTGGTTCAAGCGAACATCCAACGTGTATGATAGCGCTGGTAATCCGCGCGTTAGCATAAAAGGCAAACCCGAAGATATTGCAACATCTGACTCGCAGCTTCATTACATGTTGCGTCTCTGCCAGCCAAAGCTCACTATTCCCAACGCTACAACCTGTCTCACAAAGATCAGCGAGTATCACAAATCTCACCCCCAGAAGTGGGAGGAGCTGGAGGATAGAGAGGCCGACGCATTGGGTGACCTGGCTATCATTATTGGATTTATCCAGGACTTGGCATCTGTGGTTTTTATTCCTTCCTTTTCCAATAACAAGGGCCAGATGTTTGCCTCGAAAGCACAGGAATTGGAATCCGAGTTCAATCAGGTTAAAGATCAACTTGACCTACTCGATTTTGTCGTTCCCATCGACAACCTCCTAGAGCCGGGAGTGGCTACTGGAGCATTGAAAAAGCTGGACCAATTCGCCATTGAAAAGTCCGGCACAAAAATGGGTTTCATTTACCAAGACATGGTCACAGACTGCCTGTCTCGCATTCAGGAGCAATTCAATGAGGCCAAGGCTAAATTGGCCCAGGGATTGAAGGCTGAGTTGTCTTCTGCTCCGCCAAAGACTCCGGAGCCGACAGCGGTCCGAGTCGAACAGCGGAAGCAAAAGGAAAAGACACGTCCATCCCATTCATCTATCTATGACATTGTTACGCCCAAGCCTTCTCCGCAGGAGCCTGCTTCGCTCCCGCAGACTTTCAAGATTGATGAGTCGACTGCGGAGGTCTTGGCGAGGTTATTCAGCAAGTCTGAATCTCGTGGCCCAGTGGCATGGGCTGCCTTCGCCGATGCGATGGCAAAATTGGGATTCTCCATCTCGCCCAAGTATGGCTCGGTTTATACCTTCTATCCACAGGATAGTATGACTGCAAAGAAGTCATTCACTGTGCATTGACCACACCAGTCTAAGATGGAAGGATATCGGGTTCTTACGGTGGCACGGCGGTTGAGGAGTTTGTACGGATGGAGTGAAGAGACATTCCAAGTGAAATGAGTTGGTTAATACAGCTACAATGTTCAATAGAATTTCAAATTCTCCTTAGTCTGCCCTTAGTTTACATCTAAAAGGCATGTGAAGTGAAAGAGATAGCAAACACTCCATAGTATACGTGTTACGTATAAAAATATCAAGGTGTGGCCATGAACGTCCTTTCACTTTCGCATATCTTCTCTTCTACAACTTTATCTCTTCACTCTCACTTCTCCTTTCTCCTCTTCTGCTCTCACTCTCTCTGTTACCATTCTCTTCTTCAGTCTCCACTGCGATCCTATCTCCGCATATTTCTCTCTCCTCTCTCCTCCTGGTCCAAGCAGCTACAGCCAAACCGCCGACGATGGACTTCCCTCGGCACATTGGGTTGTAAACGCGATTTGCCACATATTATCTATGCCGTGGTGCTAGCTCACTGAGCGACAGATATGATCTTTTACATCAGATACCCGGGGGGCCATGGAGCCGGAAGGGTAGTGGACTCAGTGACTGAATGCTGAGAACTTCACTCCAAAGAAAGTGCTATCCACGATGCTGGCTCCCCAGGGACCTTCGAGTCTGCCCGTTCGACGGCGCCAGCAAGACTCCGGTAAGCGCACCGACTGAGAACTGCGCTCCACAGTGCCTCGACTGTCAGCAGGTCCCGGTGCTCCGTGTCACCGCGATAAACTCGGGCCATCCAAGGCCAAGGATATACCGTCTGAACACGCCGCAAATCACGCCCCATTCCTGGAGCTAGCGATCGGTGCCCGAGTCATGTTAATACATAATATCTCAGTACCCGCCTCAGGGAGGTATAAAGGGACCCATCTTCCCCAAACCTTTTCTCTTCTTCTTCTTTTTCTCCCCCAACCCCCTTCCCCGGACTTGCTATGTACTCGACATGCGAGCTAGTGAATGGGTCCATCGGCGTGATCAGGGATATCACCTAGACGCCTGGGGTAACCGACCCACGTACACAAGCGCCGTCGGCAGCTCTAATGGAGTTCAGCGACTACCGCAGGTCCCAGGTACAGGGGCAGAACTTTAATGTTGTCACTATCCTCCCCTGTCCCCCGCAATTCTTCTACGATGGTCGACTATGCATGCGGACTCAGTTTCCGCTGATAACCGTGTACGCGATCACTATCCACAAGGCACAGGGGTTGTTTTCAGTTCCCACGGTGTACTAGATATCAGCCGTAACGACTTCTCGACGGACCTGTCGTACGAGGCGATATCTTGGGTGCGATCGATCAACGGGCTTCTGTTCGAGACCCCGTCAACCTCGAGCGTTTCAAGCCCAAACATCACCAGATATTTGCTATACACGCCACAGACTATGCTCCCCCGCAAGTTCAGCATTTCATAGGACGGTTACGGTATACCCTCAGGACCCCTCGCGTCTCTGTCACCCCTCGAGCCGCAACTCTCTCCTTCCCGGTCAGATCGCACAGACAGTACACCGAACACCAGTCAACGCAAGTGCAACCAATCCATGGGAGAGATCGACCGAGTCATACTCTGACTTCATCGCTGGGTGGGGAGTCAGATGTAAAGACGCCATCTCGGCGAGGTCGACCCGTGTAGGAGGTAGCGGTTGCTATGGGCATCAGAATCAATAATATCTGCACAGAGTGATTAAGTGTACTTACAACGGGTATGATATAATTTCAAAGATATAGTAGCACTAACTGACTACAAAATGCCATGGCGAGAGCTACATCTAATAAATCGAACACTTGAAACCAAGATATTCATAGTCTACACATACAAGCATACCTATAGTCCTTGGACCCTATCTACCCAAAGAAACAATCATAAAAGAATATCCATTGTTACTCACGCGTATTCAGATCTCAAACCTAGAAACCAGGATCGATGAGAATATTCTCAATAATAAAATGCACACACAAGTCACATTTACCATCGACACCAAGTTTCATAGCCAGGAATGGCAGCAATTGCTGCAGCGTATCGCACATTGCGGGGACTTCGACATCGTAAAAGCCAGGTGGTTTGGTTCTCACACAGACATGCCATCTCGCCTCGGATGCCATGGTAGTAGCGGCGTTGGCTAGTCGATCGAGGTATTCGCTACCTTGTTCGCGGAGGTTGATTTGCACTTCTGCCACGGTATCGGGTTCCGGTTGGTGTCTGAGAAGATGGGATTGATCTGCGAGCCATTTGAGGAAGTTTGTTCGTTCGTTTCCGAAGTCAAGGACTTTGTCGGCTCCCAGAGGTAGGGACATTCTGTGTTTTGAGAGATGGAGACGTGAGATGTGAGATTTGAGTTATGATTGGATGGAGTTTAAGTGGGAGGCTCAAGGCTTGCACTTGCCCGGGATAGGAGGATTTGTGGTTGAATTGCGAGACGCGGGTTTCACGGCGCGCGTGGATGGATGTTGAGACTTGGGCATTAGCCTGGTCAAGTTAGTTAGGTACGATGTATAGAATGGATATAGAAGATTCATACCTCGACAAGGTGATCTGGAGATGTTGAGACTTATCCAACTAGGGGATGGCGATGAGAGTACATGTTTTCAGAGGTGATGTTTTGAGATTGGAGGAGTATTGAGGTTCTTTCCTTCAAATTTGAGAGAAAGAGGAATATCAAAGAGGCCATGACACCTTGGGGATCAGGCACTCTTCACTTAGAATTCGCATGGCTGGTACTCATACGGTTGTCTCAAGTCCATATGTAGGAACTACATATATCACAAAGATAGCATCATTGCTTCCATAACATCCTGAATATAAAAAGAATCCAAATTGAGTATATTGCTGGGTCATAGTATCATATGAGCTTCATACATGTCGTCACATCTTTGGAGTTTCATCACCTTGTAAATACCCAACGCTATAACCAAATATCCATACAAAACAAAACAAATTTTTTTTGGTTTACAGGTTCGTCAATTTGCGGAACCAACTGGGCTTCTTAGCAGAGGTCGGTGGAGCACCTTGTCTGCTCCCCTGGGACCTCATCCCACGATCACGTTCATAATCACCACTTCCAGAGCTGCTCTTCACGCCTTCACGACGAGAGCCACGATATCGAGAACGGTCATCAACTTCTTCCTCATACTTAGCACGACGACGTGCCTTACGACGAAGAGCGCGGCGGGCTTCCTCATCCGATGAAAGAGAATGGGCATTAGCTCCTTCATCCGCTGCAAGAGGAGGCATATCAATAAGAGTTGGAACTATTTGCGGTGGTTCCGGAGGCTCATCACTCTGCGAGTAAACCCACGAGGAAATCTTATCTTTACCGCCACCCAAACCACCAGTCATGAGCGGTTCCCGAATAGGCTCAGGAGCGACCTTGGACTTGCGACGACGAGCGGTTGGCTCTTCGAACGCGCGGGAGCTACGAGCCCCGCGACGATCAGCCCACCGCTCATCGGGATAGACCTCATCAGGTATCCTTTGCTCGCGTTCACGGCGTCGACTCGCTCTCGCGGCCATCATTTCTTCCTCGCGTATTCGCCGGCGCTCGCGGCGTTCTGCCGCTCTAGCTTCGGCTGCCGCTTCGGCTTCAGCTTCACGAGCCGCTTGCTCTTCTCGAGCACGACGTTCCTCGCGTGCAGCGCGTCGGGCCCGCTTTTCTTCTCGTAGACGGTCTTCCTCGCGTAGACGTTCTTCCTCTTCCTCTTCGCGAGCACGTTGTTCGCGTGCCCGTTCTTTTCGTCTTGCGCGTCGCTCTTCTGCTTCCCGGGCTTCATTTTCACGAGAGTCAGAAGGTGCCTTGCGGGATCCGCGTCGTGCCTGTCGTGCTGCGCGGCGAGCTTCCGCTTCTTCGGCTTCTGTGTCGCCACCTGCTCCTGCACCGGGGGCGTCCGTTACGAATCCTTCGTGATCGGTGTCTGGGCGGGTAGATCCTCGGCGTCGATCTTCGCGACGTGATCTTCGAGCCATGTCGCGGTCCATTTCTGGTGGGTATCTTGCATCGTCATCACGATACGAGCGCGACTTCTTTCTTTCGGGCATCTCGGGGCGTTCTGGACGATCTGGGCGTGTGGTCTTCCTTAGAGAATCCAGGAGGCCCATCAATCCACCGGATTCTTGTTTCTTCGGCGGCGCCGTGTTGGCGCGCTTTAGGCGGCGTTCTCTTGGAGGCGCATCAACGAAGGCCATATCCTCGGGCCCTGACATGACTTCTGCGGTGGGATGTGCTTGATATGGATCAACCAGGACAGCATCATACTCATCGTCAGGTCTAGAGCGAGACTGTAAAGGATCGTCAGTTAGTGCAAATACACGAAGGGTACTCGGTTATCTCAACATACCGGTCTTTTAGACTTGCGTCTTGAGCCCTTAGAGCCCTCCTTTGGTGAGTGACCCTCGGCATCCTCCATATCAACCATAACTAAGTCATCATCCTCTATCGCATACGGGTCTCGAACTGTTTCGTAGGAAGTCAGCGACGATAAAATGAGAGATGAGAGGGAAGTGAAACATACCTGACTTCCGCCTGTCCGTGCGCAGGCGCTCACGTCGAGACTTGGAGGGATCCATGCCCATTAGTTTGGCTGCTTTATTAGAAACCTCAGGTTTTTCATCCGGTCCTGGATCAGAAACTGGGTCCTCAATATCAAATGATGGACGCCTTGATACCGGCTTCGAAGAAGAACCAGGTTTGCGAGTCGATTTGCTTTTGGACTGGGGTGTACCCAGTACCATGTTGGCCAAGACGACGCCACGTTGGTTCTTCGAGGGCCGCCCCTCTCGTTCGCGCCGCTTTTCCCGGTCTGACGAAGACCTTTCCAGTTCTGGCTCTGGGTCTTTAGGGCGGGATTTGGTGGATTTAGAACGAACTGCAGGAGAACGCTCTCGAGTAGACTCCTTTTTCTTTGGCGGTTCTACTTCCTCTTCAACCTTTTCCTTCTTCAGTCTTGTTGGAAGTTCTGTTTCCTGATTTTTTTCCTTCTTTAGCTTTTTTGGAGGCTCTGCTTCCTCCTGAATCCTTTCCTTCTTAGTCAACTTCTTCGGTGGTTCTGGTTCTTCCAGGATCTTGCTTTCCTTCTTACTCGATTTCTTCGGGGGCGGCGCGGCCCCCCAGAAGCCCCATGAAGAGCTAGTCGTAGTGCGTTCAGGGCGTGGTCGCTCCTTCTTGGAGGATTTTGGAGGCTCTTCGGCAGCCTCCGGTGGAGGCATGGGTGGCGCACCTTCGTCCTTCTCTGCCTCGGGTGCGGCCTCAGGTTCAGCCTCAGGCTCGGGCTCAGCTTCAGGCTCTGGTACCGGCTCTGGTTCTGGTTCTGCTATTGGCTCGGGCTCAGGGTCTAGCTCACGTGTTTCCTCGGGAGGTGGTGGGGTAGGCTCCCTGGGAGCCGCTGCGGCTGCGGCGGCTGCGGCTGCAGCTTTCTCAGCTTCGGCCTTTTTATATTTCTTCAGCTCCTTTTTCGACATTTTGGAAAGATCTGGGGCCGGTGGCTCAGGTTCCGGTTCAGGCTCTGGCTCCGGGGCTGGCTCGGGTTCTGGCTCGGGCTCGGGTTCAGGTTCAGGCTCGGGCTCATCTCCAAAATCTGGGAAGCTTCCAGGAATAGAGTCCTTGGAAATTTTCCTTTCTTCGGACTCCTTCGACTTGGATTTTGAACTCTTCTTCGCAGGAGCGGGCTCCTCTACGGGAAGTTCAGGCTCTGGCTCTGGTTCTGGCTCTGGTTCCGGTTCGACCTTCTTGGATTTGCTCTTCGAACTAGATTTTTCCGCCTTTGCCTTCTCCTTCTTGGCCTGCTCTAGGGCCTTGATGCGCTCAGCAACACTCAGCTTAGAAGCCTTGACCTTCGCCTTTTCGGGGACAGGAGGCTCGGGTTCGGGCTCAGGTTCCGGTTCAGGTTCGGGTTCAGGCTCAGGCTCTGGTTCAGGCTCTGGAGGATTATCGGCAACATCAATAAGCAGGTCATCTTCCTCCTCTATAGCCTCATCCTTCTTCTCCTCTTTCGCCTTCTTTGTTGATTTGGTTTTGCTCATAGATCCCCCAGTCAGACTCGACCAGAAGCCTTTGGATGCTTTTTCCTCTTTGGGTGCTGGTTCGATGGCTTTTGTGACCTTCTTTGAACCCTTAGAGGTCTTAGGGGCTAGCTCTGCCCAAATATCATCTGTATTGTCATGGAAAGCTTCCGGGTCTGGAGTCAAGCCCTGAGGAGGAGGCGTTGGCGCACGTGGAGGGGGAATTTCTTCGATATCCTTGTCCTTCTTCTTCTTTTTCTTTTCCTTTGGTTGTCCCCAAATGCCCCAGGATTCTTCTTCGGTCGGTTTCTCTGGTTCAGGCTCAGGCTCAGGTTCAGGTTCAGGCACTGGTTCGGGTTCAGGCTCTGGCTCCGGTTCTGGTTCGGGTTCGGGTGCTGGCTCCGGTTCAACAACTGGTTCAGGTACCTCTTCGGGCTGGTCGGGTGGGAGCTCAAAATCCTTGCCAGGAATAGGGAGACCCTTGCGCACCAATTGTTTCTCTCGCTTCTTCCGTTCTTTGGACGATATCTCGCGCCAATTTTCGTATAGAGGTTCAGCAGGCACCTTTGGCGCCTCGGGCACTGGCTCTGGCTCTGGCTCTGGTTCTGGTAGTAGTACTGTTTCTGGTTCTGGCTCCGGTTCAGGTTCTGGCTCCGGGGCTGGCTCAGGCTCAGGCACAGGCTCGGCTTTGCCTTTGCTTTTCTTCTTGTCCCTTGAAATTCCCCAGGCAGCAAAGGGATCGACCGGCTCTTTGGGCTTCGGTGGTTCATCGATAATAGGTTCCGGGTCCGCTAGAAGGTCGATCTTCTTCTTCTTTTTATCTTTGGTCTTCACTGGAACACCCCAGCCCCAGTCACTATCAGCCTCGGCTGGTTTAGTCTCCTCCACCACTGGCTCAGGCTCAGGTTCGGGTTCGGGTTCAGGTTCGGGTTCGGGTTCAGGTTCGGGTTCGGGCTCAGGTTCGGGCTCAGCCGCCTTAGCTGCTTCCAGCTCTGCTGCCAACTTTGCTGCCGCTTCGTCTTCCTCTTTCCATTTCCTCTCCATCTCCTTCTTTGCTTTACGCTGCTCTCGTTTGTTGAGATTTAGAAACCAAGCTTCTTTCGTGAAATCGACTCTGGGTGCTGGCGCAGGTGGAGCAGGAGCCTCAGGTTCGGGCTTTAGATCGCCCCCTCCCCAGTTATCTTCTTGTTTGGTTTCGGCGGGGGCGGACCCCAAGTCGAAATCAAAACCGCCAGTTCCTGATGCCTTTTTGGTTTCTCCCCATGGGTTGTTGTCTTTTGATTCGTCCTGAGGAGCGTCCCCAAGAGGATCAAGCTTGCCACCGGTATTCCAATCTTTACCCCATCCTCCAAAACTAAATCCAGTTCCACCGGTCTTCGGAGCCGGACTATCGAAGCTCAAGTCCAATTGCGGTGCGCCTTCATTCAGACTTACGTCCTGGAATCCCCCGGGGGGTGCAGCTTCGCCCTATAATTTATTTAGAAGCCCATCTTAATCCAGTGGTGGAGGATGGTCTTACCTTTCCTTTCTTTTTTTTCCCTACATTCGTGAAAGCAGCCCACGAGCTATCACCCCCACCGTCATCCTCAGCCCAGCTGAGATTATTGGCAGCAGAGGCTTCGGCGGCCTTTCGTTCTTCCTCCTCCTTGGCTTTTCTTTCTTCTTCTTCTTTTTCCTTCGCCAGTTTCTCCTCCTCTTCCTTGGCTATCCGCTCTTCCTCCTCCTTGGCTTTCTTCTCTTCCTCTTCCTGCTCCTTCTTCTTTTTATCCTTCTTTCCGCTCACATTCCAATCGTCGCCCCAATCATCGCCTCCATCTCCGTCGCCGCCTCCAGCGCCATCACCGCCAGCCCCACCGGCATTGTCGCCATTGGAATTATCATCTCCTCCATCGGCCCCGCCTGTCGGTTCCGGTGGTGGGGGCGGAGGCGGAGTAGGAGCCGGTGCTGCTTTCTTTGCGGCCGCCGGCTTTTTCTTCTTATGTTCCCGAACTCCAGTAGGATTCTCAAAATCAATACGTACATCCAGCATCCGATCTTTCAACAGCGAAGAACTATTTGATTTTTGACGAGTCTTTCGCGCGAAGGATATATCAATCGATTTGCGCTGCGCGAGCGGAGGCAGTGCAGAGTATTCAGGAGGAAGATCATGGATCACATCATTGTAGGGAGGCGGAGGCTGGTCGTACGACGGTGGCTCTAGCGAGCGAGTTGGAAAGCGAGAACTTAATCCGACGCCTAAATCTACTTTTTGGTGCGCCCAGTTATCTGGCAGGCAGAAACTTGCTCGCTCACTGGACAAAGTAGTTCGAAGCTCGTCGAGGAGTTTCTCCGCCATTTTTATGTTTTTTGTGTAATATGCGTCATCCTCCGCGGTGTTGTTCTTCCCCGCGCATACACGATAAGGCCCCTCAATTGTTTCCATATCGAAAATCACCTGCGCCGATTTCACGGGCCGATCCGATCACTGATGTAGCAACTCAGCGATGTTAAATAGTGTACTCATCGGTAGGTGAATTGAATTGGAGTCCTGGTGGGGGATGTCGTCCCAATCGATCACAGACAGTATTTTTTGGGCGCGGGGTTGCGAGAGTGTGAAATCGTTGTGGTAGGGTTGCGCGAGCGGGTGCTGTGAGACTATTGAAGTAGTAAATCAAGACAAATTCAAGTCAGTTAGCCTCCCTGCACGACCGGCGCGACTTTAGGTGTTTTTGGATGCTGGTATTGGTGATATTTAGACGGATTAGGGAACGGTGACACAGTTTGTAAAACCGAGCCCGCTGTAAAGTGAACACAAAGAATTTCAAGGAGTCAAGGGAGTCAAGGGAGAAAAATAGGGAAAAGTTCGACTGGGGAGGGGATCTGGAGAGGCAGGGATAATAAGTTCAGGCGGTGGAGGTGAAGATCATCCCATTTGGCCCGCAAAGTTCAATGTATGTACTCCGTCCGTACAATGTACTTGTTTAATGTTGCTATTTCATTAATGTGATCAAGTGCATTTTGATATTAACATAGAAGTTAGTCGAGTCATTCAAACTTGGACAACATATGCCATACTTATACCATACTTATATGAACACTGCCGGGAGAAAAAAAAAAAAAAACATAGATGGCTGGGAAGACAGAAGGACCAACTACATACTCTATACTGAGTAGTTACCTCTAATATGGAGCAAATACACTTGAAACTGACGATATGTACAGAGTACATATGTATACTAAAATATGTACGTGTAGATTTTTATAATCTGCATGCGCATATACTCGAGAGGTCAAATGTCGCACAGACCCCGCGATAAACAGTTTCCCGATTCCACGGTTCCCAACCTCAAGTCCATGGATTATGATAAGATAAATTGTCTAGTACCATGGTACTCTCAAATACAATCTAATTGTACAGTAAATAAAGCACCTGATATGTAAGTAATCCATACAACATGGATGCCTAGGTGCAATATATATAGTGAGACATACCTAAATGCAGGGACTCCGTGCTGCTGTATGTATTTCCGTTTGTACCTGCAATATTCGCATTTCAACCCAGTTATGCCCACAACATTTGTTTTACCAAAGTTGTATGGAGTACTCGTAGATGCTAGAAAATTCTCCTCCAGCCCAATTACTCAATGCAAGTCCCCAGACCAAAGAGGCCATCTGCAAGCGCAACACATCTTTTCACACCGCCACTTGTTCGGAGCCAAAAAATGAAAGGCCCAATGCGGGGTCAGTGGAGAGTCTGCAGCGTAAAGGAAGGATCGTAAGGGTATTTCTAACATTAAACATCACTTTAGAGGGTAGTAGTAGTCTTTAAACGGGTTATAGTCCCTATTCGAGGTAATAGAGCTAGTATATCGGGATTTACTGAGATACACCAGGCACTGCTCTGATACTCATCCATTGCACCAAAAAAGGTAATAAGGTCATAACCAAGTCAATTCATGAAATTGACTTAGTTGCAGGGGAATATATATGTTGGTGTCCACAAGCATGTTGAGTGGGATCGAGTGGGATCACACGGTCTACAGTGAGCCTAGGAATCTCTAGAGGCCGGATCTACACTTCTCCTAGATTGACACCTTTTTTAAGAGAACTCTGACAGAAATAGATGATAGGCGTAATAGATCAGGATGGTCTCTAAAAACTAGAAAGTATGAAATATAACAGAGGTAGGAAGGCGGGATTATCCCCTGCGGAACGTATTCTGCCGGCCTTTTCATCACATCCGTCGGAAAAATGTTAACCCACCACCTCCTTCTTCTACCCACGTGATTCATGATGTGGGTCCACAAAGCTGCCCCACTCCACTCCACAACTCCACAACATACCTCCTTGTCCTTAGTCTACAGCTCTTTCAGTTACAGTTCTGCGATTCTTACACTACACCCCCCTAGTGCAAGACATCATAGGGTACCATTTCGAGCCTGAATAGTACATAGTAAACTCTAGCCACTTTCCCTAGCAATGACTAGCAATTCTGCGACGGAATTCCTCAACAAATTGGACTTCAGACATCATGTCCTGAAAACAATTCATAGCGCGTCAGAACATTAGCTATTGGTTTTCACTGATATCAACTCATTGTGGGGGGAGCAGATAAGGGGGTTTAATTAATAAAATGACGGATGTTCTATAAGGTAAGCTACCACAACGCATATATGCTCTAGTCAAATCAAAGGTTATACACAGAACAGTCGTTCGCGCTATTTAAACCATTTCCCACCTTAATTACCGCCGACCTATAAAACTGGTAAGATATCTAAAAGAATGCCATTTGAGAAGATGAGTAAAAAGACCACTGAGAAGACCACTGAAAACATATCATAAGGCTGCTTACGCGGCCGACTATTTATTCTTGTTTCATTAAGACGGATCCCTTTAGAAAAGCCTACAATTCATTAATGAAAGTTCTACGAATCAAAGTCATACCGACTGAAGTACAAGATTGTCATCAAAGCTGGTGGCGTCTGTCGGAGATAAAACCACGGGATATTGGTGACTTGACTAGTGATGAACAAGCACAATTTTATATCAGCATTGGCATGAGTAACATATTATATGGACGCTTCTCTTGAATTTCTATATACTAAATCCTACAGCGCTTCAGTTCGCCAATATCGTTCGTCGAGAAAAGAGCCTGATCTCTTTGTACGCTCGATTCACGACCGCCTACCATCTTTCGTCATTAAAATAGGGTGTATCGAGTCCTGGAGTGCATCACTGAATGATATGAATCTCCTACTAGTCTGCGGTCACGGCGGCGTTCGGGCTGTCGCATTTGGGAAATGCGACTTGAACCGACGAACAAGCGTTGTCAGTGACTTCGTGGAGCTATATGTGCGGGACCGACAAGGCATGCCAGCACGGAGACAGAGGGAGGTATGCCAAGGCACTTAAATTTTATTAGTTTATATATTAATATCATTTAGGATATCTTTCCTGCACCTCCTGGAACCACAGCTCAGAGACTTATGTTGACTCGCCAAGAAGTATTCGGTCCTTACCTCTCACCAGAATCAGGACGCATCCAACCTCCGAATGATACAGTGTACCTTGAGAAAGATAGCTTGCGGAGAGTAACCTGTCGGGCACTGGCCCGTATGAATCTCTCACTGGCGGTTTAACAACCTTAGGTACTGTCCTATTTGAAACGCGCCGAGTCCACGGATATGGAAATTGTTGCGGCTGATGGGATACCGGGAGGGTGGGAAATTCTACCTTCATAGCTATCCATTGTATTTTGTGTATTTGCTACTTTCTACTTTCTACTTGTAATCTTATCATACTTCCTACTATATCCCTTAGTGGCCTACTTTCTATATTCTTCTTTTTTTACAAGCTCTGCTAGGTAACGATGAGAAAGGTAATGACAAAAAGAAACACATGGGGTTGTTTTGAGCATCCAACTAAACTATTCTGGGAGCTGCCAAACGAGAGATGAAAGAAGAAGTCAGCCTGAGCGGCCGGTGTGTCTCACCCCATATGTATAAAAATAGCTGGACGTAGAAGGGAGTCCCGATGGACGAATACATAGTACTTATGGATGTATGTGGGCATTTTCAGTCCCGAGGAAAATAGTGCAACACAGAGTAGTAACCGGTCGGTACGGGTGTAGGAACTATACAGTTAAAGGAACACGGTCATCTTGATTTGTGTTGCTCTCATTGGTTTAATAGAAATCGTGAGATATTGGCATAAGCGATATTGAATTGGGTTGCCGGTGGTAAACTCTCCATTGATTTATTACAGTCTCCTATGCGGCGCTGCTACAACTCGACCAAACATAAACAATTAGTATAGATAACCAGTTTGATAGCGCAAACTACAATACAGTAAGGAAACGGGAATCAGCCATATGGGGAATTGAAAACGACATATGAGAAACAAGCTAAGAAGTCCAGCCTGAGATAACCGCCTTCTGCAAAGAAACTCAACTCGGTCAACACCATTTCAATGCAAGTTCAATCTCAGGCTCAGGATCAAGTGGCGGCTTCCAATTCGTCCACGCGAGTTCTGGGTGGTGCGGGTTGACCGTACACCTGCTGGTGCTCTCTCTCATATCGTTCGCGATCTTCGACCTGCAATTTGTGATAGTGCTAAGGTTATAGTTAGCACCCGTAATCCAGCATTATCCTTTCTGCCAAGGGTCCTTACATCTTTCTCCGACTGAGGTAGTGCTTTCCATTCCTCGCCAATGGCTTTGAAGCTATCCCTTCCGTGCATTCCCTGGTACATACCACTATTCAAACGGTCCGCCACGAATAAAACATAAGCGGATCTAGATTTTGCGGGCAGGCGGTCATCTTTAATGGGAGAGTAGTTCTTTTTGACAAGATGCGAAAGGGTTTGGCGGGCAGTGTTTGCCTCCTTGATCTGGAGAGGTGTATGCGACTTGACCCACGCATCATAGGCTGCAGAGTTCGCAGCTATGTTCGCTTTGGCCTGGGCTCGGAGTCTCTGAACACGGGGATTAGTATGCCAATATTAACGTATACGGAGATGCCCAAGGGGACATACTTCCAACTCATCTCCGCTGATGGATTTGGCACGCTCTGCAGCGACCAGAAATAATTCTGGATGATTGTATTCACCCTTGATCTCGCGCATCTTCTCGCAAATAGCAAGAGTGTACGCAGCAGAGGGCAGCCTCTTAGGTGGGTGGATCAGAGCAGTCGCCTTGAGCTCTTTGATACGATTGCTGAGTTTCTTGAGCCTCTGAGATTCTTGTTGTTTTTCGGTAAGAGGTCTCTTTTTCTTCGTTTCGCTGTCTGCCTTTTTGGGGCTCTTCGCCTTGGGAGTCTTGCTCGCCTTGAGAGGGGTAGAAGCAGTCGCGAACGAATTCGATTGAAATAGGGATTGGATGGAAGAAATAGGTTGGATTTGCGGACGCGCGAGACCAGATTTGGCTGCTAGACAAACGCGATTGAGCTGGTTCTGCAGGCCGATCACGCCAGTACGGCGAGGGAGAGCACTGCATTGTAGGGTACGGAGCAAGCCTCCTCGGGCTGCCGACTGCCAAGACATGAAGTGATTATCGAAGATAATTGAGCTGGAGCGAGTAAAATAATATAAGCAAAGATAAAACAAATCAGGAATTGAATCTTCAAAAGCTGAGAATTGATAGAGGAGCTGTTGACGCAAGCGGAGCAGGGGTCGCGCTTGCTGCGGTGTACCTATCCGCATCGGGCTTAGCTCAATCACATGTAATTACATAATCTTCTTTCCTCTTTGGGACCGTTTGCGCAAATGACGATGCGATAGACAACACTCACACGATCTTTTTTTTATCTGCGGCCTGAGGCCTGAATTGTGGTCTCAAAACCTCCTTCCCGTTTCGATTTCTCCTTCCTCCTCTCTCCTTTCACTCCGTGTCCCGGGTGCTTCGTTCCAGTAACACTCACTAATCGGCCTGCAACAATGGCTCGCCACGCGGATACTCGCTCACCATCACCTGTAGGCAGCACATACTCTTCATCGCGACGGCCTCTCAGAGAGGATGAGCGCTATGACAGAACTCGGCGGGATGATGGTCGCAATTATCGCCGCAGATCCCGCAGCCCAGAGGTACGTGTGATGGCGCACTACAAATTTACATTCTACCTTCCAATCCCTGACCATCCTTGTGATATCTAGAGACGGTACCGTGGGCGTGACCGCCCTCGCGAAAGAGACACTTACAGACGACGTGACGTCCCCGTAAACCGCCGCGATGAAGACACCTATCGGCCAGTTCGAAGAGACCGATCCAGAGAACGGCGACGAGATGATGACCATGATGTCCGTCGCAGAAGTCGTGATAGAGATTACCGCCCCAGGCGAGATGACTCCCGCAATTGGGATCGCAGGCGGTTTGATGATTCTGCTGACTTGAAGCCCAAGTCTAGACGGGATGATAGCCGTGATCGTGCCCCGAGCCTACGGTCCAGGTCTATAACCCGAGAGGTACGCTCCCCGCACCTTGCATCTTGCAGAACCCTTGATACTAATCGTACCCCGCAGCCATCAAAGGCATCCACCCCTGCCCCCACTGTCCAAACCGACGAGGAAAAGAAAGCCGAGAGACTTGCAAAGCTTGCAGCTTGGAAAGAAAAACAAGCCGCGGAACGCGAGAAAAAGCAAAAAGAGCAGGCAGCAGTTGATCCTAAGAAGATCCTCGAAGCGATTGACCGTAAATCTGTTGTGTCTCCGGCTGCTCCCACCTCATTCCCCGGAAAGTTGAAGTTTGATCCAAAGGCGATAGTCAAGTCATCAACCACGACCACAGCTGCTGCTCCCGCTGTGCTTGGTACGGATGTCGCTGTCCCAGCATCTGCCAAAGGTCCGTCTGCAGCAAAATCTATCATACCACCTGTCGCGCCGGCCACGCTGTCTGGCCCATTGAAGCCTAAAGGTAATGTCAGCGGGTTTGGCTTGGGTGCCAAACAAGTTTCTGAAACCGAGAAACCATTTGCTACAACCCTAGGCTTCGGGGACGCGGATGAGGAATCCACCCGCAAGAAGCTGGCAAGACTGCCGACACTTCCTCTCGATACGAGTGCACAGGTGGAGGATGCCGGCCAAGACGACGATGTAGACATGCAAGCAGACGACACAGACGAACATGCGGCAGCTGCGGCGCATGCCGCAGCCGAACGCCGAGACTCACGACTCCAGAATGAACCTGATGACATCCATATGGACCAGTCGACAACTGCGCAGGCTGATTCTAACCCAATGGATGTTGACGATGCTGAAGAAGTCGATCCCCTGGATGCGTACATGGCTCAACTCCAACAGTCGCCCCCGCCCGAAAAGAAAATTGGGGCCACGTTTGCTAAGAATAAGACACGGCAGCAACCCGAGGCGATGTTTGGAGATGAAGAGGACGTCGATGTGACTGCAGTCGGCGACGAGAAGGCCGAAGATGTCCTCGCTATCGCAGCACTTAAAAAGAAGAAGCGGGAGATCCCCGATATCGACCATACAAAGATCGACTATGAGCCATTCCGCAAGGAATTTTACACTGAGCCTTCCAACCTTGCAGGCATGACCGAAGAAGAAGTAGCAAATTTGCGACTCGAACTGGATGGCATCAAAGTCCGGGGCAAGAACGTCCCTACACCCGTTCAAAAGTGGTCGCAATGTGGTCTTGGGGTGCAGACACTGGATGTGGTCCACAAGCTTGGGTGGGAAAAGCTTACATCCATTCAGGCGCAAGCAATTCCCACGATCATGTCCGGTCGCGATGTCATCGGTGTGGCAAAAACTGGCTCAGGAAAGACCGGTGCTTTCTTAGTGCCGATGTTCCGCCATATCAAAGACCAGCGGCCCTTGGCTAGTATGGACGGCCCCATCGCTATGATCTTGTCTCCTACCCGTGAACTGGCAACCCAAATCCATAAAGACTGCAAGCCTTTCTTGAAGGCCCTGAAACTTCGTGCTGTCTGTGCGTATGGCGGAGCCCCCATCAAAGACCAGATTGCCGAGTTGAAGCGAGGTGCAGAAATCATTGTCTGTACTGCTGGTCGTCTCATTGATCTGCTGGCCGCAAACCAAGGGCGGGTTCTAAATCTTCGTCGTGTCACGTATGTCGTCCTAGACGAAGGGGACCGTATGTTCGATATGGGCTTTGGTCCACAAGTCGTCAAAATCATGGAGAGTGTCCGCCCAGACAGGCAGACTGTCCTTTTTTCAGCCACCTTTCCCAGGAGTATGGAAGCATTGGCCCGGAAAACTTTGAATCACCCAGTGGAGATCACTGTGGGTGGCAAGAGTGTTGTGGCCCCCGAAATCACGCAAATTGTTGAGGTCCGTAATAACGACCAGAAGTTCGTCCGCCTGTTGGAGCTTCTGGGAAATTTGTACGAAGACGATGCGAATGAGGATTTTCGCACATTGATTTTCGTGGACCGTCAAGAGGCCGCAGATGACCTACTCAAGAATCTAATGTACAAGGGTTATCCATGCATGTCGATTCACGGCGGAAAGGATCAGATTGATCGTGACAGCACCATTCAAGAATTCAAGGCAGGTATCTTCCCTATTCTGGTGGCAACATCGGTTGCTGCTCGTGGGTTAGACGTCAAGCAGCTGAAGCTTGTTGTCAACTATGATGCACCTAATCACTTGGAGGATTATGTCCATCGTGCCGGCCGTACTGGACGAGCTGGTAATACCGGAACAGCCGTCACGTTCGTCACCGAAGAACAGGACCGGTATGCGTTGGATATTGCAAAAGCTCTCAAGCAAAGTGGACAGGAAGTTCCGGCGCCTCTTCAGAAGCTGGTTGATGGGTTCAATGAAAAGGTCAAGTTGGGCAAGGAGAAGTATTCCTCGCGCCATGGATTCGGAGGTAAAGGTCTGGATCGTCTTAATATGGAGCGTGAAACCGCACGTCTCCGTGAAAGGAAAGCTTACAAAACTGGCGATGATGATGACGAAGATGAGAAGCTTGAGACCGAGCAGGAGTCAGACGACCGATTCAACAAAGCTCTTTCAGCCGTTCGCTCCGCTACAGACCCGACTGTTGCGTCGCCGACAGGTGCAGTTTCTTCGGCGGGTGTGCCGAAAGGTGTTGATCTTGATGGCAAAATTGTCGTGCATCGTACAGAGAGAGCACCGGCGAATGCCTCAAATAACCCTTTGGATAGGGTGGGCTCTGCAGTTGCGGAGATCAACGCACGTTTGAGTCGTGCAGGTGTGATGAGATCGGGTGTACCTATTGACAATCGTGGACCTGATGCTGGCGCCTTCCATGCAACGCTGGAGATCAATGACTTTCCACGTAATTCAACCCAATCCCCTCCCATTTGAAGACACATTACTTACAATTTTTGTCATGAAACAGAGAAAGCGCGATGGGCTGTTACAAATCGCACGAACGTGGCGAAGATCTTGGAGGCTTCCGGTACCTCTATCACAACTAAGGGTAATTTCTACGCTGCTGGGAAAGAACCCGGTCCTGGGGAGCTTCCCAAGCTTTACATTCTGGTGGAGGGCGAGACCGAGATTTCTGTTACTACTGCTATCCATGAACTTCGACGCCTGCTCAAGGACGCAACACTGGCGGCATCGGAGGGTGAGGCGCGTGCTCCAGTGGGTGGCCGCTACAATGTTCTTTAGGTCAAGCTTTAGATTGAGACTATGCCCTGAAATAGGGGCTCAATAACAACGAACTGTACGATATCTTCAATAACAACGAATTGTACGATATCCTTTTGTGTTCATTCTTGTAGAAGCTACAGCTAAAGAGTCCTTGATGAATATTCTCATCCAATAGCGGAATTGGAGTACCATCGGCTGACTAGGACAACTGGCGAGGCTAGCATCATTACATCATAAAATACACATCAAAGAGATGCTTAATTCCACAATTCCGCCGACAAACGAGCCAAAAAAAAAGATATAATCAGAAGGCCAAACACATGCTACATAAAAATAAGAAGCCTGCAAACAGAACGCTAACAAAAAGGTCACCAGGATATAATAGTAGTCATGACTCAGTCGGAATGCCGCATGAGGACGGACGCCTATTCCCATCTCCTTGCAGCCTCGGCCCCATCTACATCTCGTGCAGCTCTCTCTGTGCGACTGACTTGATCCAATGTCTGCGCATGAGTCTGTGCCTTCTGTGCAGCTAGCTTTGAGCCCAATTTCCCTTTATTGGCAGAGGCGCTTTCAGCGCGTTTCTGTCAGACCCTTAAGTTAGCAAGCGCAGCCCTACATAACATATATTGGAGGAAAGGAGATGTCATACCTGCGCAGCAATTGCAGCATTTGCACGTGCCTCGTCTGCTCCCGCAGTACTACCATTCGTATTGCTCTCACCCAAAGTACGACCGGGTGTAGCCTTCCAGTTTGTCTTGGCCGGAAGTGGGGCGCGGGGTGCGGCACTCGTCCCTGAACTTGTGCCGACGACACGGCCTGGCTGACTGAAGGGGTCTGTCTCATTGGAAGCACGGGAGCAGACGTTGCCCATTGTGAATGCGCAGTGAGCCGTAGGGATCGGACGGTTTGTTGCGGTTAGTCTTATGTGGCGCAGAATAGGGGAGGATGGCTGATTGAAGCGTCGGCTACGCTCCCAAGTGGATTTTTGAGGAAGCCAATTCAAACAAGTAAGCTTCTGTGAGGTAGTCCTTTAACCGCTATGCTGGCTATGAATCAAGTACGTCGTTGTTCGTGGGTCATCGCAAGTGGATGTTGGAGCATCGCGATAAGCTGATAGTAGATCCGGGGCAAAGGCGGTGACTGGGCTCCGCCACTCATTTTAGTAAGTCAGGCGATCCAATTGGGTACATGAACATAGACGAAGGTAATATGAGTGACTTCATTGGAATATATCAACTGATTCAACTTTTTCCTACACACCGGGTACAACCTGTAGACATACTTCCGGATATGGCTGTCGGGCGAGAGGGGCAGAATAAAGCTTAGTCAGAATCTCCATTTGGGAGGAAATTATCTCCGCGGGGGGAAAGGAATTCTTCATCGGAATGCTGGGGAACATTTCCCAGTTTCTATTGATCTCAGCTCTATATTTCCTGCAGTTTTGATCTTATATCCCACATATCACAAAATTTCCCGGAATTGATCACCAAAGCACGCTATACGATTCGCTCGAAAATCATGACGCCTAACCCCCAAGGTCCCCATCCTCTCCTGCGTCCCGAAGGTCCTCACGGCAGCACTGAGGGGTCCCAGTCGACATCGAGTTATGCCCTCTGACCCTCTTAAAATACTTTCAATTTGATCTTGCATCTGCGACTCCAAGGTCCTCCTTTTTTTTTTGCTTTCTGTGCCGATCTCGGTCGATTCGCCGATTGCCCTATTGTCAACCAGACCAGTCCATGCGCATGACCCGATTGTGAGACACACAGTGAGAGGATATCATTCGGCAGTACAACCTGATCTTCCTCTTAGGAACGGCGCACGCATTGTGTGGCGCTTTGCCTCGTGGTTACGTGGTATTTGCAGTAGGGTATCGTACCTGGCCGGCATTCGCTGTTCTACTTGCGGTCGCACACTGCTTGGTTCCTCGACCGCATTTTCCCATATCGTTCGTTGTACACGCTGTTGTGACGACACTGTTCCTGGATAACCCGGTTGGATTTCGACCCCAATATCGTCTCTCTATCACCTGAAGTGAACCGTGCACCATGGCGTCCCAAACTCAACAAGGCGATTTCTGCCTTGAATGCAACTGGGAAGCTTTCCACATTGATGGCAAGGAGGGGGTAGATTCCACGGATAATGTTCTTCAACATCATTGGGACTGTTCAAGTCATGAGACCCCGACACCGCTGCCTCATTGTGAAGTCGATGAGGCCTGCTGTGATGTAGATGACTGCGCGCTAGACTGTGGGTCAGTGTGTGGCGGATTTATGGGTTGTGATACTTCCACTGTATGCTCAGTTACTCACTGCGAGAATGACAACTGCGCTGATGATAACTGCGACGATACCCACTGCGGCGAGGATCATTGTACTACCAACTGCGAAGAGGATCACTGCGAGGACAACCACTGTGAAAATATCGACAGTCTGTGCTTCGAAGATCACTGCTGTGACGGTACCGTGACTCAAGACTGCGGCTTTGACGGTCTGTTTGGACTCAACGCTCCGCTATCGCTAGATACAGGGATTTTCCCTTCCACTGCAATGGGAAATCATTCCGGTGGTCATCCAACAAAAGCCATGCCGTGTCCTCTCCCTGGTCTTGTCGACCCGTATCAACAGCAAAACTTCCTATCCTCATATCAAACCCATGCCACCCACTGTGAGCAAGAGGTATCCAACCACTTCGAGTGCCATGATTTCCAGAAAGATTGGCAAGGGATGTTTGTGGCGCCTCCCCTACCCACACAGACCGAGGTCAACCCAGCGGATGTTTTCCACATGCTTGGTATGTGTTCCGACTTCTCGATATGCCAAGATCAACACGTACCTCAGCCCCAGGACGGTCTCAATGCCTTCGATAAACCCAAAATCGGCACATCAGAGGCATTCAATTGCTTCCACCCTGGACATCATCATGTCCATAGCCATTTCAAAAACCCTAATGATTTCAACCTGCAAACCATGCGCAAAGGACCTCACCGCAACCATCACCGCTGCCGACCCCACACACATGCTCATTCCCACCCATATTCCCCTTATTCACGACAGTCTCGCTCAAGCATCAGCTCCCATCTCATTTCCAGCCCAGGGGAGACCCCGCCACCGCTTGAGGGTGATGCCTCGTCCGTCCTTACCACACCGGACTTTTCTCCCGCTGACAGTAAGCTGCATATCTGCAAGTGGGTAACGGATGTTCATGGAATCAAGGCTGCTTGCGGTGCTACATTTGCCGATTGTGGTGCTCTTCAAGAGCATCTCGTTGCCAGTCATATGAATACCGTAAATGGTGCCAAGGGCAATGGGTACTACTGCTGCTGGGAAGGATGTCATCGTCCAGATGAGCCCTTCTCCCAGAAGTCCAAGCTTCAAGGCCATTTCCTTACACACAGTAATTGTACGTCATACCCATCACCATTCCACCTGTTGATGGTATGACCAATGTACTAACACGAATGCGTCTTTACAGATAAGAATTTTTCGTGCTCGGTGTGTGGCAAGGCGTTTGCAAGGCAGGCGACATTAGACCGACACGAGCGCAGTCATCGTGGTGATAAACCATACACATGCAAACATTGCAATAAATCATTCACAGATAGTAGTGAATTGAGTATGTTGTACTCAAACTCCTTGTCGAATCCAACGCTAACCGTCTTAGAAACACATTCGCGAACCCACACTGGCGAAAAGCCTTTCAAATGCACCTGGCCAGGATGCAGCTTCACCACGGGCGACGTGAGTTTCTCTGTCTCTGTCCTAGATCCCCAGTTGTTTTCTAACATCAAACCAGTCTTCGAATATGTCTAGTCACAGACTTAGTATGATACTCCTTCCATTTAAACATCCAACTTCTTTTACTGACTCCATCTAGCGCACGGGGAGCGAAGACATAAATGCCTTTTCCCAGGGTGCAGTAAGAGCTTCACACGTCCTGGTAAGTTCTATTATCTGAGCCTTGTTTTAATCACATGCTAACATCAATTCCTTAGACCAATTGAAACGGCATCAGAGAACGACGCATAAACAAGAATCCTGCTTGTCAATCTCCTCACCGAGCACCAACCACTTCACTATGACCCCCTTCACTTTGGTTTAACGAACTAAACCGTTCAACACTTTATTGTATGCGATTGTCATGTCTTACGACCCAACAGATTACGGCGCTATTTACCGCTGGACGTACTATGGATGGTTAGGAAACACTTTATGCCTGGCGTTTTGCGGATTTCGAGAACCCAAAAAACTTGATACCACCTGGCCTTCATGCCGCCAGGATTTTGCATGGAATAATTGAGATACTGTATTAGATCCTGTGCCGATCTCTCTGATTGACCCGGATGATCTATTTTCTATTTTCTAGTTTATTTTATTATATTATCATTCCCTTTCACGAACTCGCCTGCCAGACGATATTTACAATTGAGAATAATAGAGCCTTCGGATTCAAGATGCATAATGCTTATTTCTTTCCTGGTATAGACCACAACATACAACGTAGCAGATCTACCCTAAAATCTACAATTGCCGCACCCACATATGCAAGCCACATAATCGCACCTCAGTAATATCTAAATTCTAATACCCATACAAAAACACTTAATCCTCCGTAGCCCTCTGCTCGAGTGCCTCAACAGCATTCTTCAACTCCCGAATCCGATGTCCAACCCGCCGACGCACCTCATCCTTAACACCCTGTGGCACCTCCGCCGGATTATACTGCGTCTCGACAATAGCACTCTCCCCGGCCTCCTCTACCGCCTCCAACGACTCATCCGTCTCATTCTCAACTTCCCCAGGACGAGCAGTGTAGAGCGCGTAAACAGTAGACAGCTGGTTGAGGGCATCGCGGGCAGACTCTCGGTCCGAAGCAGCGTAGATGGTAGATGAGTCTGTGCTCTCTGTGGCAATTTCAAACTCGTCTTTGGCGACTTCGTACAGCTCTTGTAGTTCCTCAACTAGGAGATCGGCTTCGGCTTTGCCGGTGGATCCTTTTCGGTCGGTGTAGGTTCGGACTGTCGGTTTGGGGTGTAGTGATTGAACAGAAAATGACGAGTAGACTGGAATTGGGCTAGATCGTGCTTTGCTAGAGGATGGAAGGTTGTGCAAAGAGCGAGAGACTGGTTGCAGTCGCTGTATGGAGAGTCGGTTGATGTGGTGCGATTGGAGACCTCCGAGGCGGAGGAGTGGGGAGCCATGGCCTGGACGAATACATTGTATGGCTGACATTTTGATAATTGGGATGGAAGTAAAAGAAATAATAATTTGGGAATAATTTTCAAGAACACAGCTGAACTCTCATAGCAGGCCGATGCTTGGTGATGACGTCGCCATCGGTTTATCGTATCACGTGGTGATAAGGAATTCGTTATGTAATGTTTTTCTTCAGCCCTCCCGAGGTCCAGTCCTGTTGAGGTGGATGGCTCCCATACCTTTCATAATTCTTGAAGATCCTTTTGCTTTCTGCGTGGATACCTTGAGTGCATTCTAGGGATAAGAATCCGGCCGAGATCTCATATCACAGTATGATTGTACTAATTATTTAGATTCCAAGCGCCTTTGATCTATTTCTATCATCTCAAATATAAAATCTCTATCCAAATAATTCCTGGCTCTATGGCCGTCTATATCTCTTCCCAAAATATATTCATAATTCATGAGTATTCAAGCTTTGCTCATACCCCGGCGAAACTTGCTCTTTGATCCTGGTGACTTCCCCTTGAAGGCATCGTCAATCTCCCCAAATGTCCGACCTTTCGTTTCATGCATGAAGATGACGCCAACAACCACAGTGATAACACAACATCCACCGAACAAAAAGTATGCGCCGAAGCTACTCTTCGCAAGGAGAACAGGCGTTGTCAAAGCCACCAAGAAGTTGCACACCCAGTTGCTTGAATGAGCCAATGTGGTAGCCGACGCTCTTGTCCGCTGTGGCTGAATCTCGGCGGCATAGACTTTGACGGAGATACCCCAGGTGACAGAGTAAAGAGCAGAAAATAGGTAAATGCAGACAATGACGACCCAGCGACCAGCGCCAGTAGCCTTATGGACAGCATTTCCAGCATATAGACTGCCCATCAAAAACATCAGGACTCCCATTACGAGCCCGCCATAGATAATGCTAGCTCGGCGGCCCCATTTATCGGCATAAATCAGGCCTGGAATGGTGACAGCGAAAATCACAAGCGCTGACACGCCAGATGCCAGAAAGCTTGCTTCTGACGAGGCAAGACCCGCTTTTTGAAACAACTGTGGAGCATACTATCGAGTTGAAGTCAGTGGCTGTCAGTTATATCGAGGAGACTTGACCATACATAAAGGACGCCATCAATGCCACTCATCTGCTGCATGCCCATCAAAAAGACTGCAAGGATGGTCCGGCCCAACACATCTTTGGAGAAAATAGCAAGAAGCTTATCCATCGTTCCCTCTTTGACCTCCTCATCAGAGTCAACTTCCTGTGCCTGCACTTGCAGCACAACCTTTTCTCGCTCTGCGCGACTAACACCCAATTTGTCCCACGCTTCTTCAGCCATTTCATAGCGACCATTAAGCCCTAGCCACTGAGGCGACTCAGGTAAATAAAGAAGTGAAAGTCCACACAGGATCATGGAGAAGGCAGAAAGAAGAATAAACGGCATTCGCCATGAGAGCGACGAGTGAAGGCCGGAGGTACCATAACTGATAAAGTACCCCATGACCAAACCAAGAGTAGTAGCCAGTTGAGGTCCAGTTGTCAGAGCGCCTCTAGTGTTTGTTGGCGAGGTTTCACAAATCAGGACGACGAGATTTCCAAGGAAAAGCCCTTCTCCGAGGCCTTCAATAATCCGACCAACAATGAACATCGATAGAGCCACAGCTCCTGCTTCTATTGCGGCGCCCGCGCCGAAGATAAAAACGCCAATGCAGATGCCCTTCGGCCGACCAAGCCGATCGGCAACATAGCCAGCGAAGAAAGATGAGAGTGCTGCCGGAATCAAGATGCAGGAGACGATGAGACCGTGGATTGTGGAGTTTTGACTACCAAATGAGGTCTTGAAGTCTTTCATATCAGTGACGGGGCCGATAATACCCGTATCCATTCCGAAGAGGATTCCATTTGCCGAGCATAGAATGCATGCGAGTACATATTTCGGCGGGTTTTTGAACTGGAAGGGAATCAACCCCATTACTTCGGCTTTGGGGGTTTGGTCGATAAGTCGAAGATATTATTCAAAGCAAAGCTCGGATGTTGAATGTGTGAAAGTATTTGCAAAATAAGACGAAGAGAAAACTCTTACCCCTCTAGAGATTTTGTTTCCTGACCAGACCCACGTAGGGCAGACATTATTGTCTACAAATAGATATTCACTATATCATATGCAATGTACCCTCCCTTGGAACTATTTATACTCAACTACATTCATTGCTTATTTCTATGTAAGGTGAATCCGTCTTCAACTTGCAAGGGAGACTCTAGTTTATATTGAATGACATACATAAAAAATTGTGTCAACTGACTTGACTTCGGAGAAGGGTCCTCCGGCGAAATTACCGTCTGGGCTCTTCACGGCCCGAATCGACGTGTGAGAGGAACAAGTGCCAAAGGATTTGTGGGCCGTCTCCCCGTGTACGAACTCGGGGGAGGCAGGCGGTTTCCCCCTCGTTTCTGAGTTTTTTTATGGGGCTTCCGGGGTTTGGCCAGTCATTTTTATGGGGCTTGTAAAATTGACTGATGATATGTTGACAAAGCCCTAACCCGGCTGCCAAGCCGGGCCGGGTGATTTGGGCGTATCCGAGCAAGTATAAGTAGCATTATCACACTCATATCTTCTGCCTCTCTGTTTCATAATTGCGTTATGTTAATCTTTCTTTGGTATATATCGTTCTCTATCATCTGTGCGGTAGCATTGTACTACGGCCTGTGTTGGTGTGTTGGTTGTTTCTGACCGGCTGACCAGTGTTTAGAATAGATAGCCTAGCATCCTCCTATAGATCTCTAATCTTCCTCCATAAACATATATCTGTATATGAATACTATTTCTGTTTTCTTATGTTAAATGGACCTCAAAAGACCGGTGGTTGTCCCTCTTCAGCAACTACGTAATAGTCACGTACCCGACTATATTTATGCTTCTTCAACGGAACCTTCAGATTCTTACGTTTGCTTCTTATTGTTATCATTCTGCTTGTGAGTTTTCAGGTTTAGCCTAAACTCGAATCCAATATGGCTTCTAGCGATGAACAGTGCGCATGGGCCTTTTTGTCCACACTCGCCGGGGTAGGCATTGCAGCAGCCTTCGTACTTATATGTTATGTTATACGTCTAGTTGTGAGGAGATGTATCAACCGGCGACGTCTTCCAGATGCGCATACACGTGCAGATGTTGAAACCAATTTGTCTGGAAATCCGCACGATACTCTTCCTTTCGCCGATACCCCACCCATCACAACCGTAACAACTATGCCTGGCCACGCTGTCTCTGATATGGACCGGGATATTAAGTTCGGAATCGCAAATTGGCAGGAGATACAGGACCATGAAGCTACAATGCATTGGAAGCATGCCGGATAATGGCGTGGGACTGGTCGCTGACGAGACGGAGGCCGCGCAACCTTCCAGGCTGGCGCGCTTCACTAAAGGGCCGGGGCTCTGCCCGCCTAAGTTATGGGGTTTCCTTTCGATATTGCTTTACAAGTTAGTCCCCGGATAGGCAGAAGCCTCCTTCTATAATCAGGTACTAAATTCTTGTTTTGAATGTTGCCAGCCCATTTTTATTTGTACAATCTTTCTATCGGAAGCTTTCTTGCGCCCCTTGAAATGGATATCGGGATTTCCATGTCCCCAGATTTGCAAGTTGACATGAGCGGTGCTGATGATATATTCTAAGCCTATAATGATACCTTGCCATGATGTCACTGTCTAGTAAAATTCTCACATTGTATTCTATGCCTCCCTTCATACTCGTATATATTTCTACTTTATCGTTCTTGATTGCACATCTTAAGATAGTCCACTTAGGCAAGTAGTCATTTGTCCTTCCTGTCCCGGAGTACTGAAGTTCGACCTTACACCATTTCTAAGTTAGAATTAAGACCTATTCTTTGTATTAAACAACAAAGCCGGCGTCGCCTTGTCATGGTGGGTCTCTATTATTCACACGACGATATTAGCAATACATCCTTTCACAGATGTCAACAATAGCCTTTGTAATTTTTTCTTTGAATGAAACCGAGCAACCGCCGACTATCATAGCATAAATACCACCAATCCTCCCATCTCGAGTACCCAACAAACAGACATTTGAGTCGACGTCCATATCATCCAAATGCTTCAATCCGCCATTTATCGGATGTTGCGAATTTTCTTCATTACCCTTGACTTCTGGTTCAACACTGATCAATCCTCCTTTCCTCCCAGCCAAGCCCAAAGACGTGGTAAGCCCTCGCAATCCATTCCACTCGAGAACCTGACTACCCCTCCATCTAGTGCTCAACAAACCGAAATGTCCTCTTCTGACTTAATCGAACTTGACACCTGGGAAGAAATCTACAAAGAGGAGTGCCTGAGTTTCAAGGCCCGTCTAGAGACCCAAGCTCAGATCCTGAGACAAGATCCAGAAAATCAAGGAGTAAATCGTATCCATGGCGTTCGAAAAGAGCTAATGTCACTTTCTCACCAGGCAGAGCGAATCAAAGAGGCCGCTTTTGAGATGGTGGACCAGACCCCGGACAGTGTATATGTCCGTAATGCAACTCCGGAGTGGCTCTCTTCCCGATTTGGAGATCCGCAACTAGAACAGGTATGTATTAGTATGGAATATAGTTTGGACCGACTGGCATTTGAACTTAGATCCGATCCGTCGATGGATCTGATGGTTGCCGGACACCTTGAGCAGATGACTGATGATATTGAAATGGACTTTCTTTAGATAGTGCTATTGTATTTCATTTGTTTGTGACCTCTACTAATCTTTGAAATTGGATTGAACTAGAATACTTGATCGGTTATGACTGGAGAGATAAAGATAACACTTCCATTTTATGTTGTTCCGCCTGCGTCATAATCATGTCTCCGAAGCCGTAACAGTACTAGTAGTTTGTATACTTCAGGCATTGACCTCACATGGAATAATCAACCTAAAAGGAGGATTATAAAGATCTTCGCTTTATTAATTGTCATTCAGTTCTCATCTCTCTTCTCTCACTTCTCTTCTCTCTCATCTCTCATCTCTCTCATCAACCTCTTTAGCACATGCATTCTTTCTTTTTATCGGTTTCTACCATTCCTAGGGGTTACATACCTACCTATCTATCAGCCTCACATCTATCCTCTCCTACATCCAAGCCCCACCGTGGGACCGGTGTAACCAACCACAACCCCGTACTACCAGACCCTCAGCCCTGTGGAGCCCAATTTAGCCAATCACAAGCCCCCTCATCAGCCATCCAATAGCGATGGTGGCAGACAATATGCCGGCCGGCGACACCGACCAACAAGAGCTAACCAAAGATCCCGATATGAAAGAGCATAAGGTTGATATCAAAGTAGACGACCTCGACATAGGTCGCATACCAGATACACAAGGGTCTAACCTGCCAAAGTTGACCCAAGTCATAATCACAAACGTGCCGCGTCGGCTGAAGCACAACTCCAAGAACCTTGACCAGTGGATTCTCCAAGTGAAATCTGCACTGGCACAACTCCGCCTGGAAAACTTGATCAACAGCAGTGTTGTCCGACCAGTAAGAGGCCAACACAACTACAATAGATGGGTGCAATGGTCTCGCGCTGTCGCAAACTGGTTATATCTTCAGTTAGATGAAAGGCTTCAGCAAAGGCTCCAGGATTCTGGCAATTTACACAGTAAAGCGGACAGTCTATTCAACACAATCCTGAAAGTTGTTCGAGAGGGGGAAGACATGAGCGCTAGGCTCGCAACAGGTTCCTATGACACCAGGAGGATATCGGAGATCCAGGCCGTCAGACAGTACATTTCGGCACACAAGACTCAGTACCACTTACTCGGCTCGAACTTACTTGCCATCTCTTCGCTACGCTAGCAAGGTCAAAGGCTACATACATCCTTGGTGTTTCGGTCAGCACACTAGCTGACCAATGCTTCGTCAGACAGCCTACCTCCTCACCTCACAGGCACAGCCTTTATCTTGCGCCACGGGGCATACACCAGCCGACCTGCTTCCTCAGCTGTCACCATAGCCGGATTCTTTAGGCAGGCACATTCGATTGGATGCCCTGAAGGACGAGCTTCGAAATCGTCTTGGTATATCTCGCCATCACCCCGACTGGCGAAAGGTCTTGAATACCCAAATCATCAACTAGCCTGAGTTGGCAGCGCTGATTTACCAGCACCCTGATGATCTGGTCACCAGCTACCATTATGAAGCCAGGAGACTGGAACGCTAAAACCCCGATCGCTCAAGTCGGAGGATTTCGCTTTTCTTGGTACACAAAAAACTAGTTTCTACCTGCTGGTGACCACGAAAAGTTCTCATTCCTATTGGATAGGTAAGTAGGAAACATATATGTGATGAGGAGGCCTACCCAGAAGAAAATTAAAGAAGAGTGTTTTGATAGTATGTGGTTGGTGGCAGATACAGTTTTTTTTTTTGTTGTGATGTCCCTCAATCCATCAATAAAAATTCATTAATGAGCGTATACAGTTCGTGTTCTCATACAAACAATGTCTTCAGTGCCATTTAATGTCCTCCAAACACAAGACCAAAAAAAATCCCATGACAATCATTAAAACCCTCTTAGCTCATAAATTTGAGCTCTATCCCATTTTTCTGTAGCAGGAAGTATCAATTTACTCCAGCCAGCCAGTTGTTCTAAGTACGGGATAGTTCTTGTAGAAGCCGCAATTCTTGTAGCTATCATAGCTCTCATCCCAGTTCTAGGAGCTGGAAGTACCGTGCCACTGGCCATTGGAATCAGTCCAGCCATTCTGATTGTTCTGCTCGTTCTGGTTATTGGCGTGGAATTCGCCATTGGAATCTGTCCAGCCGCTCTGGTTGTTCGTATGCCACTGGCCGTTGGCATCAGTCCAGCCATTTTGGCTTGGGTCGTATTGGCCGTTGTTGTTGTTGTTGTCGACCCATTGTCCATCCTTCTCAAGCTGGCTATGTTTGGTATCGCCATTGTTGGCAACGAAAACACCATGCTGCCACTGGCCCTTTCGGTACAGTCCGCTAGGGTCCCACTGACCAGCCAGGTCGTTTGGGTCAATGGGAAGTGCGAGGACAGACACAGGGGAGATAGCTAGAAGGAGGAGGGTGTTGATTATGGAGTAGCGCATTTTGAAGATGGACTTGAACAGATTTGAATGAAGTATAGATGATTTGTGACTTTTGCTGATTTTGTGATCGCGAGGTTCTCGTTGGTTTGGGAATGAAGATCGAAACACGGTTGATCTGCGTGTATTTATATCTGAGAAACTGCAGCTCTAATACCGAGGATTGTGTATGTCGCTACTTAGCAGTGTTGAAGCCTTTCACAAGAATGTCTGAGGTCGGCTTTTGCCATTCCTCGACGAGGGTGGATGGGTATTGGGGCTGTAAGGGGACACTGGGTAAATATATAGTCCAGAACAATACTGGGTTGTGGGGGATAAGCAATCGGATCCGCGATGATCTCAGTCAATTGCGAAAGAGCTAAATATAATAAGATTAAAGCTTTTGTAGATCGTTGGAGATGTGCATGATCGACCTCGCGTGAATCTGAAACCCGTCGATCCTGTCCACCAGGGGAGTGTCCACATTCCTTAAACACTAAAGCCAACCTTGGGAATGTCGATCCCGTCTGTCTAGACGTGCAAGACACACTTACCTCTTGATGCTGTTGAATGTGTCTTCTAAGGTTTGATATATGTATTTACTATACATAGGAGGTAGTAAACACTTGCCGGGTATCCAATATGAAATACGAAGTTACTCTAAAACAATAAAGCATCAGTTTCCCATATAATATAATTCCCTCGATCTAGTCAAGATCATAAACACTCAAATCCTCACTCATCCCCGGCAAAACATAAACAGCACTATCCTCCCCACCAAAAGCCTTCAAAGGCCTGACCCCCCTAAACACCATCCCAAGCTTCTCCAAAACACCCCGACTCCGCAGATTCGTCGGTGAACAGAATCCAAACACAGCATCTATCCCAAGATCTTTACTCGCATATTCCAAAAGTCCCTTTGCCGCCTCGGTCGCATACCCCTTCCGCCCTTCTTCGGGTAACACAGCAAACCCGATATCCGGGGCAAGATAACCCGAATCTGGCGGAATCCCCCTCATAAGCGATACAGTACCAATCGGCTTCAAGCCATCATCTGTGTGTCGCGAGACTAGGTACATGCCGTAACCATGGTAGGCGTAGTGTGCTGAAACTCGGCCTTGGAGGAATGAAGATGCCTTTTCTAGTGTGGTGATTCCGGTTTTCCCGCAGGAATTGATGAAATCGTCTGTATTCCAGAGTTTGACTAGGAAGCCGCTGTGGGATGGATCGGTGGGGTCGAATGGGGTGATTTGGAGACGTGGGGTGGAGATTTTGAAGTCTGGGGGGAAGGTGAAGTCTGGCATGGTTGGATTTGGATTATTGTACTAGTTCAGGAATTTGGTTCCTTTTTCTCTGATATCTAGTTTCATGAGATAGCAAAGAATTTCCAATGACTCACAGCTACTGACGCTACCGCCAAAATGGCCTTTCCTATTTAGGTGTGGCGTTCTATTGAGATAGACAGGGGCTGATTCGAAATGACATTTCCTCACTATCATTTGGTAATCTCTACTATAGGCCCAGTATAAACCTTCCTAGCCCCCAGCATATAGTATATATCACAGCCAGGATGACAGTTCCAACGTCCCAACAACGCTCCAGTTCATAGTTGTGACAGTAGGAGACCTATGCGAAGGCCAGAACCTAAAGAATATAATGATGACAATGTGAATAACCGCATATGTATTGATCACCGCGCCCAATACACCGGGAACATGGAATAGCCCCCAAACCAACTTGGCGCCGGAACATTCATTGCACCATTACTATTGTTGCGTTGATATATATCGCCGTTGCAGCGAGAACAAATTTGACATGATGCCCTTCCAAGGATACCAATAATGCCAAATATACCCAATATTAGTACAACGGTATAGATAACCACAGTCCCTGTTGTTGATCCTGTTTCCTGATACAATATTTTGATATAATGGATATCACAACGACGGCGGCATCATTAATTTCTTAAGTCATCTTGATGAAAGTTAGTCGGCCGTCATACCTTGCGTCGGGAGACTCACATGTAATCAGCCAGACTTATATCTGTTATGATGGTATTAATGAGAGTAAAATGAACTGCTTACCGATAAGTTGTTATCAACCAGATTTTGCCTCTGTAATGAAATCCTCTGAGCGCGTTTGAGAACCATCCGACACTGCAAGTTGATCTCAAACACAGATTATATGTTTACGCGACCAAGCCGTACTCGAAAGTAGGTACTATAAGCTGCACGAATATGTACATGTCAATCAGCCAATCATTTTGCCCCGAATGTCACGGTAATAGGGCTCTCGTTCACGCCAACCTGAAAGCCGGAGTTATAACTCCCGAAAGTTATTTTTGTATAGTGATCTCCTTCCTTCAAAACATTAACAATTCTTGCCTCCTGCTCTACCTGCTGGGGAGCAATTCGATACAAAAGGTCTTTGGCATACGCAGCTGCAACCATGGCCGCATATCCCTGCCAGGCTTTGTTCTTATGCGAGTCAGCATAATCGCAGATACCACGGATCACTAGACAAGGAAAGTTGTTCATCAATCCAGCTGCCTCCATTTCAAAGCACAAAACGTCTTTTTCTGCAGCCAATCTATCTCGAATCAAAGCGTCCTTCATGAGTTGGTTGGCGGAGGCAATGAGGCCGTAATGAATGGCCGGATTATCGTCATCCTCGGTGCGAGGAGATCGCGGAACTAGGCAGGATAGATCCTCACGATAACACAAATCGCAAGTTGATTCACCGTCCGGATGAACAACTTGACTTTGATATAGCCGATCACTAGCTAGATCCGGGCGCTGATACTTCTTTTGTAGTCGTTTCTTCTTCTGGAGGATCTTGTGGACTGTGTTATCGAGTTGGTTTCCCTCGATCTCGTATCGAGCTTCTAGTCCATTTACTACTGCACGTAGGACGGTAGGTGGCTGATCTAAAACTCCCGTAGCCTGGAAGGCTTGGCCCTGGATCGTCTTGCCAAAATCGTACTGAAGGACACCGCCCTGGCCATTTCGAGGAATGCTGACCACAACATCTCCAAGACGAATATCATGCTTCTGGCTTGGTGCGCCGCCACCGATGCCGACCATGAGACCGATGCGGATATTCGGAAAGCTATGCATCATGTCTTCTGCCACCCGAGCCGCCGAGCTTGTGCCATACTCTCCCATAGGCAGGACTGCAATAACGACATTGTGCTTCCCAACACTTCCTAACGTGTAGTCTGTCTTGCTGTGGGGTGGCAAATACGCTGGGCCGTCATGCCTTTCGTCGAGGAACGCCTGAGCGGCAACGTACTCAGTGGTGATGGCGCAAATCCAACCAACGGTGTAGTCTTCCGGATTAGACATCACGAAGGCACACGTGGGACTAGTGAAATGGATAATGGAGCAAAAAGTCTGTTAGCATTGAGATGGATAATAAGTGGGTTTACGGAAGCGATATATCTATTTGAGGGGCCAAAAGGAGAGAAAAGAGGGGGTTAGACGCTACTCAGCCTCACCTTTGCCTTATCTGTGCATTAATACAACACGTAATATCGAACCGCATAAGACTGGTGTATAAATAGTCCAGGTCAGGATTGTGGACGGGATAGGGAGGTAACAACCCGATATGGACTGGCTGAGAGAGGGACACGTGGACATTTTGTTCAAATAGCGCGGTAGTTGGGATCGAGACGTACGCTGCTGAACCGTTGATTCGAGCAGGAACAGGTAAGTACCTATAAGGCCCCACTCTCTAGATTCGATAAATCAAGGGAGCAAAAGTACTCCGTAGCAGACTGAGTAATTGCTCAAGTTGTCTAGGGTTTAGCGCTTAATGAAATCACCTGATAGTGAGGCTGAGGAGGGGCATCTTATAAAACAACCCCCTTTCATGTTCTACTAGGCATCAGCTGTGTACATCGTGTGTTGATCATGAATACTATAAATTTTGGCGAAAGGAACTCAGGTTCTCAGGTGGGCATCAACAATGGGGTGATAAATCTTGGTGCGGGTAGGTCCGCTACAGTATTGGCGATGGGTCTATGTTAGATTTATTGACAGCGTCATCTTCTGCTAGAGCCACAGGAATTGCGCCCTGACCCTATATCCACTGTACCAGTTCCACACGACCCAGACTTTGTGAGTCGTGATGACCTTCTTAATCGGATTCAGGGGCAATCGTCGGTCCCGGGGTCCAGAATAGTTCTCGTTGGTCTCGGTGGTGTGGGGTAAGGCATCCGAGATGTAAAGGGAATGAGTTCAAGGCTAACTATACTGTAGGAAAACCCGGCTTGCCGCCGAATACTGCCATCAATTGCGACAGCGATCGCCTCACACCTGGGTTTTCTGGGTTCATGCGAGTAATGCGGCCCGCTGCGAGGAAAGTCTTCGCAATATTGCTGAACGCGCCAAGATTCCCGGGCGTAGCGGCCGCAACACTAATATCTTCCAACTCTTCGGGAACTGGTTGCAAGATGGAAAGATCGGAGAATGGATTCTTGTGCTTGATAATTTGGATGATGACGAGCTTCTTCGCAAACCGTTTGCCACCTGTACGGATGATAAAGCAAATTTCCAGAGCCATCACTCGACACAGCCACCGCTCAAGTACATTCTCGCAAGTTCTAATGGCTCTACCATCATCACAAGCCGGAATAGAGGGGTAGGATTAGAAATCGCCAGCGACTTAAAACATCTAATCGATGTGCAACCGATGATAATAGACGAAGGGCTAGCTCTGATGCAGAAGAAGTTAGATTCTAGTAGAGAGAGAGCGGACTTAGTTCAGCTAGTGGAGGAGCTTGAGTGTATACCACTCGCGATTGTGCAAGCGGCTAGCTATATCGCCCACCGTTCACCCCGTTGCTCAGTATTGCAATACCTAGAGAAGCTTCGGCACAGTGATCGTCAAGCTATTAAACTTCTTCATCACGAGGGATATCACACGGGCCGAGACTAGGAAGCAAAGAACTCTATCTTATTGACATGGCAAATATCGTTTGACCATATCCGACGAACAAAGCAGTCTGCGGCTGATTTACTGTCTCTCATGAGCTTTTTCGACCGCCAGGGTATTCCAGCAGATCTTCTACGGGTGCAGGAAAAGGAGAAGAACCATGAAAGTTTAGGTTCTCTAGGGGAAGAAATACCAGATAGCTCGAGTGAAGAGGATACAGACAGTTCGTCTGAAGACGACCTAGAAGATGGTTTTGAGAACGACATTACGACTCTCAGAGACTATTCCTTCATTACTACCTGTAAAGATAGCACAGTGTTTACGATACATCGGCTAGTGCAGCTTACTTTATGGACGTGGTTGAAAACCCATAGCCAAGACGCGGAAAGGAAGGAACGATTTATTAGCAATCTAAATGCTGAATTCCCGATAGGCGAGTATAAAAATTAGGAGAGATACCGGTCCCTATTTCCGCATGTCAGGTCAGCCGTATTACATCGACCGAAATCGCAAGACTCGCTCCGAAGTTGGGCTGCGCTACTCTACAGAGGGGCGTGGTATGCAATAGAATATAGCAGTATTTCGGTTGCCGAGGATATGGCAGCTATATCAAGGAAAGAAAGAATAGAGATTAATAGTGCCGAGGATAATGATACCCTTCATAGCACTGCAATATTAGCAGAAGCATACCGAATAGAGGGGCGATAGGACGAGGCGGAGCAACTCGGGGTGCAGGTCATAGAGACCCGCAAAACGAAGCTTAGCGTAGACCATCCCGATACGCTCACTAGCATGGGCAACCTGGCGGTGACGTATATCAACCAAGGCCGATAGGAAGAGGCGGAGCAGCTCGAGGTGCAGGTTATAGAAACCCGCAAGACGAACTTTAGCGTGGACCATCCCGACACGCTCACTAGTATGGCCATCCTAGCGTCGACGTATAGTCACCAGGGCCGATGGGAAGATGCGGAACAACTTAGGGTGCAGGTCATAGGTACCAGTATGGCGAAGCTCGGCGTAGACCATCCCTCTACGCTTATTAGCATAGGCAACCTGGCGGTGACGTATAGCTACCAGGGCCGATGGGAAAAGGCGGAGCAGCTCGAGATACAGGTCATGGAGACCCGTAAGACGAAGCTTGGCGTGGATCATCCCGATACGCTTACTAGTATGGCTAACCTAGCGGCGACGTATAGCGACCAAGGCCGATGGGAAGAGGCGGAGCAGCTCGAGATACAGGTCATGGAGACCCGTAAGACGAAGCTTGGTATGGATCATCCCGACACGCTTACTAGTATGGCCAACCGAGCGGCGATATATAGTCACCAGGGCCGATGGGAAGATGCGGAACAACTTAGGGTGCAGGTCATGGGTACCAGTATGGCGAAGCTCGGCGTAGACCATCCCTCTACGCTTATTAGCATGGGCAACCTGGCAGTGACGTATAGCGACCAAGGCCGATGGGAAGAGGCGGAGCAGCTCGAGGTACAGGTCATGGAGACCCATAAGACGAAGTTTGGCGTGGATCATCCCGACACGCTGACAAGTATGGCCAACCTAGCTTTCACCTGGAAATCTACCGGTCAGCATGCGAAAGCAATCAGCTTGCTTCGAGCCTGCGTGATCAAGCAGCGACAAATTATAGGCCCCACTCATCCTAACACGATATCCAATGGCAACCTGCTGCTGGAATGGGAAACTGCTGATGGAGATGCAGAAGATATCAAGATGATTGATTCATTCGAGGAAGCGAAGGAGAGAGAGGAAGAGAAGCTATCTGCTGGCAGTCCTGACAAACGGGGTCACACCAGGTGATCACAACGACTGCGCATCTTGCTATCACGGTATAATCCAGTTATCCTTAACATATTTGCCTCATGTTGAGTTCGCCTCGCTATACAATATTTGTCTAGGTTCATTTGGTTTATGAAGTCTAAGAATCCTAAACATACCCTGGTACCTACAGAGTGGAATTACGGCTGCTGAATTGACCCGTGTACCCGAGCGTAGACATCCTTGAGCGTTCCCCTCTTCAATATATATGAATAAGGGAGAAGTAGGACAAGTAGGTAAAGGGACTAAGTAATACTAACGCGTATAATCAATTCTCCGATCACCCGGTATCAATGAGAATATTTCCTTGCTTGTCGTGGTATAGAGCAGACTAGGGTAGTGCAGCCATTCTGGTTATCCGAAAAAGGATTTACACATCTTTGATAGGGACCTCCAATGGACTGAGGTTATGTAAACTGCTGGAGAATCTAATCCAGTACTTCCAAATCAACACCGTAGCAATGGTTATTGGAACGGCGAATACCCAATAAAGCCAAAACTTGTTTGACATGGCCCAGCCGGTCTTTTCACCGCACTGAAAGAATGACATGCTGAAAATAGACGAGATAAATGTGGGAGGGAGAAAAGCCAGCGTGACAAACGCAATAGTCTTCATGGCAGAACTGTCAATCTGCGCGGCATGGCTAATCTTCATAGAACTTTGGCTAATCTCCACAGAGGTTTTCGCATCGGCCTGGGAGACAGTATTGTAGGCTAGCTGGATCTCGTTCTGAAGTCGTTTCTCGTTAGAGGCTGAGCGGTGACGCTGATTTGTGATGTAGCTTCGGAAGAAGTCCAGTTCATTGCGGATGTTTTCGTCTGCGCCGACATATATATCATGCGGTTTTGATACTTCTGATATCTTGTAAAGGTCGTACTGTTTCATGATAGTTTCAATATTCTGTATCGAGACATCCAAAGTCTCATTAACGTGTATAGCGTGGCGGGCAAAGTCGTGCAGTTTCCTGTAATCTGGTCGTTGCCTTATGTATGGGTCTGTCTCCTTTTCAATTGCTCTCACTTGGTCCCGGACTGACCAAATGGCGGACTCTTGGAGATCGGCTAGGATTCCGAATACGTGGGTATATGGCCAGAACGGAACCTTCAAATGAGCCTGAAAAAGGACTGGCTTCGATAGCGACTGGGTGATTGAGTTCTGAATGGACTCTGTCGCGTCGAAAATGAGCAGGAATGTCTGTTTAGTGGAACAATCCCATCGGGTGAAGATGTTTAATTTGATCCACTCGTAATCCATATAACCTCGGGTGTGTTTTGTTTCGAAATATGCCCATGTATCTATATCAGTTAATACCTTTCGGTCTGGGCTGGTCTGGTTACTTACTGAAGCCTGTGACAACTTTTTCTCGGCGGGTTGTTTCACAACCAAAATACCCGTTAGATGTTTTGTAGGAATTAGACCACCATTTTTCGGGCATCTGAAATTTTTGAATTAATGCGTGACGGCATCGTTGGCATTTACTACTCTTGTTTGCGCTTGCGAATCTGTTGGCGTTAGCGGTGATAGAGGAACATATGGAAACACTTAACTAACAAAACGCATATTCGAGCATCATGAGAGATGGCAGAGGATTTTCCATCGTGATTTGCGTTCAGGAGGTCTTCAGCACACACTTGAGTTTTTTGCCAAATTTCATCTAGAAAGATTCAGTAAGCTGATCTTCAATGCCTAGCGGTGACACAAACCTCTTTCCCACTGTGAAAGTTCCAGGCTTGGACAATTTTGGCAACTCATTCCACTCAATATAGTTCTGGCGAACTATTTTACGATGAACGTGTTTGAACAGAAGACTTATAATCGGATGAGCGAAGTACGAGGCTGAAGCACAGCCCCGCTGATCTACATGTCAGGCACTGTGAGACTATAGGAGAATTGATGTTCCGATTCTACAGTAGGTATAGCGTCGGGCTGACGTGAATGCTCTTGAGACTAAATTAATGCCCTAGAGGGTGCTGTTTTTAATTGACAGGGGAAGACTGTGCGTATAGTAGAAAATATTACTTTGTCTAGCCATGAGCTATCTCCAGTATTCGAGGAGTTACCTTCATAGCAAAGTACCGCTCAGTGAATTCGCTGTAATTGCAAAGGTGATCAGTTTCAATTAGTTAAAAGATGCATGGCTGCCTTCAAATGCCTGATTCTAGACCGCTTTTATTTAGAATACCTGACTCGATCTGTCAAATAGTTTATTACATGTAGTATATGTATCTTGGCAGTGAGGTTCGAAAATAAAAAGGCCGTGCTTGAGTGTGTACGAAGCAGCGGGTTCCAGCTTGGGTAGAACTCCGCAAAGCCCATAAATGGGCCCCCATTAAAAGCCATCGGTATTCAATCAATTGGCCTCTATAATTTTTATCTAAATCAACGCATTCTGCGCGTTTGTAAACGCAATATAAAGACAATTAGTAACTGATTTTAAACTATTTAAATTAATAAAATACTATGTATTACCTTCGGTATATAGTGAGAAACGGTGCTAAACACAAGGTAATTAAAAACACTAAAGAAGGGGTTCAGCTTTATATATTTGCATTGTTTGATGCCTATTGGGATACTAGGGTAATTGGTTACCCACGGCACAGCTATATTGAAGTAAGAAGGGGTGGTACTGATTATATCTCTCATTGACCCATCTTCATACCACCGTTGGCACATACAACGCTGCCAGTACACCAAAGACCATCATGTGTACAAAGCATACCAACAACACCCGCAATTTCACTAGTGAAAGCCGGTCTCCGACCACCCATCTTCTCTTGAATCAATCGCTTCTGCTCATCAGTCAAGCGGCTCATAGTATCTTGATTATTCACATCCAACTTGCTCAGCGGCGTGTTATCCTGGTACCCCTGGATATCCTTCCAGAACTGCTCTCCAGTCGCAAAGTACATATCACCCACAACAGGGCCGGGGTTCACGGCATTAACAGTAGCACGGTCTGCCAGCTCACGTGCCCAGGTGCGAGTCATCGCCTCAATGGCAGCCTTAGTACCGCCGTAGATCGACTGGCCCACAAATCCGAGTGACGAGGATACACTAGAGATGCTCACGATGCGGCCGCTTCGGTCTGTTGGGAGGAAGGGGTGGCAGGCTTGTGTGAGGAGGAGCGGGGCGAGGACATTGATCGAGTATTGCCAGTTGAAGTGCTCGGCTTCGATGGGGCCCTTTGTGGCATCGTTCAGGTTCCGGTCTTGCGAGACGCCGGCATTATTGATTAGGATGTCGATCTGAAGTTTTCCCGAGGTGCTGAAGTGTTCTTTTGCGGCGGCAATGATCGCGGCCACTGCTTCGGTGGGTTGGCTTAGATCGGCTTGCACGCTCTCGCATTTGATGTTATGGGTTGTGGCTAGGGAGGAGCACAAGGCTTCGGTTGGGGCGCGTGAGGACTCCGATGTGAAGTTCAGTAGGAGTGAGCAGCCCTTTTCGGCCAGATTGCGGGCAATTGCCTCGCCAATTCCTACATAAATTCTTAGCTTGGTGTGGTATGCGGGGGAGTACGGGGGTGCAATTTACCCCGCGATCCGCCAGTGACGATGCCGAATTTCCCTTCAAGAATGCGAGCCATTTTGTTTATGAATGAATGAAAAAGATAAAAATAATATTGAAAGGATATTCCCACCTCTTTAAAGTCTTCTCCTATTTAGCCGAGAATCCGGAAAACTGCCCGTTCAAGAAGAAATGTGGAAATGCGGGTAAATTGACATTTTCGGCCCGAGTCCTTTCAACCGGTTACATCACTTAACCCGCAATCTCCAACTTCCGATCGGAGTAATTTCCCTTAAGCCTTGATGCCTCGTTTGTTAGGCTTTCACGGGCTATTTGGCGGGCCTTTTGTATAAAGAACATACCTGGATAGCCTATTTCTTGGCCTAACTCGACCGTACGCAGATATGTTATGATGTCTTACTCATTATCGTTAGCATGATGAAACCTGGCCCACTTATATCTATATCGCAAGTGCATCCCGTTGGAACATATAAAGTCTGCGTATGATCCCGGGCTCGTACTCCTGGTAGGCTATAGCCGGGAGCAATGGCTTAGCTTCCAATATTCTTCTATATCCATCAATGTGTTACTAAGCTCCTAGTATACAAGGCTGTGTGTAAGGAGCTAAAACTGTGAACTTGAATCCATGTCTGCCCTTTGAAAATTATATACATAAGAATAGTCGGCCGCGTACTTGTCGTGTCTTTTCGGTAGTCTTTTCAGTAGTCTTTCTGATAAGACCTATTGGATGGAATAGATCATAAAGATGAAGAATACAATGTGTGTAATTGTATGATGATGATGTGTAAAAGTAAGAAGTAGACTATTTTACTGCCTTTTTAGTGGCAGGCTGCCCAGTAGCAGCAGTGGAAGCAGCCGTAGGAACAGAAGTGGAAGCCGATGGAGTATCGTCATCAATGATCTCCGTCAAGGTGTCTTCGGACTCGTCAGAAGACTCTTCCATTCCAGGAAAATTGTCTAGGCGCTTGTCGCGTCCAACCAGAAGTGGTCAGTAAGAAAGATCAATGCCATTAAGGCCAATCTCCATGCACTGTTTCCATACCTCCCAATTGGACTCGCCCTTAAGTGAAGGGACTAAGTCCGAAAATTTGGGGTTCGAGGGGCCACCTCAAAAAGTATCCGCCATAGTCAAGACGGGTATGTGTTGCCGAGAAAATTGATCGGGTCAATGTCGACAGGAATGAACAATGCGGAGTTTGGATGAATCGCTGGATTAGAGAATGAACGTGGAAGTTCGATGAGATGTTGATAATCTCTAAGACGTGGATAGTCTTAATGTGACAAGAGTCACACGGAGAGAAAAAGCTGTCGAATGATGACAACAAGGATTTTTGTGCGTTGAAATGCACCTGAGGATATTGACTGGTGATTAAACCAGATCAACAGCGAGTCCCCAGGCTCATAACCTGATGAGATCTATTGGTTGGGATAGGTCATAAAGATGAAGAATACAATGTGTGTAATCGCATGATGACGATGTGTAAAAGTAAGAAGTAGACTATTATACAGGAGTGGGGTCAACACCTACACCTTCCGGCACCTACCAGATTAGGCGAGGACCCACATGGCATGTGATAGACGAGTGATACAGGAAGCTCTAATCACTTTTCAGTAGTCTTTCAGTAGTCTTTCAATAGTCTTTCAGTAGTCTTTTCAGTAGTCTGTTCAGTGGTCTTCTATTCTGGTCTCGGGATCATTAAGCTTGTTACCTACTTAGCTTCTAGAATTCTTCTCCCTATAAGGCTCTTTTCTTGTTACCCACCTAGTACTCCAAGTCAAATCATCATCCATCATGCCTTCACGATTTAAACATCGCCAAAGGGTTTTTGAGCTCATATTTAACGCAAAACACAATGAACTTCGGCAGGTAGATACCATGCTACAAGACTTTCAGGGTCGGATGACTCGCGATGAACTAGAAGAGAAATATGTGACTCACGAAGGAAACCCCAGAAACTGCCAACCCTCGCTGTCGGCGACCTCGATACAAGTCAGGTCCAGGACACACTTCACCAATATGGTGCTAAACAAGGTTTGGTATGCTCCGAACCTTACGCACAGTTTGATCTCAATTAAGCAGCTTGCTGCTACTGGTGCTATTGCATCTTTCTACGACAAGCACGCTGAAATCAAAACTACGTTTGGCATTGTCAAGGCGTATGCGACTATAGACGGTGGTCAATACTGGCTACACACCTCTCTCAATACAATTCCACATATTGTATTTTCATCTAATTGATCTATTTCCATCGAGTACATCCATCATTCTTACCAACCAATGCCTTGCCTATATGGGTGAGTACCTCTAATATAGCCAATACCACATTATCTGGATTCTAACTGCTTTGAAGGCATGGTGCATTAGCTCGACGACGGGTGAATGGACAGAATTGCGCTGTATATGGCGTCGCGGCTGATGCGCAATATTTTGTATTCCCTCAAAATTGACGAACGGTCAAGGGTTGGTATACTTATCTCCTAGTGAATTACCTTTTTCTAATTCGAATACTGGTCGACAGCTCCATTTGCAGGTATTGCCGGCAAGTTCGACCATTTTCTCGGTGTAGTTGTCTATCTTCTGCGCAAGGCGTCCCCCACACAATCAAAGCGGTCCTTCCAGCCCCACGCCAAGGGATCTTGGGGTTCGTTATCCTAAAGGCTTGGACGCTTTGCGAAATTGCCTGCCAACTGAAACCTGGACTCGAAATTGAGTGATGGCACAAGCGTTCTCGATGTTGGTTTCCACACAGAATCGACTCTTTCTTCGGTTTATTTTGGACCTCGTCTATGACGACTGCTCAGTGTTGAGTATCCTATTGCCGGCTTTGTTCTCAAGCGAATTTAAGTACTAGTCATGGATCAGTCAAATACATAGAGAGTTTCGAATGTTGGAGCTTGAAATAATGGTTTATAAGCTACATGTTCTCCTGTAACGTCTCGAGTTTTTCCAAGTACCGTTCTATCAGGGTTAGTATAATCCATAGTTTGTAAAGTGTGCGACATACTTGCGGCCACCCATCTCATACCCAGATAGCCTAGTATGTCCTTTAAGGGTCGGATAGAGGGCTCCGGATCGACACACCCAGATACCCTAGCATCGCCAAGACACACCATGGCAGCCTTGTATATACAATGAGAGAGAAACACGGACAAAGTCATTATCTCAACCGGAGGAGAGATTTCCGCCCCGCGCGCAATCTCGTGGACGAGGGAGCTCAGAATATTGAGTGATGTGCTGATACAATACTCATTGTCGGGGATATTCATGCGTGACCCAAGTTCGAGGGTTTCGAGCATAGCACTAATTTAAACATTAGCAGCGCTGGTATTAGTCACTCAGTTTTGAACCTGTGCTGGGCAGGGTTACCTTCTACATAGTGCCAATGCACTATCCGACAGAGGATGCGGCGGGTCCGAATCACTGCTTTGGAAGGTCACCAAAAACGAGGTTAAGGATTTCAGAACCTGGACGGCCGAGATGCTTGCAAAAAGGGGATGCGATTGTGTCCGATGGATGTGAACGAGTACCCGGTCTAAGAGGTGGGATGCGTGGGTCAGTTTTGTAAAAGAATCAACTTCTACCTTCGCCCAATCTTCTTGGTCCTATTTTCGGATTTATTTTTAGATGTAGTTGACTGAGCTGCAGCCAGTCAGTCATCACTCACTGTTGATATGGATTGACCACTTTGAGTATAAGGTAATTGGCCATTTTCCAGCGAGACATATCTACCACGAGCTCTTGATTTAGTACGAACACCATCTGATGTGTATGTTGAGGGGCCATATCTGACCTGTCAGTGATGACGATGCCACGCCAAGTCTGTTGTGCCTCCCCAACCTTCAGCGGGTCCTGGAAGACCTTGCTCAGGTCCTCATAGGTGGCATTAATCCCTAGGGAAATTGCGGCGCGTATATTGGCCACAGCGGATATGTATGCGGAGGGATACATGGCATGCCCGATCTCGAAGACCGTCAGCAGAAGTCGACTTTGTAGGATTTCCAACGAGGTCATCGCCATTGCTTCGAAAAGAGCATTGTAGGTCTTGAGAGAAGCATACATCGATCGGGTCGAGTGAGGAAGCTCTCCTCCCACGGGCTCCTTACAAACGAGGGCTATACAGAGGGTCAAAAGGCTTAAGTCGGATGGAGCACTGTCTGTCTGAACGCGTACTTTTGATAACCGAAAATAATAACATGTCTCCGATATAATAGGAAACCAGGTATGTACAGTTCGGAAATAAACGGCTGCGGCAGATTGCAGCTGCGGTCCATCGCTCACAATTGATGAGACCTGAGCTTCGAGGGTATGACGCAGGTTGGAAAGAGTCAAGTCAGCCCAGTCCGGCATAGGCAGCAGACGAGGGGTTTCAGCTGGAAGGAGATAGTCACAATTCTTATTCAATCTACAGTCCGATCAGCATGCATCGCCTATAATTTTAGATGATAACGCACCTTTTGCAAAGGGTACAATATGGAAGGATCTTGTCACATCTCCGTTTCTGTCTCCTGCAGCGAAGGCAGGCCTGTTCGGCAGACATTATTGCGGGTGCGGGTGCGGATGCGGGCAGGCCATTTAAATAATCAGGCGTGGAAATAACCTTGGAAGGGCCCCTATATCAAGCCTAATTCGGTTTAGATCCCGCACCCGCATCCGCACCCGCATCACCAGGACCGTGGATCTTCCAAAGAACCAAGTTGTTTATATATTGCACAAATCTCTATATATTACAAAGGATGTTTTTCCAATACCCCGAATACATTTTATTTTCACGGCTATCGAAATGATTCGCAACGTTGCCATTGCAGGGGTATGTCGGGTAATCATTCTTCTGTCGTAACTAGGACTTATAAATTATGTCTAGGCCTCCGGAGCCCTGGGCTCCCCTATTCTCCACGCACTTCTCGAAAGTGAACTCTTCAATGTTAGTGTTCTGGCACGCCGATCGTCCCAATCAAACTTTCCAGCGTCTATCAAGGTAATCCGTGTGGATTACACCTCCATCCAAGACCTAACAGTGGCCCTGACCGGCCAAGATGCCGTCGTCTCGGCCCTGACAACTAGTGCCATGGAGACACAGATCCTATTGGTTGAGGCCGCAGTAAAAGCTGGAGTGAAGAGATTTCTTCCTTCCGAGTTCAGTGCCAACATTGGCAACCCCAAGGCGGCCAGTCTGCCTGTCTACCACTCCAAGCTCGCGATACATGAGGTCATCGAGCAAAAGGCTCGGGACAATCCCCGTTTCACATACACTTTGATTCGCAACAGCGCTTTCCTTGACTGGAGCATGGCCTATGGATTCTTTTTCACCGTCGGTGGGGGATCGACTCCCTTTTATGACGGCGGCGACCGTCCATTCAGTACGACCACATTGGCCACGATCGGCCGTGCCGTGGTAGAGGTCCTGCGGCACGCGGAAAATACACGAAACAGAGCGATATTTGTTCATGACCTCGTCACCACCCAGCGAAAGATGCTAGCCATTGCCCAGAAGGTTATGCCGGATCGCACGTGGACCCCGAGTGACGTGAGCACGGCCGACATGGAGAATATAGCACGGGAAAAATACGCCAACGGGATGGAAGATATGGTATCATCGATGGGATTCTTCTGTCGTTCAGTTATTGGGGAGGGATATGGGGGAGAGTTCCAGGAGGTGGACAATGAACTACTGGGCATACCGTTGAAAACGGATGCTGATCTGGAGGAGTTGATCCGGGGAGTACTTTTCGGACTGAAATCTTCTTAGTGAGCCTAGCTGTGAGTGACCTCATAAATGCTACGGCAGCTAAGATAGGAAGTCCCTACCGAGAGAGGAAATTAAGTACGTATAGCAACATATGACCAGCAACCATAGGGGTTACTTCACTATTTATGTTGTAAACTCTATATTTTATAGTAAGTCTACAATCTTAGGACTATATTCGGAAGGATCCTCGGTATGGCAGCGTTCTCTAAAATATTCAAAGCGATAGTTTATTGACGGGATGTCCCAAATTTCATACAAAAGACCTAATACCGAGACACATCATATGCACACCGCAATTGAATCATCACCCAAGAGAGAACTTGACACTATTAGAAATTCGTCACCAAAAAAACCTTGTCACCGTCAGCTACCCCAGCAGCTAGTGGGATCCCCAGTATCAGTCAAGCAGAGTGGGCCCCGTCGCTGAGCCAGACTAGTAGGGCCTCCTCTACCCGGACATCACTCGAGCTGAGTTCGTCACAAAACGCAAACGCACTTTCTGGTAAAATATGTCCCAATATAGTCCACCTCAAATAGAAGGAGGGTTTTGCTCCACAAAAATTAAAACACTTGAATTCGACGGACCAAAAGACAGAATCATATTGTACTCGTGTTCCATCTCAGCTATGACATAGCTAAATATGTACAAAGGAAGGTATGTAGCCTCCCTTCCCTACAATTCCAACTTTTGAGACAGTACCCACTTCGAGTACGCAAGCCCAAAACACAGACTTGTGGAGAACTCCTGGGGTTCCATCTATCATACATCTGCATTTGCATCAGTTGCCTTCTATATAGCTGCACGTTTGTACGTAAACCCATAGCTTGGCATATCCACTTACGAGACACAGGATTCGCCTAGGTGACGTAAATACAAAGAGCCTCCTAGGTATGTTGCTTACTCCTAATCAAAAAGGGATTCAACGACGTCTTACCTGATATGATTTTTGTGCTGTGACATTGCTGGGATATCCCACCGGCAATGTTGAATCTAAAAATTGGCGCTGGCACCTGTCTTTCAAAAATGTTTAGTATGCAAACCAAACTTCATGCCCCTGATAAAGTTAATCTGTAGCATGCAGTTGGCGTCAATTACGATGTGCATCTGGTGTACCCCAACATTAGGTTCATGACGTACTATCCCATTGCGGAGAACGGAATAGGTTGAGCTGATCGACGTCCGGCAAGGAATATAATGCTCTGCAGATCCCGTGTGGCTGGCTCCCTTAGTTCAATAAGTTTGTCTTCAGGACCCCCTTACCCGAGTAAGGGCACTTGATGTGCTCCACTAGTATGGAGTAGATCATCTTCCCTTTCAAGCTGAGTTACTAATTTAGAGGAAGATCATGCAGTACATGGAATTGCGCCCTATACGCAGGGAGTGCTAAAGATCATCATCTAAGTCTCTAGAGAAACCTTTCTCCGTTGGGGTTACAATATAAAGCAACAGCGAGGGGATGGTGTGTGAAGAAAACGGCATAAAGAGCGCATGAGGACCATTCCATTGTTCCCTATCATCACACAAACTATCAACCACTCTCAATTTTTATCTACCGAAAACAATCATGAAAGGCTGTTCTCTCGGCGTTCTGGCCATAATCCTTCAGGCGTATGTTGCATACAGCAAGAAGGTCGAGCCAGACCCAGTCGGCGCACCTGACAAAGAGCCCTATGTCGATGGACACAGTGTCCGGTGGGGAACTGGCCGTTTCCGCGGGAGCTATCATTGTGAAGATAATGAGACCCCCTTCATAACTCCTGACAAGGCTTCCGCCACTTGTTGTCTGGAGGGACAAAGCCTCAAGGGGTCTGAGAAGACTGAATGGCACTGCTGCGCTGAGGGCCATGACGTGACTGGCTCTACGGATGTTGGGTTCGAGTGCTGTGTGGAAGGTTCCACCTTCGACGGCGAACAGTGCCAGAGAGCAGAGAAAGCAGAAAAGTGCCCCAATGGCCAAGAGATGGTGGACGGAGAGTGCCAGTGCCCTAAGGGTCAGATCATGGACGAAGACGGTACCTGCAAGCCTGCCAAAGCTGCCAAATGTGACTCGGGCTTGAAGACAGGTACATGATCCTATCGACCTTTTATGCTGGACAAGCAGCTAATCTCAAGCAGGAAAATGCTACTTCCTCACTGGAAGGTCGGACAATTATTTAACCTTTAACGGCGGCCAGTACTCTGAAACCAAGCTGAGCAAGTATATCCGGCCTGCTAAATTCCAACTTTGCAAGGATGAAGAATGCACGCCAGGCCTGCCGGTTGATCCAAGCGACAAAGTCAATATCAAGGACCTTCATGGTAGTTTGCCTTACGCAACCGATGCTAATCAATGGGTGGATAATAAACAAAATGGTGGCCACATCGGCAAAACCCCCAACTTTGCAAATGCTGGGGAGTTCTCGTTTACCAAGTGGCCCTGTGGTAAATATTGCCTTACAGGATTTACCCAGGGCATTTCACAAGCTTGTCCAGATGTTAGCCCGGGTATCTCCTTCGACAACAAGGCCACCGACTCCTGCATTGAATTCGAACTCCTGGAGGTTCCATGTGATATCCGCGCTGATAAAAATAACTGCATCTGGAAGAGCAGCGCGAACCAATGCTGTGGCAAGATCGACTGTTCTGCCGAGGAGGAGAAAGAGGAGACCGAGCCGGAAGGTACGAAGCCCTATTGCCCAACACAAGATGGCACGACCAAAATTATCAATGGAATTGAATTTGACGTCATCTGTGGAAAGGCATATAACACCGTCAAGAACCAGATCATGGTTCGAAAGGATGTGACCGATCCAGACACCTGCTATAAAGAATGTGCCGCGAATCCGAAGTGTCAAGGCGCCAATTGGAGATTTAGTAACAATTACTGCTCTCACCATCCTTACTACGAAAATCAACCAAAGACCAAAAATGCTGGAAAAGACTGGGTGACCTTCCGTCCCACCCAAAAGCGCTAGATTATTTCTAGTGGGATTTTCCAAGTTTACGCTGCTACGCCATCCGATAAATATGAGGCAGATCCTCCACTATCCTATCGCTTTCAAAAGTTATTTGTTGCTTCCTCCATCCATATCAACCACCTTCTAGGTGTATCGATTACCCTTCCGGGCCTATTTAAGTGATCCTGTTTTAAATACCTACACTCTTTGACCAGTATTCCACTATTTGTTATAACGGAAAAATAGAAAGAACAAAAAAAAACTTATGCCTGGTTATATATAGCTTACCAAATTGATCGACCCTATACCAAAATAGTTGCTAAGCCTCTAACGTAATTGTCACTAAATGGGAAAAAAGTGTATATAATATATTTCAATACTATCAATTGGGGTACAAGTCTTCCCTACTAAGTAGAAGGCAAAACTCCATTCGATAGCCGGTTGAATGGAAATCAACTCGTCTTTTTAGTCATTCAAACTGAATAGAATAGTTTCTTCCTATGAGATGTAACATAATTAAATAGCCGTAGGTTGAGCACTGCACAACAGTTCCGCTCAACTTGTGCTTTTAGCCCGAGTCCGTATACGCGTGCTTCTCCGTGTCCCAGTGTCTTGAGTTTCTTCATCCTGTAGATCCAATCGGGGGCTAAAAATGTCCACTGCGGGTCTGGACCTTGACTTCTCCGGCTTGACCTTTCGTCCCGGTTTCTTCGGGTCAACAGTAGCGGCTGCCCTTTTCCTCTTACTGGATCCCTGACCCGAGCCCTCGACTTGGTCAGGTGAAGGGTCGTCAACAAGCGAGCTCTTTGTGTCAACAGGAGCAGCGTCGCTTTTCCTCTTTCTACTGCGCTGACTGCCCTGCAAAGAGGGACCATCTGCTTGGGCAGCAAGAGGCTCATCAACATGTTTTCGACCGGAGGCAACATGCTTCTTCGGCTGGGTCGAGCTTGGCGTCGAGTCATCATCAGGCATCTTCAAAGGGCTTTCGTGTTTCCAAGTCGTCCCAGGCAATAGTCCCCAGCGGTTGTCCCAAATGCCTCTTTTGATCCAGACACTTTTCACATTCTCGTAAGCTCGGGTGTTGATATCTTTCGAGGGGCGAACACGGGTACTGCGATATGGGGCGGAAGACTCATCTTCAATTCGTTCGCGCTCCTTTGATATTTGATAGGTAAATTGATGAAATGGGCGTGATGGTTCCCCTCCGTCTGGGTACACTTTGCCCCATTCTGCCCAATCCTCTCGTGACATATTGTGGGGCCAATTGAGGTTGTATGGGCGAGTCGGCCACTCTTCGTGCCTCCAAGGCCACCATGGCTCAGTCGTATTCTCCCAGTCCCTATCCCAGATTTCTTGTTTTATCCAGCCGTACTTCACTGTGTTACGAGCGGCCTCGCTCACATTGGTGCCTTTGGGAATCGTATGTCTTCCCTTCTCGATTCCTTCAATCAAACGGGCTTCCAGTTCTTGGACCTGAGTTTCAAATTGGTTATTGGCGCGTGAAGCATCGTGATCCTTGATGAGTTGCAATTTTTTCTCATCGCGGTGCTGATTTCTATCTTGATTTTTCATCCTGAGAGTCGCGGAGGCTTAGGGAGGTTGGATTGTGCGATAGGAAACGTAACCGAACGTCAAACCTGGGAGTTTTCAGGAGTTTGTTGCACAGTGGATAGTAGCCAGGTCAGTTTTGTTACTGTCCTCCAAACTGAGAGAAGTAGAATAAAAATTAAATAGCAATTCAGAAGAATAGGAGATGGTGAAATAGGGGGTGTGACAGAGCTCGAGTGGGTGCCTGCTAAGGTGCAGCAACGCGCAACCTGACTCTTCCAATATGCAGTTGTTCATGGCCTCAGTACTCCGTAACGAAATTATCGACGTGTTTTTCTATTTCAGTATATCAAACCTCTGAATAAAGTCGCTAAAAAAGGTCGACAGCCATGATTTCAACCGACACCGTGCGTCGAATTTAGGCGATGCCAAAATCGTTCTCTATGTTGGCATAGATGTGCGGTCATCGTCCTATTACACAATTGCAACAGTGCGGTGTGCGGGTGTATACATCTGGATAGAGGGCGCCTACATCTCCAGAATCTAATGTTGCTTCGAGGCCGAACCAATCAGCAATCGAGGTTGTGCTCTACGATAGGTCTTATCTTGGCACAACGCAGGTTTCCGGTGAAAATTCTATGCTATTTGAGCGTAGCCGAACTCGCCAAATACTCCAGAAAAAGCAAAATGTCGTTCAATTCCAGTTGCTGTGGCATCAAACTCCCACTGATACGAAGACTGTCGAAGCTCGGGGGGCTATCCCTGAGGGCTATGAGCCCACGCCGACTGATGACTGGTTGCGATGTTCAAAACTAACACGCAGTGTCCGATGAGGCTACATATAAATCATGGCTCTATATGGCACTGACCCAGCTTGAAGAGCCTTCAAAGCTGGGCTTTGAGCGCAGATCTCTCGTCCTCCCCATCAAACCGCATTACAAACATTTCATCAGGGTTGTTCGGCCGTCCAAGCCGCACCGTCGCCTCTCTATGGGCATGGTCGTAGATGATATTGAACAGAGTTGCGCCTCTGCTCTTGCCTTCCTCGTAAGCGCGGCAGATGCTAAAGGGATAATTGTCTTCGTCCTCCCAGAGCTTTGCAAATGCCTGTTTGGTACCGTCGAACCCGTCAAGGAGGTGCTCCATACGCTGGTGACGATTCCACGAGTCCGGTAAGGGATCGAGCTCTTTCGCATTTTCGCCGTGGTGAAGCAAGCAGTGGTTGGTATGCACCATCCTACCATTCACGTCGAGCACCTGCTTTCGGATGCTGGTTGGGGAGAATTCCAGACCGAATGCTTCGTGCCCATTGCCCACCATGATAAAAGCGCTGGCAGCCATTCCGCCTTGCTCAATGATCCGGTCATAGGCCTGGGAAGGAGAAGTGCTTTCGAGCGCTATGCGGAGGGCAATATGCGAAGGAACTCCCGTGGGTCGAAGACCCTGAAGGTGAAGGGCGTTGTAGTTGACGGCAACCCCTGCACTGTTAAATCCAACCTTGCCGATGATTCCAGCCTCAGTTACGAATTTGATCGTGGGAAATCCAGCCTGACGAATCGTCAACCGGATCAGGTTCTCTTTGGTGGCGGAAAAGAACTTGAACAACCAAATTAGTCGGCGCAAATTCGAGGGAATAGGACGAGAAGGTGAAATTTTTTAACGTACATCCCAGTTTTGGCCCTGGAGGGATCCATTTGGAAGTTGGCAATAGGCAGTGGTGCAGCCATCACGGGCTGCCTTGAGGCCGTATGCAAATTCCGTGCGGGTATTGAGCATGACAATCTCGGAGACATCACGTTCAGCGCCCTTTGCAATACCTGGTTTTCCGCGGGAGTTGTCAAGTCAGCATTGGTGCAGAAAATGTAGGGAAGGAAGACCGAAGTGGCACTAACCGCGAATTTCCTCGTAGTATCTGGGCCATCTTTCCTCGATCACGCGCCCTAGTTCCGTGAGCACCTGTTTAAGCTCTTCGTCCGTCTTCTTCGTTTTCCCTCGAATCAGATCGACGGCGAAGGCAATACTTCTGGCTATTACGACTTTGGCAGTAGAGCCATGTTGGTAGCCGATCTAGATAAGGTCAGAAGTCGGATGATTTAGAAGGAAAGACTTGGTATCCAATGCAGCACTTACTTCAAAGGGAGTGCCTTGACAGATGACGTGAAGCATTTCTGATGCGGGTCGAAGATAGGTAAACAATTGAAATTGATGGACAGGGATGGGAAACGTGTCCTGGGGATTATCATGCAGGCGAAGCTGCACGCTGAGATTTATATCGGCCGTAGCCACCAATCGGGGACCATAGTGTGGCACTGCCAGGACATCAACTGGGGTATTCGGACTATCCCTGCTGCATCCGTCTAAATCTGCCGGGAAGCTCGATCGAGCATGCAGGCCAAGTTTCGTCGAGAATGGTGAAGCGCACTATTGTCTGACCTCTCGCGAGAAGAGGATTCACCACGGAGGCGATAACAGCCAGCCTGAACATGCCAAGACAGGAGTAGAAATAGCACAATTCTGTAGAGCTTGTTGCCAAGATGCTAAACATTGCAAAGCGTGGACAATAGACTTATGATCGAGCCAATATCATCGTCTAGACTAGATAACTAAAAACAAGGTGGGCCTACCTCTCTAGTTTGCTTGGGTTGTGCCCACTTCCAAGATTAGACCTGGCAGTGACCCGTGGGTGCACGACCCTCGGACCGCCCCGCCACACCGCCCCAGTGGCGCGGCGGTTCGACGGTCCAACCTTGCGACCCTACTAAGTGTAGTACACCTGGAGATTGGACGGAGGGTCACCCGCCGGTGATCCTGAGGGTCGTCAAAGAGAAGTAAATTTTGTGTATAAATAGCTTTTATGTAAATAATTGTGTATATTTCACAACACAAGTATATTTATATATCCTAATTAGGGTTAGCACTATGAATTTATGTATCCGAGCGTCACTGCGGGTCGTGGAGGGTCCAAGATCGTGGACGGGTCACTGCCAGGTCTGTTCCTATTGGGTCTACCGGCTTGGCTGCAGCCCCAGTCCAATGCCCCACGTGCTTCGCGGGTAGTTGCTCAGGGCACTATCTTCACTACATACTCTGTCCACTCTCTTACCAACTCGGAGGGAACATTCGATCCCTCAAATTTCAACCCGTACTCTAATGAGTTTGTTGTACGCAGTATGTATAACGTCCATGGTGTGCAGCAATTAGCGTGGTGGGCATACTGTATAAATTACGTAACTTTGGGTTAAACTAGGGGCGTAGGCTAATGCAGGGCCTGCATTACCCCCTGCATTACCACCAGAGTTGGGAAGACAGTGTGACTGGCGCCATCTCGTCTGTTCCGTCCCGCATTATGCAGCCAAGCAGAGCTCGTGCCGAATGCGCTTGGTCTTTCCACTCGTTTGCCCGTGCCCAATGCCGCGCCTAGTTTCATACGAGCTGGCAAGAGTGGCGAGGAAGAGGGGCAAACACTCGTCTACTCCATATTGGTATTTCATTGAAGCAGATCCCTCCACTACCAAGTTCTAGACGATGTCCAAACTCTAGGGTGGTATGCGTACTAGAAGAGTTCTGCGGTCCTTCTGCTGGCTCGCACTAATTTAGTTCAATGCAGGTGGTTCCCAAAGCAGCTCGCTGGAACGCGGGGTCTCAGCACCCAGAGCTGAAGAAATTGATGTGACCCCACCATCTTTCTGCAACAATACGAACCATCTTATTATTTCAAAGAGGTTGACTTCTACCGGAGCAGGCCGGGCGGTTATGGGATCAATGGCATGGCCTACGTGATCACATAGGAGCGATGCACGTTAAACGTATTATCATGGATGGATAGAATAACAACCATTTGACGATTACGTATCTATCTACCCTTCAGCTATGATAATTAGACGAAGGTGGCGGCTCATCCCTCTTTTTTTTTCTCGACTCGGTTTAGCTTAGCCTCCGGGGATAGAAATCCCGGTCCTATCCATGGGCCCTTTTAGGTCTGGCCGTTCTTGTTAATCAAACTAACTAATCCGTTTTGCAGATAGTCGCCGTAGGAGATTGGTTGCCGTTCGGTCTTGCCGTCTTCTTTGCTAGGATCCCACGGCTGGACGGTATCGTCAAAGCCTAGATTGACGAAGAACGGGAGGGATTGGCGCTCCTCGTTTACCCACTTAACTCGGTGGATGGGAGCGGGATAGTAGTTGTTGGTGACGTGTGCCATGTAGCTACCGCAATTGATTAGGTAGGCGTTGTCGTCCGCCTCGATATCGAGGTAACCCTGAGGGGTCTCCACCTGCAGGTTCGCCACATCGGACTGATACAGGACGGTAATGAGGGACACATCCTCATGCCATTCGAAACTCAATTTGGTGCCGTCCTCCGCCGTCTTGATGGCGGCAGGTGGGTAGGGGTTCAGGTAGGGGTAACGAATTAGAACAACCGAGGAGAGCGCGTCTTCCTTCTTGAAGTGGCAGCTAAAGAAGTCCTCCTCCTTGCCCAGCGCCAGAGCATAGCCTCGCAGTAAGGCGGAGGAGAGTCCGAACACGTCCCAGTAGTATTGCTCGGCGAACTCGCGGAAGCCTGGATGCTTCTTCTCGTCCGGCCACACATTGACCTCATGGGTGGGAGTCTTGGCCTGGATGAGAGGGTGGTCCGGCTTGAAGTTGGGATTCAGGTAGCAGAAGGATTCGACAGCCTTTTTCTCCGGAATGGACAGGTAGTATCCGGCACGGATTTGGTCCTGGTGCTCCTTATTGTAGGCGCGAATGGCGAGGTCCCACTTCTCTTCTTCAGTGATAGAAAAGTGGAACTCCCTGGTCTTGTTCGAGAGTCGCTTCACATCGATACCGTGGTTGGTTGCGTAGAAGAAGCCGGTATCGCGCGAGGCAGCGTCAATCGCGCGGGCAACCTTCATCTTCTCCTCCAAGTTGTCGCCAAACAGGGGCGACACGTCGATCTTGGGGACATTAGCCTTCGGAGGGGAAGCCATAGCGTCTAGAAAAACAATGATAAAAACTTGAGGGCCGTGGACAGCGACGTATAGAGGGTTTGGCAAAGGGATAGCGGAAGTCCTCCTGTAGATGACAATGAATCAAGGGTATCGACGCAATTGTAATGACCTGAGCTCTATTCCTGTGTGTCTGAACGAGGGCAGGGTGTTTACGCTGAGGCGACCTTATACTCTTGCAGAGCCTAGATGCTTACCGGATGGTGCCGCCGGAGCTAACGTAAAATTCGTAACCGTGTCTCGAAGTCGGAGGGTCTTTGGTGGTCTGAGATTTTAGTCGATCCGCACCAGAGCAGGCCAATCGTTGATCCTCGGGCGAGGCAATACAACATACTCCCCCGCTCCAAGGGCTAGTAAGTGCCTATCATTACCATAACAGAATACGAGGCCCACAGGTATCCAAGTAACACCATCGAGTCAATTGGGACCACATCCTCTCTCGTCGCAGCGTGCTGAAGCTTTAGCTACCACAAGCCGATGGTATCGGGTTAGAGTGCAACGTGGGTCTTGTTCTTCTCGGTTTTTGACACCAGAATCGGCCGTAGTTCGGCCACTGCCAAGTCGTTGGGCCGCTTGGCTGCTGTGGTCGGATTCCCTGATGCAACATGCAGATACATGGACTTGGGATCGGATCTGCCGTGGACCGTGCTAGACGAAAGTCTCCATCTATCTCCATCTTGTCAATGGGCAGTGTCTCAGTCGCCCAGATTCTCGATGGAGATGGACTAGGTCAGCATATATACCCTTGCAATTGCATACCAATGCAGTCGGCCCACTATAAAGGAATTCCCCTCAAGCTTGTCTGTGATTGCGTCTTTTTTAACATTTATTGTTGCATTTGATCCCTTAAAATTATTGGTTATTCACAGACATGACTCAACTGAAGCCATTGAACGGAACCACGCCGATAGGCTTCTCGGCCACAACATCCCCGAACACCAGTGGGAGTTCGAGTGTGAAGAATGGTACCATTAAACCCAAAAATGGCGTCTTCAACCCCAGCAATGGGGACATCATAGACCCTCGCAGTGGGTATGGGGTCGGCGGCAGTATCCGCGTCCGTTTCCGCGGAGGAATTGAACGGTGGAAGGAGTGTGTCAACCAGATCCCCGAACGCTGCGATCTGAGTGGTCTAGCAACCGACTCTACGCAATATCAGCTCGCATCTACTGGGTTCAGCCACGCAAGCGCTGCCTACCAGGCGCGCTTGATGACGGTCCCTGTTGACGTACATTCCGCGCTCCAAGAGCTATGCCTAGAACGCCGTGTCAACCTGGGATCTGTCATTAATTTCGCCGTGCATCAGATGCTGAAAGGGTTTGGAAATGGCACACACACCATCACCGCCTCTCTGCACTGCGAACAGAACCCGCAGAATTCTTCTCCATCCTGGGTGGTCTCCCCCACAATCGTCACCCATGAGAACAGAGACGGATGGTCCGTCGCGCAGGCGGTTGAGAGTATCGAAGCGGGGCGCGGCTCGGAGAAGGAGTTAGTAACTACGATTGACTCCGGGTCAAGTCTCGTGAAAATGGGGTTATTTGACTTACTCGTCAGCTTTGTCGATGCAGATGATGCTCATATTCCCTGTTTTGACTTTCCCCTAACAGTGATAGTGCACGAGTGTGATGCCAGCCTCTCGCTGACTCTTCGGTTCTCCGACTGTCTCTTCAGCGAGGAGACGATATGCAATTTTACCGATGCCCTAAACATCTTGCTCGCCGAAGCAGTGATAGGAAGAGTTACTCCGGTTGCCGATATCGAACTGCTGTCCACGGAGCAGAAGCAGCAGCTCGAAGTGTGGAACAACACGGATGGCCAGTACCCTTCATCAAAGCGACTGCACCATCTCATCGAAGAGGTGGTTGAACGCCACGAAGACAAAATTGCCGTTGTCTGTGAGGAGCGAAAGCTCACTTACGGCGAGCTCAATGCCCAAGGCAACCGCCTCGCACGCTATCTCTGTTCCCTTGGAATCTTGCCCGAACAGCTAGTTGCGCTTTTTCTCGACAAGAGCGAGAAGCTCATTGTTACCATCCTCGGCGTATGGAAGTCCGGCGCCGCCTACGTGCCCATCGACCCGACTTATCCGGATGAGCGAGTCCGCTTCGTGCTGGATGACACCAAAGCACAAGCTATAATCACCAATAATCGACACGTGGAGAGGCTCCAGCGAGAGGTCATCGGCGATAGAAAACTCCGCATTATCCCCCTAGAGCCTTTGTTGGCCTTCCTTGCTCAGGATTCCTCAAGATTTCCCGCGCATAACTTGGAAGACCTACCACTCACGAGCCAGCAGCTCGCCTACGTGACATACACCTCTGGGACCACTGGTTTTCCAAAGGGCATATTGAAACAACACACCAATGTGGTGAACAGTATCACCGACCTTTCTGCAAGGTACGGGGTGGCCGGGAAGCACCACGAAGCCATTTTGCTCTTCTCGGCTTGCGTGTTCGAGCCGTTTGTTCGACAGACGCTCATGGCACTTGCAAATGGTCATCTCCTCGCAGTTATCAATGACGTGGAAAAATATGATGCAGACACGCTTCTCCCGTTCATACGCAGACACAGAATAACTTATCTCAATGGCACTGCCTCTGTTCTGCAAGAGTACGACTTTTCCGACTGCCCATCACTGAATCGGATGATCCTGGTGGGTGAGAATCTGACAGAAGCCCGGTATCTGGCGCTGCGTCAGAGGTTCAAGAATCGCATCCTCAACGAGTATGGCTTTACTGAGTCGGCCTTTGTAACGGCCCTCAAGATTTTCGAACCGGACTCGACCCGTAAGGATACGAGTCTGGGGAGTCCGGTGCGTAATGTGAAGTGCTACATTCTCAATCCGGCCCTCAAGCGTGTCCCGATTGGAGCTACAGGAGAGCTACATATCGGAGGTTTAGGTATTTCCAAGGGATACCTCAACCGTCCTGAACTGACGCCGCACCGCTTCATTCCTAACCCCTTCCAAACGGATCGCGAGAAGCAGCTCGGAATCAACAGCTTGATGTACAAGACCGGTGACTTGGCCCGCTGGCTTCCGAACGGCGAGGTTGCGTATCTTGGACGCGCGGATTTCCAGATCAAACTGCGAGGCATTCGAATAGAACCTGGTGAAATAGAGGCGACGCTGGCTATGTATCCTGGGGTCCGAACCAGTTTGGTGGTGTCCAAAAAGCTGCGCAACGGTCCGGAGGAAACTACCAACGAGCACCTCGTGGGTTATTATGTTTGCCACAGCGTCTCAGTGTCCGAGGCAGATCTGTTATCCTTTTTAGAGAAGAAACTGCCACGATACATGATTCCGACGCGGTTAGTACAGCTGTCGCAGATCCCAGTGAATGTGAACGGGAAGGCGGACCTGCGCGCCTTGCCAGCCGTCGATATCTCCAATTCCACAGAGATCCATTCCGACCTTCGAGGCGATATGGAAATAGCCCTTGGGGAAATCTGGGCCGACGTGCTGGGCGCTCGCCAGAGATCGGTCTCTCGCAATGACAACTTCTTCCGCCTCGGAGGGCACAGCATCACCTGTATTCAACTGATCGCACGCATCCGACAACAACTGTCGGTCAGTATCTCCGTCGAAGATGTCTTCGCAACAAGGACACTTGAGCGCATGGCGGACCTTCTACGGAACCAACAGCAGGAGAAATCCAAGGAAAGCCATGAGGCGCCGGCAGAGCTACTTGAGGAGAAACCAGCCACGGACAATGTCTACCTAGCAAACAGTCTTCAGCAGGGCTTCGTCTACCATTACCTCAAGAGCATGGAGCAATCCGACGCCTATGTAATGCAGTCCGTCATACAATACAACACCGCATTGTGTCCAGATCTGTTTCAGAGAGCCTGGAAGCATGCACAGCAGTCCTTTCCGGCACTGCGGCTGCGGTTCTCATGGGAGAAGGAGGTTTTCCAACTGATAGATCAGGATCCCCCATTGGACTGGCGTTTCCTCTGCTTCATCGACGTTCCCGTAGGTGCTGTCGAGGACCGGAAGTTGGATGACTTGCGGCGTCAAGACCTTACGGAGAGATTCAAGCTGGATGCGGGCAGACTGTTCCGCGTCTATGTGATTAAACACAGCGACAATCGCTTCACATGCCTTTTCAGCTGCCACCATGCAATCCTAGATGGTTGGAGTCTCCCACTTTTGTTCGAAAGCGTTCACGAGACCTACCTGCAACTGGTGCATGGGAGCAATCTCACCCCGTCCGTGAATGACCCTTACACCCGCACCCAGCAGTATCTCCACGCTCACCGTGAGGATCACCTCGACTTTTGGGCTAGGGTGGTTCAGCAGATCGACGAACGGTGTGATATGAACGCCTTGTTGAATGAACGCAGTCGTTACAAAGTCCAGCTGGCAGACTACGACCAAGTGCAGGAGCAGCGACAGCTGACGATTGCCCTCTCTGGAAACGCATGGCTAGCGGATCTTCGTCAGATCTGCTCCGGCCAGGGCATTACCTTACATTCTATCCTCCAATTTGTTTGGCACGCCGTGCTACACGCTTATGGTGGTGGCACCCACACCATCACCGGCACGACAATATCTGGAAGGAACCTGCCCATCGTGGGAATTGAACGGGCCGTTGGTCCTTATATCAACACGCTACCGCTGGTACTCGATCATTCGACGTTCAAGGACAAGACCATCATGGAGGCTATCGAGGATGTGCAGGCCAAGGTAAACGCCATGAACAGCCGGGGAAATGTGGAACTGGGCCGTTTGCACAAAACTGACTTAAAGCACGGATTATTCGATTCTTTATTCGTGCTTGAAAACTACCCGAATTTGGACAAATCCCGAACCCTACAGCACCAGGCTGAACTGAGATATTCGATCGAAGGCGGCACTGAAAAGCTGAATTATCCGCTGGCTGTCATCGCGCGCGAAGTCGAGGCGACTGGTGGATTCACCGTGTCCATCTGCTACGCCAGTGAGCTATTTGAGGAGGTCATGATCTCCGAGCTTCTTCATATGGTCCAGGACACTCTGATGCAGGTTGCCCGAGGTTTGAATGAACCTGTCGGTAGCCTGGAGTATCTCTCATCTATCCAATTGGACCAACTCGCCGCGTGGAATGCCACGGAAGCAGACTTTCCCGATACCACACTTCATGAGATGTTCGAAATTGAAGCGAGCCAGAAGCCGGACAAGACAGCCGTGGTCTATGAAGAGACGTCCTTGACTTACCGCGAGTTGAATGAGCGGGCGAACCGTATGGCACATCAATTAAGGTCCGACGTCAGCCCCAATCCCAACGAGATATTTGCGCTTGTGATGGACAAGAGCGAGCATATGATGGTCAGCATTCTGGCCGTATGGAAGAGTGGCGGCGCCTATGTCCCCATCGACCCTGGGTACCCTGACGACCGCATTCAATACATCCTAGAGGATACACAAGCTCTAGCTGTCATCGCGGACTCCTGCTATCTGCCTCGCATCAAGCGAATCGCCGCCTGCGGCACGCCTCTTTATCCCTCCGGTTTGTCTGCCAACCCGGATTCCAAGTGGAGCATATCGAACCCTTCGCCGTTGAGTCGGAGCACGGACTTGGCTTATATCATTTATACATCTGGAACGACCGGCCGGCCTAAGGGGGTCGAGGTAGAGCACCATGGAGTGGTCAACCTGCAGGTGTCGCTATCCAAAATCTTCGGCCTACGGGATACTGACGACGAGGTAATCCTCTCCTTTTCCAACTATGTGTTCGACCATTTCGTGGAGCAGATGACCGACGCCATTCTCAATGGCCAGACACTACTGGTCCTCAATGATGAAATGCGCGGGGACAAAGAGCGTCTCTATAGATACATTGAGAAGAACCGAGTGACTTACCTGTCTGGCACCCCATCCGTGGTCTCCATGTACGAATTCAGCAGGTTCAAGGACCATCTACGCCGTGTGGACTGCGTCGGGGAGGCGTTCAGCGAACCGGTCTTCGACAAGATCCGTGAAACGTTCCATGGTCTTGTCATCAACGGCTACGGCCCAACTGAAGTTTCCATCACCACCCACAAGCGGCTCTACCCATTCCCAGAGCGACGGATGGACAAAAGTATCGGCCGACAGGTCCACAATAGCACGAGCTATGTGCTGAACGAGGACATGAAGCGTACTCCCATAGGGGCTGTTGGCGAGCTCTACCTGGGTGGTGAAGGAGTGGTACGAGGCTATCATAATCGCGCAGATGTGACCGCGGAGCGATTCATTCCTAATCCATTCCAGTCGGAAGAGGAGAAGCGAGAAGGTCGTAACTCCCGTTTGTACAAGACCGGTGACCTGGTACGCTGGATCCCTGGAAGCAGTGGGGAGGTCGAGTATTTGGGCCGTAATGACTTCCAGGTCAAGATTCGCGGACTGCGCATCGAACTAGGCGAGATTGAGGCCATCCTATCGTCATATCCCGGAATCAAACAGTCTGTGGTCATTGCCAAGGACTGCAGAGAAGGGGGTCAGAAATTCCTGGTTGGTTACTATGTCGCAGATGCAGCGCTGCCGTCCGCTGCCATTCGGCGCTTCATGCAGTCTCGACTGCCTGGCTACATGGTGCCCTCTCGTCTCATTCTCGTCAGCAAGTTCCCCGTCACTCCCAGTGGAAAATTGGACACCAAGGCTTTGCCTCCCGCTGAAGAAGAGAGCGAGATTGACGTGGTGCCGCCGCGTAGTGAAATCGAACGCTCCTTGTGTGACATCTGGGCGGAATTACTCGAGATGCACGCAGAGGAGATCGGAATTTACAGCGATTTCTTCAGCCTGGGAGGTGACAGTCTAAAGAGCACAAAGCTTTCCTTCATGATTCACGAGTCCTTTAACCGTGCCGTCTCGGTCAGCGCCCTTTTCTCTCACCGGACAATTGAAGCCCAGACGCACTTGATCCTAAACGATGCTACAGATGTGCACGAAATCAGCCCCATAGATTGCAATGACACGCAAATGATTCCCGTGTCCCATGCCCAGGAGCGACTCCTCTTCATCCACGAATTTGAGAGTCGCAGCAATGCATACAATATCAATACTACCTTTGAACTGCCTGGCTCGGTTGACGCCTCGGTTCTCGAAGAGGCGCTGCGTGGAACCCTTTCTCGACATGAGGCGTTGAGAACTTTACTAGTCAAGGATCAAGCAACCGGTGTCTATCTCCAGAAGGTGCTGAGTCCCAATGAAGCCCAGGGTATGTTCTCTGTCACGGTGGGCATGGCGAGGCAGGTGGAGCGCGTGGACCAAGAGATAGCCAGTCTATCCCAGCGTGTCTTTGGCCTCGATGATGGACTGCCTTGGGAGGCCCGCATGCTTAAACTCGAATCTGGGAGCCTGTATCTCATTCTGGCGTTCCACCATACCAGCTTCGATGCATGGTCTTTGAATATCTTCCAGCAAGAACTTCGCGCCTTGTACGCAGCGCTCCACAAAACCAAGAGTGCAGCGAACCTTACAGCCCTCAAAGCGCAGTACAAGGAATATGCGCTTTACCATCGCCAGCAACTGTCTAGCGATCGCGTGCGCAGACTGTCCGACTTTTGGCTGGGGAAACTGATTGGCTTGGAGCCATTGCAGCTGATCACGGACCGCCCACGTCCTGTGCAATTCAAGTATGATGGTGACAACCTCAGTATGGAACTCAGCAATAGGGAGACGGAGAACCTGAGGGAGGTGGCTAAACGCTGCAAGTCGAGTCTGTACGTCGTGTTGCTTTCCGTTTATTGCGTGATGCTAGCCTCGTACACGAACCAGTCCGATATTTCCGTCGGTATCCCAGTCAGCCACCGAACACATCCCCAGTTCCAATCGGTTATTGGATTCTTCGTCAACCTCATGGTGCTTAGGGTAGATGTTTCTGAGACAGGTATTTGCGGGCTCATCAGAAGGGTAATGAAAGAGCTCGTGGACGCCCAGCTGCACCAAGACATGCCGTTCCAGGAGGTGACGAAACTGCTGCAGGTGTATAATGACCCCAGCCGACATCCGCTGGTGCAGAACGTGTTCAACTTTGAATCCCGTGCGAATGGAGACCACGATGCCATGTCGCAGGATGAGGGGTGGCTTTCATTCAATGAATATCGGCCGGTTCGGCCCATGGATTCCGTTGCAAAGTTCGATCTAAATGCAACGATCACTGAATTGGAGTCGGGATTGAGAGTCAACTTCAACTACGCGACCAGCCTATTCAACAAAAGCACGATTGAGGGCTTTTTGCATACCTATGAATATCTCCTGCACCAACTATCCGAACTGAGCGTAGAAGGGATCAAGGACGATACGCAGCTGTCGTTAGTTCACCCGACAGAGAATGGCGCTCTACACTTGCCATTGGCACAGTCCCCACTTGCAATGACTGCTGAGGAGAAGAAAGTGGTGTCGTTGAACCGGGCCTTTGAGCGCGAAGCTTCCCTTGCCGCAGAGAAGATTGCTGTCGTGCAGGGAGATAGAGCGCTTGCTTATGCTGATCTTAACAAGAAGGCTAACCAGCTGGCACGATACATACAGTCTGTCTCCTGTATTGGGGCCGACGACCGAGTAGCTTTGATGCTGGACAAGAGCATCGAGACGATTATTTGCATTCTCGCAATTTGGAAGGCCGGTGCAGCATATGTGCCCTTGGATCCAACTTACCCACCGGGACGCGTCCAGCTGATCCTAGAGGAGATTAAGGCGAAGGCTGTTCTTGTGCACTCCAGTCATGCCTCGAAGTGTGAACACCATGGCGCAAAAGTGATTGCAGTCGACTCGCCCACCATCGAGATGGCGATCAGCCAACAGTCAGCTGCTGATTTGCCGACAATTGCTAGCCTCAACAGTCTAGCCTATATAATCTTCACTTCCGGCACTTCCGGCAAGCCAAAGGGAGTCCTAGTCGAGCAAAGGGCAGTTCTTCTTCTACGCGATGCCCTCCGGGAGCGGTATTTCGGTCGAGACTGTACCAAGCATCATGGCGTGCTGTTCCTTTCCAACTACGTCTTCGACTTTTCCGTCGAACAACTTGTGTTGTCGGTGCTCAGCGGACACAAGTTGATCGTTCCCCCAGCGGATTTCGTCGCAGATGATGAGTTCTACAAAATTGCCAACACTCACGGTCTCTCCTATCTCAGTGGAACACCATCCTTATTACAGCAGATCGATCTGGCACGACTGGACCATCAACAGGTTGTGACCGCTGCAGGTGAAGAGCTTCACGCCGCGCAGTACGAAAAGATGCGCCGCCGATTCAACGGTCCCATATACAATGCCTATGGCGTCACCGAGACCACGGTGTACAACATTATCACGGAATTCACAACGAATTCGACGTTTGAGAATGCTCTTCGGGAAGTGCTCCCCGGTACGCGAGCGTATGTACTAAACGCGGCACTTCAGCCCGTCCCCTTCGATGCTGTCGGAGAGCTATATCTGGCCGGCGACTGCGTTACGCGTGGTTATCTCAACCAACCTCTTCTGACGGATCAGCGATTCATTTCCAACCCTTTCCGCAGCGAGGAGGATGTTGCCACGGGGCGCTTCGCGCGGCTCTACAAGACCGGCGACCTAGTTCGATTCCGGTTCAACCATCAGCAGCAGCCGCAGCTAGAATACCTAGGAAGAGGTGATCTGCAGATCAAGATGAGAGGATACCGGATCGAGATTTCCGAAGTTCAGAACGTGCTCGCTTCAACTCCCGGCGTCCGGGAGTGTGCAGTCGTTGCCAAGTATGAGAACAACGAAACCTATTCCCGGGTCGCTCACTCCCTGGTCGGCTACTATACCACCGACAATGAAACGGTATCGGAAGCCGACATTCTCACTTTCCTGAAAGCAAGGCTTCCAACGTACATGATCCCAAGCCACCTCTGCCGTCTGGAGGGCGCACTGCCTGTGACGATTAACGGAAAGCTCGACGTCCAGAAATTGCCGGAGGTTATCAACGAGTCCGCGCAGTCCTCGTACAGCCCGCCAAAGAACATAATCGAGGCCAAGATGTGCAGACTGTGGGAATCTGTCTTGGGAATGGAGCGATGCGGTATCGATGACGACTTATTCAAACTGGGCGGTGACAGCATCACGTCTTTGCACCTCGCAGCCCAAATTCACAACGAGGTGGGTTGCAAGATCACCGTTCGGGATATCTTTGAGCATCGTACCGTCCGAGCCCTCCATGATCACGTCTTCATGAAGGACTCAGATCGGAAGAATGTGCCCCAGTTCCGAACCGAACAAGGGCCGGTCGTCGGCGAGGCACCCCTACTGCCGATTCAGGACTGGTTTTTGTCAAAGGCTCTACAGCATCCGAGCTATTGGAATCACACTTTCTACGTCCGAACACCAGAGCTCGATGTTGATTCGTTGAGCGCTGCTGTCAGGAACTTGCAACAGTATCACGATGCTTTCCGCATGCGACTCAAGCGCGATGGAATCAGATCCGTGCAGTCCTTTGCGGAGGACTTTTCTCCTGTCCAGCTTCGGGTGCTAAATGTGAATGATGTCGACGGGCCCACGGCCGTCAACCAGATATTGGACGAGTGGCAGTCTAGCTTCAACCTTGAGAACGGACCCATCGGTGCCATTGGCTACCTACATGGGTACGAAGACCGATCCGCGCGAATCTGGTTCTCCGTTCACCATCTCGCCATTGACACCGTCAGCTGGCAGATCCTTGTCCGGGACCTGCAGACGTTGTACCGAAATGGAAGTCTGGGAAGCAAGGGCAGCAGTTTCCGGCAGTGGGCTGAAGCTATCCAAAATTACCAGGCGTCAGGGTCTGAGAGGGACCACTGGAATAAGCTCATCATGGAAACGGCTTCCAGCATATCCGCATTGCCTACGTCGAACCGTTCGCGCGTTCGCCTGAGCAGAAGTTTGAGCGTGGAGAAGACAGCCTCGCTGATCCAAGGGGGGATCGATCGACAGGATGTCTCCGTATACGACTCCATCCTGGCTGCAGTCGGATTGGCGCTCCAACATATCGCTCCAACCGGCCCAAGCATGGTTACGATCGAGGGACATGGTCGTGAAGAAGAAGTGGACCAGACACTGGATGTCAGCCGCACCATGGGTTGGTTCACTAGCATGTATCCGTTTAAGATTCCCCGTCTCAGCACCGAGAACCTTATTCAAGGAGTGGCCGCTGTAAACGAACGGTTCAGACAGGTGCCTGCCCGTGGCGTCGGGTATGGAGCCTTGTACGGCTATACTCAACACCCGCTGCCCCAGGTGACCGTCAACTACCTGGGCCAGCTCGCTTGCAAGCAATCAAAGCCAGACGAATGGGTCCTCGCTGTTGGCGACAACGAATTTGAATACGGACTCATGACTAGCCCAGAGGACAAAGACCGGAGCTCTTCTGCCATCGACGTCACGGCCGTGTGTATCGACGGAACTATGACCATCAATGTGGACAGTGCTTGGAGCCTTGAGGAGAGCGAGCAATTCATCTCGAGAATCGAGGAAGGACTGAACAAGATCATTGACAGCAGGAGAAGCGAAAAGCCGTCGCCATTCCCGGCTGTTCCTCAACCGGCCAAGACATACACCCCATATTTCGAGTATCTGGAGCCTCCACGACAGGGTCCGACGTTGTTCTTGCTACCGCCGGGAGAAGGAGGTGCCGAGAGTTACTTCAACAACCTCGTCAAGCGGCTGCCTCAGACCAACATGGTGGTCTTCAACAACTACTACTTGCACAGCAAACGCCTGCGCACTTTCGAGGAGCTGGCGGAAATGTATGTCGACCAGGTACGAGGCATCCAACCACACGGACCGTATCACTTCATCGGATGGAGCTTCGGAGGAATTCTCGCAATGGAAATGTCGCGGCGGCTAGTAGGCTCGGACGAGAAGATTGGCTTCCTCGGTATCATCGACACCTACTTCAACGTGCGGGGAGCGACACGCACCATTGGCTTGGGAGACATTGAGATTCTGGACCCGATCCATCACATCTACAATCCCGATCCGGCGAATTTCCAACGCCTGCCCTCTGCAACGGATCGCATTGTGCTGTTCAAGGCCATGAGGCCCAACGACAAGTATGAATCCGAGAACCAGCGTCGCCTGTACGAGTACTATGACGGCACTCGACTCAACGATCTGGATAGCTTGTTACCAAGCGATTCCGACGTCCAGCTGGTCCCGCTTATGGAAGATACACACTTTTCCTGGGTTGGAAATCAGCAACAGGTTGAGCAGATGTGTGCGACTATCAAGGAACATCTCGTTCGCTATTGATCTGCCACTAGCAGCACAGTATGTCGGACGATGGAAGTGTTGGAGCAGGGATGATATGATATGATCCAACCAGGGGTGTCTTTGTGGGAGCAGCTAGCATCTGTCACTGCATTGATGCGAAAATCATTGGCGGGGGGGGGGGGGGGGGGGTTTTTCCTAACTTTCTGGGTGGGCTGGTGTTGGGTGGTGGGTTAGTGGGGGGTTTTCCGTAACTTCTGCGTTGGCGCGTATTGGGGCGCTAAATTTAGAGAGGAAAAGGCAACCATTTCGTGCCACATATAAAACTGGCGAGGCATCTAAACAGAATGATATCTGACAAAACTATTAAAGACACCACTGAAAAGACTCAATTGTTACACTGAAATCTGATTCGTTGATTCCCTAGATCCTGTCAGGCTGATGTAATATGCTGACGTAATGGGATTGCCAGATCGCCAGGGGTGCCGCTCCCTGAGGACCGGCCCCTTTGTGGTCCCGAGCAGTTGCTAGGGCCTAGTATATATACCACTACAGTAACAATCAGATGTTCTGATTGTTCTGATTGTTGCTATGCTCTTTTAGTCGAGTGGTAAAATGCATCTTATGTACTCACTTAGGAGTAACTAGTTAATATGTGTGTAGCGATAATTAAGACGGCCTCCCCTCACAAGGGCTTAGGTTATGCCATCCGTGTACAAACATACCTACATACCAAGCCAGTCTCTACTCCTGTAGCCTCTTCCTTGGACAGTAAAGTGAATTCTCACAGTGTAAGCCCAGAATTGCCCGGTTACCCCTTTAGGAAAGATATATCCTTTTTAGTTCTGCTAGACATATGCACATGCAGCTAGACTCAGACACGTGTGATTATTTTGCCGATCTATGCATTAAACAAAATCAGATCTTGTCGAACTAAGATTGAGTTCGAACGCCGTGCCTCGTCCGATTGATTGCTATCTCCGCTTGGGATTGCGGTGGCGGGAATATTCTAGTGATACCAATAGTGAAGCAATATCTTACGGAAGAATCAGTGTTGATTTATTCATAATACATGATGAGAGTGAGGAGATCGATCTCTGACTTTATATAGCAGGATCTATTTCAACTAGTTATGCCTTGATTGCCATAGAAATCAGTTGATAGGGGATACAACAAGTACTACCTAACTAGGACATATTCACTTACATGCATCGGAGCGAGCCGCGTCTATCACCGGACCTGTCCTATAATTTGTGTATAGCCACTTGTACCACCCTCCAAAGAATGGCTCTACATGGTAGGCTTCTGTTTCAAATATATATTTTGAGCCGAAGGGATGCTTCACGCTGAATGCTGGCCCTGGATCTACTATTAATTCTGTTAAGAATAAGGGAATAGAGAGGCCTCCATATCAATTAGATTTCTAAATTAGATTTCTAACTCAAAACGAAAGTAGCGCAATAGACAAGAACACATAAGACTTAAGATCAAATTAATTCCATCTGGAACAGAGTGACAAACACGAAACTAATGCTCAGAGCATGGCCCGGTCCCCTGAGAGACCTGTATCACTTCTTGTCATGGTTTCCAACTGGCCGAGGAAATTATCCCACGATGTCTGAGATATGATAGGTGCAGTACAGTAGGGCCCGGCACCAGTATCGTCCAGCAACGCATCTAGCCGAGGCAACACATCGCTGAGCCTTTCTGCTTCTATCTCAAAAATACGTTCACGGGTTAGATCAAGATGCTGAACAAACCAGCTCATATCCTGCAAAATGACCCAAATCTCATATAGGGCCACTAATTCAGAATGGACTCCTGCCTCTATAGCAGCTTCATAGGCTATGCGATACCCCACAGCCTGAACGAGCTCTTGGGATCTTGGCAAAATCAGGCGATTGAAATCCTCCCCACGGTGACCACCTGAAATGTTTTTGGTCATCCTGTGAAGCTCATCAAGTAGTCCTTGTTCATGCTGTGCTATGTAGGAAGTAGGGTCCTTTGCAGGTGGCATTTTGTATCGATTTAGGAGAAGTTCCGATGCCAATCCTAGGATTGAACTTCGTTAGTACAAGGAAATTGATACGAAACGAAGGTCCACATACGAATACTCAAAACTAGAGTATCTCCCTCTGCGATTGATAATCCACGCGTTTCCACCATCGCCTCAATAATATGATTATTCTCAAACAAACCTTGTGCTCCACATCGCTCAGAGAGATTAAACAGGCAGGCTTGGGACGATGTATACACAACAGCCTTGAATGTAGTAGCCATTGCATGTTGCACGGGGTATGCCAAAGTAGGGTCTTTGAAGTATTCAATGCTCCTTTCAGTATAAGCATCGAGAACAGCGATCTGGGCTAAGGTATGCAGGATGGGACCGTGTTGAGTCCGGAAATCGATAATAGGCTTGGGTTTCTGATCTGGTCCCAAAATGTGTCGACGCTGACTATACTTCCCTGCGACGAAAACTCCTCGTTTCATCCCCGCAACCATGGTTAGTGGCAATGCGAGAGTACCAACTGCAATGCGCCAGATTGTTGATAAGAAGTGCTGGCGCATGTCCTTTGGCATATCCAGGGTTCCTAGGAGGGCTGAATGGGGTAGGCGGACATGGTTAAAACTTGTAATGGCATGGTCCAATGGCTTCGACGATGCCCGTGCGGGGAGCAATCTAGAATGTAAGCGAATATAAGTAATTATCTTGTATTATCCATCCGAGTGTTCTTTTCTCGTACTTACTTTGCAGTCACACCTTTACACATCTGCTTGCCATCACTGAGCCATGTAATAAAGGGTCTGATGCCACGCTTCTCGCCGGACACTACAAGCTGGGCAAAGACAATCCCAAATCGCGGAAGATCCTTTAGTGGGGAAGATGGTGGCATAATCCTGGAATTTTTAGAAGTGTGTCACGATATTAGGCGGTTATCTTACTTTGCACCACTAGGGCTAGGGGTATGCAGATCAAATTCTCCACTTGGAAGCAGTGTTGCAGTTGTTTCCAAATTCTTCGCATCTAAGCCGTGTCCAACTTCCGTGAGCATATACTGTGCACTGACCAGCTGAATTAGTATGGATATATCAGTAGCTGTGGATGGCCTATACTAACGAAATGTCAAAGTTCAACACCTGATTTAAGAGTTCTCGGTACTGCGGTTGTTTCTCTGCAAAGGGCGCCAAAGTCCCTGCTGCAAGGTTGACTTGAATGGTTAGTAGAGTAAATGAACCACAGTCTAGAGCTCCAGCGAGATCCATATGGATTTTCCAGAACTTTGGAGTGCATTCAAGGACATCCGTCGGTGTCAATTCTGCATTGGTAGGTTAGATGGTCTGACTTCAGGATTGAATTGGAAGAATGCTTTCTAACTGTAAGCTTTCATAACAGCGGCAGCACGCTGGTAGCTGAGATAGATTCTGTCATGGTCTACATACTCGTCCGGAATAGGCTTAAACAAGGGTAGCTCGAGCAATTCGAGAGATGGAAAAGACATTGAAGGCATTTTTTGGTGGTTATTATTGTGACTGTCGAAATCTGCGAGCTCTGCGTCGTACATAAGATTTATTACAAATGATCGTAGTCGAGAGGCTGTGTTGCTATATGTGATTCTTATATGTTTAGTGCTTTCACATCGTGGATATCTCTAGACATATGTGCGGGTCATTTTCAACAAAAGCTTCACACCTTTTTCAATGCAATTTTTTGTTGGGGAGTGGCGTGATATGCCTTTTTACACGACGTCAACGTCAGCTTGATGAATGTAGCTACTTGCTTGGGATACAGACTCGTTGCGTAACAAACAATACTTGTCAAACAGTAAAACGGTCATCATCTATAATGTCCATATCTGTTTTGAAGTTAGGAGCTGAGTACTACTGATTTGGGAGGAGAGTCATGCGACACCTGATGGCGGCAAGTTGAGTGGTTAGCCTGTAGCTCGTTCATGGCATGTATGTCCAGCAGCCATCTCTTTTCGTCGAACCTCGGCATAAATTTGAATTCTATAGACACTCTGTACAAAGCCTCATCAAAAGCAGTCACCGGAGAAAAACCTTGAAAACTGGTTTTCTGCATTGTCCGCATATAAGGAGCTAATATGGGCCAATTACATATACAACAAAGCTAAGGTTTAGACCGGCAATAGAGCGAAGCATGATCAGCAATCCAAATGCTCGTTTGCTTTTGCCGTTTGTGCATTAGAAACGTGGTAATTCCAGTTATATGTACATGGTCTCGTCGCCAATGATCCAAACTGATTATGGCGTCATAATGCACATCCGCTTGTTGATAATATTCTTATTGTATAACAAGTCCCGTCTCTTCATTGTGCATTACACGATATGCATTAGTACATTCTGGTCGTGGGGTTGACAGCAGATTGTGTGACCCTGGGGCCCTTGACTCAGCATGGCATGAGCTATGAGCAAAAGATGCTTTCAAATATGTACTAGCACACGCATTTTGTGGGATTGATACTGAATTAGGAGGATATCATGTGAGTGGTAATGATGTTGATATAGTAGATTAAGATTCTTTTCCAAATATATCATATATATAGCTTGTATATATATCGTATTCTACGTGGTCCAACTCTTTCATTACAACAGAGAGCAACCGACGAAATATTACTTCCATTTCCAACCTATTTAGTATAGATGGCTTCACAGACGATGGCAAAGTTTGGACATGTTCTGCAAGATGCAAAACACATAACTGAACGCATAAACGATGCCCCGAAAATAGCGATTGAAAATTTCATCGGATATACCTCTGTGCCAGTTGGACTAGCCGGTCCTCTTTCAATCAATAACCCCGATAGCACCAGTACTAGGACCTATGCTCCAATTGCTACCACCGAGTCTGCAATCATCGCGAGCTGCAGCAGAGGTTGCAAGGCGATGAATGAATCTGGCGGAGGGCATTTTCACATGCTGGGTGAAGCAATGTCTCGCAGTCCAGTGTTCCGATTCAACTGTACCGAAGATGCGATTGATTTCGCCCATCGGGTGCCAGATCTCAGGGATCCCATCGCTAAGGCCGCGGAATCCTCAAGCCGCTACGCCCGTCTTGTGGAATTGACCCCCAACATCGTGGGTTCCAATGTACATGTTCGATTTGACTACACATGCGGAGACGCAGCGGGCCAGAATATGGTCTCGATTGCTACTCAGCGTGCCTGTGATTGGCTTCTTGCTTCTACACAGGAACTGAAGCTGAACATCACGGGTGTGTTTGTTGAATCCAATATGGCACCGGACAAAAAGCCATCCTGGGGAGTTGTCAGCTCGCCTAGAGGTGTCCAGGTTGTTACATGGACCACACTTTCCGATACGGTATGCCGTACTGTTCTGAAGTGCACATCTGAGAGCCTATACCACGTTTTGCGGGCAACGCAAGAGGGAGGGATTCGCAATGGTCAGTTTGGCTCGAATTTAAACGTGGCCAATGTCGTTACCGGAATATTTATTGCAACTGGTCAGGATGCTGCATCGGTTGCTGAGGGGCCTTGGGCCCATGTGACCCCGGAGTATGATTTTGAGTCTCGCGAGTTGAAACTGGCCCTCTATTTCCCATCTCTACCCGTTGGCACTGTTGGAGGTGGAACCACATATGAGACGCAGAAAGAAGCTCTCGGAATTATGGGATGTAAAGGTCCCGGTGGGAAATCCCGCTTAGCGGGTCTGATTGCCGCTTTTTCTCTTGCGCTTGACATTAGTACTGCAGCGGCGCTGGCAAGCAACACCTTCTCCAAAAGTCATGAGAAACTTGCACGTGCAAAACAGGGAAATGACAGTAAGATTTGAGTATGTTGTACTACATAGCTTGACCAATGAAAGTCTTCATATGTCCATGTGTTTCCGTTAGTTTCTCCCAAGGTGTCTAGAAGGTCAACCCTGAAGGTCCACTGGTGGTGGCTACTTGGTATGACTAAGCAACGACCCCGCCATCAGTCAGCCCACTACACGGAGACCGAAGTGTTGAGAAGTACTGGTACCTGTCTCTACACGTTAAATCCCTAATATAAGGAAGTACCCAGTACTTGCCACGTTCCACAACCTTGGCGATCCCTCACTAAGCCGAGAGTTTTCCTTCCCCTCTATTATTCTCCTTTTCCCTCTTTCTCTTCCTTTCCTATTCATACACCCTTTGGTCAGTCAATTCCTACACTTCCTTTTCTCTGATAATTTTCAACTAATAATTAGCAGTTTTTGAATACATACTACATAATGGCTGCCCCCGCACAGAAGTTCAAGGTCGCTGACCTCGTATGTCTCTCCCACCTATTTTTTTCCTTCAAACCATTGACCATTCTCCTAGTCCCTGGCCGCTTTCGGTCGCCGCGAGATCGAGCTCTCCGAGGTTGAGATGCCCGGTCTCATGGCCATCCGTGAGAAGTACGGTCCCGACCAGCCCCTCGCCGGTGCCCGTATTGCCGGTTGTCTCCACATGAGTAGGTTCATCTGTCGCGAAAAGCAAAGATCTTGTGCTGACCGCTTCTCCAGCCATCCAGACCGCCGTCCTCATCGAGACCCTCACTGCCCTCGGTGCTGAGGTCACCTGGACTTCTTGCAACATCTTCTCCACCCAGGATCACGCCGCCGCCGCCATTGCCGCCGCCGGTGTCCCTGTGTAAGTTTTCGCTTTGAGATCTTCCTTGGGATTGAACTTCGTCTGACCATTATTTTCTACAGTTTCGCCTGGAAGGGTGAGACCGAGGAGGAGTACCAGTGGTGCTTGGACCAGCAGCTCCAGGCCTTCAAGGATGGCAAGAAGCTCAACCTCATCCTCGATGACGGTGGTGACCTTACCTCCCTCGTCCACACCAAGTACCCCGAGATGCTCGATGACTGCTTCGGTGTCTCCGAGGAGACCACCACCGGTGTCCACCACCTGTACAAGATGCTCAAGGAGAACAAGCTCAAGGTTCCCGCCATCAACGTTAACGACTGTGTCACTAAGTCCAAGTTCGACAACCTTTACGGCTGCCGTGAGTCCCTCATCGATGGTATCAAGCGTGCCACCGATGTCATGATCGCTGGTAAGATCGCCGTCGTTGCCGGTTACGGTGATGTCGGTAAGGGTTGCGCCCAGGCTCTTCACTCCATGGGTGCCCGCGTTATTGTCACTGAGGTCGACCCCATCAACGCTCTCCAGGCTGCTGTCCAGGGTTACGAGGTTTCCACCATGGAGGATGCTGCCCCTACCGGTCAGATCTTCGTCACCACCACTGGCTGCCGTGACATCCTTGTTGGCCGTCACTTCGAGGCCATGCGCAACGACGCCATTGTCTGCAGTAAGTTACTTCGCCCATGAAATGTTGGCTTCGACCTTAGTACTAACAACTCTTCTAGACATTGGTCACTTCGATATTGAGATTGACGTCGCCTGGTTGAAGGCCAACGCTCAGTCCGTCCAGAACATCAAGCCCCAGGTTGACCGTTACCAGCTCAACGGCAAGAACATCATCCTCCTCGCCGAGGGTCGTCTTGTCAACCTTGGCTGTGCCACCGGCCACTCTTCCTTCGTCATGTCCTGCTCTTTCTCCAACCAGGTCCTTGCCCAGATCGCTCTGTACAAGGCCGAGGATGTTGCTTTCGGCAAGAAGTACATCGAGTTCGGTGCCAGCGGCCGCAAGCCCGTTGGTGTTTACGTTCTGCCCAAGCAGCTCGATGAGCAGGTCGCTCTCTGCCACTTGGCCCACGTCAACGCCAAGCTCACCAAGCTCACCCCCGTCCAGGCCGAGTACCTCAGCCTCGATGTCAACGGCCCCTTCAAGCCTGAGATCTACCGTTACTAATTTATTTACATTTTCAACTACGATCGATGATATTCTTGGAATATAGACTTTCAACATGATTCGACGATGTTATGATTGGCATTTCGAGTTCTCCATCAACTTAGAACTCAAAAGTGGTTGTCCTTCAACGGCATAAAAAGTGGCCTGCACCGGAGATGGTGTTTCTAATGTTTTGTTTTGGCGCGGGATGACCTGGGATGGTCTTGCATTCAACACTGCTTTGCGGATGGGATTTTATCTTTGATACCTTATTCTGGTGTATAGGCCTCCATGGGCCGATTGTGACGGTAGTACTTCAACAATCGAAGCTATACGTCAACATTCATTTCTTGTAGTTCTCGTAAACAACTCGCCTTTGGTCATGGTTCTAGCCACCCTAGTTTATTGCCCGCGGATTAATTCGACTAGATCATCTGCTACCATCACTGCGAAGTCAGGATCATTGATGTCACGGCAATCTCGCGCAACTGATATCCCACTGCCCTTCAATTCCCTCTCCAAAATTGAGAACAATTCCTCATCTGCCTCTGGATCATAGAATGCCTGACCAGGAATATCCAACATGCTCACCCCACCAATAGGTAGGACCACTCTGGTCCGCCTCGTTTCACCTTGATGCCTCGAATCCCCCAACAACTTGCCTGCGATGAACCTCCCAATATCCCCACACTCCTCCTTAGTAGTCCGCATAAGCGTAACACTCGCATTATGCTCATAAAACAACCTCCCCTCAAAAGCAGCAGGAACACTCCCAACCTCTCCAAAGTTAACCATATCACACGCACCAACACTAACGATCCTCGGAATATCCCGCACAGTAGCCGTAGTCAATCGTCCACTGCCAGCACTAAGCACACCACCAACAACCTCATCCGCAATCTCCGTAGTCGTTAAATCAAGCACCGCATCAATCTGTCCCTCCCGAACAAGCCTCTCCAAAGCCCTCCCCCCAGACCCCGTAGCATGAAAGATATAAACCTCACAACCATCCAACACCTCCTCAAGTCGCTCCCGTGCACGCATAACACAAGGCGTCGTAACGCCAAACATGGATATCGCAATCTTGATTCCTGAAGACTCGATCTTTCTGTCTTGTCGTTTCAAAAACATCCTCGCCATCCCCACAATCCCACCAGATGCATTATCAAGAACACCTTCCAAAACACGGTTCCGGCCCGCGATGTCAACAACGCTGTACATCATGCTGATATCTGTTTCCCCGATATACGGCGCCACGTCTCCGGAGGCCATTGTTGACACGAGAAGTTTGGGGAATCCCACTGGTAGTGCGTCGCGCATTACGGCTGCGGCTAGAGTGGTGCCGCATGAGCCGCCGATGCCGAGGATGCCGTGGATTTGGTGGGTTTCGTGCAGGGTGGTTACTTTCTGGATTGCGTGCGGTGTTAGGGTGGTTATGTACTCGGCGCGGGAGAGGGTTGTTAGATCTAGAAATTCGGTGGAGAGGGCGCTTGGGGGGATGCTGATTGCTTCGTGGGTGGTTGGGTTGCGGCCTACGTCCATTAGGAGGACTGTGGCGTTTGCGGATTCAATTTGGGATTTTGTGTAGAGTAGTTCTGGGAGTTTGGTGTCGCATGTTCCTATCAGGAGAATTGTGGGGGTTGGAGACATCTTGGGGTACCGCTATTGGGTTGTTGGGTCAAATGAGGAAATTGAGAGGTATTTAACAAAGGAAGTTGAAGTTGAAGTTGAAATCCAAAGGAAGTGGAGGCGGGGGAATTATAGTGGGGTTACTCCGAATTGGCAGATCTATCAGACGCAGGTACCGGCGCTCATTGGCTGTAAGTTGACGGCTATAGTGTCACTCCGAAAACACCGGGGTCAACCATTGTGAAAGGATCGACATGGAGGTAATATGTCCGAGACACCCATGAAGAAGCAGCTACAAGTAAAGGAGGAAACAGATATTATGACCTCATGCAGCAACATGGCTAAATATCTCTAGCCAGCGTTTCTGCGTCCGCCTACGTTGGGAGTGAGACCCGTACCAGATACAGAACCGGGGACCGAAGAGAAGGAAAAAAAAATACTCAGAGTAAAGAGCTTTGGCTTGGGGGAAGAAAGGAAAGAGTGCTATAGACTTCGATCTGCAACACCGATTCTTGGGTCTGCAGGTACCCACTGGGTCGAATCCGAATACTTGTATAGTAACAAGCAAAGTGTACAGGGAATCCACTCTAATTCTAGACGGTAAACCTTAAAAGTCCCGTTGATTTAAGCTTAATATAGTACTAGTACACTTTGGGAGAGGGTTCCAAGGTTCCATATTCCGTTCACAAAAGGTAAACGGTGTCCATACCTGAATGGGGCATAGTAACAATCCTAAAGCCGCAGAAGTAACATATAATGGGCTCCCATTCCTCCCTCTCTTTCCCTTTCCTTTTCCTCCTACAACCACCCTACTCGCACCAACCCAAAACTCCTACACCTGCATCTGCACTGTCCAATCCGACCTAGCCTCAGCGATACGAGCATCTACCATACCCAACTCAGCCTGGCTCATACGACACAAGCATCTACCGTACCAAACTCAACCTATCTCCGATGAGACGAACATCTACCGTACCCGAATAAACCTACCTCCAACGAGACGAGCACCTACCGTACCCGACCCCGACCTACCGATGGTTAGCTCTCGAAAGAGCGACTATCATACGACAACCCGGGTTAGCTCTCACGAAGAGTCACTCGGCCGGTCTTCATAGAAGACCGGGGTCTCCTGGGATAGCAGTAGCGTCCCAGGGGATCCAACAGCCGCGAGCTTGGACCTCTACGTGGTGCTGTTGACTAGTAGCCTTCTTGGTGAAGCCAACGCAAGCTCATACCCTTCTCCTTGTTCTTCCTTCCAGTATCCTGCCACTTGTAGACTGATCGCGTCTCGGAGTAGATATGGGAGCTGAATTTGAACAAAAGTATTTGTCAACCCCCTACATGTCTACAATAACACAATAACGCCTTTTATGCGTCTTTGATTCTCCATAGACTAGATCTCCATAAACTTGATTCATTTCTTTCATAATAATCTATATATTATATTTTCTCGCACTGGCTTTGTGGTCAACGACCTACGATGCTAGAGGCTTACTCAGAAATGGAGATGAAACTACCCGCCACTTTAACCGTCTTAGCCTCAAAAGCCGTCAATTACCCGCGGTCCGATCCTTCGTATTCTCATGCAATACCAAGGAGACGGTGTGGCGGAGAATCACCTTCCGTCGCCCGTAAGCCACCACGGAGCATCCAATAAAATGGCAACACCAAGGGAACACCATAGCTTTGTTGTGGAGATGGAATTATACTAGCTAGTTCTTGGCATTTGGACATCTTTTCCTGTCCTTTCAGAAAATTAGGTTAACAGCATGCATTAATCGTGAACCTGGGTGGATCAGATTGACAATATACTACATGCATGCCACAAAAGGGTGTATAGCAACATCGTGGGAGATATTTTCAACGCTAAACTACATCTTCTGTATGCCAAGATGAAGAGAATATTGGCTTTCTTTACCCCGCAATATCGGTACAATAGAGACCGACGACTAGATGAGGTATAAATTAACCCGGTTTGGAGATTGATATGGATTCCGTTATCTTGGAGAAATCAATTGATACCATCAACATGCGACTGTTATCAGCCTGTCTGGCAACCATTTTGGCTGTCTCAGTGGAAACTAAATACATTGTCCCGGGAGGTAGATGGCGCGACACTGATGGGAACTTCATCAATGCACATGGTGCTGGAATCACCTTCGACCAGAAGTCTGGCCGCTTCTGGTGGTTTGGCGAACACAAGACAGAAGAGGAGCCGGAAGGCGGGGGCGTCTCTGTTTATAGTTCGGAGGACCTGGCTACTTGGAAATCTGGAGGACTGGCCCTAGGTAAGCCTCTCTGACCGTTTGCAAATAGGTATTCTGACATTTCCAGCTCCAATCGAGGGGCACCCCTATATCGCTCCCGGTGGCGTGATCCAACGACCTAAAGTGGCTTATAGCGCCGAGACTGAAGATTATCATGTATGCGTTGAGATTCCCTCGACTTTTGCATCCACTAATTGAACAGATGTGGTGGCATGCGGACAACTCTACCTACGGACTCCTTCTCCAAGGTCACGCGGTATCCTCCAAAATCGAGGGGCCGTACACTTTCGTTGACGCAACAGCGCCCCTTGGGAACTGGTCTCAGGATTTCGGATTGTTTACCGACTACAAGGACGGCCGATCTTACGCCCTCTATTCGAATGGAGATAGCCGGGATGGACGGGATGTATACCTCACAAGCATGAACAGTAACCTCACTGCGCTTGACAAGGTCGTGCATCGGTTCCCGAAATTCGATCTTGAGGCGCCTACTATCATGCAGACAGAGAAGAGCTACTGGGCACTTATGAGCCACAAAACGGGATATAGGCCGAACAGTAAGAGATCCATTTTACCGTGTGTGGCCGCTTAACTAACGTTTCAGATGTCGTGGCGTTCAGGGCCGACTCACTAAGCGGACCTTGGTCGCAGCCGTTTATTGTTGCGCCGTTGAATATGCGGACGTTCAATTCACAGTCTGGATTTACTCTCAGGATTGAGGGGACGAAGAAGACGACACACCTGTACATCGGAGACCAATGGGACTCCAATTCTGTCTGGGACAGTCGTTATATCTGGTTGCCTGTTCGGACTGATGAGTCTAAGAAGACTCTAGAGTTAGAATGGCACGATGTTTACGATCTTAACGTGTACGCATGCTTCTACTTTTACCGTGGTATTCATACTAACTGACTTCAGGAACACCGGAGAGTGGAAACCTATTAAGGGAAAAACATACAGTGCCAAACAGGCGAAGACACACGGTGATACATATAAGCAGGAAGCTGTGAGTATAGTCCTACTGTTTCAACAGATTATCCGCTAATGAGATATTCTGAAAGAACTTTGCCACCGACGGCGTGATTCTCACTGGAATATACGGAAACGACAGCACCGTTACATTTGAAAATGTCGAGGGATCTGGCAAACCCCAGTGGGTGTCATTCTACTATCAAAGTGCGTTTACGGCTTATTTCTATCTCCTTCACAATACTAACATTATTATCAGACACTGATGATTTGGGTTTCGGCGACCAACGTAAGTACACTTCCATTGCCTAGCGCTAGGCTTAGCGATATTCTAATGCATTCAATAGCTGGAGGTACCCCAGACAGAATTGGCGGTTCATGGCAGCTACGTCGGATTAGCAGTGTGGTGGTCAATGGAGACGCTTCAAGCATGCAAACTCTGTACCAACGAGATACTCACAAGGGGATCATACTTTCCACTCCGCTGCAACTGACACTGAAGAAGGGGAAGAAGAATACCATTACAATTGGGGGGCTATATAATGGGTTTGATCACAAAGGTGCGGATTTGGATCGGATTGTTGTGTATCCTAGTGAGAGATGATTTTCTTGAAAGATGTCCACTTCCTTAGTGGCGGGAATACAAAGGGGTTCCGCCCCGTCCGCATCGAAAAAGAACAGCAAATCGTCTTCTTTCACGAAATGAACGGCTTTCGCCTTGTCGTCGACGTTGGTCCAAATGCGCGCAAGCACCGGGTCGACGGCGTAGCCTTTCCGCATCGCCTCCGCATATGCGTCGTCGATCCGCACTGTTGTTATAGAAAAGGCATGCACGTCAAAGTCGATTATTTCCTCCAGCTCGTCGCTATTCGGATGGGGCATGTCGTACTGCAGCCGAGACAGTCCGTCAGCCACAAGGTTTGACTTACCCGGACGGTGTCGAATATCGAGGTTGAACTGGCTTAAATATTGCGACGCACGAATCAAGCGCTTGTTGAGCTTGTCGACTGCTGACGAACCTAAGTGTGTATGCCGCGCGATCTCGCATGTCGCTGAATGGTCTGTGTAGATCACCACTGGAGTGCGACAGTCCTCGATCAGATGCCGTGTCTTGCGCACTGCCCACACTAGGCAAGCGACCTCAAGCTCGGTTGGCCAATAGTTCCTTTCCGCTATAGAAAGCAGAGAGGTGATATCATGAAGTCGGGATAGATATATATGCGCCAAGACCTATCAGGGAAAGTAGTTATCGCAAAGTGTTTGTCCATATTTATTTTCAGTGGTCTTTTCAGTGGTCTTTCCAGCGCTATCTCTAGCAGTTTTCTCACCTATCATCCAGGATAGATGGATGGCCGTGACATGGACGTTTCCAAGTATATATAACCAGGCTTTGATTCCTAAATCCCCAAAGACAAACTCAATTTCAATAATACCCTCAGTCAGCAACTCAGAATACTCTGCCTCTTATTTGGCCAGATTGACAAAGAGTTGTGAAGAAAGGGTATGCTAATTGAAAACGCGGAGAGAAATAGTGCTGATTCCCTTGCCCTTTAGTGCCTGAGATGATGCCAAATATATCCTCACTAGGCCTCACCGATCCCGAAATTAGGCGCCCATACCATACCCTTTATGCCAAACGGTTCCAGCGCGCTTGATGACACCTGGGAATGACTTGAACTCCTCTGGGGTAATGATTAGCCCTCCAAGTCGGAAGCTAAGCTCCTCGGTAGACTGAATCACAGGTCAAGAATCTTATGACCTAGGAAGTCAAGAGCATAATTACTGGGACGACTGCCTATTTGCTTTCCGTATAAGGAAATACTAGGAAACTGCTAAAATGGACATCGCATTCCATTTATTGCCTTTTCGCGAACCGAGAAACGGACTGCGTACATCTCTCTACCACCTACATCCGAGTCACCCTTGAGGATGTGGCACATCCCTAGGCGGGAAGAGACAAACGAATGTGAAGCCAGCAGAGTACAAAATGGTAGTGGAACGCCTCGAGAAGCGTCCACCCAACTGGCGAAGACAACCCTCGACTCATTCGATGCTATCATTCGGAGTGCCGGAAATAAAGGAAGCATCCAGGGGGGCATTGTTGTTACAACCTGCCCCTGGACTGGCGAGTTACACACTAGGCCAAAAAGACCACTATATCTGAGCATTATGCTCAGATATTCCAGGCTCCGATATATATAGTGCATGACGTGACAATTGTCCCCCATTAGATGGACTATATTGGGTTGGTACTAAACCCAGAAACACTGTCTGTTATGGACATACCATTCAGCAAACAGTGTCAGCTCCCTGTCCAGTTTCCACTGGACTGGAATGCAAAAAGTATCCCGGCGCCTTACTCAGACGTCTCTGTTGGTCTCCGTCGAAGTCAGTTCGCCGATTACGAACGAGCACTCTACCAGCTGACGCACATTTGTTCTCCAATCCCAAGAACTCCTGAGCTTGCCTTTCCATGCTTTGCACTCGAGGCCAAAGGTGACAGCGGTGGGTTAGATGCGGAGACCCAGAACGGCCATAACACAGCAAATATGCTGTTCAACCTGCGACGTCTTTCGGTTCTCGCAAACGGCGAGGAAGCCACACACACGTCATTCGACGACAACATCAAGGCCTGTTCGGTCACCGTGACTCAACAAGGAGTGACCATCTTTTGTCACAGGGTTGAAAAGAACAAAAACACCCAAAACCTCATATTCTACTCCTATCCTTTAAAATATGTCGCCTTCTGCGGGATCTCGTACAAGGATTGGAATCTCGCTGCGATCTACCTACAGAACTCTATCTCTTTCACGGTACAAACGACTCTCAGCCAAGTTAAGGCGGACTTGCCCAGATACCATGAGTGTATCGTGTCTTCTCATCGAAGCCAAATATATATCTCTTTCTTTGAACAGATGTAGGTTTAGGTTGAGCTAAGCCCTATTACCCTAAGCGTAAGAACTACCTAAGTAGCTTTACGTAGTGTCTTTCCTCTGCCCAAGCCACTATGCTTATCTAGGACCTCAGGTCTATCCCAGCCTCAACCAAAGCACCGTTCCCTAGTTTATGTGACAAGACTAGTCCTGGCCAAGATCCAAGGTGAAGCGACAAAGCCCAAGTTTCTATTCATCAAGCTTTTGTATAGACAAGACATTGTCTACTCTTTCTAACTTCATTATTCTAAGTATCACGCAATCGAAAGCACAAAAAATGAAAATACAAGGCATTCTATTTGATATGAACCCTCATCCACCATCTAAATAAGCCGTTGCAAATAACACCCAGTTTGCCTCTAGACTAGAACTTGTTGTATGTCCCCGGTTCCCATTTCCATAAATCTAGACCAGTGAAAAGTACCCGACGAGTCAAAACACTGTCCCTCTCAACCAGCATCGTAGTTAAGACCGACTGTGAGATTCCAGTTTCGACACATACTCATCATTGATAGGCTTCATCAGAGCATCGTTCCCAGAAACCTCTCGCAAAGTGTCTAGCTCAGCGAATCCAAGAGATAGCATCACAGAAATGAAATATCTTTCGACCACATCCATACGTGACCGTGCTTCAGTGCTTTTCATGAAGTTAGAACAGATTCAAAGAGCGGAATACCATAACTTACGCCTGCAAGACTTTTGTTCTATGCGACACCCACTCATTCAATTTTGCAGTATAGGCGATTACAATAATAAACGCCAATGCTGCACCCGGAACACGACTTTCATGAATACTGAACGCAGCAGCGAAGGGAATGGCGATCGAGTAAAATGTACTGTCGGAATAACCGCGTAGATAAGGTGTGTATACGAAGAAAAAGATGGCCAGTCGGGCGTAAAGGAATCCATCCAGTGCAGAGATCGACACTTTGTGTAGACTGGGAATTCGGAGTAGGTAAGATGCGATGGAAACGAGTGGACGCATAACTGCACCGGCTTGGTAAGGAGGTCGAGTTGTAAGTGGATCGCCGCGACGAAGCGTCTTCACGAGAACCAAAGTGGTCCATGACCATATAAAGCAGGATAGCACGTCTATCGGCTGTGGAAGGATATCTTCATGGCCGAGCCAGGCTTTGGAGATGTGGTATCGAGTCCACTCCATGATCCCAGTGCCAATGTGTAGGTAGAGACATGTTTTGTTTTTGGAGAACTTTGCGCTATAAATTGGGATGTGTCGTCGAGAGTGATAGAGGATTATGGCTAGATATACGAAAGGATGAGCGATCGATGGCGCGATATCGAATTTGCCGGACATGTTGACGGTTGCTAAATCAATATTTGGGATTTGTTCGTGTTGTTATTGCTTGGTATTAAATCGGCGGTTTAAATAAAAGCACCGAACAACTGGAAGTTAGTCTCTTAAGTGATTTCTTTGGATGTTATCAACAGCCAGCTCACTTTTATGAAGTTATATGCATTATCCAAGATATGGTTGTACAACCATGCAGGATTGACTCAAAATAACTCCGAGATGGGTCTCTGGCCGCAATCGGGAAAGCAATCGTTACACAAAGACCCTGGTGAGAGGATAATATTGCCATTCCATATGTAGTCTTCGCCAATTTGCCGCTAGGCCATCTTGCTACTACGGGGTGTTTGCAGTTATATTTGACCAGTTGTCCGTCAGGTCAACGAATTTTCAGATTTAATTCGCTGGAGACCACTGCAACTTTCTGTTTCCAGTGAAGCTGGTATATTGACCTAGAGGTGTATCCGACGTTATACAGATGTGCCTTCACTTCTTGGTCTTCGGCATTCTCCTTTGGTTGGTACTGCACCATGTTGAACCGGGGAAGAATATCGGAGGCGAACGGGGGAGATCGCTCCTACTACTCCTTAATTGGCTGGTTTGCGATTGCACTTCCGGCGATGCACCTAATCCAATGTCGATTCGTGTCATATACCAATACAGCAACTAACTAACAGTATCAGAGCCTGCCTGCTGCAGGTTAGTCAGACTTCTCTCTTGCCCAGCACAGAGCATATAAGAAGGTCCACCGCAGTAGGTAGATTATTTTACACATCCATTATAAGATCTTCTTGCCCCTTGGTTCTCAATGAGAGGCCTTTGAACCTTCTTGTCAAGATGATGAAGATAAACACCGGAGGATACTGAAGTGGAAGGAGTGATCTTTCACTATAAGCATTCTCACTACAAGGGAAGGAATTCCTCCACTATGGTGGTGATTCACGCCTCGGTCATTAGCGATTCCGGCTTATGCAGGATCTCGGTAGTGTACAGAGCGAATGTACGTGTTCCTTCACTACTAAAACCCATTGACACAAGCATATCCTTTGATCGTGTGTAGGACACGCTAAGTCTTGATAAGAACTAAAACCACTGACGTAGAATTGAAATGACCCTTCATATCGATCGTGTCATCATGTTCATAAAACGCTGAAAACGAAATTGCAAGACCGGTGATATCATAAGAGGTTCATCAAGCCGTGAAAACAGAAAGGAAAGATCAAAATCACATAAACATAGTCTCATAAGTCATGAAGTAAAAGGTCATGATGGCTCAAATAAAACAACCTAGTAAGAGATCTGCGCCGTCTCATGAGCTCCATAAGGATTCCCATCACGGTAAAGAGGGGTGTCATTCCGTTCGTTTATCGAGGTCGCATATTCAATCTCATCGGGCCATCGATGACGTGGCGCACCCTGGCTACGAGCACGACGAAGCTCACGCTTAACAGCCCGCTGAGCACATTCTTCCCGGAAATGCGTATTTTCTTTTTTCTTCTCCACAACCTCCTTCCATTCCCCATAGGCGCCCTTGATACCAAGCGCAGCAAGACCAATACTCACAGCGTCCTTGGTGTTAGCTTTCATGCGACGTTTGCGAGCCTCCTCAGGCGTAATCTCTCCCTCTTTCAACTGCTTCATCCGCTCTTTCCTCTTCTCCATGCTACCGTAGAGACCGTGCGCAGCGTGGATGGTAGCCACGCTGGCCAGACCTCCCGTCAGAAGCATATCCCGTTTCAGCTTTTTGCGTTGCTTCATTTCATCAGAACTGGAACCTAGGTCAGAATCACTTTCGGAGCTGGACCTGTGGCCGCGGTCCTTTGGACCGGCTTCGCGCGGTGTATATGGGGGTGGAGTTCTGCCGTCCAATGAACGGTGTCGACCTACATCTCTCGAGCCTTTGCCCCGTCTCGAGTCCCTGTTGTAATAATCGCTGTCTGAATCTGAATCCGTGTAGTCGTGTCGATGGCTCCGGTGACGTCGGTCTCGGTCGTCCCGATGCTCCCGACGCTCCCGATGGTGCTCCCTACGACCGTCTCTGCTGTCATGACGACTGTCTTCTTGTTCTCCAAGTCCCAGGGCAGCCATGCCCTTGCTAATGTACTCCGAGACGCTCTTGCTGCGCTTGTGGGAGCCACGGTGGTCCTCGTCACTTCCACGGGAATCACTGCGGCCGCGAGGCCGAGAACGCGATTTGGAGTATCGGTCAAAGATTTCCTTTCCTGCAGCAGCAAGAGCTCCAGTGGCAGCGAGGTTCTTAAGTCCACCGCCTGAAGAGTGACCACTATCTCGGCCACGAGATTGTGAGCGTGACCCGCCACCCATGAAGTGACTGGCAGCCAGACCTGCAAGCGTGGACTCGACAACATGACGTTTTCCGTGCTTACTAGGATCTTTGTCGACAAGGCCATCAGTTCCGCCCGCAGTCACAGCAGCAGTGAGAACGCGCTTTCCTTTCGAACCTGTCCATTCGCCAGGCTCTTTGCGCTGTTTGAAAGCCTCAACTGCGCCGGCTGTCAAAGCGGCACGAGCAGCCTGAATAATGCGCTGCTCGCTTTTATCACGTTTGCTGCCTCCATCACGTCTGCTTCCGCGATGGCGACTGCGACTGCGTGAATCTGACGGTGACCTTGAATATGATCTATGGCGACGGTGGGACGGGGAACGGCCACGACCTCGGTCTCCGCGACTGGCTGAAGCAGCGGCACCACCAAGGCCTAGGGCACCTAGGGCTTGCTCGCTGAATGACTTGCGACGTCTGTGGCGGGGTGGGGAGCGACTTGGAGAAGAATCAGAATCGTATCTTGGGCGACGGGAGCCTGAGAGATATTAGAATCAATTTCAATCACGTCAGCTCTATATCACTCACGTCTATCCTCGTAGTGTCTTGACCGACGAGGATCGGAGCGTCGGTAGGAAGCATCGTTGTATGGATCGTAACCGCTGACGGAGGAGGCACGGCGCACATTTTCGTAAACAGGTCGTCTTGGCCGCCGAGAACCGTACGAACGCTCGTAAGCATAGTCTGAGCCTGGTGGGTATTCGCGCTGCACTTCCTCGATAGAGTCGGTGCTGGCGCGTGGCACATATGAGTCTCGGTCGTGTCTTCTATAACGGCCACGAGGGTCATCGTACGGATCGATGGGGCGTGAGTAGCGGTCGCGCGGCTCGCGACGACGATCCTCGTAGTACGCCATGGTTGAGGCGAAAGTGAGAAATTGAAAGATAAAAAGTCGGAAGTTGTGAGCTGCTACCGTTCACTGGGAGGATGCGTGTGATAGAAAAAAGAAAGTGATCAGAGATGTATGGCGGGGCTGCGGCTGAGGGTGGCGTGACGTCGATGTGGATTCAGATGAGCGATTATACTGGAGGGAGGGGGAGACTTGGCAGTGGCTGGAGAAAGATGTTCGTGATACATAGAAAAGGTACAAGTAATAAGGTCGATTCTTCTTTATATTGTGTATATATATACTAAAAATCAAGATTACGCCAATGACGTACAAAATACTACGAAGGAATGTTCGCCAAAGCGGATATACCCCATCGAATGAGCATCTGGACTGATGTCGTGTATCAGATATGATATATTCCTCCGACGTCATCCTGCATCTTTAGCCCTGCTAGGGAGTTTTTAACGGTCTAGCCCTATAAACCACAATCTGATAGATTGTTTGACTTCTTTTAAGATATATCAACACCAAATATTCCATATACAACACACATGTGCATGTAAAAGTGCAAATATAAAAATTCAAAATATCGAAAATTAAGTTTTATGGAACGTAAACAATGGTTCCACGGGTCGGGGAGTTCTTTTACGATTTGATATTCGGATTTACCCAAAGAGACATATTTGGATCTGGTACACAAGGGATATAAAACAGGAAAATAGTAACACGTATGATAGTCCTAGACGTCCTTGAAACGTATAGTCATGCAAATCGCTGAGATATGAAAAAAAAAAAAGATAATAAAAAGACACATGTTGAGAGCCCAGAATTGGCAGTCCAAAAAAAAGAGGACCAAACAGACAGAATCGAAGAACACCGCACAGCAGTGGCCAGACACAAGGGACCAACGAAAGAAAGAAGGGTCGTATACTGAACAGCGAATAGAGTGAGGAAGACAGCATTCCCTTAAGGCACCTGTGGACCAGTCCCGGGGGGAGGCCGTACAGCTCCATCCAGGGGTTGACTGACATTGCGCTGGTGGGAAGCCGAAGCATACGCCGAGTCGGGACGAGCCATAGGCCAGCGAGGATCAGCCTCCGGCTCGGAAGTAGAGCGCATATCATCCGAGTGTGTGCGATGTGTCCGAATGTGCTGTTTCATATTGTCTTTCCTCGTAAAGGCTTTATTACAAATCGGACAATGCACACTTTTTTCGCCAGTGTGTTTTTTGCCATGACGCGCAGCATGGCCTGAAGTCGTAAACGTTGCAGAGCACCCATGGCTCGCGGCATAAGGACATGGGTACTTGTTCTTTCTTCCTGTGCCACGTGTCGCTCCGGTCTGAGATGACGCCGTTTCGGATGTGCTCGAGCGTGTCTCGGGTGGTGTTCGAGGAGCTGGACCACGACCAGGGAATCGGTACGGGTCCCGTCGCGGTTCCTGTCGGGCATACGGGTGATAAGCGGATGGTTGACTGGAAATATAATCGTATGCCGAGCCATCCGATGATCCGGGGGAAACGGGCCGTACTTCAGTCACCGCGTCCAAGTGACGCCTGGTTCCTGGTGATGCGGCTGGAGATTCGGATGATGCTGGACGGGTGTGTTGTGTGTGTTGTGGGTCGGGGACGGGCGGGGGAAGGTCTGAATGATGTGGATAATGTGGTGATGTCTGAGTCCGACTAAGTCGGGGCGCGGAACGGACCGCAAAGGATGGATTATCATCATTATTCAGAATGGACACAATACTCGTCCTACAGCTAGACATCTCCTCAATGCCCCGATGTGCGGTCACCGGGGCTAGAAAACTATACTAAAAGGCAGAATTCGAGTTAGTTTAGACTGTTGGCAACCGGCTCAGCCGGGCTCTAAGTGCTTGTAAGAACTTGAGAGATCACCGAGCTGAGACAAAGGAAGAAAGGAGAGGGTGAAGAAGAGAGAGAACATCTCGCTCATTTCTTGCCCGAAAGACAAACGCACCAGCGGCTCTCGAAAGATGTTTGTCCTCTGTGTCGTGTAACACGTCGACAACATTAGACCCTAAATCGGCACTCGCCTGCAGACCTGAACAGAGGCCTGATGACTCGAGCTTGTGTCGTGCTTCGTATGTATTTTTTGAAGCACGGAGTTGACCGAGAAGTATCTCTAAAGTTGTGAAATGGAGATATGAGACAACTCGGCGATAGGGCAAGATGAGGGTCTGACAAATCTCCTTCCCTTTGCAGTGGGATTTGTTCCGAGGCTTAGGTTGTGACTTTATTTCGTTTTCTCCCTGGGATTTCCTTTTTTTCTGATTTTGCAATTGGATGTGGGGAACACAATCCTCAACGGCAGTTGCAAACTGGCCTGGGGATGTTGCAGAAAAGTCGAAGTTCAACGCCGGTTGTCTAACGCAAAATAACAGTTCTTCCAGAGAAGTGCTAGGCCGTCTGGGAATAGAAAATGCGCCCTGCGCGTGCCCGTGATAGAGGTTGAAGTGGAAATGAGATCCCTATGAGATAAGATGAGGGGATAGTCCGATCGGAATGAGATTTATAAATATGAAAAGAAGAGGTAAGAATTCAAATAGGAATACAGATCAAGAAGTAGAGAAAAGGAAAAAAAAATGAGCCAAGTATATTGGTAACTAATTATACTGAAAAGGGCGAAAGAAGCCAAGCTCCAGGGTCTGTCGAGGCACCCCAGAGGATACAGTTCCATACCGAGCACGCTATTTGGAGAAAAAAAAGAAATATAAAAATCCCAAAATATAAGACATAAATACAATACCAAGACCCCTAATCCACCTGTGCAGACCCGTTTTCTTCTCCGTTTCTTCCGGCCCGCCCGCGACTCCGTTCGAAAAGAGGTCTGTGACTTGTATTTGTATTTTTTTATTTTTCGGATCTGATTCTCAAATTGGTATATATATATATATATTCACTAGCTTTCTTTTACTTTTAATTATATATATATAAATGTTGCAGTCGGAAATGTTAATGTCTTAACTCCGTTGGGTTGTCATCCAGACTAGGGCTTCGGCTGGACCAAGCGAAGAAAGGAAATGATCCACCATTCGGCAGAACTACGGGCAATGGGACGATTGGACCCTGAGCAAGTTTATGTATTGTATTTTTCTTCAAAAGAGAATGGGACAAGCTTTTAATCCACGTCAATAATGTACTAATATCTGACTATTTCCCTATATCCGACATACGTAAGTGATGATGTTTGTACTTTGGCCTGTTTGGGAACTCACCTCCGGGAATTGATGAGCGGGTATTGGTTTCAATTCGAAGATTCTTAGATTGATTGGCTGATTAGATTCTTAGTTTCATACAAATTACAGTTCGATTTTTATTCCTTGACTGCAGGGCGAGATCGCCCTAAAAAAAGATAAGAGGTCCAGCCCTGGACAACTTTTAACGTTTTCAACGAATCTCTTTCCCCTTCAGGGTTACAATGTACCCTCAGACTTTCCTTGAAAGAGTACTTTACACCGAGATTGGTATTTTGTTCCGCCAGGATTTCATCCCAAAATTACATGTAACCTACAATATAAATAATGTTTTGTCTACAATATATTTCCACGTGTAAAGATAATCTAATTAACTTAATCTAGATCTTCCAAGGTTCGCTGTCTACGTCAACCTTCCTAAACATCAAGGGGGTTCAAAATGACTGGCCCGTGCAATTTATTCGTATTCGCGTTCATCCGCCCCGCCCCGAAACTATTCGCGGGGACTCTACAGGGCTTCTTTTACTACGTTGCATTACATGTAAACTTATAATGATATAATGAAATTGATTATTTATCAAAATATGTGATCTATTTACCAGCAGTTGACATACCTTGATTACACCAATCAACCATGTATTCTAATCAGTCATATGTCAAAAATGGCATTCTTACTTATCCCTCGGTATCTCCCGCAAATATCAGACACATGGCAGATCAAGCCAAGCTTCAATCCTCCGATCTGCTGAAACTCTGAGAAACACGCGGTTCATAGGCTAATCAACGTTTTGGGCTTTTCCAGCCGAGCCTTGATTTGCCCATACTCGATCTTAGCTGGGGCATACGTATGCAGACTACGTATAGCCACGGGATTTTCATGCATAGTTCGGGCTATCTAGTCCTGCTCTAGCAAATACACTTCCATGCTTGTCTTGACGAAGGATTTAGTCTTCGAACTCGTTTCGTGCTTACGCCACAAGCTTGATTCGTCAAAGCCCTGTACCCGTCGCTTTAATTTACGTTCCTGGCAAGACCCTGTTTTTTGGGTTTTTTCTTTATTTTACTAGGACGCAGGGACTCGTGGCCCGCTTGCTAGTTTACTCTGAACCAATAGTATAGCTTCGCTCTAATCCCGAGGTCATTGTTCCCGCTGACTGGCATGGATTACCCCAATTCACTCCTGCAACCACTGTTTTTTTTTTACCCACGCGGCCTCTTATATTTCAAGAAAGTTTAGAGGCGTATGTTGCAAGTAAATTTCCTTTGACTTGGGATTTTTGTCCGGAGACATAAAATCTCCCCGACACCGATCGGAGTTTTTATACCCGAATGGCCGAGCAAAAAAAAAAAAAAGTCGATATCCACTTCCTTTTTTCCCACTCAGCCACTGCACAAAACTGCTGCCTGGTTTTGGAGAATATATACATCAAAAATCCAAAAAAAATTATACAAGTCAATGCTCGTAAGTCGGCATTTATGCTTAACTCCATAGAGACGATCCGGCAGATAGCGTCCCGGTCGTATTCCAAGCGTGGAGACTTTGATTCCACACTAACCTTCTGTGGCTCGTGTCCGGAGGCTTTCGCGCTATTGATCTTTTGATCTATTTCTAGTCGGAAGCCACTGCCATCCCTGGATAATTATGGATCTGAGCTGAGTCATTGTCGGATTATATTGGGAGATGCTTGAATACTATTCCATGGACCGGACCATCCATGGATATATGCTTACAAAGCGGAGCAAAATCACCCCGACCTTGTGATAGACGGGGTTACACTGTTTATGGATGCTAATAAACGGAGACGAGACTATTCAAAAATTGGATCGACCCTGTTATGGTCTGAGCACGTACATCCCCCAGGTCTAGGCTACAGTCAAACCCCCTTCCAAGAACTAGTTTCGCTAAAAAGGTTTCTAAAGTCGAGACCCTTTGTATTACAAAATCGAAATCAAAAACTGTATACGTTGTATTTTGGAGGGATAATTACATTCTCAACAATTCCCCTTTGCCCCATTTATCTAAGTTTATCTAAGCTGATGTTCCCACCTTGCCCTACGAGCTCACATATTTAGTGGTAACGGTTGTATTAATATTTAAATAAGAAAACATAATAACTAGCACTTCCAAGACTCCCGAAATAAATCCGCTATATCGGGCCACGTGGAAGAGACATGTGGACATTTAGTCTGCGCCACCGATAAGGGCTCGGATCTAGTTCTCAGTGGAGCGTGTAAGAAAACGTATGAGTACACAACCCTTAAGTTCAGTAGTGATCGGTGGCTTAGGCAAGGCGCAGTTCTGGATGACATGGTCAATGCATACGGACAGACCATTACTCCGTACGGAGTAGTACATATCCGGTTTTTGATATCTTGAAATTTTTCCCTCTCGACTCACAAACAAGCATTAAGCCTATAATCATCCTAGCGTATCTAGTATGCATGAGGCTGCGTAAGCAGAAACGTCACGTTGGTTGCGCTATCCATGCTCCATCCTAGAATTGAGTGCGAAGATGCCAAGCGAAAGGGAAATTACTTCGAACACTATAGGTTAGCCCCTGCATATTTGGGTGGAGAGTACAATGGTAAGGCGGCTACCTACTCCGTAGATGGGATGTTGTTGGGAATCCCGGAGAGTTTTTCGGTCCCCCGAGCGGAGAGGGATACGTAGACGAGATTCGTAGTGTTACTACTTCTGGCCATTGAGAAGTTTGATATAGGATGATTATGCACTTTACCCCATGCCAAGGGCTTTAGAGAACGCGTATGGTGGCTGGACTGGTGAATCATCGTAAGTTGACACGACTATCGCTTAGTGCGTTGGTATCAATGCAGCCACAAGAAACCTTTTGACAAACTCTGCGACATCGGAGACTGACAGGACTGAAACGAATGTCATACATTAGCCTTGAAAGACTAACAAGATGGAGACCTAAGTCGTTTGAAACTACCCGTTTCGGTGTTTAGCTTGAGAAATATCATGCCCTCGCGACCATTCATCAAGTCTTGTCTCGTCATGTCCACTTCCCTTTCTATGTTTCGAAAGACGATTCAAGTAGAAGCCGTCTAACGGGGTAAACTTCTCCAATCCTAGGTACTAGGTACAATCTCAAATAAATTCTTGAAACTTATTGGTGAGCTCATGCTGACGTTCAGTTCATTTCATCTTGTTAGACCCTTCAACTAACTAATCTCTACACCCAATCCATCTTCCCCTCTCCAAATCCCCACCGTGATGAACAGGCTGCATGGGCTCAAATGGCATTGATTCGAAATCATGCAGTCGGCCAAACCCTGTCGCCCAGCCTGCCACCCTCTTTCTTCGTTGTTCCCCGTATCTTCATTCCATCCACAGCTGAGACTAACACATATCGTATCAAAATTTGAACTGGAAACGATGCTCCAAGGTGCGACACACGGGCACCAGCCCCCGGGTCCTGCGTGTGACGAGTGGCCATACCGAAAGCTGCGCTGCGATGCACAGCAAACACAATGCGAAGATTTGTCGAGGGACTGTGTGTGATGTTACACAACTTGAGGTTGGGGAGCAAAATGGGTTATCTGAAGACACACGCGAAGCTGTGCTTTAGAGACTATGCCGAATAGTTTTCTATCGGGATAGGAAGAAGCCTTTCATTGCTCCTTAATTACCAATGGGTTGGTAATATTGACATCGTGAGTGAGACACATTGCGCTGGAGTGATTCAGGTTTCTGACTGTCTTGAGCTTGCTTCAACGACCGTCTCTTTATCTGAAGATTTAAATGGGATACCCTAGCACAAGGGATTGACTGGCTGACTAGCGTGTAGGGCGAAAAGATCACCCTCGACTTTGGCGTTACTAGCACTTCTCTAACCAACTGAGTTCTGGACCCCATATTGGATGGCTATTGTGAGGGAACAACATTAGGGCTATATAAAACAGGTGATATCTGCAAGACAATGATGAAGCTTGTGTTCTAGAATCATCACCCAGTCTTTGTTAGAATGGCTGATATTCTCACTTTATTCACCCTCTCCTCCCCTTCTTACCCTTTTTCCCTCTCCTCATATCCACACATCCACACCTCCCAGCATCTTCCTCTCTACGGAGTACCATCATGTCGTCCAAATCACCAGAGTCACCGGGGTCACCGGGGGTACCAGCAAGAATGGTGCATCCTGATAGCAAGGTTATCTTCACCCAGGGAACCTGGCTCCCAGAAGAGGTTGTAGCGAGTATCCTTCCCGAGATCCCAAAGCTCACCATGGCCATGAACCCTATCGAGTGGTGGAATACTACACGCCGTGCTCTACACCAGGTAGGATTACTTTGTTTTCTGCTCGACATCAAAGTCATCCACCCAAAACCAGAAGACCCAGATTACAAGAACTGGTACGAGTGGTCGACTACTGCTTATCGGTGGATGTATTCGAACAAGGAGAAGGATGTTCAGAATATCATCGACAATATGTCTGACTGATCCGAGTCCCTTTTCGCCGATTGGTTGTACAACGCCGTTTTCAATATGGAACACAAACAAGATGCCATGCACTGCTGCCAATCAGTGGCAAAAATGGCGCTCCCCCCGTCGAGACAACTACCCATCGGCCGCGGCCTATATTGCCGCATACAGAACACAGTTTGATATTGTTCGCCAGCTCAAACAGGGTCCTGGCTGTTTTATCGCGCTTTGGACTCTTGTTCAGGAATTGGAAAATGAGCTTCCGGAAGCTAGATCTGCTGCTGGTTACTTGGCTTTGCACCGAGAGCCAGAGAAAGTCGACCATGAGACTTTTGTTGCACACTGCGACCACATGATTACCAGATCTAATAACCCAGATCTTGTTTTCAGCGACAAATCCCCGGACAGAGAGAAAGATACCCTTTGCCCTCGCGGTTCTTCCAAGCGACAGAGGTGCTAAGTCATGGGTTAAGGATGGCACCGCTACAAGCATCAGTGCTGATTCCATTTCTTTGGTTGCTACTTTCATTATTGCTTACCCGTCTATTTCTATCCAAGTCCAACAGTTCTTTCGATCATAGATCAATCTCTTTGCGTTCCTTGATATTAAATCCTTGGTTTGTTTCTGCTCTCTCAATCAAACAAATCATCTACTCATCAAAGCCCAACAATTCCATAATGATAGGTCACTAGAGCACATGGTCCGTATCATTGGCGACGTTAATTAGTTCAAGTGTTATAAAAAAAAACCCTTGCACTGGTATGGAACTAGAGAAGTCAATGCAGGGACGGAAGCTTTCGGCATTTGAATATGAAACCCTTTCGGCTACGCTACACGGCATATCTATATCCGGGTATCGGCTTTTGGAACATTTTAGTCCGACACCGATATTGACACAATTACGGGAGCCAAGGGTAGAAGGTCTCAGTCTATACCCTTGGCTAGATATGAATCAAATCTCCCAACCAAACAGCTTGCACTCACGAGTACGGAAGCGTGTACTTCCGTCCTCGGCACTCCACGGGTATCTGTTTGAGTTGGGTAACGAGTTCAATCTTGCTGGAAAATATCGCGCTACCCCTTGGTAGGTTGAAAAGCAGAACTCCAGATTGGCCATTGTCAATTCTGCTGTACAAACGGCCCTGGATCTTTCCCTGGTTCATGGCGGCTAGCTTCGTTTTGCTAGCTTTAATTACCAACATCTCTGGACCACTGAGCAGCTCTACATTCTTGAGTATGCAAATGTGACTTCCAATGTCCTTTTTGTTTTCTTTTTCCGACAGCTCGGTATCCACACAGCTCCTCTGTCTACTTATCTCCAACTCTCGCATCGCACCAACTGGGCAATACTGATAACGACTAGGACTTGGATGAACCACACAAATATTGTGCGAAATACTACACAGCAGACCAATCACTCTACAAATTTACCTACCTTGGCCCCCTTTACGCTCTTGGTGGGCTAAATTTGATCGCAACCCTGTGTTCGCATACTCAATGGCTCTACCCCTCTCCCATTAGGCAGCATTACACGCATTAGCCCTCCCAAAAAGCAAAAGCAGGCCACTGAAATTTGAGCTGAGTATCACCTGGGTGCAGTTTTACGAAGGGCGAGACTATCCTGACACCTCGTAGGAAGAGCTAATAACCAGATCCCCGCACGGGAAAATCATGGTCAGTGCGGAAATCCAAGGAATTGCCATGACTCGCAGAATACTCTAGATATGCGATCTATAACGGAGATCAACCGAACTTATGACAAATCTACTTTAACCCACCTGCAGATAAGATGGGAAATACAAATTCCACGTGGATGTACAACATAAAGGCGCAAGATTATGCACTCGATTGGCCCAGCGCTTGGTAATATCACTGAGATTTCGTATTGAGGGGAAGCCAACAACACTCGAACAAGGATTAAGAATGGGCTTACGGGGTTCCGGCCTGTTCCGTCTATATTATTTCAATTTGGGCCAGGGCAATGATGAGTTCCCCAGATATATTTAGAGAGTGATACAACAGATATAACTAATATAGTGCGGCTAAGAGGCGCAAAGTTTCGATTAGCCGTCGATACGCGAAAATAAGCAATCAACAAAATGTCAATGAATCGAATCAAATTCCAATTCAGCAAAAGTACAAACCCCATGCCAAGCAACTAAGCAGGTCACGATAAGGCTAAGGAAAGGCTAGACGGGTCCCTCTCAGCCCTGGGGCTGAAATCTCTCGGGAACCCCCCCTTTTCCCTATTTTTAACTAACATGGCTGCGACTTGACCTTTAAGACGAGTATCGCGCATTCCTTCTTATCTTTTTCCTTACTTTACGTGTTCCATCATGGCTTCGTCGTCGCGGGAGTCACAGCACTCTTTGCTGTCTAAAGATTCACTCGACACACAGCCTCAACGTTCTTGGAATCCTCTTAGTAATCGCCCAACCGACTCAGACTACCGTTACCATGCACCTTCAGAGAGCACATGGTCCGAAGAAGTTATGCGCGATATTGGCCTAGGAATCTCGAATTCATCCGGCGATGCAATTCCAGCCAACAAGCGCGATTCAACGGATAGTACCGCCACTACAACGCCACATACCTACCAAATCCCCGAGTCTCCCCAGACTCCGCATTCTCCACAGACCCACGTGCGTTGCCCTAATCGAGCAACAGTTCTCCAGAAACGGCTTTCATGGGTCCCCTTGACAGTCTTGATTCTGGCTATCTATTCCACCATCTTTTCAGGTATCTATCTTGGCATTGCGGTGGGCAAGCCTCGATGGCACAATATCTCCAATACGGGATCGTTAGCTCCGCCTACAGCAGCGTTGCTGAGCGCGTTCTTTGCGAAGACGATTGAATTAGCCTATGTTACGATTTGCGTCGCGTTTCTAGGACAAGTGCTTAGTCGGAGGGCTTTGATGAAAGATTCTAGAGGAATCAGTATCTCAGATATGAACATGAGAGCCTGGATCATGCAACCCGGATCTATGATTGTGCATTGGGAGGCGTTGCGCTATTCAGCACTTACTTTTCTCGGGTCTATTGCGTTGGTTGCAACGTTCGTCGCGATGCTATACACCACCGCATCGCAAGCTCTAGGTGACTTATTTCTATTCTATCCTTGAAGTGCGTTACACTAACCAACCACAGTCGAACCCAAACTCACTCTTGGTCCTGTTGAATCAACAATCCTCCAGGGCAAGGTAACTTCCAGCTTCGCAAACCCGGGATACATCGCAGCAGACTGCGGCACACCCGTAACCAACGAGATGGATATGTATTATCGCAACACAACCTGTCTCCAGATCGTCCACGCCGGCGACGCATACCACAACTACCAACAATGGATATCCCAATGGGGCCAGCTCGTGGGAAGCAACAATGAAACCTCACGCCAACTCCAAAAACGCCCACCGCCAACAGGCTCCCTCTGGGACAACACCACAGTAACAGGCAGCTGGATCGACATCCAAGACACATCAACTCTATCTAAGAAACACAACCGAATGATCAACAACATAACAATGGCAATGCCACACGGCGGCATCCCCGCCGCAGCAATGAACACAAAAAACAACCTCAAACAACCAACCGACAACTCCGGCGAAGGAAAATACAACATCGAAGCCTCCGTCCCCTCCCCGGCAATCAACGTCCTCTGCGCAGGAATGACAAAAAAAGAACTAAGCCCCCTAATCTACTCCTCCTGGCCGGGCCACAAATTCAACGTATCAGCCTGGCCCGTAGCCGACATCCCCCACCCACCCTCCTGGCTAAACCGCACAGTCGTCGACTCCCTCTTCCAATTCGGCCCGAAATACGGCCAAGTACCTCCAATCTTCGGAAAATATCCTCTCCCATACAACACAATCCTCAACGGAACAGGTCCATTCCCCGCAAACGCAGTCTACCTCCTCGGCGCAACGCCACCACCCGTCGATAACAACACTCACACACCAGAGTACGTGTTGTGTTCGCTCCGCGCGAAACAAACAGGCGTGTGCTCGACAAAATACTCCGCTGATCAAAGCGGCGCAACCCTAAGCACAGATTGTGAAAACCCCTCAAACGACCTGCAATACGACCGTCGCCAAGGCAGTTTCATAGAAGGACTCTGGGATTCAGATTGGAAGAATCTCGCTTCCGAATGGGCGAATTCACTCAGTCTAAACGCAGGTATCTCAGATGGCGCAGCAAGCAATGCCAGACTGCTCATGCAGATGATGCCGGCCTATAACGAGACATCTTCTACCTTCACTCTCGACCCATCACTGCCATCCATCGCTGAAGCGATAGCAGTTATGGCCGGTAGTACTTTGATTCTGAGTAGCCAGAATGCTCCATTCACGCCATTCTGGAATTACAGTCTTTCCAACGGGAATGTTCTTTCCGAGCCTGTATACCAGAGTTTCAATGCGAGTATTCAAGTAGTTGGGTATGCGTCTGGTGGGACGGAGAAATGGCAGGGCATATTCTATGTGATTCTCGTATTTGCGTTCTTGACTAGTGCGGTTTGTCTTGGGTTTATGATTGTCGAAGCGCGGGGACGACAGGTGACTGATTTTACGGAGCCGCAGAATTTGTTTGCGCTTGCTGTTAATAGTCCTCAGACGACGCAGTTGGAGGGTGCATGTGGGTGTGGGCCTTGGGGGAAGCAGTTGAAGGAGAGGTGGTTTATTGGGATGGAGGAGGATGATGAGCATTATTATATTCGGAGTAAGAGTGAGGAGAAGATTCCGTTTTTGAGGAAGGAGGCGCAGATGGAGACTATGGAGATTGATGATGGGAAGATGCTTAGTCCTATGGTTGATGAGTTTCGGAAGGTGTCGAAGAGACATTCGTTTTTGGCGAAGCTTTATTGAAGGGGGTGCTTATGATGCATGATAATGGTAATGAATATGATGTTTCGAGATGGGTTTGATTTCAAGTGATTTACACTTAGATATGTACAGAATAACAGCATACAAGAAGTAGATCGGCGCAGGCACAGCCGTGAAAAGGAATCAAAGAACCGGTTCAACAATTGTGGCACATGCTAGGGAATCGCTCATACACACAAAGAGAAAACGAGGAAGATGCTAGATGCGAATGGAAATGCACGTCAAATGCAACGAACACAAAGCAATAGGCTTTTTCAAGACACTAATAGCCATGGAGACGCTATGGAAGGAATGGATGTGGAAGTAAGAGAGTCGCGGAATGACCTGGCGAGATCAGGTGGGTATTGTTTGGGTAAAGGAGGGTATGGGAGAGTTGCGCTCCAGATGGACTGTAAGTGGGAATAGTGGGCCAACGCAAGTTAACGATCAGCCTTGAGATTGAGCCAGCTCATATCTGAATTCGTAGTATTCTTCTGGCCTTGCACCGGAAGTTCATCGATATCATGTGGTATGATAACGCTGGACCTTCGTGCATTAGGATGCTTGGGCTTGTCCGCAAGGCTTGGATTTGATGATTCCCAAGGCATATCTTGCGTGCTGGTTTGGTAGAAGCTAGTAGTGTAATTGCTGCTTGAGGGACGTCCGAGCCAGCTGCTCTGGTGCGCACCTTGCCACCTTGAATCATCGCGGTCGTCGTCTGAGGCGACACTGATTGAATCCGCACTGGAGATTCGTGCCGATTGGCTCTCAGGGATCACCAGGCTTCGACTACCCATGTCAGGGGGGCCGTGTTCCGTGGTGGGGCTGCCGCTGGGAACGCGACCGAGTGGCTTGGGCTGTTCAAGGAAGCCGAAATTCAACGGTGTCAGCGTACTCATTGGCCAGCCGCTTCCGCGGTAATCGGACTTGGTGTATGCAGAACTGATGGTCGAGCGGTCGGATTGGAAGTTAGTGGTACCGCCGTCCTCGAAGTACTTCCCCCACCCCTCATCAGTCATTCGGTCAGCGGCCTGGTTTTCACGCCCGGTGTCATCGCCAGCCCGATTAGTGTCTTCCGTGTATACACTTGATGCACCCATGACACCACTAGAGGGAATTGTGGACAGCGGACTGCTGGCCTTGGGTTGAGGAGACAATCCGTAACCTGTGCTACTAGGCGGCTTGAGTGATTTCTCTCCCTTGTATCTGCCGGACATGATAGCCAACGAGTCGACCGAAGTAGCCGCGAGGGGGACAGGAGATCTTGCCATTGGGTAAGCGCCTTCGGTCAGGGGTTCTATGCCCTGATCCTGGAAGCTTAGGCGGTCTTTGTTATCGCCACCACCGCCGGGTTGGGTTGCCTGTTTCTTCTTCTTCTCGCGTCGCAGAAGGAAAAGAAGGATGAGTAGGATCAAGCCAAATCCCAGGACACTCCCTAGAGTTGCGCCAAGAATCATTTTGCCATGATCACTCAGGCCACTACTCACAGCAGCAACAACTGGTGACGAAGAAGTGGGTGTGGCTGAGGCCGTGGTTGATGTGGATGTGGATGAGGTTGAGGTTGGTGTCGGAGTAGATGATGTGAATGATGTGCTGGTTGCTTTGAGAACGTTCTGATCTGGTTTTCCATAGAACAGCTCTGTGGAGTTGACCCATGCGTTGGAAGTCTGATTGAAGATCGCCAATGAGTCACTACTCTGGCCGCTGGCAAGAACGACCAAGCCACCGCCCTGGGCGAGCGTATAATCAGACCAGGATGCCGTCGGGGCGAATGTGCCGTTGTAAGAATCGGTGATATCTCTTTTTTCCGAGGGTGCGATGACGGTAGCCGGGTTCTGGATCTTTCCTTTTGAGCTGAGAAGGTAGCCAGTAACCGTGTTTGGGGAAGCGATCATTGTAAACTCCTCGAGGACCTTGGTTTTACCACCAGATTCGGAGGCGAGGGCGCATCGAGATGAAGCTTGGATTGCAGAAGGAAGAGTTGCCTCTGATTTCCCGAAGCCTTTGTTAGAGTCATAGATAAAGATATCGGTATTGGTGGGAGAGCCACCAATCATGGCGACCTCGGAAGCACTCCAAGGCAAAATTATCGGCTCATACAATGCCGGCGCGCCCTGGTCGACACCCGATGATACGTCAAAGGATCCGCCTTTTGTTGAAATGATGAGTGTCGATTGTGATATCCGTGTGCTCCCATCTGTGTTTCCTGCGTAAACCAATATCTGCGAAGTTGAGGGAATGTACCCGGCGCCATGTCCAGTTCGGTTTTTCATCTCCGATGATGCGCCGGTTAGTGTCTCCCACTTATTTGTACTGAACGAGAAGCGCTGGAGGCCGCTGTTATCGGGGGAGCCGGTCCCGCCAACCAGATAAAAGTCTCCCCCGCTTCCCTGGACACAGGCAGGGTTGGTAACTATGTGATCTGGGGAGGGGTGCGGTTCCCATTTTGCATTCTCTTTGAGAGGTATTGATGCAAAGCCATCTGGTGAATAGACGTAGAGGGTATCGTCGTGGATAGTGGAGCAATCGCCCTCAATCTTGATAATGGGTCTAGGGCCTTTCATGTTGAAAGGTTCAAATTGAATAGTTCGAAGTCGTGATTTATGTCAGACTAGCGAAGCTGGGTGGCCAGCCAGCAGGGGATTTGAATGTCCCGAATTAGAAAAGAAAAGGTGACTGCCAGAGCACTATCTCATCTCGACCGAGGCAGGTGAGCGAAAAAAAAATGCCAACAAACCACAATTCTGACGCGATAACAGGCGTGAACACGAGTTTTCGATTGCTTTTTGCGCGGTCAACCGCGATTTCAAGCTCTCAGGGCGAAACTGAGGTGGGTCGCGTACCGGATGACTCGGCGACTCGGGATACAATCAAAGCGGTTCAGGGGTGTCAACAATGGGATCACAACACGCGTCGGATCAAAGAGGATGTCGAGTAATCAGGGCCTGAGGCTGGGGGGCGATCCAGTCGAAACTTGAAAAAGAAAAGTAAGGGCCAGCAAAAGCCGAGTAAGCGAATGGAGGTGTTAAAAGAATGAATGAGAATATCAAAGTGCACAGCACAAGGGTAAATTCAGAGAGAAAAAGGGAGAGGCAAACAGAAATCACCAGGTAAGACAGAAAGAAGGGCCCTCTCACCCCCCTAACGGGAGGAGGTTAGTTGGCTTAGGGGGTTAGCGAACGACACCATCCCTTAAGGGGAATAATTTCGTCATTTTCAATTCGTTCGCAGTTTTTTTGCCAATCCAGTTTTTTTTCCGTTAATTTGGGTTATTTTCAGTTTGATTGGATTAAAGAAACATCCTCGTGCCTATGTTTATTCTTATTGGTTCGTTTCAGCTTTCATCTATTCTCTTGATATTGATCAGGGGCTCTCCCGTAAGACGTCCCGATAAAGTGGGACCACAACGTACTTGGACCCCCGTTTTGACATTACACTTGAATTTTCTGGATTTCTCTAATGCTTCTAGGGCGGATATATAGAACAGAGACAGCAAGGAGTACATTGTTATGCATTGATCTCTATGTACATGTCTTGTACATAAAAAATACAAAATAAAAACAAAATAATAAAAACAAAACTTCCCCCTCTCTAAACCCATGGTTCTTGCCCGTTGGACCCACGGGAATTCCCAAATTTGGCGTTTTTGGCGTGCCGCTTCCAAGGTTCTCTTCTATAACTGTATTCATATATAAACCTTCGATGGTCCTAAATATTAGCCCTATTAGCCCTCTAAAAAGGTATCTTCCTTCTCTTTGACTTGAGGATTATTCAAATTCAACCTTGTGTAACCGGCTCTATAACTATCTATGGAGTGCTCCGCACGGAGTACACACGGAGTACGAATTTCCGATTTTGATTGCAACTGTACTAAGTACCGCATACCTATATAGGTACTAGTTTTAAATTCAACTCATTTTCATATGTATCCACTGCCCTAGAATCTTGAGCTTCTATCATTCCATGCCCCTTATCCCAGTCCAATCAGCATTTAACGCACGAGCACGTTTGGTTCGTGCCATAGAAATCCTTCTTGCAGATTTCACAAATATCATCGAGCGGCTGATCTGCAATATTGCCCACTATTTAAAAAGAGGTGTTAGTTCGGGTTGAGCATTTGACATCAATACAAGCACTTACTGTTTTTGGTAGGATTGTACGGAGTAAGGTATTCGGGTATAGAAGCGATGCTAACCGGAGCAGGATTGTAGTATTGACTAAAGCCAAAGGTGTAAAAATTGCTTGGAAGTTCAGCTAGTTAACTGAGAGCTAAGAAGAATATGTGTGTTGCGTTACAACTCCGTTGATAGCTTTTCAAAGTTAGGAATTAGTAGTGCTTTTATAGATGCTCAACTAGCTACAGTGACGACTATCAAAAGAAGTTATTCAAATCCTGCTTTGTTCAGTGGCCATGATCAATGGACATGATTGTCATGCCACCATCGGTTTTCAAAGACCGAAATATCCATCTTTACTTCATGTCTTGGCGTCTTCAAATATAGAGTTCAAGGACCTATTTTTACTCCTTTATTATGTGTAGAACATACTAATTATCTATTCATAATATTCTAAGGTTACATATCCTTGCATACCCCAGTTTGCTTTATATATAGAGTAGATTGGCCTATCAATTTACTTGTATGTAAATAATCCTCCAAAATTTATCTAGAGGATCTTGGATTTCCTCTTCCCGTGTTCCATCGCACTTTCTACAAGATCTACAATAGTGTTTCAGATTGTCTTTTGATGCAAAGATGTATAAAGAATTTCCTAATACAGAGTTTTCCTGAAACCGGAGTCTCCATGAAGGTCTTGATCAACAAAGACGAATCAAAGACTCGAGTTGGCAAGTGGCATTTCTTGCAAGAGTTTACATAATTTTTCCGATGGCTTTTATACCAATTAAGACATATGTTTGACGAAGTCTTCAACATACGAGGGCGATATCAAAGCGGAAGGACCTCGGGGGCTGGGCCGTGGAACGTGGGGCTGTGGAACTTGTGGGTGAGACTGGTGGAAATGTCTTAGTTCTTGTTTCATGATCTGAGGGGATAGATTCAACATTACATCTCCTATCTCATGATCGAGAAATGCAATTCAGCGGATCGATGGACATCTTCCTCAGCTTCTGCAAAGCGTCCGCCCAATCTTTAATTCAGCCACAGCTATACCACTATACCACTACTCCGTACAGATGTACTCCGTATACAGATATCTGGAGTCAGGCCCCGCCCCCGCTGAAGGATCGGGGATGCAGCCGTCGCACAACAGGGGAATATGTAAAAGGAACTGGTAGTCAGCATGCACAACATCCATCATACTTGTCTGGATGCAGGGGACGGTCTCATTATGAGGACACCACATACCCGTTCGTGCCGCTTAGCCGGCGACACCGATTTAATCGAATGAGGGTCTGTGGTCCGGTTTCATTGTCACACGCAAGTACCGGGTGGTATTCTGGTCTGATTATTATAGCACATGAGGTCCGTCCCCAATGGGTTTCGCATAGATGTTTTCACGAAAGTATCCAAGTCAAAGGGAAAGATAAGGGAAATAAATTTCCGGATTGCTTTTTAGGGTTAGATTTACCTTTTAGGGTTGGATTCAATAGCCCGACATAGGAACTAGAGATCTAGACAAACGAGGTATTTTTAGAAGAACGGCAATTAAATTCCCGGCATTGATTGGTTTAGCGAGAATCTTGATCGTGAGCGTGTCTATACTTATATATATTTCATCTACAAGACGCGGGTTTAGATCCCGACTAGGCACGCGATTCTATGATGAGTCTCCGTTGCAAATGGCTAAGAGGTCACAACGTCCTAAGAAGCAGGATACGAGTAATCTTCTTCGGCCTTAACAGGATTATGGTGAATATCTACCAATGGCTGCCCTGGGCCACGTGAGACTGTACAAAGCGGACTAGTAACTACGTACATTGCCTACTATCAAAATGATCTTAAGAATGCAGACTATAACTATCGCAAGGTTCCAGTTTACGACAGTGTATTATGATGATCACAAGTCATATTAGTGATCTTAGTACAGGCCTTCATAGTCTGGTTATGAAATAAAAGCTACCACATACTCTAGGATTGTGTCTGCTTCCATTGGTGTGCCTTTTGGAGCAGACGAGAAAGATTGGCAGCAGATTTGTCGTCTGCAGGGAACACATAGTCCGTGTACTCCTCGTACTTGTCGTCCTCCAACTTGCGGCGTTTCGTAACACGTCGGGGCATCTGTTTTTCGATATTTTCGATATCCTCGGGCGATCCACTGGAGTGTTCGAAGGCTTGCCAACTTTCGAGGAGTGCCACACGCTTTACCGAAATTAGCATATACCGAATAGTGTGTGAGTGGAAATAATAACTTACATCATCCTTGAGATCCTTGTCCTTGAGCGCCTTGTGTCCCCGAGTGAAGACAGCACGCGTGCGAACCACTGCGTCTGCGCTGATACCTTCCTCTTCCTCTTCCTCGCTCGGCACAGAGGCCTCGAAGCGAGCGTAGTTAAGCCATACCTTGACGTGGTCGGTCTTTTGGAGGAGACGTTCGTACAATTGTCGGACCCGCTCATACTCGCATTCCTCTTCTTCGAAGTCGATGTACGCTTTCCACACAAGCTCGGGCATGTCAAGTGTCGGCTGCTCGACTCCAAGCTCGTAAATAGCTCTCGCTCGTTCCGCGTCATCCAGACCTTGCTCCAGCTCTCCAAACTGCAGCCACGATTGGCTGTTGGAGGGGTTCCATTCGATTTGCTTCTGGAGCAAAGTACGGCATCGCCCGAACTCGAACAACCGGCGTTCAATGTCGATATAGCCACGGAAAATTTTGTCCTTCGGACACATTCCGATCGCCTGACCCAGGGTCTTCCGGGCTGCTTGTAGCTGCATTTGGCGAATCTCAAACTGTGCCTTCATGAGCCAGACTTTGGCAAATGTGAATTTCTTGTGCGGGATGATTTTCAGACATTCCTGATAGATTTGTCCGGCGCGTTCCATCTCCTTCGCTTCCATTTCTTCCCATACGGCGTAAAAGATCCAGAGATAGATGTAGCGGCGCCAGTGTCTTTTCTCTTGTGATGGAGGAATTTGTGCAATGGCCCGTTCGTAGATGTCCCGCACCCGGTCTGGGTCACCTGAAAGCTCCTCCAATCGTGCAAAGTCGAACCAGATGTCATAGTTGCGAGGGTTCTCCTTGAGCTGCTCTTCATACTGCACTCTGCGCTTGGACAGAATGACATTCTCCACACCTTCACGATCACCGAACTGTTTTTCAAAGGTCGTGTAGGCTTTGTGAAGGCCCATAGACTTGGATCGAGGAAGTCGGTCTAGAGCATACTTGTAAATCGCTCGTGCGCGCTCGTACTCCTTCAACTTGGCCTCGAATTTGGCATAAGCGGAAAAGAGCTTCTCGTCCATGAAGTCTTCTCCTAACGTTTCAATAGCCACACCATAGACCTCGCGAACCAAGTCGCTTGTCCCGTACTCCTCCTCGAAGCGGGCCCATTTGATCCAATTTCGGGGTTCGGGGTGAACGACAGTAAACCGCTGGAAAATACTGCGTGCCCGTTCGAATTCGCCATATCTCTTTTCCATCTTGATGTATGCGCTCCACGCACCCTCTTCGGGCTCCCATGACATCCATCGCTCAAACACTTGACGGGTACCGGGAATATTGCCCAGTGTCTCCTCCATGTAGACATACTTATACCAGAGCTTGTCGATGCGGGGGAGGATAGTCACGGCGCGGTCGAGGAGGTTTCGGGCGTGGTTAATATTCCGTGTCTTCATCTCAGCTTCGATGTAGCGAATCCAGAGCACCACCGAGGTTGGATCAACGTCGAGCGCGCGCTCGAAGATGGATCGCGCTCGACGGAATTCCTTTTGTTCGAGTTCCCATGCGGCATAGCGCATCCAATTGTTCATGTTAATGCGGTTACGGCGCACATAGTCTTCGAAGTCCTTTCTTTTCCGACCCTGATACTCGTGTAATTCTTCAAGATCGGCAAAGCGCTGTGTCGGTGCCTCAAGGCCAGGCTCTTGTCGGTCAACGGCCTCGCGGAGCAATTGCTCTGCAGAGATCTGAACCGGCGCGGCGGCCTTGTTCTTGACCCGGGGAGGACCACGAGAGGCCTCCATTTTGATAGTATTGTATTGACTGGTCCCGGTAAAGAGGTGGTCCGCGACTTAAAATGATGTAAGGTGAAGTTTGGGGAGGTCGAAATTCTCAGGCAAACAATGCAGGTTGGGCAAGAGGGGGGGTTGAGAGTTGGAGCAGGCTTCACCAAACCACGGCGATCGCTTAACTCAGAGATTGGCAGAAAAATTTCTCCACGCCCAATCCAGTGACGCCGAGAGTAGCTTGGACCCGTAGCTCAAGAGAATCGATGAAATCGCAGAACTGCGTGACTGGTCATTACCGCCACCCGTAACTACCCCAGTGGCATTTCACAAGTATTTGCACCCCAATCCTTCCATTGTCCACCGCTCTATCTATACCGCCTTTGCTTTACTACTGCGTGAGTGGATACAAAATTCTTCCGGCGGAAAATATAAGTACCCGGGTATAAATACTTATGAAATATAACTGATAGCTTTATTCTGACTAAGCACCACTTTTCTTCCCAACCTTCAACTTTGGGAATATCATTGCTCTTTTTTCCAGTTTCCCCAGTGGCGTCCTGGGTCCACGATCACACTCACCTCAATTTACGGGAGCGCACCCGTCACACAGCATCATAAGCCAAAATGTCGACCGCCGAAGAGCTTCTCCGCGACTTTGAGGATGACGAGGACCTCGATATGGACGAAGAGCAGGAAGTCGAGGAAGAGTCTGAGCAACAGGAAGACTTGAAACCACGCGCCGGGGTGTCCAACGAATTCGATCGCTCTATTTCTACCGCGGATGAGCTGACACGTCTACACAAAGTCCTACGCGACCACTACTCTGTCCGATTCCCCGAGCTCGAAAGACTCGTCACCACTCCTATCCAATACGCCAAGACAGTCGCCATTATCAAAAATGGCCCTTTTAACGACATTAAGACATTGTCCACATCATCGGAGAACATGGTTGGCGTCCCGCTCAAGTCAGTCTTGAACGGACCGTCTCTGATGGCAGTTGCGATGGAAGCTACTATCACCAAAGGTCGTGAGATGACTGAGTCTGAGCTCAAGGTGGTTCTTGACACATGCGAGAAGATCTTGAAACTTGATCAAGAGCGCATTGCTCTCACCGCCAGCATCCAGTCTCGCATGAACCAGATTGCGCCTAACCTAGCAGCACTCATCGGTGCCGAAACAGCTGCCCAGTTCCTCAACCAAACAGGTGGCTTGCTTGAACTAGCTAAGATTCCCGCCTGTAATTTGGGCGCACAAGGATCACGGCGATCAGAAGGATTGGGCTTTGCGACTAATCACGGTGTTCGCGCGAAAGGTTTCCTTTACGATTCGCCACTTCTGCAAGATATTCCCGAAGACCTCAAGAAACAAGGAATTCGAATTGTTGCCGCCAAAATGGTACTCGCTGCCCGCGCGGATGTCTCCAAGTACGCCAATGACGGCTCTTTGGGCGAAGAACTCAAGCAACAATGCTTCACGCGACTGGAGAAACTGACTGAGAACTCTGCTCCAAACGCTGGCACAAAGGCTCTCCCTGCACCGGATGACAAACCCTCCCGAAAGCGAGGTGGTTGGCGCGCTCGAAAGGCCAAGGAGGCTGTCGCTATGACTGAACTACGAAAGGCACAGAATCGTCTTGCATTCGGCAAGGAGGAGGCGGAGGTGGGCTACGGCACAGGCTCTGGAACCGTTGGTTTGGGTATGCTGGGACAACAGGACGATGGTCGCATCCGCGCAACCCAGATCGACCAGCGTACCCGTGCCCGGCTCAGCAAGAACAACAAGGGCTGGGGCACAAACACCCCCGCTAGTGGCACTGCCTCGTCGTTGCGTGGCTTTGGCCAGGGTGGTACAAGCGGTACTGCATCCGTTCTTCAGGCCCGAGGCCTTCGTGCATCTGGTGTCGGGTCGTCTCTACCTGGCGCCGCCGGTACCTCTAGTACTATCGCATTCACACCCGTTCAAGGCCTAGAGCTGGTGGATCCAAAGGTACAAGCTGAACTGAAGCGCAAGCGCGACGCTGAGGAAAATCGGTGGTTCAAGTCTGGAACCTTCACTCAGGCACCTAACCAGACTCCTGTCAATACCCAGACCGAGAATGGCGGCTTCAAGGTGCCTGCCATCCCACTCAAGAGAAAGGCTAATACAGACGAGGGCAAGATGGGCCCCCCACCGAAGCGTTAAGAGTTCTGTTTTGCTAATATAGGATCCCAGCATTGTGACGGCGTTTCAAGGGGAAGATCAGGAGGCCTGAGCTTCTATGATTTACGTGATACCATCCTGATTTGTACAATAAAATCTTGACTACCCTAAAATGACTATTTTTATTCAACGAATTCCCTCAATCATTATATTAAACCAAAGAAAAAAAAGACTGGGTTTGCCAAGCATTGGATCTCGGGGGAATTGCCCCGGGATTTTCAAGGGTTTCGGGGTAAACGGTTTAGGGCTCAGATGTTTCAGGATTTGCGACGGAGCAGGATTTAATTCCGTGATATAGACATGCTAGTAGGCTTAATAGACTACATGTAGAATAGTGGGTAGACCTAATGCCTAATAGTAAGGGGCTCCAAATATCAAATTCGCCCACATGGCGTGCACTATGTTGCAAAGCACACAATCACTGTGGAATGTGGTACAAAGTCCTGCGCCATGGTAGCGGTCAGGATAAAGGTATATAAACGATATTCTGGTTTCTTTTCAATGTCTGTGTCTGATATCTTATAAAATTTTGTATAAAATTCAGATTCGCCTCCTCCACACTCCGAAATTTTCCCGATATAATTTTTTACGCTTGGCTTCACTTTCTTATTTCTCTTATAGATTGGAAAAATCTGAGTCAGGTCCATAAAGATCTTGAATATGACATTCACGATACCCCAAATCCCCATCAATGCAGTCCCAGTTACCAAAAGCCTCCCAAATCAAGGCAAAGAACGAAAGGTCCCAAGCACAACTCAACTCCTACACCATAGCCATGTCACCACAGAATTTGATCCCTTGAGATTTGAAGCTGCGGCAGCATTGCAACTGGAATTGCCACTCGAAAGAGAATACCCAGATACAGAAACAGACACACGACTCATTGCATCGCCTTACAACAGCGTCCCTCATCTGCTGGACATTTCCGAGCTTGAACAACAAGACCGGCTATTCGCACTTGCATTGGCATATCTAAAACCTATTCGTGATGACTATGCTACCGCTGAATACACGGAATCATTCAATTGGACCGATGTATTTGATTCGTTGAGGACTTTCTCACAGGCCGAGGGCCACACGTGGACATCGCAGTCGTATTATGTTGTTATTTTCCGGTCTATATTGTTGCCAGATATCGACTCGGAGCGGCTTTACGATCTGGATGCGCATTCTCACCAGGAGGCTGTTGCCAGTGGGGGGTTGTTGAAGTATTGGTTTGGGGCGAAGAATGATCAGTATCGGAATTTGGCTACTTGTGAGTCTTTGGTCTATCTTGGTTTTGGACAGTGGCTGATCTATTGGATAGGCATTTGGCGCAGTCGAAACGATGCAAGACTTGGTGGGAGAGGGCCTTGGCATGCGCAAGCTATGGCGGCTGCTTCAGTGATGTATGAGCAGATTCGGTTCACTACGCTCAGGTTAGATATTGAAGATGGTGTACAGTCTTGGAAGTTGAGTGATTGGAAAGAAGATATGGCATAAAGAGCGTTGATATTGGCATGATTAGATCGTTGATGCATTTGGCTGGAGCTGGAAGGACATTATGGGCTTGTATATCTTTATATATAGTATTTTATCTATATCTATAGGGCTTTGTTACTTCTGTTACTTTACCTAACAAGGCTTGTGTAGAGTCATATATGTAACCTGTTACGCTGCGTTCAATCCGGTCACGTCGCCTATTGATAGATGTAAAAGAGGGAAACAGAGTGTGTTGGATGATTCAATGTTTGCTATTTGCCAATTCGCTAGTTTGCTAAATTTGTTGGGCATAAATACTCTGTCACTTCATAGATCTTACAATATCTATCTTCCTTACTCTCTACATACCATATGTTATACAAACTATATATATCACCCAGCATCTGGATTGATCAGTGTTGAAATGGTTTCAAGTGTATAATCACATCCTTAATCAGGTAAAGTTATCAATCTACACCCAGAGTTAACCAGTCACTAACAACCACATCCCTCCCGCAGGTTCTCTCCCGTCAAATACCACACCCCCGAGCGGCAATCACCATCCGGCCAAATGGCTCTGACATAGCGATAATGCCATCAAGCCGCGGATGACTGTAGAAATTACAGGACATACCCAGGGTGGCAAAGCCACCTTTCTTTGTCCGGCTCTCTTCATGTCAGCTTCTGGAGACACTCCTGAACCCTGATCTTCGCCCGTTTTCTTTCCGTCCTTGAAGATTGGGTTTGACTATGGCGAGCCCTTCGAAAACGCTCCTATACACTGGGCCATGAAACTGCTACTCGGGACAGGAGCCGAAATTCTGTTACCTTTGTTGCTCTGCCTGAGAGACTCAATCAAGCATGAAGTACTTCCAGACACATTCCTGCTCCAAGTTTGGACGATGGATTCTGAGATGCTAAAGAGCCGCCTTCTGTTATAACCTGCTCCTGGACTGGTGAATTACAAACTAGGCCAAAAGACCACTATATCTGAGCATTCCAAATATATATATATATATATAGTGCATGACATGACACCTTCGACGATCCAGCCACTTCCCTAGCCGAGATCCTCTCAATGGTTGTCACACCCGTTGCACCAGGATGAGACAAAGATGATGATAGAAAAAGGACGATACTGCCCGTGTCTGTTTCTCTGGTCCGTCACAACAACAACATGATGCCTGACGATATCCCTAGTTTCCTTCCTGAGCTAACGCACGTGGAGTAGATGCTTATTATCTGAGTTGAACACTGGTACCCTTATTGAAGTGCGTCAATTTCACACAGTATTGCTACCGCGGCCAGGTGGCGCACTTCATGACACCATCGAAGCTTTAGGATCGTCTCCCTCTATCACTGTCGGAGTCAAACGTGGTCCTTGTACCGGCAATGGGCGCTGGGCTTCCACCCCTCCGCAGACGGTTGGCTATCTACCTACTCCCGGGATCTTTATATACATTGAGAGTCAACACCAAAATGACATCCCAGACATGGAAAGCCAAGCTCATAAATTAGCTTCCTCTTTCCTCGCTCTCTCCTCACTTCTCACTTCTTTGTTACTTCTTACTTCTTTCTCACTCCTCACATCTCTCTCACTTCTCACTTCTATAGTCACAACCTGTCTTATCTCTCATCCCTTCTACTTCTATCTCTGGGACAACCATCTACCTTCTGCAAACAGCGCCAGGTTCAGGGGCAGAGTCATAATGTTGCCCCCGATCCTCCCCTGTCCCTGGCCTTTCTTCCTCGATGATCGACTATGCATACGGACCCAGTCCCCGCTGATCATCGCCTACGCGGTTACCGTCCACAAGGCTCAGGATATCAGTAGTCGACGCGGTGCTGGATATAAGATTTCCGCATTGGATACTTTTACACCCCGAGAATACCAAGTACTTGACTTTTCATTCCATGAGACAATCACATTCGACAATGACGGAACGGCAATTACGTCTGTCAGCGATTGAGGTCAGACTGTCGGACGCAAACCAATTTCTTTATATACTTCGAAGAAAAGGAGGAATATAGCACGCCACACATATATAGAACCAACCACCGGGATATCGGAAAGGCCCTGTTGTCGGAAGAGAGTTTTCGATGGTCACTGCCACTATACCTCGTGATGCACACGAGGGAGATGACCCTACGACGACAAATCGGGTTAAGCACGATTTTGCCGACTGTCCAAGGCTTCTGATGTCTTCTTCAAGTAGATACAAGTCAATGTCCCCCAAATTCAAGTTTAGCTCAGTCTATGATGCGAACGAACATATGGATGAACATTTCTCCAAGCCCTGCGGGTACGGCCAATGCATTGCACATATGGAGGGAAGACAACACGGTGTCACACTTTGGAGATATCGATATATCGACTTTGGCTCGACACAAATGGAAATGGTCCCTGTGTTCCCGGTTTGCTTCATCTCGGTTTGAGGGTAGGATCAGACAAGAACCTTAACATTATTGCATTCTACGCTTGATGGTGACCCATGTGTCTACGTCAAAGGAACAGGCCACAAAGCGTGGTTATGGGTTTATACCATTAGCCTACCTTCCTCCACCCCATTTTGTTCAACAATTTTATCAATCTCATCCTCAAACCCATCAATTATATCAGCTTTGAGGGTCAACATGGTCTCCCTCTTCAAGCCTTCATTCCCTTGAATCAGATGATTCGGACGCATTCTTGCACTGGAACGAGGACGGGGTCAGGGAGCTAGTACCACTGAACCACTGTGGGTGGTCTGGGATGGTGATGGGGGATGTGGATATGCCCAAGAATGCGGGGAGGTGAGAAGTGGCATAGGCAATTTATAGAGCTTTTACATCCTCTACTTGAATGCTTATGCAAAAATGTACGATTCTTTCTCAAAATGCATGTCTTTTTTTTTAACTATGTAAATCAGAATTAATAGTAATATTCAGTGTAACCCCTAGTCTACACTCCATATTTCTTTTTAGGAATTATAGTCCATCTCATTTCATCAGGAAAAGGAACTTTCCCCGACCTTGGCATCTCCACATTTTATCAAAAGAAGAAATGAACTGACTCAATCAGCGGGGAATATTACTCTTTACTTATAGTATGGAGCATCAAAGTCGACCTATTTGGTTTCTACCAGTGGATATTTTACTTGATGGTCATACTATACCCCTCATGACCAAGGATATAAAATGGCCCATCTCTCCCACCAGAACCCTCTTCAAACAATCCCATTTGAATTCAGCTCATCAAATCGAACATGGTCGGCATCCAAGCAGATAACCTCACCGTCAATGACGGCCCCCTAACATCAGAGAATGCCACCCTCCTCCGCCCCTCAGACCCAACCCTCCCCCTCGAGGACCTCCGCAAACGCTACGAAGAAGACGGCTACCTCTTCCTCAAACAAGTCCTCCCCCGCCAGGACGTCCTCGCCGCCCGAGAAGCATACTTCACCTCCCTAAAATCAACAGGAGTCCTAAAGCCCGGCACAACCCCCGTCGAAGGTATCTTCGACCCCGCCAAGAACCATCTAGACTACCCTGGCATTGGCGCAGCACACGCAGATGGGAATGGCAGACCCGGTGGTGACCGAGCCGCGGCCTTCGTCGACCTCGCCCTCGATGCACACTACCAAGACTGGTATGCGGAGAAGTTCTGTAACCATCCAGCATTGTATGATTTCATCGCGCGCTTCTCAGATTGGGGGAAGAATACCGTCAGCTTGCGTCGCACGCTTCTTAGGAATAATATTCCTGGATCGAAGCCCATTGGCGTGCACTATGATCAGATCTTCTTGAGATATGGTGATCCGACTAGTATCACTGCTTGGGTTCCTATGGGAGATATCAAGCTCAATGGGGGTGGATTGATTTATTTGGAGGACGGTTTGTGGCCCTGTTTTGGTTTGAGAAAATGTATACTGACTTTGTGAAGGCGATGGCATTGGAGTTGAGATGGAAGAGGCTTTCTTTGCTAAAGCCAAGCAGGCTGGATTAACTGATGAAGAGGCTAAGTCGGCTTTTAATTCGAATATGATGTCCACGGGTCTGCTCTCTGAACGTCCGGCTGAGTTCGCTCGGGAACATAGTCGGCGATGGTTGGTGTCCGCGTATGAGGCTGGTGACGTGGTTTTGCATAAGCCGCATATGGCGAGTTGATTACTCTTTACATGGCAAGCTCAGTTATACTAATGCTTGTTTAGATTCATGCGTCCACTATAAACAATGATCCGGACAATGTTATCCGTCTTGCGACGGATCTACGGTTCTGCGACTCGTCTAAGCCTTATGATCAGGTACGTATCATTGGATAGGAAAGGCTGAATTAAGGATAGTGGCTTACACTTTATTTGCAGAGATGGATGAACTTTTATAAATTCAATGATGGCGTGTAGCATGCTATTTGAGAGTGAACATCAACCCCCATGGTCTATAGTTCTTTTATGATTAGCAGTCTCTTCAACGATTGAACATTGAAGACATATTTGAAAGCCTCCTATTGCAATGCAAGTTTTATTTTGATAATTTCCTGAAAGATGGTTAAAGCGAAGACTGTCGATTTGAACTTACAAGACTTGCAAGTTATGCAAGCATGGAACAGTATCACTCTCTCATTCCAGTCAATTTAGATTGGACTTCCAGCGCGTCTTGTTCTGCTTGGCAGATTAATTATGATCTAACAAGGGCGCGCTTGATTCGCTAAGGTGTTCGTCCGGAATGTGTCCTGTCAACATTAAGGATCGCCACACGCCCCTAGATCTAGGAGCGAACCCTTTGCCCAAGGGAAACCCATTGTGCTACAGTATCAATCCAACTCCAAATAAGATAATTAGGTGTCTTCTACTATTCCTGCTAAAGAAAACAAAGTCTTAATTGACCTAGAAGAAAAAAGAGAGAGATGCATACACTAGGGATATAAAACATCGGCATTCGAGTACTGCAAAACCAACCTCATTCCAAACGATAAAGACCAAACAAAGTATATGAAGCATTTGTAAATTGCAGATCGGCCTCCAGAGGATAAATCTTATATTAACCTGTTTCCCAGCATTGAGAGAACTAACCCCTTCAAGCACTTCGACATAGCCTACGCCAAAAACCCACACAACATGTCGCAAGTCATCTCCAGGGCCTCATGGCTCTCACTCCTATTAGTAGCATTGCTAGCCGTGTCAACTATCAACGCGCACCCAATCCGCCAAACTGAGGCAGAGAATGAAAAAAGCCTTGAACTTCGATCACCGGTTAGTCACTCAAATAATACTTCAAAAGACATTTCTAACAAAAACGCAGAGACTTATTTCAGACACCCAGAACTACCTCAGTAAAGTGTTGCAAGAGTTAGGCCTGGAAGATGCAGCTCCATCCCCAGCTCCATCCCCAGCCCCATCTCCAACCCCTATCATCAAGATCGAGCAAGAGCCCGAGACCCATGAGCCCGAGACCCATGAGCCAACACAAACCACACACGTTATCTACTCAAGCTCCGTCACTTATACACCTACTCATGGTAGCAATGGGGCGGGGTACACTCAAACTGTGAAACACGAGCACAAAAATGACTTCCCTGTCGTGAACGTCCAGATTGGCCACGGTTGGACTGGGAATAAGAAAGTTACTGCGGAGGATCTGCCTATTCTCTTTCGGTTTATGTGGAAGTTGATGGCGCATCAATTCAGTGATATGGTTCATAGCTCTGATGAGGTTGGATTGAATGAGTTCGTGGGTCATGGGCATTGAGTGCTATGAGAGGGGAGGGTCGGAAAATGTGAACCCAAAAGAATGTTTTTTTTTCTTTCTATAATATGTACTACTATGTTGAATGTAGTTCTATTTGTTTCTTTCGTGGATTTCTAAGCCATTGTTATATCCATATAGATCGGGGGGCTGTTATATCCATACCCCGAGAGATCGGAAGCTTAGCGCTAAACCCCGTTAACCCCGTGCCGTTTTTGTGATTACCTAGGATATCAGTATAATTCTATGCCAAGAGCGTAGATCCTAGTAACTTGATGAAGAGTTCGATATTAAGGTCATAGACTGAAGTGATGTCACAACGTGGTTAAGAATATATATTTCCTTAACTGCGAGAAATCCGAGCCAGCGGGGCACTGTTTTGCACCCCATAAAAAGCCCATCACAACCCACTAAGTTCTACATTTTACCAATCTCCCTAAAGTTTTCACATCTTCTATATCAATCATGCCTTCTCTAGTCGGACAGGAAGTCGGCCCTATTGGCTATGGCACAATGAGTGCGATCCCCCCCCCCCAAACACCGGAATTGGATATATGCTAACAAAATCAGGAATGACCTGGAACCCACAGCTTCCATCAGAAGAGGTCTGCTTTGAGACACTTAATACCACTCTGGAACTGGGTGCCAACTTCTGGAATGCTGGCGAGCTCTACGGCACTCCGGAGTACAACTCCCTGCACCTGCTCAACAAGTACTTCACCAAGTATCCCGAGAACGCAGAGAAGGTCGTACTCAGTGTCAAGGGTGGCTTGAAGGTGGGCCAGCTTGTGCCCGATTGCTCCGAAAAGAACATCCGCCGTAGCGTGGACGAATGTCTGCGTCTCCTCGATGGCAAGAAGAAGCTTGACATTTTCGAATGCGCACGACAAGACCCCAACGTCCCCGTTGAAGAGACCGTCAAGGTTCTCGCGGAGTACGTTAAGGAGGGCAAGATTGGAGGAATTGGATTGAGCGAGGTTGATGCCGAGACGATCCGTCGAGCGTATGTGCTTCTTCTCCTTTTTATATGAACCCAACTCTAACTGTTTCCTAGACACAAGGTGCACCCAATTGCAGCAGTCGAGGTTGAAGTGTCCTTATGGTCCACCGATATCCTCCATAACGACGTTGCCAAAACTTGCGCCGAGCTTGATATCCCAGTTATCGCTTACTCTCCACTAGGCCGGGGTGTTCTGACTGGAGCTGTGACTTCGTTGGCTGATATTCCCAAAGATGATATTCGACACCACTTGAGCCGGTTCCAGGAAGAGCATTTCCAACACAATCTGAAGCTCATCAACGAGGTTAATGGCCTTGCTACGAGCAAAGGTGTTGCCCCTGCTCAGATTGCACTGGCGTGGCTCCGGAGCCTGAGTGAGAAGCCTGGTATGCCTACTATTATTCCCATTCCTGGTGGTACTACGAAGGATAAGGTGGTGCAGAATATGGGTGCACAGAAACTGACGGGTTCTGAAATGGCGGAGATCGATGCTATTTTGGAGGAATATACGGTTTCTGGGGCGAGATACTAGGGTGTTCCTGCAATGTAATATTGTATCTATTAGCTATAGATCATAGAAAATGGGACTTGTTCGTGCGAATGGGTTGTTTTCTTGGTCAGATCAAGTGTAGGAGTCAACATCCAATCTCACATTGATTGGTGATTGTCGGAATTGCAAATTCAGATGATCATCATGTAGTTTGTAGGTAGACTTTATTCTGCAGGGTCGTGTGTATAGGCAAGCTTACCATTGCGGTTAGTGTCCATGGGAGGTGGACTGATACAAAGAAGGTCAGTGGATTAGTAGACAAAAATTGAATTAACATAGGCTTCTAAGAGAAAGTAAATAGCATGATAAATACAACCATGCTCAAGATGCAGTTAGGATAATAGAAGAAGAAACATCTCAGAGAACAGTGTTGTGGAAGTGGCACGTGATGGTGATCATACTCAGTCACGTGGACGCGATGCGATGGCCTCCCTGTCGCGATATCTCGGTGTCGTCTCGGCGCAGCTATTGAAAGCTCATTCGTCTGTGACCACTTCCGTCTCACAACCAAACTATATCATTCACAATGGCTTCACGAGACTCTCCGGGTTCCCCGCTCTCCTCAGTGGGATCACTTGAGACTTCAGATCACGAATCCATGAAACAAGAGAGCCGCGCGCATTCACCCTCGATGTCAAACATGCCGCCCTCCAAACGGCGTCGCACCGGCGTTGCCTCGTGGGACCGACAGACCCCCCTCTCCTCTGCCCAAGACGAAAACCACCCACCTCCATCCCCGACTGCCTCAATCTCCTCCGATAGCTCTGGCGAGATCCCGAACTCCCCCAGCATCCTTTCTCTCCTTGGTACCAATCAAGAAGAAGACTACAGCGGACAGAGCACCGACCAGGTCACCATTTGTCGATGGGACGGATGCAGCGCCGGCGACCTCGGCAACATGGATGGGTTGGTGCAACACCTCCACAATGAACACATCGGGAGCCGACAGAAGCGGTACTCCTGTGAGTGGACCGATTGCACACGCAAAGGTCAAACGCACGCTAGTGCTTATGCCCTGCGCGCCCATATGAGAAGTCACACCCGCGAGAAGCCATTCTACTGCACCCTGCCAGGTACGTTGTCTCAGACCGGGACTCGGCCCTCCAAACGGATTGATAGACCTCGAATACTAATAAAAACTACAGAATGCGATCGCAACTTCACCCGTTCCGACGCCCTCACAAAGCACATGCGCTCTGTCCACGAAACAGACACCATGCGTCCAATCGACTCCATCTCAAAAGTCCACGGCGCCCCAGGCAGCACTACCACCACCCCAGCCTCGAAGCTGCAACGCATCCGCTTGAAGCTCACTCAGCCCCGCGAGCCAGGAACAGAGTCCGAGCCACACACTGAAGCAATCACCATCGTTCCAGCCCCCGTCACAACTACAGACTCACACGATCCCGACGAGACCTTGATGCCAGAGTTCGGCCCGGAGCTCGACTTCGATGAATCAGAGCTCTCCCTACCCCCGCGCGATCTATATCGTCTCCTCCGTCGCCAGATTGTCTGGGCCGGCAAGGAAGCCGCACAGCTCCAAGCCGAGTGGGAGACGATCCGCCCGCAGCGTGAGCGCGCATGGCGCGAGAAGGAAGCTATCTTCGATGACCTCATTGAGGCTGAGGTTAACTTATTCAATGCAATGGTCGGCTCCGTACCACCCGCACATCTCACAACTAGTCTTGAAAAACTGCAACAGCAGCAGCAGCAATTCCAACATCAACAGGAACAGCTGGCGAAGTCGGCGGATATGCCGACCACCGAGGGTAGCGCTTAGCTGGCTCATCTTTCCCTTTTTCTCACTTCGCCCCCTATGCGGTTTCTGTTTCGCCTCAAACTCGGGAGAGCTTGACCTTTCTCCCATGAGGTTGAGTTGAGTCTTAGTACCGTTTCACTTTGTCACCGTTTTCTTTCCCCCTCATATCCCGGCGTGCATGGCGTTGGTGAATGCGTTCTTTTGTATCTTCAAACCTGGGCAAAACAGCAACGGAATGTATGAATAGCCTTTTATTTTTGGTTTACGGCCTGGTCTGGCCTCGCTCAATGACAGCTCACTACTATGGGTGATTACTACAGTTCTCTTGTCAAGATCTTCTTAAGTATTATAATGTAAGGCTAATAGAAGTGTGATTTTTCTTGGTTACATTCTGCATGTCTTTGTTCTTCCGGAGGGAGCGACAGGGCAGGGCTATTGATGTGGTTGGTATGTTTGCCAGCGACGCTATGTCTTATATCTAGCATTCAGTTTATACCTAAACACGGACGAGCAATGAACCATTGACGAATTCACATCGTCATGTCCATTAATCTGATGACCAAGCCAATAACAAACTGGACTCTAGGGCTAAGCTTTGAGGCTGAGTCTACGGGTGCCTTGGGCGGTGTTTTGGCCCAGCCATCTGCAAGGACCCCCTAAGGCCTTGCAACCTGGGGATGTTCCCTGCCATTGTCTTTCAAGTAGTCCTTTAGGTGTCTTTTTAGAGGCCTTTTCTATTTGATATATTCTCACCATCTTGGTTTCATAGCTCGGTATGCAGAAAATGCAGGAAATATGTATGACATTTCCATGTAGGTCTCTAGGATAAATGTGAGACCAGCAATCAGGGCACACTATGAATTATTGAAAGCTAAGAATTAAATGCATAGGGTCATACTACGTTGTAAGAAAGGAAAGCGAAATAATGTTAACATGCTCTCAACTGATTCATAAAATAGTTGACGCCACCCCATAAGATACATGAAAGAAAAAAACAAACTGCCCTTGATTACGGAGTCTTAAAAGAAACCCGGTATGCTCATAGCATACAAAGCAAACTAAAAGGGGATATGAGATGATTGGCTCCGGGAAAAATCCATAGCCAGTCCAAAACTCCCCAATTGGAAAACATTGAAAGAAACCCCAAAACCATGCAGTGATCATCCAAGACCGTAGGTCATGCTCATTTCGAAAATTCTTTCTGTTTTGGCAAACGCCATTCGCAATGCCATGCAAGCAAGTTGCATCCATATGTACCTTCAAGAGCAAAAGAGACGGAGTTCACCTAGAGACAGTTCAAGGAAGCGAGAATTGTGCAAGACCTCGGGATGTCTGAAGATGACAATACCCCAAAAGAAAATCTCAAGTCCAATGCAAGAATACCGGAATAACATAGTCCAAGATTGGGAGTGGGAACATTGTGGAGGGAGTAGAGGAAGCAGAGATCGCAAAACATACGCTGGGTGTCTATCATCAAAAAAAGAAGAAAAGGATAGGTAGATATCTGATATCAGAAACGCTGAACATGCATGTCATCAAACCGTGCTAAAGTGAAGTTGAATTGAAACAAAGAACACCTGTACCCATTGTGATGAGATACGGAACTCCTCAAGCCGAGTTGCCATTAGAGGCCTTGGAAGCTCTACTGGCTTCCATGACCTTATTGAACATCTGCTGCAACTTAGCACCACTGGCGTCCTTGTTTGGCCAGTAGTTGAGTGAAACATAATCCCTAGAAATCAAGTCAGCACATGAAATATAAATGTCATAAAGAGAACTTACCAGAGTCGAACCTCCAAGGAGGGCATCGATTGCGAGCCCTCCAGATTATTGCGAATGAACTCTCCAATCTTCACAAGCGTAAGACGGAGTTTCTGAGCCCGCTCATTTTTGCTTGGGTAGTTTTTGGCAGTAATCATTGACACTTGCTTCAAGTTGGCAACAATAGGCTTGAAGAACATGAACGCCATGTCTTCCTTATTAGAACCGCCGTTCTCATGACCTTTGCGACGACGAAGCTCGTCATTAGAGGCATCAGATAGACGATGGCGTGGACGATCAATATCAAGACTAGACCGTGGACGAGATTCATGGCTAGGAGTATGATGACGGTCAATACCCTCCCGACCGCTATGGGGACGGGGCCGGGATCGATCAGAGTCACGATGACCCTTGCGGGGGTTCTCAGGCCTGCGAGAGCTCGAAGGGGCGGGGGAGGCAGAGACACTGCCACTACCGGATACCCGTGAGCCACGCTTATTGTTGCGGTGGTGGTTGTCCACTGCCCTTCGGGCTGTAGCGTTGTTATTGTACTTGTTTCTCAACACAGACATGAGGTATTCAGCTCGTCGAACCAAGTGGACAGCACCCGGTGATTTGGTTGCCTTCTCGTCGGTTTGCAGGCGTTGTGTCTTTCGCTCGACTCGGTGCTCCTCAAGGAAGAATTTATCACCGAGGCCAAGCTCAGTATCATCGCGAATCTGGGTCCACGCGCCAAACCCGTGGCGTGCGATACCCACAAGAAGCATTCCGTCTTCACGCGCACCCCACTGGCAGCTGTAGTCTGCCAATTTGGTAGCTTCGGGGAGTCGGAATGTCCTGAAATCGGATAATGATTTCATGATGCTTCGGATAAGGCGCATATCTGGTGGACGCTCAACGATAGTCCATGCGTTGAGTCGCTTGACACCGTGATGATCGAACAAAACGGCCTTTTGCTCTTTCTTCGTGGGATTCCTGCCCGATTGTTTCAAGGCCTCTAATTGATCTAGACTTTCTTGGACAAGCGCATTTGCCTTGTCAGTAATTTCATGAAGAGCAGCACGAACAGTGTCCCGATCACGGGACTGTAGCCTAGCATCTTCGAGGATGAGGTCTTCAGAGTCAGACATATCGCCGTAGCGAAGGAAAGCTCGAGACAGGGCACGGTACTCTTTTTCTCCTAGTGGGCGCTTGGGATCCAGTGAGGTACTCTCTTCCTCGCCATCGTCGATATTGACTTGGGCTCTTGCAAGTCGTTTAGCCTTGCGTTCCTCCCGTGAATCTGTCGTGTCCACAGGGGCGTGACGCTTGCGAGGTCGATTTTGTTCAATGACTTCAGCAAGATAATGAGCATCATCTTTGCGCTTTTCCTCGGCCTTGATTACTTCAAGCTGTTCCTTGGGAATAATGTCGTCCCAGGTGAGATCGTCGACTTTGATGTCAACAAAGTCGAACGCTTTCAAAAATTCTTCACCGCCGTCGGCTTGGATTTGCTCGGCCTCTTCTGTTTGGTGTAATTCTGCGTTCGCGAGTACAGAGTCGATATCAAGCTGCTCCAGTTTCTTCTGGTTGTCAGTTTGTTCGAACATCTTCTGGCCGCGACGCTTGAGGATCCGAGAGATATCATCTGTGGAATTAGGCTCCGCAACCACGCGAGCCATCTTGTTTTGCATCTCCGATGCTTCCTTGTCCGTAACACCACGCTGAATGGTGATAAATTCGAGCAAGAGCTTGTTGCGAGCTCTTTCAATGACTTCTTCTTCGATGGTATCCTTTGACACGAGGCGGTAAACACTGACAGGTCTTGTTTGACCAATTCGATGAGCACGCGCCATAGCCTGCAAATCAGCCTGGGGGTTCCAATCCGAATCAAACAGCACAACAGTGTCTGCAGTCATAAGGTTGATACCGAGACCACCTGCGCGAGTTGAAAGAAGGAATGCAAAGTCTGTGCTGCCAGGAGAGTTGTAGTGCTCAATTGCCAAGCGACGGGCGGCAGATGGAATGGTTCCATCAAGCCGTTGGTACTTGTAACCACGGTACTCCATATACTCACTCAGGATGTTAAGCATCCCAACCATCTGACAGAAAATCAAAACTCGATGGCCATCAACGCTCAACTTGCGGAGGAGTTGATCGAGAAGCATCATCTTTCCACTGCTAGTGATCATGGCTCGAAGGATATCTTCGCGACGACTACTGCCTTCCAGGATCTTTGCTTCTGCGTTGGGGAACATGAATGGGTGGTTGCTAGCCTTTTTCAACTCCATCATGATGTTCAAAAGAGACTGCTTCATTCCCTTATTCCCGTCGTTCAGCGCAGCGTAGTTTTTCGTCAGAATGTTCTTGTAGTATTCCAATTGGACGTCGGACAGCTCCACTCGAATGATTTTCTCAGTCTTTGGAGGAAGATCTGACTCGACCTTGGATTTGGTACGCCGCAACATGTAAGGCTGAATGGCGGTAGTTAATTCTGCAAGTTTTTGAGATGCAGCTTCGGAATTCAAATCCATGTCGACGTCGACTTCAATGAGGCCCGGATTGAGGAAATCCATCAGCGCTGAAAGCTCAGCAAGGTTGTTTTGGATCGGGGTGCCGGTAATCAAGAGGCGTGCCTGGCATTTCCATTCAAACAACTTGACGTAAAGCTGTGAGTCGCGATTTTTGAGACGGTGGGCCTCGTCCACTCCCATGAACTGCCACTTGAATTGGCCAAGGAACGGTGAATCATTCATTGCATACTCGTAAGTTGTCAACAGAACATTGAATTTTGGACGTTTAGGATTCCCATCGACCATCAACTCGTAATCGCGCAAAACGGAGCGCGCCTTCTCACTGCCGTTGTAAACAACATAGTTAAGGTCTGGTGTCCAGTGATCAAAGGTATCAGCCCATGCTGGCATAGTAGACAGGGGGACGATGACAATGAATGGCCCTTGCTGCCGTCTGACATGGCGCATCCAGTTGATGAATGCGACTGTTTGTACTGTTTTTCCGAGACCCATCTCATCTGCCAGAATCACATTGCGACCCCTGACCCAATTGAAAGCCAAGAAGTTTAGACCTTTGACTTGGAAGTCCTTGAGTTCTCCATTGTGCAAGAAACTAGGGGTTCCGTGGATGGGCTCGAAAGATTTACGCGTGGCGACATTCATCTCATTCTTGTCGGAGATGGGCTGTCGAGCAGTGCGGTCCAAGAATCGATCAATCTCACGTTGTGCGATCTCACTAATCAGATCCTCAGGTTCCCAAGTACAGGA